GGATTTCATCTGGAGACATGCGAAATCAGTCAACTCAGGACCTTCCGCCGTATGCTGGCTCGAGTATCAGACCCTTTCAAAGCCCGTATACCCTACTTTTCATGTTATCTTGGTCGGTTCCTATCAAGAGCGCTAAAGATATTGCGGATATCTGAACATAATGTATATCTCGCATCTGTAGAGCATATCGTATCCCACTTACCGTGATGATGCGATTAACTCTCCCGATTCGTCATTGATCACTCCTCCCCGTTGGTCATTTCATCAGGGGCAGAGCTGCATAGGTCATGGATCGTCATACTGTCTACCAAGTGACAGAAGAGGGGTACACTTCGACTGCCTTGATCCGTCATGAAGCTTGTCCCCTGAGTGGCGACATGTAGTCAGGCCATTATCTGAACAATCGGACAGGAGTGAAACCTATCTTCTGTCAAAGACATCCGTAAATGTAAAAGGTTGCGTCTCGCCACCGAAGGGGCAAAAGAAAAAGGGGGGAAGCTTGTTCAACAAAGAAAAACCCACAGCAACATGTCGTCGTACTTGAGCGACTCACCCTCGTGTTCACATTGTGCTTCGTAAACCGCGACCCAGAACATTCTCAAGACGGGATAGGTAGGTCTGCTTGACAATGGCTGCACATCCTCCAGTGAGAGCTGATGAATCTAAGTGGGAGAAGGCGATACAGGCGCGTTTCAGGGCCAATCCGCGGGCTTCGGATGACTTGATGTGCGACGCTGTGTGATGCAGCTGCCCCTTTCCCCCCGTCCACTGAGGGCTGCCTTGTCCGCCCCCGTCTCACCTTCTCTCCAGTCCGTCGCACGTCGTTAAGCAGAGGGGAAGCGTTCCCGATCGGCCATTCGTGAGATTTCATTGCATTTTTTCGAAAATCTTGCCACACTTAGATTGGTCCCGGTCTGTTTGCTAAATTCGATAGCGTCTTGTGTTCTACTATGAGAGAGAGAGCTATGGCATCGGCCATGTCCCACCCTCGGGGTCTTTTGGGCTCCTCGTTGATTATGAGCCAAGTCGTGCCAGTGCAGCCTTTCAGAATCGACTCCGTGGGGGCGAAGCTTGCAGCGAGTGTTGATGTGAATGAGATAATTCTTCTGCTACAGATAAAAGACGCCCAGCAAATCAACGGACTGATATATCAAATCACAAGTCCGTGTGTGCGCGCCTCCCTGTCGGATGAATCAGTTCAACGTAGGCTAACCGGCTGTTTCACAAACGGAAGAACCAGAAAGAGGCTTTCTTTCCTGACCCGGCTTATGTATGGACCAGTGATCCAGTATACACAGGATGCAGGACAATCAAAGACCAATCGACCGTTGATCCACTTGGCGGGGGGCGGTGATCCGATAATGTTCGGAAAGAATCCAGGGTGCTTGCATCGCAACGAACGGAGAGTACCCAGGATCAGATGAGATGAGAGATCATGATGATACTGCGTAGAAGCGATGTAATGGATCGGTCAGTTGAAGCTGTCCAGCGGTGGAAGGAAATTAAGATTGACTGGGTGGTTACTACTTTTCGACCGGGCGCCCATTTGGCGGTGATGACAGCACCGATGAGTTGGAAAAAGAAAAGAGTCGAAACGAACAGATGATTACTTGCTGACGACTGGAATTGGATCTCTCCTGTAATCGACAGCTACTGTACTTGTATGCACCCTGGATACTTGGTTCCCCCGGGCCTTGGAGACCGGGTGGAATGGCGTCTCCTCGCACGGTTATCCCCCTTGTGGAGGATTTGATTGGAATGCAGTCAAACGAAGGGTCGTTTACTTTTTCGTTTGCTTCGTTAATTTAATTTTCGCTCCTTCCCAAGACTAACGGGAAGTTAGAGGAAACAAGACAAAAAGCTACAAAAAGAGCAACGAAAAGGCAAGCGTGACGACACGCATGCAGCGGTGGTCCAGTAAGGACGGAGGAGGTATCAGCAAGGGCACAGCGAGGCTGGGAAAACCGTCTGGCATGAATGTACACAGCATCAATAGTGTGGGGAGAAAGGTGGTAGGAAGCATCATTCTGAGGTAGATTAGGTTTCCCCAAGCCAATTGTAATTATTCAGGAGGTGATTTGCCACCTTGTCAGCTGTCGACAGGCCTCCCACTACGGAGTAGGATGCCTACCTAACAGGACTAACAGGACTAACAGGCGCACCACGCAGGTAGGGCTGATGTGGTTGGTGGCTATGGGGGTTGGTTCCTCATTATTTAAGGAGGCGAAGTCCAGAAGGAAGACGAAAATAAAAGAAGTAAAAGTAAGACAGGCTGCTGAGACCGTGTTCGAAGTTCCACAACCGTCGCCCGATTCGAGCGCCTGACTGGCCCGCGAGGAGTTATACTTCTAGGCACTGCGTTTCTCTGAATGGATTTGATTTGATTGCGACTGTTCTCTCCTTATTCGATTAGATTTCTCCCGATCCTCATCCGCCAAGAATTACCGTTGGGGGGATATATAGCTCCTGGGATGGCCCAGTAGCTGGCGGGTGGAGCAGTATCCCTTGATTCCTCATTCTAGTTTAGGTTTCGGTATAAGAGACGACACCTGTTGATCGAGTTGATTCCACGGCAAGAGATCAAGCGACGGGAAAGAGAAAGAGAAGGTTCATCCCAGGTAAGGCCTTCCCTTCCCTTCCTTCCAAAACAAGAGCAACACGGCCAAACGAACACAAACACGGCAAACCAAACAAACCGAACAAACCCACCAAACCCACCAGAGCAATATGACTAAAAGCGGACTAGCTCCCTAGGCACGCGTTCCGTCACCTGTCGATCAGCGCCGAAGCCTTCCGTGGAAAATAAAATAAATCATCATTCGGCATCATAATAGTCCTAAATTAATCCTATAATATTAACACGCCCTCCCCACACCCCTTTTTTCGTCGCCATATTCCTCCCCCTCCTTTTTCTCTCTATCTTTGCCTGGAAAAGGTCATCAATGCTCGGCTCAGTCCAATTTATGACGTGAAAGAAAGGAGATGCCGTGGACTGTAACTAATTCATTCAAGCGGTGCGTGTTGCCCCCCCGGTTCTTTCCTATCCCTTGAATCCCGCCACCCTGGACTAACGTTCGATTTTTTTTTCATTTTTGTTCCAACAGAGGCCTTATGATGAAAACATACGGTAGACCGTCATGGCGTGTTTACGACGATGATGACCAGCACCCGGCCGCCAAAAAAAGACGCGTCCAGCAGCCGTCCGGCAACGAGTCCGATGAGGCAGAGAATAGCTTGCAATACGCCATTCGCGAATCCTCAGCCGCCGTGCTGTCCAGTCCGTCGCGTCGCAACTCGGTTCTACTGTCGGAAGGCACGCAGGAAGACGATCTATCGACCCCACCGTCATCCCCTCCGCCTCGATTGTCGCCTCCCCCGGCGAACACGCGAAAACCGACTTTTTCGTTCCTCAAGCGCAAGCAGTCCTCCACCAAGGACTCCGGCAATGGCACTCCACTCACCGAGGTCAACTCGAACAGCGTCCGCGCGTCGACAGACCCCCCCAAAAAGAAGGCGGCCACGTCGCAGCCCACGTCGCAGCAACAGCAACCACAGCAGTCACAGCCGCCCCCAACCGCCTTGAAGCAGATGCAGATTGACTTGGGCCACGAAGTGAGAAGGACGTGTTCGACCTGCGGGATGGAATATGTTCCGTCGAATTCGGAGGATGCGTCGTTACACAAAAAGTTCCACGATATGAATTCGACAGGCGTCGATTTGGGCAAGGCTTTTATGCGAGCGAATGCGTCGCGATGGGTCTACGAGGCTACTCGGTTCGAAGAAGGATACGTGGTTATCGTCGATCGGAAGGCATCTCCGACCGCGAAAAATCAAGCGAAGAAGGTCCTGGAGGTGATTGAGAAGGAATTATCATCCCCGGAGATTCAGGATGACGTGCTATGGAGCCAGGTGGAAGCGCCCAAACACCTACGCACCAACGGCACGTCGGAGAAAGTCGATCGCTACAAGGTGTTTTTGCATATGAAGGACAGTCGATGCGTCGGGGCGTGCTTGACGGAGCGAATCTGGGAGTCACGACCAGTCGAGAAACCATCCGCCCAGCCAAATGGGACCGACTCAGCCGTCACAGCCCGCGAGGAGACGCACCCGGCGATCGTGGGAATTTCTCGCATCTGGACATCCGGCTCGTCCCGACGCAAAGGAATCGCCATGGATCTCCTCGATTGCGTCGTGAGTAATTTTATTTACGGCATGGAGATCCCCAAGGAACAGATGGCGTTCAGCCAGCCGACGGAGAGCGGCAAATCTTTGGCTCAGTCGTTCTTCGGGGACGGCGAGTGGCATGTGTATGAGGAGAACTAAACCGAGGACCGATCTTCCTGTCGACCATACCTGCAGGATCCGTTACAGAGACAAACGGTTACTATTTTCTTTAGGTTTCAATAATAGACGGGCGAGTTGATACCCTTCTTTCTCGGACATTGGATGGCGGGGGATGAATATTGTGATGACCATTTATTCAACTACATTGTGTACCACACAAAGGTGTTTTGTTTTTCTTTTCGTTTCTCTTATTTTTGGGACGGTGGTTATTGCATTTGCCTTGTGCCTGTTATTTTCTTCTTGGGTTTTTGGTTGATTCGTTCTCCTATTGTTGCCTTCGCTGTATCATATATACCTTTTTCCTACTTCCCCTTTTTTTCCCAACTGTCGTTGCCTAACTAACCATCGACCACTCGCATGCTGTCATTTCCGCGATTGATTGTTTTGTTTACACAAAAAGAATGGAAATACGGGGAGAATGTAAACGAGCATACGGAAATCCCTGAGTTATAACTTATCAGAATTGAAGATGAAATGGTACGAAGTAATATGGTAGAGAAGGACCAAGGCCTGCTTAGTTGCCCGGAAGCCGGATGGTCAGCGGCCGTCAAGCACCCTTTCATCCCGCCGACGTGGGCGACTCTTTTCCCTTTCAACCTCCTCGCCCCCTCAATCGTCCTTTGCTCTTATGGTCAGTGCCCTCCGTCTTCACTGCGATGTCTGGATCAAATCCTTTCCGCCCTAAGAAGTCAGAGGGTGAGTTGGACCTGTCATTGCCGGTTTCCTCGAGTATCGACTCTTTGGCCGTTGCAAGGCTGACCATCGTAGATCCCGCAGGGCACCCTTCATCATCATCTCATTCGACCGCTGGGAGTTCGTACTTTTCCGTACCTCCTGTGTATACTGTCCCCGATCCTTCCTTCAATCCGAACGGCATTCCCGACCTCCCTTCTTCCAACCCCACGCCGAGCCACGACGATTCATTGTCCTCGGACGATCAGTCCCTCTCCGACCCCTTCCAACACTCGGACCTGAGTGACGATGATGGACCACGACGAAGACCAGCGTCGATTCCTACGTCAAACCCTACAAACGTCCCTCGAGAGCCCCTCGACGAAGATTTCCGCCGAGCCCGGCAGCCCGGTCTTCCCTCCACCCCTCCTATTTCCGCAACAGCCTTCGAGTCATCTGCTGGGCCACCGGCGAGGACGCGAACCCACGACCAGTTTCCGGGACAGGAAAACGCGAGACCGCTTGGCGGGAACGCGCCCGTGGCCAGCTCGAATGCATCTATCCGGTCATTGACCCCTCATGGCGGGACCCGTACTACTAACAGTAGCGTCACGGACGTATCCCAAACGCCGGCGCATCCGGGCATTGCAAACCTCCCAGGGGTCGGGCGAGATTCCAAACATCTTGCTAGCCGTCCAAGTAACCGGGACAGGGTCCCTCCGCCTCCACCGAAAAGTCACCATGGGAAATTGATCAGTCCCACCTCTAGCACGGCGTCTTCTCTAGCTCAACCTGCACCGGCCAGGCCGACCAACCGCTATTCCTTCCATGGCTCCCCCTCGGAGGCCTCACTTTCGCCTCGACTCTCTCAATCCCAGGGCGACTATTTTGCTGGCCTGGGAGAGAGGCAAGCATCGGAGAGACCACCAGAAACTTTGCGACGGAGTCAATCCCAACACAAACGACCCCCAACGCCACCGCTCGCGCGGCGACACAGCCAGATGAGGCGATCGAAAACGACGCATTCCAAAGCCAATACGTCCCGGTTATCGATGCCGCCTATCAAAGTGGATGTCACCGCCGAATCACCTCCTCCGAGCCCGGGCTCTTGGTCGTTAAACCCGTCTCGAACTCGGGATGCGCGGGTCGACACCTCGTCCTCTGACGAGAACTCTTCACAGCCCCCTCCTCTTTCCATCCAAACTTCGGTGCCGAAATCGTCGACATCGGTGGTAGACACCTCGGCCTCTACGTCGCCTTCCAACTCTAAGGCGACGGCAAATAAAAGGGCATCGCAACAGAACCCTCTGCCCCCTCCTCCACCTCCGCGACGCACACGGGGATCTAGTAATCACAGCAGCGACGACACTCGTTCTGTAAGTCTTCGCTCGGAGAAGCCGGCGGATGAGAAGCCTGCGTTTACACCGGAGCCGTCTAATGCACGCGACATCCTGGCCGACTTGACCCGCCTGCAGAAAGAGGTGGACGACCTTCGCGGCCACTATGAAAGCCGCAAGGCCAGCCACTAATGGAAGGCTGCATGGGTTGGCTTTTCTGGCGAAGCAAGGGGGAGAGGGAGCTAGCCATATGATAAACGTGAGTGGGGAATAACCACTGTCTGAAAGGGGATGGATTATGTTCTTTTAGCATTGTACGTCATGGACAGGATTATGCACGATTTACGATTACTACGCCCCTGGTATTGGATGGAAATAAAGCCACCGTAGTTTTAGATCCATATACATAGTTAGTATCTATAGCTCTCTATCTCTTCGGAGTCCCTGTTCCTACAGTAGTAGAGTAGAGTATAGGTACCTCTTTATAGTAGACCCAAACGGGTGCTGACCAACGCCTCGGATTGGTCACCTGCCGCCCGTGACCCGTGACGTCAGCCGATCCCGTCGTCCCCAAGAGGCTTTTCCCTTCTTCTTTCTTTCCTTCCTCTCGAAAATCCGTAGATCCTCTTAAAAGAATGTCTCAATCGATCTTTCCCTTAGGATCTCAAAGCCAGGAACCCCCCAGAACTGGAAGACGAGAGCGACCTTCTGGATTTTCTACACAGCGCCTAGATCGTCTCGGGTGACGTCGCTTTGCAGCCTCACTTTGTCTCGTTGGTTTCCAACGACTTTAGTTCCAGGACTCCATTCTCCCCCCTTCGAATCTTATTGAAACCAAACCTTAATCACTGTTGTGGAGAGTCTGTCTCGGAGCTATTTTTTCGCCATCTCGCAGTCGAACTTCCCTTTCTTGATCACCTACTTGCTCAGTCTCCCTAATTCGTATAGAATTGATCTTTGCTCTTTACTCTTGACCTGCAGCTTGACTGACCTTTTATTGCGATTCAACGCGGAGTCTTTCTTTAACTTCCAGCTCTTTCGGGAGATCGCCGTGACTGCTATCTCAGTCAATCCCAGTTCATACGTTCTTATCTTATTACCCTTTGTCCTTACCCCTCCCTATTTACCATCGACCAACATTCTCCTCTTCTCACTCACCTCTCTTTTCATCGTGAAATCGAAACCTTTACATACAATTGAGTAATCGCAATCAATCATGACAACCCCAACTTTGATCAATCTGCCTCCTCCGCCATCTGATCCGGTGACTCCCTCGGACATGGGCCCGTAAGGTTGACCCTTTCTTTCGCGTCTTCTTATCCCTACCGTCTTGAAATGATCCGCTTGTACAAAGCCCACTAACCGTAGTTCTTTCTCCGCCGCAGAGGGACCCCGAATTCCGGAACAACCTCCCTCTCCGCTCTGTCCACCACCGCGATCAAGGATGGTCATCAAGGCCAGCCTCTCCCTCACGGTCGTCATGCGCACCATTCACCTTCCACGTCGATGACTTCCACCACCACTCTGGAAGCAGAGCGCGCCGATCGAATTTCTCGCCTGGCGGGGCTAGAACGGGTGGCCACTGCTCGGGCGGGAGGTGCCGCTGCTACTTCCCAACCGACGACTATGCCGCCAACTTCGCAAGCCCCAGGCTACTTTGATAGCAGTATGGGACTGAAGGAGAGAAGCACAGTGGGTAGCGCTAGCGCCACGGGCAGTGTGGGAGCTCGCACGACCTGGGCCAGTAGCAGCGATGCGCCCGATGTCGATAAGATGAGCGAAGATCCCGACGACGGCACTTCCAGCGTAGGCAATATCAGCGAAGGGGATGCCAGTCTGGTCGGGTTTGGAGAAGGTGCCAGCACCATCAGTGGCCCGATCTCGCATTCGGGACTAAACCGCACTGTCTCTGGAGGCCGACCCAACTCCTTGGGTAGTCCCACGGGTCGATCAAACCCTATTGCGTCGCTCCCTCATCTGTCGAGCGATAGCGCTAGGGTATATTCTGCGATGTCACCTTCGGGATCGATCAACCCCGAGCCGGCACAAGATGCTCGGATGGTTGACGGCATGACCTATGACCCGGACGTGGTCGATACAACGGTGAGAACTCCACGACTGGCGACGCCGTCGGATCCAGATGTGCCTGGCAATTTGATTAGCGAGCAACGTTTGGGTTGATCGACGAGGTGGTTCACGGGGCACCGAATAAAACGACATAACAATGCAGTGAAAGCGACAGAAAGAAAAACAAAACCAAAAACAAAAGAAAGAAGGAGAAGATGAACAAAAGGTGAAATAGGCGTTTACTTGAATGATTTCAGGAAATTGTAATTTTATGGGGACCAATGGTCGGACACAGAGCTTGGGAAGCCCATATTAGGGCAGGTTGATCTCATGAAATTTGTAGGATAGTAGGGTGTATTCTTATTCCTCACGGGATTGTTTATTTGTTAGTATACGCTTGCTTGAATTGAACAGATGCTCCGGAGAGTCTTTATACAATAGCGTAGTGTCCATAGATATGAACAATGGGCAATGAGTGACAATTTGCGCAGAGCAAGAAGATTCATTTGTTCAAAACTAGCAGGTAAACTAAAGACTGCCCGATTAGCGGTAGATCATAAGGACAGGTGTTTCAAGAAGAATGTCCTTGTGACAGTCTCTACTTATCTCGGGGGGAGGAGGGGGTTGTTTTCGAAGCTTCCCTGTTGTTTAAACTCCCCAACAACACCCTCTTCCTCCACCACCATGCTTCTTCTTCTCCTCTTCCTTCTTCTTCACATCCGCAATTATTTCTCTTTTAACCTTCTATTCCTCCTCCATTTACTATCAATGACAGTTCCACAGCGAAAAGAGATGACAGCCCACTGACATCGCATAACTTTCCTATACAAATACCAATCACATCCAAAAAACTTCCCTAAATAACTAGGACCGCACTCATTGGCCGTATTTCCTTAATTCAAACAGGTCGAATCTATCACTTAGCAGAAAAATTGAGATTCTTTCTCTCCCCAACGAATACTAGAGACATCCTATGATCACTGACGTGTCGATCCGGCACGGCCCCGGTCTGCTGGACTGTTTCTAGGGATGTTGGTTCGAATCATTAGGTTGGGTATATCGATGTTTGATTTCGCTTCTAGACTGCTGTTTTTTTCGGAATCTATTTTGTCTAACAATTTTCAGGGTCCTGTGACGGCGGATGCTATAATACAGGAAAGGGTAGCGGACAACTTGACTGAAGAGACCTGATAAAAAGTGGCGGGCGGGGGGGGGAGTCAAGAATTATGGATTATCAATTCATTCGACCATAATCCTGGACTCTGGTCATCTCACCAAGGCCCAAGGCCTAGAGTATGGAGATCTTTCACGATCCATTTGCTGCTGAGCTCGGAAGAAGGTGCTTTATGGATGAGCCGATAGATGATACTGCGCAAATTCGCGACCCTTCCTCACTTTTACTGTTCAGAAGTCCAGTCTGACTGCATTGAGTGGATAGAACAATGCTCGGCGTTGATTCGCTTTAATGCGGGCGATATTCTTTTGGAAGAAACAGTTCAGATATAATCTCTGATTCTGGAGAACCTCCAACATCGGATCTGCAGATGCTTTGGCGAAAACCATGCTCGGATTGAGGAACCCTTGTGAGTTTTAGAGGAACGGAACGGGTTTCGTTCACATAGAATGGCTTGGAGGAGGGGTTCATCGCCAAGAGCAACATTATCCGTGAGAATGATACAGCGTGCTACTTTCAGAATGGATTGTAGAGAGTCGACTTGGGTTTGGATAAAGTCGACTTCATGATGAAATCGCAGTTGTTGGCGGCGCGGTTATCATCAGTTATCATCAGAAAGATGAGCGAGTTGGTAGTGTTGATCGGGCACATGCCATCCACAAACCCATTATTATCCAGCAAAGCCCTCTCATCTACGGCGCTTTTCTCGATGTAATGGTAATAAACCACTAGAGATACCTTTGGCTGGCCTCTAACGATACTTACGAAAATTCCACTTGCCTGTATTGGGAATGAGTTGCGTCCCCCGTTAGAGCCCTTTGCGAGTCACTAACTCCGCATTCTTATGCGAGCAGCACCGCTCGCGGAGGAAGGTGATTGCAAATTGCCTGTGTACCATAAGTTGACTTTTAATAATCCTTGTCATGACGTTCCATGAAACCCAAAAAAGGCAGTCATTGGTCACTTATCCTGAACCGAGAACCTAACCAAGATGGTCCATTTATCACTGGTTCGCAGTCTTTGTGGTCGGTAGCATACCCGCAATCTTCAGTCCTCGACCTCGAATGCTTCCTGAAGTTGCAAATCATATCGTTCCTTGTCTTGAACCTTGGCATGCAAGAAGGGAATCGCTCCTTCCCTCCAATAGTTCATAGTGGTTCGGAAGAAGTCGCCGTCGTCGATATGTCCCTCTGCAAACCTTGTCTGAATCCGGTCGTAGAATAACTGGTGGATGCCTAAAGGGCTCCGCAGGCAGAGGCTGAACCAGAATGTTCTTTTCTTCCACCCCTTTTCCATGACTGATGACAGGGATGTTGCATGACCGGCCTTACCATGGAATAGATTCTCTTGATCTTGAAGGATGTCCATGAATTCTTCACGGACCTTGCTGTATATTTCGAGGTCTATTTTGTCCGCAGACTGATTTGTCAGCCAGGTCGGAGGATGTAGCATTTCAATTGGACGCGAACACGCCCATTCTAGGTCAATCACGCATTGGACATTCCAGTCGTCGTCAACAAAGATATTACTTGGATGGAGGTCAGTCAGATGAAGGATGAAAGGTCCACGACGATGTTCACGTTGGAAGAAATGGGGGAAGATTGTTTTCATCATTGTCAAGGCCGTAATCTGGTAAATACCGTCCTTTAGATCCATGACTGCATTGGGTTGGTGTTGCATGCGGCTGTCGTGGCAGGAAAGAAGATCGACAACGTAAGAGTCAACCGTTGAATACGTGAAGTTTCGAGGCATATCAACTGGGATATGCTCATTTTCAAGTTCATGGATCTCGGAAGACAGAGGCCGATTTGTTAAACTTAGGTAACCGTTTGCATCAATAACAAAAGACCCGATCCTCGGCAGGGGAACTCGATTAAGGGTTAGAAGGATTTTGCTTAGATCTCGAAAGAGATTCTTTCGCAATCTCTCATCGCCATGACGTTCGTTCCACGTGTTTGAAAGCATCTGGGAATTGTCGATGAAGTCTATCAAGAGATAGCCTGTCCCTGGACCACGAGGGATATGGATGGAGTGCGGGACATATCGCGTTGGGATCTGGTACCCAAAGAATGCTAGTAATCGGCAGCGGAGGTAATGAAGACATCGGGTAAAAAAAGGCATGTTCTCAATAGCTGTGAACTGGCCGTAGTTAGTGAATCTGCGATATTTTATTGATCTGTCCTTACTTACACATTGACCTGTTGATAGCCCAAACCCATATAGGCGTGATACAGGAATGGAAGGCGTCCTCTGTTGCAGCCATGCGTATGTCCCAGCCTCGCAGCGAAGCTTCTCATCTGCATTGCCAGGTCGGAAAGCTTCACCAACTCGGTAAGGTAGCGGAAATCTGATCAGTACCTTTTTCTTACTAACTCGTCCAGGTTCGTCTATTTTCACAGGAATACAGAGATTGAAGCTTCCGTGCAGCCATTCTTCAGGCTGGGAAACTTGACAGGTGACCCCTGGACGAAGGTTTAGGTGATGAGATACAATAGTCTTAATCCAGGGACGGTGTTGATGGATATGGTTAAGAAACTCGTTCCTCTGAGGCCTATAGGTCAACTTGTGCAGGATATTACTCTGATCCTCTTTGGCAGCGGAGTATGTGATCTCCTGTTGTAGGAGTTGAAGGGTTTTCGGCATCTCTTGCTTCCTGATTGTGACATTAGGGGTGATATAAGAGTAAGTTAATTAAATAAGTAACTCTTGGCGTAGGATCGACGCGGCCCGCGACGAAAGGCGGAAAGACAAGGCAGAAATAGAGCCAAGAATACCCGAGGGCGGTGAGACCCGTGCAACCAGTCAGCGGGGCAGAAACGAGCTGGACAATAAACCTTTTGACCTTCGATTCTTGCTCTCTCTTTTCTCTTCCAACGCTCTCCTCCACCACCTTTCTGCACCTCCCCCACCCGCAATCCTCCTCCGCCTTCAGTCTTCCTTGTCTCACTTTTTGCTGGCATTGACTTGTCTAGCATCGAGGATTCTCTGGGAGACCCGACTGCTTCTCCAATTTGTCTTCGTTGTCACTCAACTCCGTCGGTTTCTTTGTGTGGGCGCCGGTCTTTGCTGCGTCAGACAAACAACATCTCGCCACGCATCGCCCGCAGTTTCAGAACGCTACCAATTCGGTCGGTTGTTATTCTTCTCTTTCGTCCAGTCTCAACCGTTTGGCACACGTTCGTCCAGACGTCATCTCTACAAGTTACACCTGAGTTTCTCGCGGCATCGCCACCGGTTTTATCATCTACCGCCGGGTTGCATCCCACTCAGTACCTTTCAAGAGACCGGATTCGCTGAAGTCCTGGAACATTGCATCTGCACGCGCACGTCCCACTTCGACCGTGACTTTTTTCGACATCAGAATTTCCACAAAACAGAAGGCTAAATAAGAGTCAATATGGCCGCTCCTACACAGTTTGCTTGTATGTTTCGCCTCTTTTTCGCGCTTCCTCCCTTCCCACTGTTCGAGTAGGGTTCGAGATGAGTTCGAGTCATTCGTGCTCAGGTACCCGATTTGATCGAGGACGAGTCGCTGATCTACCTTGAATTTTCGCAGACCGAAGTGTTAAGGGCATTGGCATCTTTGATGCAGCTCCCGTTTATGCGCCTTTGTCGGGGTTCGAGAAGTATGCACAGCCCCGTATCTGCGTTGGATCTTATCGATCTCCTACATGAACAATGGACTGACCTGATTGTACCCAGACCTGAAGGCAACCTCCGTTGCAGTGCCTACTCGCCATGCGGTCGGTATTTTGCGTGGGCGTCTCAAGACAAGTACGTATACGAGCGGACCTCTTACGCGAAGACCCTGTGACTGACCAGCTCTTAATAGGGTTACCATCGTTGATCCTTCCGTCGGTCATATCATCACGAACATCCCTGCCGACAACGTTTTTGAACTGGGATTCTCGCCGCTCGGAACCTACCTGATTACCTGGCAGCGCCCCACCAAGGATGCCAATGGTGACGCCGTCAAGAACCTGAAGGTTTGGAAGGTGGTGGAGACGCCTGCCGACAGCAATGGAGACGAGCACACGATCGTCGGCAGCTACGTTCAGAAGTCGCAGACAGGCTGGAACCTTCAGTACACGTCTGATGAGCGTTTCTGCGCTCGTGTGGTCACCAACGAGGTCCAATTCTACGAAAGTGACAACCTGTATAAGGTTTGGAACAAGCTGCGCGTGGAGGGAGTGTCCGACTTTGCCCTCTCGCCCGGAAAGAACCAAGCCGTTGCCGTTTTCATCCCCGAACGCAAGGTTAGTGGTGGACCATGTTACGATGGCTCGTACCAACATATGACTGACCTATCTCGTTTTGCTCATAGGGACAACCGGCCGCCGTCAAAGTGTTTATGGTGCCGCAGTTCGGAGCGCCCGTTTCGCAGAAGACCTTCTTCAAGGGCGACAAGGTTCAGCTGAAGTGGAATGCCTCCGGTAACACCTTGATTGTGCTTGCGCAGACCGATGTCGACAAGTCTGGCAAGAGTTACTACGGGGAGACTACGCTTTACCTTCTGGGTGCTAGTGGAGGATTTGATTCTCGCGTGGACTTGGGTATGTAGTCTTCGAACCCTAACGGTATCCCTGCACGAGGTACTAACTTATGATAGACAAGGAGGGTCCCATCCATGACGTGACCTGGAACCCCAACTCGAAGGAATTCGGCGTTGTGTACGGCTACATGCCGGCCAAGACCACCATCTTCAACTTCCGTGGTGTTCCCCAGCACAGCTTCCCTCTGGCCCCTCGAAACACCATTCAGTTCTCCCCCCATGGTCGGTTCGTTCTCGTGGCTGGCTTCGGAAACTTGGCGGGCCAGATGGATCTGTACGACCTCGACAAAAACTACCACAAGATCGCTACCGTGGAAGCATCGAACGCGAGTGTTTGCGAATGGTCCCCTGACGGCCAGTTCATTCTGACTGCCACCACCAGCCCTCGGCTGCGAGTGGACAATGGCATTCGTCTCTGGCATGTCAGCGGGGCTTTGATGTACAACGAGGAAATGAACGAGCTTTACGATGTGTGCTGGAGACCTCAGTCGACCACCCAGCACCCTCTGACCGATCCATTCAACCCTCTCCCTGCCCCCCACCCCTCGGCTGCCGCGTATCTCAGTACCCGGAAGGCACCCGTCAAGCCGGCTGGTGCGTACCGCCCTCCCGGCGCTCGCGGTCAACTGACTCCCTTGGCCTTCAAGCGAGAGGACCAGGGCGGTGCCGCCTATGTTCGGGATGGCGCCAACGGCCTTGCTTCTCTAAACGGATTCGGAAAACCCCGGAGACGCGAAGTGCCGGGTGCCGAGGAGTTCCTTCCTCCGGGAGCCGCTCCTGGTGGAGGCGTTGCTCTCCCCCCTGGTGCCGACCAGCCCGAGAAACTCTCCAAGTCGGCCGCGCGGAACAAGAAGAAGCGTGAGGCGAAGAAGGGCAACCCCAACGGAGAGGACGGAGACGCGGCACCGCCGGCACGCAGCCCGGACCGCCGCGGCGACAAGGGCCACGAGCGCAGCCGCTCCAAGGCCAAGAACGGCAACAACCAAGCCAATGGCGCTGCGCCTCCGGCCAAGGCAAATGCCAATGCCGCTGCTGCCGCCGCCGCCATCGAGGACGCCGCAGGTGCCCCCACCGCGCAGGAAAAGAAGATCCGTGGACTTCTGAAGAAGATCCGGGCGATCGACGAGCTGAAAATGCGCCTTGCAGGCGGGGAGAAACTGGAAGACACGCAGATGAAGAAGATTCAAACCGAAGATTCGGTGCGCAAGGAATTGAATTCCCTCGGATATACTGGATAGAGAATGAGGGAAACGGGTGAAAAGGCCTGTCTGGCTTTTCTAGGATATCTTCCTCAGGCCGGTCTCATGCTGCATTAGAATTTCTTGTCTGGATCTTGTTTGTATGTTCATTTTGTCTGTCATTTCTCTATCTAGGCTGTACATATAGTCTGCCAATTCTGTTGCTATCTTTTTGGTTCTTTGGTCAACTCCTTATCATCTAGAAACAAAACCATCCCCGGCGACAGAGTTGAGGTATATGTGCTGTATATACATTGGATAAACAGAAAAAGACGAATACATATATAAGAATATCAACTAGGGTCATATACCTAACCAAATGATTAAAACCCATCCATAATCCCCCCCTCCCTCTCCCTCTCCTGCCTCTCCAAATTCGCCCTCCACCACCACCGATGCGTCTCATCCATCTCGTCCGCAGGATTCTCATGCCACGGCTTCTTCGCGAAAATGTAATGCACGTTCTTGACGCTCTCATCCCGCCATATCGCATCGTGCACGCCTTCCCACCGCAGCGTCTTCAGCGCGTTATACACGTACGGCAGCGCCACCCATCGGCCACGGAATACGTCCGAGAGGAGCTCCTGGTCTGGGAAGTCGTAGTGGTCGGTCCGCGAGGGCGTGTTCATGGTTTCGGTGATGAGGGAGAATGTGTGTGGCGAGGGGACGGCGACTAGGAGGCCGCTGTTTAGCATTCCGACGCCGGTCGAGGAGGGCGCGCCGTGGGTTTGGGCGTGTGTGGGGTTGGTGTGTTGCGTCGTGAAGGCGCAGTTGGCGGGTATCCTATTTCCCTGTTTGTTAGCATCGAGTATAGTGTGGTATATATCTGGGACAGATCATTAGGCGTTGGGAGAGAAGACTCCGTATAGGATCTCACATCACATCCCAGATGAAAGACCCGCGGCCCAGGAATAACATGAGTGAGAGGGCAGGGAGAATCCATACCAAGACTCTGGATAATGCTCCTTCTTCAACGGATTACACGCGCAAGCATGACTAGCTGCAAAGACCCTCGTCCCTTCACCCTCCCCTGCACCATCCAACTCCAAATCCATCAACTCATCCATATTCCTCCTCACCAACATATCCCCATCGAGCAGAACGACGCGCTCATACTGCGTCAACGAAAACACAACCAGCTTCGTCCACGTCTCCGCGAACCGTGGATCATGCGAATACACCCTGCTACTGTTTCCAGGCTGGAGGTTCGGGACGTGTTGTGTCTCGATGCCGCGCGCGTGCAGGGCCGCTAGGCCTTCGGTGGGGAAGGAGGAGGTGTAGAATGCGACGAATGGGTAGGCGGTATTGCTGGTGCGGAGGGAGTGGGAGAGTGTGAGGAGGCCGGGGAGGTAGTCGAGGTTGGTTATTAGAGAAGCCCAGACTAGATGGGATTCATGATTAGTGTTGCTTCTGGTTATTTCGCTGTTGTTGGGTTGGGTCTAGATTGAGGGGTGGGGGAGAAGCGGGGGGTGTATTGTGCGCTGGATGGGGATAGGATGAATTGACATACTGCGTTTCGGGGGGTTGGATTGAGTCATTCTGAGTACTGGTCAATAAGAGGAAGATCAATTGGAAGTTGCTTGCTTTATCACCGCATCGTCGGCTTCAGGAGGATTAATAAATAACTAAGGCGGGGGACCTCCGATTGCGATTCTTCCGATCTTATCGGGGAGATTATGTAATGAGATCTAATCTCTCCGCATGGAGGATCACGTGGAAGGAAGGCTGCATTTATAGATTCGAAACTAGTCGGGTCTGTTTGTATACCAGTTTATGCAGCATAGATGTCTTTTCGTCTATTAATCTACTCAGGAACTCTACAGTATGTTCCCGTTTACTCCTGTTGTCCATACCCCCTATAACTCCGAGTTGGCTGTTGTCCATCCCCTTTGATACTGCCACTGATGTAGACTTGTCCAGGACAGACCGTGAGCCCCCTGCAGTTGGACAACAGGGGTCATAGAGTCTATCCCGCCGAGGCAGGACTGATCAATGGCACCACAAACGGAAAGTCAGACAGATGATCCAACACGTGTTAAAAGGGTTTGACGGTATAAACCGCCAGGTGGCTCAACAGAGTCCAGCGAACTGGATTTGACGGGAAAGGCTCAGGGCCCATTGATATATCGCATCCGATACAGAGCTTATCCCTTCCGAAGAAAAGGATTTCAAGGCATGGTCCTCGCCTTGCGCTCCACCTTGCAGCGCGAATGTGAAAGCATGAGGAAGAAAGGAAAGGGGATAAAAAGGAGCGGCAGAAGACTTGGAAGATTTTCAAATTTGGGTATCTTTGGATCGGTCACGTTTCCATGTTTCATCTTACATTCACAACCATCTCTAGATGCAATATGTCATAGGCCCTAAGTATCGCCGAGGAAGACCTTTGATCGGCGTTTCTCGGTCAAATTATCACAACGCATATCACGCGCAAACAAAAAGACATACTGTTGTCGAATTCAAAGTAACGACCCTAGCTCATGTAAGCGCCCCGGGAGACGAAATTAGGCTGGCAGATAGTGCTGGCCTTGACTTATCGAACGAAATTCTATGAAAAGACCCGTGGCCGCTTGGTAGGACTTCCTAGGCGCAAAGACCGATTGCCACCTGCCATGCCGCTTAGAAGTCGGTCCATACCTTCCACGTCAAGTTCGCCGCGGCGAAGCATGACCTGGTCGGTTTCGACGGTTGGTGTGCGACTCGTGGACAGCCGAGAAATCGGGGCAGGCTCAGGTTCTTTCAATCTGGGAGCGAGAATCGTGATTCGATGTTCGGCGGTAATGAGTATGTCGAAGCTGTCGCCCTCAGACTCGCGGTTATGGCGGGAGGCAGCGGGAATATGTCCGATTCCCTTCAGGCGTTCACCCATCAAGAAGATATCCTGAATGGCAGAGACTCGGCAGCGGTTGGACGCATCAAAAGTTCCGGTAGCATTCACAGCGTTCCGCCATAGCGACAGGAGACTCGGGATTGCCGCAGCCTGGTTGCCGTGACGCAGCAGAATTGATTCGTCAGGCAGAGAATCCCGATAGGAATTGGTCTGATAAACCGAGATCTCGCCGCATAACGATGGGCTGGTCGAGCCAACTGTGGCGCCCTTCAGTAGCGTATCTTCCCGCACGCGTTTAGTGGACGGTGTCAACGGCGCAAACTTTGGCCTCTGTTCAACAAAAGAACCGTTGGCCTCAGCCCGACTTCCTCCAGATAGCGGACTCAGAATACGTCCGCTGACCGAAAAGGCAGTCAGCGAGCCGCCTGATACACCTTGCACGCTGGACTGACGCTGAAGAGGCCCCTTGGCGGTTCCTGGTCCGGCTCCTTCGATGTCCCACACTCCCCAATCGCCATCAGCCATAAGGACCATCACAGCACGCCCTCCGAGAACCCATTCCGCGTGGATGATTGTTTTGCGCTGCGCGGAGAATTGCTCGAATCCAGGGTACAGAGTGATCAGCCACTTGCCTTGCGTCTCGGACGTTTCAAAGTCGATCTGAGGACCGGACGACCGTCGTGAGGCCTTGGATGGCTTCGTGGAAAAGCAGGAATAGATCTTGACACACCCGGTATGGAACGCGACGAGCAGTGTCGAGTGTCGAGGGGATGGATAGGAGGATGGGTTGAACGAGATGCTCTTAGCCGGGGTTGGGAGGTAGCGACGTCTGGTCTCAATTTCGTCATCACGGAATCGGTAGGCTCCAGATTCTTCCGCGATGTGGATGCGATGTAATATAAGCAGACCAGACGATTCCGCGGAATGGGTCGCTACAAGAAGATCCCATCTGCCCGTCTCCTTGGGTCGAGATGCAGCTCGGCTTCGCGTCCTGGGCTGATCCTCCTTCTGTTCGTTTTCCTGATATGTGAATGTGATGCTCACCCCTCGAGGGATCTCTTGATGTGATACACCTCCACTGATCGAGAGCGTTTGAACCCACGAGGCGACATCGGTTTTAGAGGGGTGGGGTGGCGTCAAAGGCAGAGCGACAATCCGAGTCGAGTAGTCTGCGCAAACAGCCGCGATTACAATCGTATCCTTCAGAACTGGAGGGAAAGGATCAAGTGACGAGCGTGCGGTCTCGGGAACAATGTGAGGCACAGCCAACTCGAGAACTCTGCTTGCAAGGGGAATATCGATTTCACGCAGGAGCCCCTCATACGGGTGGGCAGGGTCAACCTCCGGTTCTTCGTCCTCGAATTCAAAGGTTGGAGCTTCGTTTTTGGAAGGTTCGGCAACATCTTCTTCATCGGAATCAATGATCATGATCGAATCGTCCGCGTTACCGTTAACTTGAGGCTTGTGGTTGTCGGCCGGTTGCTTCAGCGCGCCGAATGCTTTGCCCCCTCTCCAAACAACTTTCAGACCATTCTCGTAGCCGTATACTATGACTGATGACCCATTAGGGGCGAGGACCGGGTAGCCTTTGGCTGCGTAAACACGGTGAGGAAGCTGATAGCTGATAGAGGAAAGAACTCCCTATTAGTGCTGCAAAACTCTATAACTTATGCCGAGATTCATACCTTAGCTGGAGACCAGTGTCCCTGGGACGGACCAAGGGTCTAGATGGAAAGGAAGGCATTTGGAATGGATGATGGCGCTTGGTCGATCTTTGCTGAGCACCGGGGAAAAAGGGAAGGGAAAGGGCGAACCACAGTTCACCCACGGTGTTAAGCCCCAGGAAAAATGGATAATATCAATTAAGTGAGAGACAGTTGCGGATTCGTGCCAGAAGAGATTTTCCGTGGTCCGGTCGATGGAAAACGCCGGTTAACAGTGAGGTGGGAGAAAGTGAGATGTTGTTTTGGGAGGGAAAACCGACTGACTTGCGGAGGAAAGAAAAAGCAGCTGATCCCAAGCTTCCGTCGCCGCGTTTCGCGCGTCCACCCACCACCGAGTATTCCCATTCCACTTCCCCAAAGCTACGCCGCACCGTCACCCCCGACTCGATTTGATTTGGCCGCATGAACTGACAATGGTCATGGGTGCATATCCTGGCTTCCAGTGCCAGAGATTCTACAATTACATCTAAGCGTTCGCGCCGACAATGGCTACAGTTCGTTCCCTTGGCCTCCACGAACCCTCGGCCGTACCGTTCCTCGTCGCGGAAGGGGTCCTCCCTACGGATCCATCGGAGGACCTTTACGAATGGACAACATGTGTTGAAGAGGGCCCGGATGGCCTAGTGGAGGACGAGCTTGCTTGGACAAAGAGCTGCGTGGTCTGGTCTCGTGCGGGGGTGGTAAAGAGGGTCTTTCGGCTGGATCTCGAGAAAGAGGAGATCAGACACGCCCTGTTGACCTATTTTTCGGTTGGGAAGATAAAGAGATCTGACGAAAAAGTTCCACAATATGTGGGAGGAGGAAGAGGAAAACACCGAGCAAACAACGACCCTGGCCACAGTCGCGGTTCGCATAGCCCACTTTCTTCACCCGGCGAGTCGAAGGTTGCAGCCTCGGGGGTGACCTTGAGCGTCCGTGGAAGGGGAACCCAAGATGGCAACTCCGATGAGAAGACCAGCACGCTGTCGCGAGCGTTGGTGGTTGTGCTCAAGTCGCAGGCGCACATATTCTTCCTAGCGGGCAACAGCCATGTTGTTCCTCTACCCTTTGAGGTCGAGTCAGTTTTCGCAACACCCCGAGGTTTGTTGTTCCAAAGAAAAGTGCAGGAAGAGGATAAAAATAGCAAGGAACCCAGTTTCTATCCAATGGCTCCACCCAATTCGTTTATGTCTTCTCAACCTACACTTACGGACTTTCGCACCTCCCAGTCTCTGGAAGTACCTTCGGGTAAAGCCAAACGCCCTTCGTTGACGATATCCCCTATTCAAAACACTGGCTTGAAGCCGCGCTCCCCTAAACATGCGAATCTTCCCAGGGTGTTCTCGCTCATGGACCCCCATTCTGAAATGGGACTCGTGGTAACCAACCAGACGTCGCGCTGGCTCCAGGCCAGTAGCTTGAACAGCAGGTTTTCTGGGTTTGATACCCTGGATCCTGCAGATGAGATAGTATATGTTTCTCCGAAGGATGAGCTTTCTCACTCGAGCCGAAGTCTAGCCACTGGCCCTTTGATTATTGTGATAACTGTCAATGTTAACACAGGGCTATATACCATCTGGACTGCACGATACAGGGAGGATGAAACAGCTCAGCCCTCTCAAAAGAAGAAAAGACGAGAAACAGGTACTCGGTCAAAAAGACGAAGCTCTCACTTTGGGATGACAACCGGAACAACGACCCCCGGAGCTCGCCCATCTGCCACTCGGGAGAGCCTGGGAGCCAGGGGCGATGAGTGGAGCACACCAGGTCTGTCGCAGTCCCAATACTCGGTCGAGGGCAAACCAGACGAAGATGATCTGGCCTCGAAACTGGGACAGGATTTTGGCGATATCGGGGTGCCATTGAAAACTTCGCGAAGAGTGAGCTCTTTGCTTGCCAGAGCCGATCTTGCAGCCGGTCCGGATAGGCTTACGTTTTCCGATCTTGCAACGGGAAGTCAATCGAGCTCTATCCCTCATGGAGGTCTGCGGCAGTCGATCGGTGCTGGTAGAACGCGTGGCAGCTTTGGCTTCAACCCACGAGGTTCTCTGCAGACGGGAAACGGTTCCGTCTATAGCGCCACAAGCAGCTTTGTTGATGCCCCTGTTGATAAACTTCTACAGGAGTTAAACGATGATACCCTGTTTGAAGGTTTCGAGAACATGGATCTGAAAGAATCTGCGTCAGGCCTTCCCGAAGAGGTTTTCCTGTCCAAGGTCGAGAGTTTTTCGTCTCGATTCTCTGGTACCTTTCAGACGAATCAGACCAAGTGGTCCCGACGTCTGAAGATCATTACCCTGTGTCCCTCTGAAACCGGAAATGAGCCCAATGGAAATTCAGCTACTTTGGCCATTTGCGTCGTGGATCAAGAAGCAAAATCCATGTCCACTATTAACTTGAGGGCGGACAAGGTTACGCATCCCAAAAAAGACACCCTCTTTAAGAAGACAAAAAAGAAATCGAGCTCCGAGACACGCTCTCTCGTGGTACAAGCGACTGGTATCCAGCATTTTCCCGGTGTACACGATGCCTGCAAGATTGTTGATGGAGAGGTTTTGCGAATCTTGACCTTGAGCACCGGGGATAAAGGGAAGTCCGAGCTGTGCTTACAGACTCCATGGACAAGCTCTATTCCAATCGAGATTCCTAAGAATCTCATGTTATACGATACTTACGGTATATCCTCTAACGCATTGAGCCGCCCGAGAGAAAGTGGCATGAATCGTATTATGACGGACTCGTCTATCGCAATATCCCGAATTGACCACCCTTCCACCCAAGGGAAGGTCGATCTAATCGACTCCCTGGGAAGAAGACACAAACTTCAGATTATGATGGAGCCTCATAACGAGCTTGTGAAGGCTGTCTTCAAAGTTTTCCGGTTCATCTTGCCCGATTCTGAAAAGGCTGGGGAAGGAATATTGACCGCCTGGTGGGAAACCGTGAAATGGCTTCGCGGAAGGGAGATAAACGAGTCGGATATAGAATGGACTGGCTTGGTCATTGTCTTATTTTCGATGGCAGTGCCGTTCATCGAGAACGATCCCGCACAGATGCCTGCAAAGCCCGTTAGAAGGAAGAAAGGATTGTTGCGCTCAAGTAGCGGAAGCTATGTCGACCTAGAGAGCTGGGAGTCGATGTTGGATCAGGAGTCAGGTTATGCCGGAGTCGTCGCCCCTTGGATGACCAACAGCTCTTGGGGATGGATTGTCGAGCAAGATGCCGAAGAAGATCAGAGTGCGAACTCCGGCAAAATGACCTCGAAATCCGAACAGCAGGGCAAAAGCCGATCCACCTATCGAAAAAACACCTATTTACTTCGCTGTGCAGCCTTGACTCGGCAATTCCTACAGACGCCCGAGGGCGCGGCGATAGTGGGAACCGATGGCCATCTGCCAACAGCACTTTCATATAGCCAAAGCTCACGTCGCGCTGCTCTATGTACGATACTTGTAGGATTGCATCTTCTCCGAGAAGAGCAGAAGCTTTCGATCTGCGAAAGCGAGCTGTCGCACAAATCTCTAGGGCTTCTCGCCCCTGTTTTGGCTCAGATCGGCGGGTGGCTGGGGTGGAAATCATGGACTTGGGCCGAGGACTCCTATTATGGCATGGAGATATCCAGCATCGACCGCTGGGAGTTTGAGAAGACTCAAATCTCCACGCTGGACGTGCCCTCGGAGCCGTTCCAGCCCCCTTCGATCTTCTCTCACGTGGAGAGTGCATGGCGACAACATTCATCACGGTTCCTTACACTTCTCAGCTTGGTGACTGCATCCGAGCGGACGTCTCGAAAGGGACGCCTGTGGCAAGAATGCTTTTCTCTAACCCCAAGGACCCTGGCGTTGGATGGCTTTCTCTCGGAGGTGCAAAACCTGTCGACAGCATTCCAGCGCATAAAGCTTCTCTATCGCTGGGGGTTTACCCGAAGCATCATTGAGACATTACCCGAAGGAGTCAGCACTCCATTGTACGAGATTATCATGAAGTCACAAATGCATGCTTCAACGTCGTGGAGTTCGACGCTATTAGAGCTTATCGATCGAGAAGATCTGAGCATCTCGATGCATACCAACAACCACGGCCCCCCGTCATCGCCATTGCAGCCTGTTCTGACCCACGAGGCCATGCGTGACTTCCATCATATCGGAAGTTCGGCGTTGGATATCGACGCGATCAATTCGTTCGAGGCTTCAGCCGAAGCGGATAGGTTCTCCGTGACGAGGTTGATCTTCCGTGAAGACAAGCGTTTCATCGAGGCTGCTAGGTTGCTAAACCAATCAAAGGCACCCATAGCAGAGTGTGCCCCCGAACCTGAATGGACCGATTCGGACCTTCTTGAAGCACAGAAAGAAGTGGTGCAGCTTGTGACGTTAAGAACCCTGTCAATCCCCACTGGTCGGGCTATGCTCGCTTTCAGCGGACGTCTGCCTCTGTTGACCGAGAAGCTACCGATTCCGTCCTTCTCCCTACAGTGTGTTATGAAGCCATCCAATGTAACTGTCAGTGCCGACCGGGCTGCGTTCAGCGAGGAGAAAGTATGCTGGGCGTTTTTCCATAATGGCGTCTCAACCGGACTTGCCATATCGCGGAACTCCAAGGGAATAGATACATCGTGGATCCTCTTCAACAAGCCCCAGGATCTAACTAACCGGCACGCCGGTTTCTTGCTAGCACTTGGTCTCAATGGACATCTCAAATCATTGGCCAAGTGGGTTGCTTTCAAGTATTTGACACCAAAGCATACGATGACTTCTATTGGGCTGTTGCTTGGACTATCGGCATCCTATCTTGGTACAATGGATACCCTGATCACTCGCCTGCTGTCGGTACATGTTACAAGGATGCTGCCTCTCGGTGCGGCCGAACTCAATCTGTCCCCGCTGACGCAAACTGCGGGAATTATGGGTATTGGGCTGCTCTATTGCAATTCTCAACATCGCCGAATGAGTGAAGTCATGTTGTCGGAGATCGAAAATGTGGAGCAGGAGGACGGGTCTCCATCATCACACGGAGACCTGCGTGACGAAGGGTACCGCTTGGCTGCTGGTTTTGCGCTTGGGTTCATCAACTTGGCCAAGGGCAAAGACCTCAGAGGTATGCGAGACATGCACATCGTGGAGAGGCTACTGGCTGTCGCGGTGGGAACCAAAAATGTCGATCTGGCTCATATACTCGACCGGGCTACTGCGGGCGCGACGATCGCCTTGGCCATCATCTTCATGAAGACCAATGATGAGACTTTGGCACAGAAGATCGATATCCCAGACACAACCATTCGTTTTGACTATGTCCGGCCTGACTTGTTCCTGCTTCGCACCCTTGCCCGGCACGTCATTATGTGGGATAGAATTCAAGCCAGCGATGAATGGTTTATCCAGAGCCTGCCGAAGGTTTACCGTCGGCGTTATCGCCTGACCGGTGTCCGCCGCTTGAAGAGCGACGACATGCCCTTCTTCAACATCATCGCCGGTCTTTGTTTCACCCTTGGTCTCCGCTACGCTGGTTCCGCGCAGACGACAGTGCGAGATCTCCTTTTGTCCTATCTAGATCAGTTCATCCGCATCTGCAGACTCCCCGTTGTAAATTATGATGGCAAGCTCGCGCGGAATTCGGTTCGACACTGTCAGGACGTTGTTGCGCTTTCAGCAGCGGCAGTGATGGCAGGAACTGGAGACTTGGCAATGTTTCGTCGCCTGCGCTCTCTGCATGGTCGTGTAGACACCGAGACGCCTTACGGCAGTCATATGGCATCGCACATGGCCATCGGCTTATTGTTCTTGGGTGGAGGGAGCTACACTCTAGGCACGTCCGATCTGGCGATCGCCTCACTCATCTGCTCCTTGTATCCCATTTTCCCAACCACAGTGCTTGACAATAAATGCCACCTCCAGGCCTTCCGCCACTTGTGGGTACTTGCTGCCGAGCCTCGCTGCCTCGTGCCCCGCGACATTGATTCTCGACGTCCTATTTCCATCCCGATCACAGTGACAGGTTTGGACGGTGACAGTCGCAAATTTGCCGCGCCTTGCCTGTTGCCCGACTTGGCAGGTATTGCTAAAGTGGAGGTCAACAGCGCCGACTTCTGGCCTCTGATGCTTGACTTCACCAGCAATCCCATCCTCCGCGAGAAATTCCGGCTCGGCGACCAGTCTGTCTACCTCCGACGCAAGACCAATTACAACCCCACAGGTTCATCCGTGTTCGTCTCAACCCTCGCCGGACATGGAGAGGCGCAGGACGTGCTTCCGTCCACTACCTCGATATCGAACCAAGGCAAGGGCTTGCCACCGGCAGCGTGGCCGAACCTGAACGCACTACTCGCGTCAGGCGCCGTCAGCCGCACGCCTCCATCACCTGCACAAAGCATGTGGGAATGGGTGTTCAACCTGAAGTCTCTCCAGGGACTAGACGCCCGCGAAAAGGCCCTGGTGCTCCCGGCGTCGTTCCCCGCACGCGCCCAACCCTCGCACCAGAGCACAGTGTCGTATGCGCCCTGGCTGCGCCAATCCGCGGTAGACAGCAGACTCGTGATCGAAAGTACCGCCCAGAATATGATCCAAGCCATGTTAGGCCGCGGCGCGAATCCCGACGAGGTTCGCGATCGCATATGGCAGCTTCGACTCCTGTTCAGCTGGATTGAAACCGAGTCGAACGAGCGGGCTCGTATAACGGACGAGGAGACGGAGGGATCGGGATCGGGGCCGTCGAGACAATCGGATAGCCCGTGGCTCAAACGGGACTTTCTAGAGGAAACACGTTGGAAGATCTGGGGGATTCAGGTCGGGGATCATGCTTAGTCTTTGCTTGTTCTGATCGTTGTGCAAATCTGTACTATGCGTGTCCACTGTGCTTGAGAATTATGATTACGAATAGGGGTTATGGTATGTCTTGTACGGGTAGATTAATTATATTAATGCCTAAATGAACACGTGCATTATGTTAATCGTCCAATGGTTCAATTGAGAAACCGACTTGATTCATACTTATAAGATGGGTCATTTCCATTCATCACGGTAGAACTTGGTACTAAAATAAACAGACCATCCCATGCGCCGTCCGTCGCCAGACCTGCCGAGTAATCCACATTTGATTTTAAAATAGATATTAGAGAAAAGGATATGCCGCAAAGCAAAATAAAGATCCAAGGTGAGAGAAACTACTGCGATCGAAGCTCTCCCTCCTTCAGAATGCCTCGATCTCCACCACCCCCAGACTGCCAGAGCCAGACTCCCTCGACGGCCCAGGCAGTCGCACTTGCATGACGACCGATACCGCTATTAACTCCAGACGGACCCTGGTCTTGCTTTTGCTCCTTGCCTGCACGCTTCGTACCAGCTGATGAAGCGCCGTCTGCCTCGGCCAGCATACCGGGAACGACACGCTCTTTCTCAATGACGGCCCATAGTCCCTCGACCAGCGTGCTGCCGCGTTCTCCGAGCTCGCCTTTTCCGAGACGGAACAGGATCCGGCCGAGCACTTGCCATGCGATGCATCGTTGCGCAGGGAACGAGGAACGGCTGAGGATGGCGAGTTCTGGGATCGTGTACCCGGCTGCGTGGGGGTCGTTGCCGTGGTGGTGGAGGCCCAGGGTAGTGGGCAGAGCGAGCGAGGTGCTAGGGGAAAGAACGGTGCCGCGTAGAGAGAAACGCAGGTTTGCAGGGTGGACGGCTTGGGCGTCGCTGGCGGGGTGGTATGCCGAGTTGGCGTCGGGAGCGTCGGCTTCGGCGGAGGGTGTCTTAAGCCAGGATAGAACGGACGGGTCGTGTGAGATGTTGGGGAAGTAGTGGGTTTGCAGGTCGGAGAGGAAGGAGGGTGATGATGGGTCGAGATTGGGCATGTTGGACGACTGGTTTGGCGGAGTTGGGAAATGGACGGCCCCGTCGGTTGGGAACTCGGATGCTGGGTGCATGTCTTCAGGGATGTGCGTTGGGCCTCGGTCATCTAATGAGGCAGTTGATTTGTTTTGTTGGCCGCGCGAATCTGACTCGGTGTTGGAGGTGGGTTTGGGGGTGGGTTTGGGGCCAGTGTCTTCTCGAGGGGGTGTGGTTTCTTTGGTCGTCTGCGGCGGCGATGCTGCAGCAGGACGGGGCCGAGGAGCAGAAGGTTGTTCTTCCGGGGAGTCAATGCGAGCTCTGCGGAGGAACCTCTCCAGGAGGGAGGTGTCCATCGTTTCCATCAGTTCCTCCCGCTCGGCTTGGATTTGATCCTCCGACATGGCTGCTAGGTGGCGGCTGTTCTCTTGTCCGATTTCCGTCCTCTCATCAACGGGTCCGGACGTCGATGCGGACGGTTGCGGGGCTGTGGAAGCAGCTTCTCGCCGCTGCTTGAAAGCCGACGGTTTGGCGCGACGACGGTGCGCAGGAAATCCGGAGGTGGGAGGCTTTGGAGGCGCGGGGGCAACGGTCGGCGAGCGTTCGCGGATCTCGCCGATCATCCCGGGGATGGAGAAGGAAGAGGGATCCTGAGGATCAATGACGGGGCCGGACTGTTCCTCGTCATCGTCGAGATCCAGCACAAATCGCTCGCCGCGGAACGCCATTTTCAGTCGAAGTAGGGAAGGATGCGACGTTGAAAATGTCCGAAAAGGACCAAGATGAAGCTATCCCGAGGCGGACTAGCGCGGGGTTCGGCATGAGCAGCAAGATGAGTCAGCGTGCGGCTCAAAACCTAAATGGCGACCAACTAGTCTCGATTGGGGGTAGCGCCATCAGGTGATGATTCTGCCGGATTGGGGAAGGCGGGATCATCTGAGTTCCGCCTTTTGATATCAAGACTTTCCAAGTTACACCATCATCTCTTGCAATGCAACAAAAGGACGGCCAGAGGAGGGGAATCCTGTTCAAAAAGAAGTAACACAATCTCTCTGTACCTCTAGGAACAGTTCCCTCTCCAGAGCTCCCTAGAATAGCATCGATACCGACTGTGGACTATCCGTTTCGTGCCCTAATCTTGTAGTTCGTCCTGAGAGTGCTGGGAGGCGTTAAGTTTAGTTGGTTCTCTGATATGATCTGAACAACCGGAAATACCAGAGAAACAGGATATAATTATCTCCTCCTCAGCAGATCGAGCAATTAATCAATTTATTCTTCCATTAATCTATCTATCAATCAATCAGCGTTCTTCCGCTCTCTCCGTCGCCCTCCCTCTGTCTCTCTACTTCCTTTTACTTTCTCTTTCTACCCGGAGCTGCCATCCTTTCCTCCCTTCTCGTCTGAACTCTCTTCCCTCCCTTTCTCCTCCTTTTCCCGTTCGCGTTTTCTTCTCTCTTCCTCCGCGACTTCCATCCTCCATCTTCCATCCAACCCTTTCCCTTCCATCTCGTCCTATGCTCTAATTTCATTTTCTTTCATCTGCGCTCATATTTCTACTTCTTTCTTTCGTTTTTCCTTTCTTTTTTTCTCTTTTCCTTCGGACTATTTCGTGTTGGAGTTCATTCCTCCCCGACAGTTCAACCCTCGCATCGATCCATCAAAAAACCGCGTTCCTGTCGTCCACTCGTCTTCCACCTCGCCGCCTGCCATACCCTCTAGTCTTCTCTATCTCGATGCTCGCACCCTAATCGTCCCTTGTCATCATGTCCCCGGAGCCGTCCGTCTGGCCGGCTCAGGACGATCACCACTCGCGTTCCCTCGCCGCCGCCCAACCTCCTCGTGAAGCTCGCCCTCGACGGTCGCGTCGCAAGAAGGACGACGAAGCAGATCTCGACCGCAAAGACACCAAAGTGACCAAACCCAAGGAGAAAGAAAAAGATAAGGACAAGGACCGAGAGAAGGAAAAGGACAAGGATAAGTCCAGAGAGAAGGACAACAACAAGGAAAACGATAAGGATAAAGACGGGCAGGAGCAGAAGGAGTCGAAACGGGGCAATCGACGCCAACGCGATAAATCCGTGTCTATGTCAAACGCTCATTCCTCGACCAATTCGGCCTCCCATTCTCGCAAGAAACCAAAGCTGGAGGAGACGCCTGCGGAACAGAGGCCTTCCATGCCGGCTTCCACTGCGCCGCCCGCTCCAATTCCAGCTCCCACGGCAGCTCCAGCTCCGCCAGCTCCTACTACTCCCGCGGCCAGTCCTCCAGCTCCTCTGCCGGCCGCCTCTTTGTACCATCATCATCATTATCACCACCACCAACCCCCATCGCACATGCAACAAGGACCTCGCCCTTCGCTGCAATCGTCCGCTTCGCTACCGTCGTCAGCTCACCCCACCCCGGTGCAGTCGGTTTCCTACCATAGTCATACGATGGCTCCGGTAGGGCCGCCCCCGCGCCCTCAATCTCAACCTCCTCCCCCGCCGCCGACCAGGACCAGCGGCCAGAATTTTGACCCCATTCGGTCGGCATTTGACACGGCCACCCCAGCTCCAGCTCCGGTTTCAACCCCAGGGCCTACCTCTACCTTCAGTCCGTCGGCGCGCCCGCCATCACCCCGGCCACAGTTCCGTGCCAGCGCGTCGCCGGCTATCGCCAGCATAATCGATCCCCCTACGAATTCGTCGCCTCCGCTCTATGCTCCCCGGTCCTACGTCTCCCCCGGGCGTGGCAATTCGGCCTACTCTCCCTCGCCGGCTGCCACACCGGCCATCGCGCCCACGCCTCCGCCTCTGTTCCCCCCTCAAGCCCGACCAGTTTCTCCTTACGCTCATCGATCGCCCTACCCGCCTCAGCCGCAACCGCAACCGCAACCGCAACCGCAGCAGCCCTCCCATCAATCTTCGCCCTCCAATTCGTCTCCGCCGGCCCAGCATGCGCCGATGATCCCACCTGCGATGCCCGAGCCTTCGCAACCGGCCTCGTCAAATAATCAGCGGGCGCCGTCGCCCGAGCCAACTCCCATGGACGTCGATGCGGATCGCTCTCCCCCGTCTGCGGTGGCTACAACCCCCAAAAAGGAAAACAAAGCACCTCCCACGGCACCTCCCACGGCACCACCATCGGACCCTACATCGCCGAAGCCTCCCCGCGCGGCAAAGGAAGCTCCCTCGGCGCTACCCCAAGGCTCCGGACTGATCTCCAATGCGCTGTTCGGCATGGGCGACGGCGCATCAACTGACGATCCCTCTTCGCAACGCACGCCCAGTATCATTCTGCATATCCCCCTACAGGGCAATGGCGATCGGATTGTTAATTTCGCCCGTCTAGCGGAGGAGCAGTACGGGTTTGCAGCGCTGCATCCCCGTCTTGCCGCCCACAAGGAGCGACTGGCCCGCGTGGCTGCGGCAGGTGCTGCGTTGGAACGGAACGATAAGATTGGTCGCGGAGTCTCGGCTGGAGAGAGTGCGGACGAGGACCTGAGCCTGGAGATGGATCGGGACAGTGATCTGGAAGGGGAAAGCGCGCTTGGCCCGTCAGCGGCTCGCGCCAACGGGCCCGAGGCTACGGAGGGAAAGAAGAAGCGCCGCAGGAAGAAGATGGAGGAATATGACCGAGACGATCCGTTTGTGGACGATAGCGAGTTAGCCTGGCAGGAACAGGCCGCAGCGAGCAAAGATGGGTTCTTTGTATACAGTGGACCGCTGGTGCCCGAGGGCGAGAAGGTGCAAGTTGAACGGTACGCAATCCCCATCTATGCCACACTTCGTGCTCACATCGAGAGTAATACTAAACGCGTTTGTCTACAGCGCCGACGGCACAATCAAACGTGGTCGCGGCCGTGGACGTGGAGGTCGCGGACGAGGCCCGCCAACCACCCAGCATCAAGTTCCCCTGGCGGCTGCCGTCCCCATATCGCAGGAAACCGGCCTTCCTCTACGCGGTCCCGGATCACGAGGTGGCAATCCGCGCCGTCCGCGGGCCAAAGCGGCTCGTCAACAAACGGAGCAGGACAAATCGAACGGAAATGGGCATACATCGCATGGTCGAGGCGGAGGAGTCGCTGGCCGCGGAGGCTCGATGAGTACACGAGGAGGAAAGACGCCGTCGATGGTCGAATTGGCCCCGCGGCCAAACATAGCGACTCCCCTTTCCGGACCTGAGCACGAACTGGGGACGAAATAATTTCTCTCTCTTCTTTTCTCTGTTTCCGCCCCCTTATTAACACCCTTCTATAACTGTTTCTTTATATCTTGCCCATTTTTTACTATCTTCATTCTGTGTTGACTCTCTCAATCTTCCTGCCGGTGTCGCTGGGATCGAGTGCAGAGAGACAACGCGAAAGGTCTTTCTTGTAGAACGATTGATTGAAACTGCTGTATGGGTGTGACTACAGTTTACGGTGTCTGATTCGATTTTCCCTACTTGGTTCTGTTCTGTGACATGATGTTCTCCTCACGGGTTTCCTACGCTTCTTTGCTTGCTTGCTTGGCTGTTCTCTCTCTCGCCTGGACCGGTGTCGTTTCTGATTTCCTGTGCATGATTCGGTGCGGTGTCAACTTGTATGTTTCTTGCATTGTTTCAGTTTTTTATTGCTCATGTCCTATTTTACTATCTATCTTTCGCGCGGACAAATCTATCCGGGAAATGACTCTACTAGTAGTGTTTGTTCGTGCTGCTGCTGATTTCGACGTCTACATGATATGAAACTCCAGAAATAAAAATTGAACAGAAAAAAATAAGAGAAAAGAAAACGATTCGTAAATTCTGATTCTGTACTTCGTATCGACAGGAGCAAAACCCGTAATCAAACAGACAGATCAAAAAGTGGTGAATTCAGGTCAGATGCAACAAGAGTTTGAGTTCCAGCCTCGCCCGACATCTAACCTCCATTGAGAGAAAAAGACTTACATTGACAAAGCAAAAACAGGGAAGGAAGTATGTTATGAAAAATGGAAACCAACATGATAAACCAGAAAGAGAAAAAAAAAACAAATAAATGAACCAGCGTAGCGTAAAGGTAAAAAGAAGATGGGTCCAAAACTGAACCGAAGAGTCAAGATAAGAGGGAAGAAGACGCCTTTGCCGATGCAGAAATCATCAGGAATGAATAGGTAGATAGATAGGGATGGGTTGGTTAGTTCAGGATCGAGTATTTCGTTAGCTGAACATGGAGAATAAGGCGACGGGGTGGGGGTAAAATGATCACGAAAGCAAAAAAGATCAATCGCTAGTCCTGCAGGGGTGACGGAAATGAGGTATGTTCACTGATAGCCAAAGATAACATTGATATGGCAAATGCTGCATAGATGGAGGCAAGGCAAGGCAAGGCAAGAAAGATCCAAAGCCACTGAATTATACAGCTCCGCGCATCGAACCGGGCTGGCGCTGCCACGATCCTCCGCCCGACGTTGGGACCGGCGGGGGAGGACCGCTGGGAGGTGGTGCTGCGCGAATGGGGTGCGTCGAGGACTGCAGAGGCATGCGCGATTTCGTGTTGTGAGAGCTGGCCGAGCGGGAGCTCATTGAAGGTCGCGAGGAGGAATCGACGGCCGAGATGGGATCGACCAGATGTGCCCGTGACGGACGACGGCCGGAGCGATATTCATCTTCCTTGGTTTCCAGGGACAGGTGCTCCAGCGAGAGAGGCGGCGACCGAGTGGATCGAGAGGGTCGCGGCGACGGGTTCGAAGGATACTGGTAGTGACGGGAATGGGACGAGGATACCTCGGCGGGCATGTTCAATGGGATATCGCCGGACGAGGGGGGATACTGCGGCGTGCGCGAGGAGGATTTGCTGGACACGGGTTTGGTGGCGGCCGGGCTGGGGTTGGGGACGGGCTGCGAGGCCTCCTCCTTGAGCGATTTGGGCGGCGCCGGAGCTAGATAGGATTTGCGGTTGTGTCGCTCCATCATGCTGATAGCCCATTCTTGTAAATCGACGGGCGTGCGCTTCGCCGCCTGCAGGAAGGCATCCTTGTCCTGAATCCGGTCGTTAGCAAAAGGGAATAAACCCACGGTTGTGATCTCTCTCGGGGGCATCATACATATAGTTCTCGAGGCGTCGGTCGCTCCTCGGGCTTCTTCAGTAAGCATTTGGCTGCGAACTCGTGCAGGATGGGAGGGAAGGCGTCGCTCTTGGGCAGCTTGGGGGCCGGCTCATGCACGATTTGCTGCAGAAGATCCAGGATACCCATGGGACCGGCGCTGGCACGGTCTCCGGCCGACGCGTCGGACGCATCGAAGGGGAAGCGACCAACGGCCAACTCCATCACCGTCAATCCCACACTCCAGACGTCCGATCGCACCGTGTATGCACCACCCTGGATACGCTCGGGCGCCATGTAGGTGGAGGTTCCGACGAACGTGTCGGCTATGGAGTTCACGGTCTCGGTAGCCACGCCAAAGTCGCACAACTTGATATTTCCTCGCGAGTTGACGAGGATGTTGGACGGTTTGATATCGCGATGCATGATGCGATGAGCCTCGTACAAATAGACCAGACCCGCCAAAATCGACTCGGTGATCTTGCCCAGCACGTCCACCCGAACTGGACCAAAATCCTTGGATATCCCGTCGAGCGAACTAATCAGATCCCAACAGGTTAGAACCCTTAGTCCTGATATGAGTAGCACCCCGGAGTCCACTTACCCGCAATCCATGTATTCCATACACAGGACGATATCTCGGGCTTCGTTCTGGAAGGCTCCGTAGAAAGTGACGATGTTCGGAGAATTACAGTCATGTCCGACTTGCAGTTCCCGCAATATTTGCTTGCGCACCTTCTCCTTGGCATCGACTCGAATGATCTGCGTTCGTGAGGAGTGAGCAGACTGAAGACAAGACTGGGACGTCGAATCCGACCGCGCGCATACCTTCCTGGCCATCACCACCTTCGTGGACGCATGCATCACCTTGGAGACCGTACCGCCATTTCCTGCGCCCAGTTCCTTCAAGGTCACCAAATCTTCGCTGCGGAGGTCGAGTCGGAACTCCAATCCGATTTCCAGGGTGTCTGTCTGTTTGACCTCGCCGCTTCCGACGGCACCGGAGGCTTGCCCATCACTGTCGGTGCTGGACGAGGGTTTCGGGGCGGCGTTCAGGGCAAGACCCTTGACATTCTTGCGTTTTAACGTACGAGCCTTGAATTGATCGGCCATAGTGATAGGGGGGGAGGGAGGGGAGAAGGAGAGGAAAGGAGAAGAAGGTGAAGAGAGAGAGAGAGAGAAAGCGCGAGCGAGAAGGGGGGACGGGGAGGATGAATGGATGGATTTAAGAGAATAGAAAAAGGCGCCGATAAAAAGGAAAAAGATGCGCCAACGAAACCCCCTGGGCGTGAATTGATGGGACGGAGGTACGGAGAAACTGGGCTGGTGAGACAAACCAGGTGGGTTTATTGGGCGCTGAAAGACGCAGCGGCAACAGGTCGAAGGTGGGGTAGTATTTAGTAGTAGTAGTATTTAGTAGTAGGAGTCCTTCATGAGTAGGTCCGGAGTAGTAGTATTTAGGAGTGGTCCTTCCTGTGAATTCCGTAGGTAGAGGTTCTTCTATCTATTTCCTCTAATAATTATATTTCTACAGTACGGAGTACTCTACTACTAGACACTCTCACAAACAACGTAATCTTAGCGGCATCAATAGTCGGGAAACATGGAACAAAAGACCCCCAAACTATCGATAAACTAGGACTGGGGCGGTGTCAGCATGCAGAACAAACTTTGGTTGAAGTGAACCTTGGAATGACTTATTCACTATTTTATAGTGTGAACGTCGTCTATTGTGTGCTTCAACTCTTAACTCTTTACTATCAAATATTAAAAGATGAACTGGTAGAAGCATACGATCACCTGATCTGTCGCTCACCTGATCTCGCGCCTTCAGCCACACCTCGCCGGGCGGTGAAAATAATTGCGCCACAACTCTTTGGCCCAGCCGCAAGTCTCGCTCGTCTTTCGACGACTCTTGTCGCTTCTTGTTCTTCGTCCCGTCTCCCTTTCTCTCACTCTCTCTTCCTTTCCTATTCCCTCTTTCCTCTCTTGCTCGGGCTGTCCGTGCTGGAAACGTTGTCTGCTGCTCGTCTCGGTGGTGGGTCTCGTCGCGTTCGTCACTTCTCGTTCTTTTTCCTTTGTCCTCGACAACAACCCGTCCTTCTCCCCATAGCTCAATCCTTCCATTCTACCCGAGATCCTCCAAGATGAGCGCCCGCGACTTCGTTGAAGGAGAGGCTATGTTGGATGATGATGATGAAAATGAGGAGGAGCTGGCCGATGACTATGAAGGGAGAGCTCGCGAGGGTGCGCGTGCCTCGAATCACTACAACGACTCGAGTGAAGAAGACGAGGACGAGGATGATGATGAAGAGGCCGCTCGCGCAGTAAGTCATGCGGTGATCCGAACAAATGCCATCCCTGTATTGACACGTCCTCGTGTGCTAGGTCCGCGAGGGTTTCATCGTCGACGAAGATGAAGAGCTCGAAGACCGCGCTGAGCGGCGGCGGGAACGAAAGAAACGTCGCAGGGAAGAACGTGAGCGCGAGGATGAGCATCTGGACGAAGAAGATTTGGAGCTCATCGGGGAGCTAGACCCGGGGCGACCACCCCCGGCCGCTGCCGAGGTAACGATGACCCCCATTCTAACGGTGGTCTCTTCCTTGAGAAGGGTGAAAGCGAGCTAACTCGAATGTTCTCTCTTGATGCAGTCCAAATTCAAGCGGTTAAAGCGTGGCCATAAAGACCGTGATTCTCGACAACCATCTCAAGGTATCAATGACATCTTCAACTCCGATGATGAGGAGGAACCGGCGGGCGACTATGGCAGACCCGGTCATCGGAGGCCCATGCATGATGAAATGGATGACTTCATTGAGGAAGATGTTTTCTCCGACGAGGAAGGCCAGCGGGAGCAGGAAGATTTGGAAATCGCCCGCCCCAAGACCTTCATGTCGAACCTGGGCACCACCGATGCAACGGGCTTGGATGAGAATGCTCTCGAAGATATGCGCGCCGCCTTCGGAGATGGGGATGACTACTACTTTGCCCTGGCCATGGAGGATCAGGAACAGGAGCAGGAGGTGGATGAAGAAAAGCACCTGGATTTGAAGGATGTCTTCGAACCGTCGCAGCTGGCCGAAAAAATGCTGACGGAGGAGGATAACCAAATTCGTCTGCTGGACGAACCAGAGCGACACCAGATTGCCCGTAAGCCGTACCGTGACGTCGCTCTGACGGAGGAGCAATTCCGCGAGGAGGCCGCCTGGATCTCGAACCTCATGCTCTTGAAAAAGCGCATCGAGCCCGAGCTCCGGGAGCCCTTCCAACGCTCCGTCGCCAAGGTCTTGGAGTTTCTGGTGACGGACGACTGGGAGGTTCCCTTCATCTTCCAGCACCGCAAAGACTACATGATTCACGCCGTCAAGGTTCCCGTGGACGGGGCCGGTTACGACGCCGATGCTTCGCAGTACACTACCAAGGCAGAAAAGCTGCTGAACATGACGGACCTTTGGGATATCTTCGACCATGACCTCAAGTTCAAGGCGCTTGTGGACAAGCGCAACACGATCCAGAAGGCCTATGACAATGTGCAGAGCCTGTTCCAAGTCAACGACCCGGTGGTAGAAGAGATGCTTCCGGCCGCCGTGACCATGGAGGAGCTTCAAGATGTGCAGGACTATATCCACTTCCAATACGCCTCTCAGCTACGGGATATGGCTTTGACGAACGGCGAGGCCAACGGCGAAACGCAGCGACGGAAGGCTTCGAGCAAGACCTTCTTCGAGCGTGTCCGGAACGGAAAGGCCTATGGTTTGGTGCGTGCCTTTGGCATTTCTGCAGATGCGTTCGCCCAGAATGCTCTCAAAGAGGGCCGCCGACAATACACCGAAGACCCGACCGAGCGCCCCGACGATATGGCCGACGGACTAGTGGATAACGACTTCTCCAACTCGTCCCACGTTCTGAAAGCCGCCAAGACCATGTTCGCCGAAGAGATCGTGGTGAGCCCCAAGATGCGCAAGGTGATCCGACAGGCCTACTACATGAACGGCGCCGTCGATTGCTTCCGAACCGAGAAGGGTTTGCGGCGCATTGATGAGCAACATCCGTACTACGAGTTCAAGTACCTGCGAAACCAGCAGCTCAGCGATATCGCCCGCCGCCCAGAGCTATACCTCCGCATGCTCAAGGCCGAAGAGGAGGGCCTCGTGGAGGTGAAGGTCCGCTTCGAGAACTTCGATCATTTCCGGCAACGTCTGTACCCCGACATCGAGTCGGATAACTATAGTGAACTCGCGGACGCTTGGAACCGCACTCGTCGCGACGTGCTGGACCTGGCCCTGGGGAAGTTGGAACGACTGATCAACCGCAGCGTGAAAGAGAACATCCGTCAAGAATGCGAAAACCATGTGGCGAAGGAGTGTCGTGAGGCATTCTCCCAACGACTGGATCAAGCCCCTTATAAGCCCAAGGGCATGGTGCTGGGTACCGTTCCTCGGGTGCTGGCTCTCTCTACGGGATCGGGCATCGTCGGACGAGAACCGATCCATTGGGCCTACGTGGAGGAAGACGGTCGCGTGCTAGAAAACGGCAAATTTACGGATCTATCGATTGGCGACCGCGATCGCAACATCCCCGACGGCAAAGATGTCGACGGGTTTGACGAACTCGTGCGTCGACGCCGACCCGACGTCATCGGTGTCTCCGGAAGTTCTCCGGAGACTCGCCGGCTTTACAAACTTCTGACCGACGTTGTCGACAAGAAGGACCTGCGCGGTGCGCCGTACACCGACGACCGAGATGATGAGGTCAGCGATCGGTTGGAGGTTGTCATTGTCAACGACGAGGTGGCGCGACTCTACCAGCACAGCGAGCGTGCCAAGAAGGATCATCCGAGTTTCGCGCCCTTGTCACACTACTGTGTTGCATTGGCTAAGTACCTGCAGAACCCATTGAAAGAGTATGCATCCTTGGGGCGGGATATCGTTTCCATTCAGTTCAAGCCGGGACAGCAACTGGTCAGCCAGGAATTGCTTCTTAAGCAGTTGGAGACGGCGCTGGTCGATATGGTGAACCTGGTGGGCGTGGATATCAACGAAGCTGTCACCGACACGGCGACCGCCAATCTTCTCCCGTACGTTTGTGGTCTGGGCCCGCGAAAGGCGGCCCATCTGCTCAAGATCGTCAACATGAACGGCGGCGTTGTGAACAACCGCGTGGAGCTCCTGGGTGTGAACGCGCAGTATCCGGCCATGGGCGTGAAGGTGTGGAATAACTGTGCCAGTTTCCTGTACATCGACTTTGAAAATGCCGACCCGGATGCCGACCCGCTGGACAACACTCGAGTGCACCCGGAAGACTACGATATTGCGCGAAAGATGGCGGCCGATGCCCTGGAGTTGGATGAGGAGGATATCAAGGCGGAGACGGACGAGAACGGACCGGGCGCCATCGTGCGGAAGTTGTTCCGCGAGGAGGCGCAAGACCGAGTGAACGACCTGATTCTGGAAGAGTACGCCGAGCAGCTGGAGAAGAACCTCAACCAGCGCAAACGAGCCACCCTTGAGACGATCCGTGCCGAGCTGCAGCAACCGTACGAGGAGCTGCGCAAGCAGTATGTCTTCCTCAGCACGGACGATATCTTCACCATGCTCACGGGTGAGACGGCGGACACGTTGGCCGAGGGCATGGTGGTGCCCATCTCCATCAAGCGCGTGTCGGACGACCACATCGACGGTAAGCTGGACTGCGGCATCGACGCCCTCGTGCCCGAGTCGGAGCTCACGGATCGATATGACATCCCGGTGCGGGCCCTGTACGCGCCGCACCAGACGGTGCCGGCCAAGGTGCTGTTCCTGAACCGGAAGAGCTTTACCTGCAACGTCTCGCTGCGCGAGGAGCAGGTCAGCCGACCGGTGAGCAAGGTTCAAGATCGCTTGCAGGGCGAATGGGACGATCGACAGGAACACCAGGATCGCGAGGCAATGCAGGAAAAGACCCAGAGCGGCGGGCGAGCCATGCGTGTGATCAAGCACCCGTTGTTCCGGCCCTTCAACTCCACGCAGGCCGTAGAATTCCTCGGATCGCAGAGCCGCGGTGACGTGGTGATCCGGCCTTCCTCGAAGGGTCCCGACCACCTGGCAGTGACGTGGAAGGTCGCGGACGGCGTGTTCCAGCATATCGACGTGCTGGAGCTGGACAAGGAGAACGAGTTCTCCGTCGGGCGCGTTCTGAAGGTTGGCGGTCGATACACATACAGCGATTTGGACGACCTGATCTTCAACCATGTGAAGGCGATGGCCAAGAAGGTGGACGAGATGGTACTACATGAGAAGTACCAGGAGGGCAGCAAGGATGCCACCTGTAAGTTCCTCCCTCTTTTCTTTGTTTCACTGTTGCTTTGAGTTAAGAGGCTAATATTCGTGCACAGACTCCTGGTTAGAAACCTACACCAAAGCCAACCCCAAGCGGTCGGCCTACTCCTTCTGCATCGACACCAAGCACGCCGGCTATTTCTTCCTCTGCTTCAAGGCCGGAGAAAATTCCCAGCTGCAGAGCTGGCCCGTGAAGGTCATTCCTCAGGGCTACGAACTACAGCGCAATCCCTACCCAGACATGCAGGCTCTCTGCAACGGATTCAAATTGATGTTTACCAATATGCAAGCTGGTAGACGGAGGTAAATCCAGGGTGATGAGAGAAAGGGGTTTTGTTCATGTTCCTACTCCTTTTGTATACTGTAATATTTTTTGATGTCTATGGCTCCGGATGGTGTTGATTCCTCGGTGATTCCTGATTGCTTATTATTTTTGTACTTATTCTCTCATCGTGGCTATTTTAAATTATTCAACCGGTGAAAAGCGGCAGCCAAATTCCAGCAAAGAAGGCAATTGAGCGACAGTCCACACTTCGTACGTAGTCTAGAGACCCTCGGCCCTTTGCGAGGCGCAAAAATGGGAGCGGCTGACCAGCTCCATCCATGTGATTTCCCGCGGAGCCTCCTTCGCCTTCGGCTTCCGCTGTCCTCCGCATTCTCCCTTCTTTCTCCATCTCCTTGTCTGCTCCCATTCTTGCTCTCCCATTCGGCCTCGGTTGCATTCTTTGTTGTCGGCAATCCAGGGGGTGTGTTCTCGTCCCTGCCGCTCGTCGGGGTCTTGGCCAGTGGGTAAATCAAACAATCCTGATCCGATTGTTTCCCCAACCTGACATCAGCCGCGCCTTGCACATCTTCTTGTCCATCCTTTCTGGCCACGCAGCCTCATCGCCCTCCTCGTAGACCGGAATCGCTCTTCTTTCCATCGTCGTCTCATTCTCTCCGTGTATCTGGCTTCAACAATTTCCAATTCTGCCTCGATTCTCTAGTGTGTCGTCTACTTGGTCCCCCGCGCAATCATGGCCTCCATGGAGGAGTTGGAGATCCATAGCAAAGTAAGGGGACAACAATGCATGCAGAGTCCCACTTCCTCCAGAGGAACTGACACCTGCAGACCCTGGCTGGGCTCTTATATCCTAATCCCTCAAAAACAGAACTGTCCGCTAACTACCTATTTTTTGATCTTCACTCGTGTCTAGTCCTACTTTGTTCGTTGGGTGAATGTCAAACCCGGCCACACCATCTCCTGGAGCATTCAGCCGCACAAGAAATCCCTCAATTTCGGAATATTCAAGCACCCCGGCCATTCCGCTGTCTTGGGCTCCAACGGAGGCTCTCACAGCACCGATTCGACCGAAAACCTGCCGTCCACCGCAAGCTCGCGATCGAATGCCTCCGCCTCCATCCTCGACCGACTGGCTGGTTTCGGCCTGAAGCAGATCCGCTGGCTCGGCAAATGCGAGGCTGAAAAGATCGTCAAAGGTACCTACGACGTGCCCGCTAATGAGGGCGGAAACTACGCGCTGGTCTTCGACAACACCTTTTCCAAGCAGATCTCCAAGACCGTGACCCTCGTCCTGCTCACTTACCCCACGGCGCTGCCTCCGCAATCGGTACCAGTCCCTCATGCCGCTAGTCAGCCCTCTCAGACGACGGAAGCCCCCGAGGCCGGTGCGACTTCGCGGCGACGGGGTAACAGTACGGCCAAATCGATCCCGCAGACGATTGACTGCGACTCGGGCTTGATCCATACCGGTATCCTACAGAAGCGACGCAGGAAGCGGCACCAGGGGTGGGCAAGGCGATTCTTCTCGCTGGATTTCAAAACCTCGACTCTGTCCTATTATCACGACCGCAATTCCTCTGCGTTGCGAGGCTCAATTCCGCTATCTCTGGCGGCGGTAGCATGCAGCGAGAACACGCGGGAGATTTCCATCGACTCCGGCACCGAGATTTGGCACTTGCGAGCAAGCAACGATGAAGAGTTTACCTCGTGGAAGCGGGCCCTCGAGAAGGCCTCTTCTTCCAAGACTCCGGCCGAGGAGGTCATGCCGTCATCGCCACTGCTGCGTGTGCCGTCGCAGCGTTTCGGTCCCCCTGTGTCTGACGTGCGCGAGTGGGGACGTATTGAAGGGCTGGTCAGCCAGGTATCGGGGTCGAGAGACCTCATTCGTCGGTTGGCCAGAGATACAGACCCGAAGTACTTGAGCAGCGCTAGTGCACTCGAGCGACCCCGTGGCCGATCTCCAAGCCCACCGCCTCGCGAACTCAACGGCGGTGATTCCGAATCCCGCGAAAAGCGCCCGTTCTGGAAACGAAAGACCAGCTCAGCAGCCCAACAAGGTGGTTACAAACGGCCTCCGACCGCCGTCGCCGCCTCCTCGTCCTCCCAACTGGCGGTGCCGGCCCCCGGAGGCAGCGGAGATGCTGCCTCCCTCTCGGGTGATCGGAAACCGAGCAGTATCTCCAGTCACCCCGATCAGATCGAGGAGATTCACGAACATCTTCTGACCGTTCTCCGGGACTTGGATCATGCCGTGAGCGAGTTCTCAACTCTGATCGCGGAGGGCAAACAGCGGCAACAGCGGCAGCATCAACCCAGTCTGCCCATTCAATCCCGTCGCAGCTTTGAGTCGGACGTGTCGCAGGAATTCTTCGACGCCGACGACGGTGGTGATGCGTCCCCGCTGTTGACTATCCAGGACAGCGACGACGAAGGCGCCGATGGCGCCAAGAACGCCGACGCTGCGACGTCCAAGGCCGAGGAAGATGTAGTGATTGACGATGCACCTTCAGACAGCGAGGATGAAGAGTCCGACGTCCCCGCACCCAATAGCGACCGCTTCTCCTCCTTGTTCCCCGTTCGTCCTAAGTCTCTCACTCCGCTGCCGCTCAGCAAAGTGTCTCGTCGCTCAAACATCCCTGCTCCCACAGTGATGCCCCCTAGTCTGATTGGATTCCTCCGCAAGAATGTTGGAAAGGATCTGTCGCAAATCTCCATGCCGGTGTCTTCCAATGAACCGCTTTCTCTTCTACAAAGAGCGGCCGAGGTAGTGGAGTATTCGGCACTCCTCGACCATGCGGCCAGCGCTTCTGATCCTGTTGAGCGACTGGTCTACGTGACGGCATTCGCCCTTTCGTCGTTGTCCAACGGCCGAGTCCGCGAGCGCGCCATCCGCAAACCCTTCAACCCCATGCTCGGCGAGACGTACGAACTTGTCCGCGAAGACCTGGGATTTCGGTTCATCGCCGAGAAGGTCTCGCACCGGCCTGTGCAGCTCGCGTACCAGGCGGATAGCAAGGACTGGAGTCTTTCCCAATCCCCTATGCCGACTCAGAAGTTCTGGGGCAAGTCGGCCGAAATCATAACGGACGGCAAGATGCGCCTGACCCTGCATACCACCGGCGAGCATTTTAGCTGGTCCTCGGCCACCTGTTTCCTGCGCAACATCATCGCCGGCGAGAAGTATGTCGAGCCGGTCGGTGAGATGTCACTGGCCAACGAAACTAGCGGCCAGAAGACCGTCTCCGTCTTCAAGGCCGGCGGCATGTTCTCCGGTCGTAGCGAGGAGGTCAGCACCAAGGCCGTGGACTCGTCCGGCCGCGAGCTTCCCCTGGGTCTCACCGGCACCTGGACTACCTCACTCCAACTCACCAAGAACGGCTCGTCCACGAGCACCACGGTCTGGAAGGCCGGTCCGCTGGTGTCCAACGCACCCAAGCATTACGGGCTCACCACGTTCGCCTCGGCCCTCAACGAAATCACCCCCATCGAAGCGAACAAGCTCCCGCCGACCGACTCGCGTCTGCGTCCGGATCAACGAGCCCTGGAGGACGGCGACGTGGATCTCGCCGAGGAAGTCAAAGTGAAGCAAGAAGAAGGCCAGCGAGCGCGTCGCCGCGAGATGGAAGCCGCAGGCGAATCGTGGACCCCGCGGTGGTTCACCCGCGCCGATGATGACAACAGCGACGAAGTTGCCTGGCGCTTGAAATCCGGCAAGGACGGATACTGGGAGGAACGGTCTCGAGGGAGCTGGTCCGGTGTTATTCCGGTGTTTGAGCCATAATGAAGCGAAGTAAGCACGGCCAGTCTTTGTATCTATGGATCTGAGAATTGCTGTCTGTTTATCTACTGTTGATTTCGCTGTATATCTCTCTTTCTTGGCGTGATGCATAGAAACCTTTTGTTTTCATCTTGTTTCTTGTTCAATGTTCATGATAGGGTATCTCTTCTCTCCTAGATTTATATAAGGTACATATACAGATATTCATATCTACTCATTCCTTGCAAAACCGTTATACGTCAACAGGACTGCGGGTAACCGTTCTTTCCGCTCCTTGCTGAACGGAGGTTTCTCCGCATTCTACACTATGCAAGGTCCATAGAGTATGTATCTCTTACGGACTACCCCGGACAGTGCTACGAAATGTTCAGGATTTTCGTTTCGCCAGATATTGCTCTACAGTTTGATACCATGGTGGGAAGATACTACTAACTGTCTCGTTTCAGGGTTGGATACATTCAACTTACTTAGTGCATTATCGTTAGCAAGCCCTTCTTGAACAGCTGCTGGTGAGGCAGCCAGTGGTCAGAGAGGTGAAACAGAGATAGACAAGAGCATTCATAGGGACATGCAAGAATTCCAACCTTACCTACGTTTAGGTAAAAGATGATGTACTGTCTGACTCGGTACCTGCCCTCCTTGCAGAATTTATCGCCGATAATAGAGGTCTTCTGCAAGACTGCAACCCTACAAAAACCATGTGAGCAGTATCTCTATAGTTGGGAAGCTCTATAGTCATCGCTAATCAGAGATACTCGGAATATAGAGCATGTCAGTCTATCTCCTGTTAGAATTTCAGGTGTTTGTCTAACTGTCTAATACAGTTGAGCTCTGTATATGTTTACGGTAAAGGTCATTCTAGGTGCCAAAAATACTAATTTGAAACAACTAATAAAGGCCCATGCATTCGCATCAAGGCATAGGGAAACCTAATCCAACAGGGAAAACCCTATCCCAGGCCATAAAACAACACAGTAATACTAGAATAAATTCATTGGCATGTTGGGCCACCACAGCTGTTTGCAGGTATAAAAGTAGTATGCCACTTTACTAGACCTGAGCTATTATGCTGGTGGATGTTAGAGTGTATGTGGTGCCTATGTCTAGTATCCCAAGTTTGAGTGGCACAAACCCTATGGCTGATTCCTCTGCTAACTCGTAGAATAAACCTCAAGATTCTGTACATATCGAATGCAATCACGGCTAATACTGGATAAAGTATCAGTGTGATTCCATATCTTCCTATATTTCACAATATGATAATACCGCATCCCTTGTAGAATGGGAATGCACTTCAGTTCTCCTGGATCGATCGTGCCCTGCTCCTGACCTAAGGGATTTAATTAGTAGTACATCTGATTGAGACATCTTCAAACTTGATTTAGGCAATGATGAGGAATGATGTTGTTCAGCGTACTCCGAAGTAGACTTTTCATTCATATTACCACCTTGAACTACAACCTAAACAACATCATTGCTAGCCAAGTAGGTTAAATATCTAGGGCGGTCTTTCTACTATGGATATGTCCAGAAAAGTATCAAAACTATCTCCACTGCCATCAGTGACAAAACAATCCAGATGACGCATCAAGCGCAGCGTTATACAAGCAGATTCCGATCGTCTTGGTGCACTCACCATGCAAGGGATTAATTCTTGACCTTTGAGACTGCAAAATCCACAGCATCGCTCTTATACGTAGAAACATAGCTCTCATGAACTGTTTGATTGTCTCCGCTGTCACACCAGATGTCGTTCATATCGCAATAGGATCGAATCACACCGGTATAGGATGCACATTCAGTGTTGTTTTTCCGTGGGAATCGCTGATATCATGTCACTAAGTGTCATGGATAAAGGAGAGGTATATAACTTCACTTACTCCATCTTTAGTACTGGTCCCCGCGTCGAATGCAATGTTTGCAATGTGACTTGTGTCACCCATCAGGACCACTGCCTTTACTATGTTAAGTCATTAGCTGTTAGTGAGACACTGGAAGGTCGCAAAGAATGGCTTGATATTTACCATTCTGCCCTGAACTCCATGGTAGCGGGGCTGTTTCATTAAAGCCAGTTTCACTGGTTCCGCACAGAACATCGAGTATGACTTGCGCCCCCTGGGAAGAATAAGTATGCTTTTTGTTATGTGTTGAACTGCACCGCAGAAGATAAAGGGATACATACCTGAGAGTATCCCAAGAGAATGATATCTGTGCTGGGACAATCCATTGCGTATGATTCAATCGCCGCCGTTGTATCCACAACCCCTTCTGCCTCGGAGAGGGAATAAAGCGGATCATGCCACGTTGCTGGGTATGGAATGTCATCCCAATCTGAGCCGTCGAGCTGGTCCGTTATAGCCTGTACTAGCTCCGGCAACTTGCCTCCCCAGGGAGATGCACTGGTTTCTCTCACGGTAATGATATGAGGACCATCGCTGCAACCGGGTCTCCGTGTTGGTCCTCCCAGGACGGAAGCGATAAGAGGGAAGTAAACGATGTAAGGGATCATGGTTGGACTGGATAAGAAAATGCGGAATTATTTCTCTATGGACTAGCGACGAAGTGGTCACTCCTCTACAGTAGCAACTGTTTGAGAATGACCGCAGAGATATTCATATGATTGCATGCATATAGAGAGCGTTCAATTAGCAAAATATAACGATCATTATGCTGTAATGCATGTCCATTCACCTTCCAAACCCGGTCGCTTCGTGATATCACTTTCTGACACTTTCCCGTGACATTACTCAATAACTACAAGCCATACGAGCGGAGCAAAGATAAAGACTGATAGAAAAGAAATCTAATAAATATTGGTTTCAGCTCATACCTCTTTTGCACTGAAGAAATGCTACTAATTCTTCCAAGTTGTCAAAAGCCCACCCGTCTTCTCGTAGCTGTAGCATCATTTGATCATCCTTAGAATGATCATCAACTAGTTGTACGTCACCCGAGTTTAACCCCCATAAGGAAAGTTCAATCACTGAATCTAGAGTGATAGTTCTCCGTGGGGTTAAGTTCATCTTCCATACATCTTCAAGGTCTATGATAAAACTATTTCTCGATCAGTAACAGCATATATTGAAGAATGATATACATACCATCGCTGAGTGGTTTTGTTCCAGATGACATTTGATCGGCGAGGGTCATCGTGATAGAACCCTTGGTTACGGAACTCCCTATAGCCCCAATCGTCAGAAAGTTAGCGAATGAAAATAGCAAATATCAATCAGGCATTGTTAATAGGGAAACGGATCGCTTACCACAATGCTCTAATAAAGGCAATTCTCACGCTATCCCGCTCTTCCATTGGGAGATCTCCAAAGTTTTGTAGATTTTGTCCATGAATTCTTTCCATTACAATAAACAGAATATAGCCACCAGGGTAACGCATTTGGCTATGCTGCATGTAGGAAAAAGATTCGATCAATATTGGAGTCGAATTGCATCCCGCTTTCGTCAATTCTTCAAGATTTTCAATCTCACGACAGGCCTCGTTACTGAACATTTGGATGCCAGAATCCCATGGCGTTAATCTGTTTTTTATTAGTTCTCAGTCTGTAATCTCAAAGGGAGGATGCAATATACTGTAGTTTGATTTTAACTATCGCTTCAATTGCTTTTCTATCTGGACTAGGCTCTTCAACAACCTCGGTTGCTACACAAGTCCCTGTAATCTCTTCGATACTGCCTTCGTTTTCATTGTGGATCCGAGTCTTATATGTCGATATTTCGCCTAGAGCCCACAATGTAGAGGTTCGACTGGATCGTATTGCCACTCCAGCCAGCAATCCGAGGGATTGATCATAGATAGTGGACATGGTTGGTGAATGAAAACAAGAAATCAATTGGGCGACAGCAAGATAAGTAGTTTCCTGAACCTGTGCGGGAGCGGTGTAACACACACTCTGCTGTAACATCATGAGCCGTTCGACCTTCTTTCGGGCTTGGATCGGAGACAACACACCACAGTATGAATTAAAAAAGATCAAAGAGGCCTTATATGTCTTTTAGATAAGTAATAAAATCGATAGAATCTCAAATGTTGTAGCACAAGTCAACTTCTGCTAGACACACAAAAAACACTACTGAACACTTCCACAAATCGTTTGCTTATCTATTGCACTCATAGACAAACTCCCAATATTTATGTCTTACTGTGAGACTATAACGGCAGGGAAAGGCTGAGTGTAGAATACTAAATGAAAAGGCAACATGCGGGAAATTCTGAGGTCAACCCTTACTTCCCAATTGTATAGCAAGAGTAACAGCTTCTTGAAGATAGGGATGCTACAGTCGTGCACGTCATAACCAAACGTTACCAATATATTAACAATCCTACAGCTCCGGACAATGTAAGGGCTTCCCATTACAGCGACATAATATTGTAAGAAGGACTTCTGATATTATAGGGGCCAAATCTGACCCATTCAGGAGTGCTATTGTAGATACTATGATTGCTGATGTCCAGAACACACCTAGGAATGACCAATGCGTTCTACTTTTGGTATACAAGGACCAGATAGAGCAGGTTTTCCAGAATTAGATCTTATTCTTGACTTAAATTGACAGGACAGAATTCGGGATCACTTATCAGGCTCGTTAAATCGTTTCGGAGACACTTGAAGCGAGCTCGGAATCGTCCGCCTTTTAATAATACGGAAAACCTTGATAGTCTAATTAATATAGCGAAGATACATCATCAAAGACATCTTTCTTCGAATACGTCCAAGAGCTAGGCTCATGAATCTTTGTTAGATGCCGTTAACTTCAATAAGGACTTTAATTATACGAAGAAAAGCCGAACTAATATTCCGAAAATGTTTAAGGAAATAGTAAACTATTAAGACCTCATTTCTACGTTATAATAATTGAGCAGTTAATCAAGGTTCTTAAAAAGCTAAATATAGACTCTTGAAGACAAATACTATTCAATTCCATTCCGAGAGACTTCAAATAAATAAAACCTTTTGAAAATAGTTTTAATCGGATAAATATTATAAGCTCGCTAGTATAAAAAATCTGGATAGGAACTGGAAAAACCAGCATAATAAAGAAGATCGAACAGATATACTAGATATAACACTGTCTCCAAAAGATTCCATTCAGCTACTTGGTAAACTCCTGGAAAGAAACAAGGAAGAAATTCCTAGTGAATCTAGAATAAAATTCGATGTCATCTTATCTGAATCGGTTACATTCTGATCTCAATCGGATGTTGACCAATAGGTTTAACACCTTATCAAAAACTACAAGCTAGGTCAATGCTAGAGATGTCGAGACACTAGTAAAAGCAATACTAGAGAAGACTATAAAGAAACTAGATAAATACTTCCAGTGGATCAAACCTTGTATTAAGCAGAGACACAATAATTAAGGAATTTCAAGATCAATCCGGGGCAGGACACACTATATACTACATCCCCATATCGACCGCCGTGGAATATAGAAAATACAGGAAATACAAAGAAGCTACTAAAGAAAAGAGAGAACATTATCGGCAGATAATAAAGAAGGAAAAGGGGCAACAAGCCTTTGCTAATACACGCCGGAAGGAGCAAACTATTCAAGTAAAGCTTCAAAACATAGGAGTCTCTATTCAAGGCTATCAGTGGATCAAACATCCCGGTAGATACCGATGCAAAAGAGGCAGTCATTAGATATCACACGCCCAACCCCAGTGGCAGCAAAATGAGAACTTGTCAGTCGCAGGGGAAAGAGAATAGATCGGGAAGAATGGGTGATTTGTGTTCGACTATAAGTTAAGCGGCGTCGAGTCGGTCCACGGCGATTGCAAATCGTAGTAACGCCTGTACTGCTTCTCAGTCCGGGGTCAGTGCAAAACTGATGCTCTACAACGCTCTCAGTCCTCTTGGGCGCCCCGTAAGACGGCTTTCATCCGATCATACAATCCTGGGTCTTTCTTCGCCCATTTCCTTCCATTTGGAAAGATCATCTTGCGAAGTATGTTGATGCATGGAATTAGTGGCTGGTAGTATTCTGTGAAGTACTCAGTCGCTGATCTTATGAAATCCGCTTTATATCAGTCAACTCGTCCGTATCCACAAAGTTTCATTTATCAAATCTTGCAACGACGCGTTCTTTATCTGGATTTTCATAGTGAATGTATATTCAAAAGCTCATTTAGAAGAATGATTCAAGATTATGCATGAAAAAATGTTTTTCGTTTAGAAGTAAGTCAATTGTTATAAAGGTTTTTGTGTCAGTCTTTTCATCGATTTTAGAAATATTATTTCGCTTCTTTCTGATTGTCAGATCAAGATCAATCAAGAATGATGGTTATGAAGAATTCTTTTTTATTTTCGTTAATTATAAGATTGTTGACTGAAATATCTCGATAAAGGATCTTTATTTGTTGTAAAGATTGATGCTCTGCAATACAATTTTTTAATGTGGCAAGCAAAGTCTGGCGAATATTTGTTTTGTAAATTGATTTTCTATAATCACGCAGAATGATACGTTGATGAATTTGATTTGACAATGAATTGTTGGATGTTTTGATAGAAGATAATGAACAAAATTGTTTATTAGATGGTAAAAAAGCATCTGTTTGATTAGAAAGATATTTTATATTAAACTTGTCGCTATTTCGATCCTTTTGCGGTACATTAGTTACATTTATGTTATTTGAGAAAGTCAATCGTTTTGATTGATAATTACTCGCGATTTTGATATTCAAGTTATTTTGGACATTATATTGGACACCGTTAATCTTATTATGAATGTAAATTGTCGTATGATGATAATATCGCGCAATGTTGATTATTCTTTTTTTTGTGATTTTTTGAAGAAGGGTGTTTTTTTTGTTGTGTTCTGTGTATTGTCAGAAATCTTTGACAATGAATGAAATTTCAAGATTTTTTTCACGATGTGTTTTCTAGCATATTATTGTTTGATTCGCGATGTAGAGTGTTCGTTTTATCATTTTTTCGAGAACAAGTCGTTCGGTTTAGTCGTTCTGTTTTATTTCGATAAATTGTCGACTATTTTTTGTGGTGATTGTAGAATCAAATTTATATTTCGTCTGGTTCATTCATAGAAAATCAAGAATTGTTGATACAAACTAGAAATTGTTTTCGTTAATATCGAATTGATCGGATGCAATTTTTTCTAGATGGTCAAAGATTTATATCTTCATTAGAGATTCATATAAAATAAAATTAAAAACAAAATGATGGGTATCTTGGGTTGCAAGAACTTTTTTGACGTATTTTTTTAAATCAAGCCATGCTTTGAAAGTGATGTTGGCAGTTGGATTGATTTTTAGTTTTTCAAATATAAAGATTTGTGATCACTGACATCGGGTATCTTTGTCAATGTGTGTATTGTTTATGAAATCAATGTTTAGTTTGCGTTTTGCTGTAAAGTCTTGAATAGGTTTATTAGGTTATGTTAGTGATCTTCGCATATACATCGCATTTGAATTGTGATCGTTTGAGAGTTTGTTCAATTTTTTGTTCAGATCTGCAAATCAAGTCAAAACGTTCTTTTGATGTGCATTTTTTGGTCATTCTTTCCATTCATCAGCAAAAAGAGTATCTTTGTTTTTTGTGCATTTTTTGAACACGGCATCGGATGCAGATTGAAGGCTATTAATCTGTTCAAAAAATGTCGAATAAAAATGTGAGAGTCCAATATATAGAGGTCCAAGTTCGGTTTTGAAGACTTTGTCAACCTTTTGACAATATTTGAAGGAATTCGCGAAGCTATTAGTCTTGTGAAGTCAGGGGATTTGTTGAGAGAAGGAAGCAATTGTTTGAGGCGGAGGGATAGATTCTGCTGTGGTAATGTTTACAAGATTCCATATCTGTTCATTTGTCGATGTATTCACGAAGGATGTTTTAAGTAGTGGTTTGATTTGTTTGAGGTCGAAATCATTAGAAATGACGGCAGATATGAGTCGAAGCAGGTCACTTTGAATGATCTTTTTCGAAATGGATGGCAGAAAACGAGTGACTGGAAGGATCTGAAGGGCGTTTAGAAGGTTGAAAACGAGATTTTGCACATCTGCACATAGATTAGCGAAGATAATGAGTTAAGATGAGTTTCGATGTTTTATTGTTCCGTTTGAGCTGATTGACGATCTCATTTGGTGAACTTAGATTTGCGCCGTCGCAGATCAAGGTAAACGTGGCACGAAAGTCATTCAGACCATTTTCGATAGGATGTTGAGCAATTATTCTCGATCTTTGCTGATTCGACATGACACAGTCCTTGTTCTGTGGCCATGCTGACTTCGAGGGAGGCACGCGGTGGTGAAAGGTGAAATCGCGAGGTAATGGCAGTTTGGGGCTTGGCAAGAATGTCTAAGTCTTGGTTGTTTTCTAACCAGGTGATCTCGCACATATTTATGCAGTCCAGCTTCCCGATAGGTGCATCGCATAGATATTTACATCTGGTCTTTGATTTACCAATCCAAAATACTCTTAAAATACTTTCTTGCCACCCGTCAATTTTAAAAAGGAGATTATACCATCTTCTGAACTCGTTACATCCTCATATAGACCATAAGGGAATTACTAGGAACTTTAGATAACTTTCTCCAAAGCAAAAATTGGTTGTATGTCTTCTATTGTCTCCGAGAAGATAAAGAACAGACAAATGAGACTATACTGGTGGAATCTAACTCTTGTTGAACAGGAATCGAATTGAGAAACGCGAAACACGAACATGATGTGTAACCAAACAGGGAAATCTGATGGAAAAGAAAAGAGATAGAAATAGGACAGATAAACAGGAACAAAACAAAACGCCCAACAAGTTCATTAAGCAATGCCCGTATGTGCGTAAGCTAACTTGTCTTTTTTATTTATTCATTCAATCTTTTAGTGACCCCGTCATCATTCTGTTTTGTTGAAGTTATTCTTCATCCGATTGTTGATGCACGGCCCATCGTCGGTTGTTGCGCGATTTGGCCGCTTTCTTGGCCATGCTTCGGTCTCGATCGGCCGGCGTGCTTTGACGGACCATGACGGGAAGGCTGTCCAGGACCGCGCGGTTGCCTTGGTAGTAATGCTGCGCGAAGCCTCCCTGGAGGATGCGACGCAGGGAGTTGAGTCGGATCCATTTCCACCAGCGGTCGATGTTCATAACGCCCTGGCGGCCGATCTTAACGGTGAGCTTGCTGCCGTAATGGCGGTTAGTTTCTTGGTCGATGGCCGTGTTGTACATGGGTCCTCGGCGAGGGTTCTCGACCGTGGTCAGGATCGAGGCGAAGTTGCTGTGCAGGTTCTTCTTGTCTCGCTTGCTGATGTGCTTGCTGTGTATCGTGGCTAGTGATTGGAGCTGACTCTCCAACTCGTGGGTGTTGTGGTATGCGTTGTAGCGTTTGATCAGTTTGGGACCGTCTCGTTCGCCCTGAGCGCTCATGAACGACTCCTCGTCTGATTCTTCCTGGCTTTCTTCGCTATCTTCGTCATCCTCCTGCGGGGTGTAGCTCTTCTCGTACAGAAGCGCGATGTTCTCGCCTGCGGCGATCTGAACCGACAAGTCGCCGCTGTTCAGCTGGTCCATGAAAATCTGAATGGCGTCCTCACTTTCGCCCTCCAGATCGTCGATCTCGGTCGCCATGGCACCCCATTCTTGGAGAGCCGCCGTGACGCTTCCCGGGTCATCGCCAGCTTCGATGGACTGTCCATCGGAGGCTGCAATGTCCAAAAGGAAGGTCATTTGGTCTAGGATGCCGCCTTCGCCGGCGCCTCCAAACATGGTGCATGTGCCGAGACAATGAATGGCGCCGGCCTTGACAACGTGGGAGGTCGAGTCCCTGATCGCACGAGTGAGTAGCGGCTCGACATTCTCGTAGATAGTGTTGTCGACCGCAGTGATCGCGAGGAGCTCGAGGGCGCGGAGTGCCAAAGTGGTCTCGCGCACGCTGTTCTCAAACTTGACGCTGCGGCAAAAGGCGGCCAAAAGATCACTTGCCCGGAAGCGAATCTGCTCTTCGATGTAATGTCCTTTGGACAGGCGACAGAATGCGGCGTAAGCTTCTTCGCGACTCAAGATACTGCTGCGCTTCCGATCTAGAATGTCCTCGACGACGTCACCAAGCTCTTCCGCCCAGTTGGCGTTGTCAATTTCCGGGTTATCAGTCAGATCATCCAGAGAGCCAATACTGTCGGATAGAAATCATCATTAGTAAACCTGCTTTCTTTTTCTTTTTCTTTTTTTAATATGACATCATCCCGCCACTAGTAATCCGACAGGAACAAGAAAGAGAAAAAAAAATGATGAGAAGAGGAAGATGCTCACCTCAAGGCAGTATCGTCGCTCAGATTGCCAGCATCCTCTTCGTCCGATGCATGTCTACTTGGGTTCTGAGAGGATTGTCGAGAATTCGGAGTAGAGTTGGCTCGTGAAGTGCGACGAGACCCTTCGCGCGAGGCAGCCTTGCGAGAGATTGTCTTGCCGCTCTCGAAGACTTGTCGACGCAAGTCAGGCATGATGAGTGGCGAGGAGGAAAGGAACGAGGATGAGAGGTTGGAAAGAAGTCGGGTGAAATTTCCAAAGGGTAAAAAAGAAAGGGACAAGAAGAAAAGTGGTTGGAGGGTGATGGTTGTCAGTGAGTAAGAGTACGGAGTACGGAGTAGCCAAAGTGGTGTTCAGACCCGCTATGCAAAAGGTATGGAAGTTGTTGATAGTAAGAAATATTTCTCCGATACGAAGGACATGATATAACCAACTTGAAAATGCGGATTTAAGCACACGGTGGCGTAAGAAGAAGAGAGAAAGAGGAAGTAAGGAGAAGAGAGCAAAGGAAGAAAGGAAAGGGAGAGAAAGACGTTCGTTTTTTAGATTTTTGGACGCGGAGGACCCCGTGATCGCTTCACTACCGATAAGGACAAAGCTGGCCAACGCGACCGAGGGAAATGACCACGACAAGACGCTTAGAATTATTATTACGATCCTCTTCCGAGACTCGACCTTGGCTTCAAATTAGAAGAAAAAGTAGAAACGCATTATTCTTTGAGACTCTGCCAATGACGGTGTGCCTATCGCCACGTGATGCGGGGGGTGGCTTATCGGGCCTCAGGCAGAAGATGACGTCCCCTCCGAGTCGCTCCGATGGAAACTGAAGAGTACATGCTCACTGCATATCATTTAATAGTAGATACGCTAGAATCAGGGTAGAATCCTAGTCCCGAGGGTTGGTGCACCGTGAAGAAGTCTATTACCAAATGGAGGGGTATCTAATCTCGTCGCAAGCATACACACACAACCGTCCCAAAGCAGATCTCTCATTTCCGTTCCAACGCCAATTCCAAGATCCTCCGCGATTTACTACCCTCCAGGTACTCTCGACCTTCTCCCCGGTGATCATCGTCGTAGTCATCATCCCCAACCTCCAAGTCCACCTGTAGACTGGCCTCGTACGCTCCCATCACCGTGTCCTCGTCCACCCGGACGCCTCCGTGGACCAGGACACGGATACACTGTGCCAGTCGTGCAATTTCACGGCGCGTCTGCGGGGGGATCTCGTCGTTCTGGCTGGAGTAGATAGAGCTCGATACCATCTCCTCCATGCGCGTGATGGAAACGCTGTCGGTCGTAGAAGATGCAGCCGCCGAGTCGTCCGCGTGCTTCGAGATCCAAATAAACCCGTTCACTCCGAGTATGACATCCACGTCGCCACCTCCGTTGGCGGTACTGATGGTCCATACTTGCCTCCGAGATCGAACAACTCCGCCCGTGGTGCCCGCCGCAGCAGACCCGGTGCCGAGGCCGCCCTTGACATTCGAGCTGGACGCGCCGCTACCACCGGTTCCGGTCACGGCGAGAAAGACGCCGTTCCGGAGTTTGCCGTACTTCAGCGACCGTGTATGTAGCGAGGCAGCGCCATCCGAATGTACATTTTGAACCTCGGCTACCAGCAGATCTCCCTCGCTGAAGAAAGTTCGGATCTGCAGCTCATCCGCACTCGTTCGTCGACGCAGGATACCGCCTGGAAGGTTGATTGCGGAAAGTGGAAGTTGTGCAAGGAGAGGAGCGGCGACGTCTACCTTCCACCGGCGCGACTGAACCTCGACAATGCGACCAACCACAAGGTCACCGATCTCCGGAGTATAACGGGCTCGAAGAGGCTGGACTGAAAGCAATTTGTTGGTTTTTTGGACGTTTCCGGCAACGGTGGCGATAATAGAGGTTGATAGAGGGTTCGTGTAGGTGCCATGTCCTCTAAATACAGGTGAGTTGGTGACATTGGGAGGTGTAGCGTCGCTGTAGCACGCCCGAAGATGGGGATATGGGTGGAACTGACCTCATCCATTGGGGATCGTCGGTCACGACCTCGCCGGGCGTGACAATCCCTGTACTGCCTGCTATTCCTCCTACTGGGCCAGACTGTTTACTCGGTCTTGAACTTCCTCCTGCAGCTATTCCAACGCCGCCGTCCGAGTCCACGGACATTGAATCGACGTCGGAATCTGAGGGGATATCCACATCGTCCACAACTGGAGGAAGAATGGTAATGGCCATCCTTGGTGTTGTCGCCTTCTGGGGAATCACTTATAATGAGCGAATCGAAAAAATTCCAATTCAAGCAATTATGGGAGGTGGCGGTTTAAATCGTTTGGCAACCTGAATGTTCACGCTTGAAAGAAAAGAAGACTTTCCCCATTTGACAAACAGAGCAAACCTCGTGTGGAGACACACGTGAATGCCAAGCCCTATCATGGTTGATCTCCAACATCTGGAAGACTCAACACTCTACACTGTACGTTTATTTCTCGATTTTAGCTAGTAATATCGAACGCGCCAATAGATAATAGTTGTAAGTCAGCCTGAGGTTCATATTGAGTACTCAAAATAAGATTCAAAATAACAAATCGACAGAATACGTTCGGGAAACTAAGCAGGCCAAGATTTCACTTGATTTAATAATCACAATAGAGATATCATACGCGAAAGATAAACAGAAATCAAACTATTCCCAGGATTATTACACAGACATAGAGAATCGGTATCGAGCAGGCAGGCAGCTTCAAGCTCCCACTCCGGAAGATCTCTTCGACGAGCGTTTTGCAGTCGAAGAGGGCTCTTCTTTCTTCTTTCGGTTGGAACGGCTGCCTCCACTTTTGCTTTTACCTCCGCTCTCGTCTTCGCGCTTGCGTTTGCCCTTGGCGCCTGAAGGCGTAGGACCGGTTTCCATCAAGACGCTGTCGTCGTCATAGAATTCTTCATCCTTTCGGGTACCCCCGGTCACTTTCTTAGAAGTGCGCAAGTTTGAAGGCCGAGAGCCGGATTTCTCGGAAGCATTCTCGTTGTCTTGTAGGAATATATGGGGTTGATTCCTCCGTAGCCAATTGTAGACGGAGATGGAATTTCGCAAACCCGCCTCTCTCTCTCGATCGGCAAACGTCGATTTCTCCGGGGCCCGGCTGAGTTGCAAGGCTGCGGTTTCGTCGCCCAGTCTAGCATCCACGGCCAAATAATGCTCCGTTTCATGTTCTGGGGTGAAGAACCCAAGGCTTTGCTCAAACCCACCATCCGCCGAGATCTCCTCTTCATCCATTGGTGGCAAGGTATGCGGGACTTTCAGCAATGAGGTATAGTCTAATCGCGGCGCGAACGCTTTGCCCTGTTTGACAGCGTTCTCCAGGTCACGGTAGCTTTCAGTGGTCATGTTGCCAGTCGCAACCTCATCTTTGGCATGTTTTAGCATCGATTGTGCTGCTTCCGGGTCGTTGTACGATGGCGAAGCTTTTGTTTCGTCGTTCGGCAGAAGAGCGTCATCGCCAGAGGCACTTAATTCGTACCGCAATTCGGGTGAGATGTGAAGACTGTCGTTAAATTCCAAAAGGACTTCTAGAAGCTGGCTGCGCTGGAGTCAGTCGAGCGATCGCGCAAAAGGCAAGTAGAGAGGGAATCACTCGTGTAAACTCACTCATTTTGCTCCTGAATCCGGTTTGAGAGATCTTGAATGCGCAAGCCCTCCCGAACAAGTAGTTCGCTATCCCTCATCTGTAGTTCAAACTTGACCTTAAGTTTCGCGAACTTTTTCCTGCGAGTATATTAGGTACGGACAGTTGCAAGGTAGCACATGATTAGACCTACTTGAAAGATCGATATGACTGCTTGGTAGGGGCATCAGGTAAGCTTTCAGCGACAGAGCGAGCGTCGTCGGCGTCTTGAGACATAATTAAAACGGAGTGGCTAAGAAATTATAAGACAAGACAGAGATTTCAAGAATAAGGATTTGAGATCGAAAGATTCAAGGTGAAAAGGAGCTGAGCGACGATGAGATTGAGATGGCCAGGAGCGCGTGGATGGACGGAGACGCAGCTCGCCAAGTCCTGGACGGAGAAGCCGACGGGGCTGGGCGGCCGCTTTCTGCCCGTTTTTTCCTTTTTTCTTAGGAAAAAAAAAAAGAGCCCGACCACTATTGTTCGCATCCGCTCGACTTGATTCTTCACACATGTGTTCGGGACTAGTCTTTATATAAACAATTTTTCTATTTCTTATTTTTTTTTTCGAATTCTCTTGCCCTCCAATCTTTCCAATCCGTCGGAACAACTACACTTACAATGGGTGGAATTGGTGAAGGAACTCACAAGAAGCGCAAGTTGCCTGAAGCGACCGAGATCGAGATCGACGTCTCTGCTCCTGAGCCTCCTTCTAAGAAGGCCTTGCGCAAGGCTAAGAAAAATCCCACAGAGGCCAAATCAGAGCCGGCCACGGAACAAACTTCAGAGGCCCCAGTGAACACCCAGAATGCTTCCGAGAAACGCTCTGAATACGGGGTTTGGATCGGAAACCTAGCGTTCACCGTGACCAAAGATGATCTTCGCCGGTTCTTTACAAGCAACTGCTCGTTTTCCGAGACCACTATTACACGAATCCACATGCCCAAAGGCGCGGAGAAATTTGGAAAGGCGCAGAATAAAGGTTTTGCCTACGTCGATTTCTCCACCGAGAGGGCCGCCAAAGAGGCCTTGGGACTGAGCGAACAGCTCTTAACCGGACGGCGCGTATTAATCAAGGATGCGAAGAGCTTTGCGGGAAGACCGGAAAAAAGCCAGCAGGAAGGTCAACAATCCGGCACCAAGACTGCATCCGGCCATCCTCCCTCGAAACGCATATTTGTCGGTAACCTCAGCTTCGACACTACGAAGGAAGACATTGAAGAGCACTTCGGGCAATGCGGGACTGTGGCGCATGTACATGTGGCGACTTTTCAGGACTCTGGGAAATGCAAGGGTTATGCTTGGGTGCAGTTTGATGAGCTTGCGGCAGCGGAGGCGGCGGTGAGAGGGTTCATGATGGTCAACGAAGACGACGAGGATGAGGGAGATTCCGCATCCGAGGCTGAGCAACAGAAAAAGCCCAAGAAGCCGAGACAGAGAAGGGTGTGGGTGAATCAGCTTCTAGGTCGACGTATGCGGATGGAGTTTGCAGAAGATGCGTCTACCCGGTACAAGAAGCGATTCGGCAAAGACAAAGAAACCAAGGGAAATGATTTCGTGGAGGAGGCCAGCGGGGCTGACAATTCAGCCGAGAGGCAACCAGCCCGACCTGCAAAGTCCAAAAAGCCGGATTATTCGCGGTACGATGAGGGAACCGTGCAAAAGCTGAGCGGTGCGATTGTCGAATCCCAGGGAAAGAAGACCACCTTCGATTAGATGCTCGGCGCTGGATGACAAGGGAAAAACTCCAAGGAAAGGGAAAGGAGATCTATGAACGTCCCGGAGAAACAAGATGAGATGAGAAAAGAATGACTTCCTACCCCCCTTAGGAACGACCGGGGGAGAATCTTGCTGGATCAATGAATCCCTTGCCGGAGAAAGGTGCAAGATGAAACGGTGGCCAGTCTAATTTTTAGGCGGTATAACCCGGCCGTTCCTCGAGTTTAGTTGCCATCACGACAGGGACCTCTTCCCAGTCTACGTTAAACCTTGCATAGCCACGGTCAGCAGTCTGCTCATAAGTCCGTGTCCAAATTATCGACCTCTGATACCCAAAATCAAAAGTTTACTCTGGCATGTTCTCACCATCGTATGTGTGCTTTGTCGATTTATATTCTGCGTTGTGTATTCAGTAGAAGGATTCAGCATCAATAACATCAACAACGAAGAGGGTTGGAAGTACGGAGTAGATCCGCGTATCGCGCAGAGGGGCTTAGTCAGCAAATGGGCTTGTCGATCCTTGCGGCGCGGTTAATACGTGATAATAACAGAACTGAGACGATAACAAGAAAAGAAAATGAAAAACTATAAGATAAACGACGGGATTTGTTTGTCGATTAGGTTCAACTTTCCTTTGGGTGTCAGGTCGACAGCCACACAAGGGTCCTTTTCATTTCGATCCAACAGGTAGTTAATTGTAGTTTGTACGGAGGAGGAAACCCTCGGAATTGCTGGTCTAGAATCGCTGATGTGGTTTGGGTGGGCGCTAACCCGATTGGGCCGGTTGACATCGAAAGAGATGTCATGGCTCGTCGCCAAAACCACCAAATCCATTGCTTCTCCTCAACTCTCCCACCTTCTCCCAACCCTCCTCGCCCTCGTTCGCTCGGTGCATCGTATTCCCATCAATATCCCTTATCCTAGTCGTTTGTTCATCCTATCGATCGTCCGTTACCCACTTGGTTCACTTTGGACTGTCTCGTTTCCGCCCGCCGTGGCCCTTCCTTGCAGGCCGCCGGTCTCGCCGCAGTTTCTGGTCGGTGCTCTTCCCCCCCAATACCGAACACCTCTGAACCGCTTGTCAACTGCGCCGTCCTCCTACTCGGCGCCAACTTCCGTCCACCTTCCGGTCAGATCTATCATTACTTATATATCCGCGTGAATGGCTCCGCGTCGTCACCACATCGGTGCGAGCCGGCGGACAAGGCGAGAAGAGGAGGGCGAGGATGAAGGCTCGATAAGTGGGGAATTGGAGGATGACTCCTTGAGTGAAACGTCGGGTATTAGTCACCAGGAAGACGACGATGCCGATGGCGAGGGAAGTGATGATAGCGATGATGAGGTGTCGATACCCCCGCAGGGGGCCGACACCAATGGCCATCCGATCAATGGTCGTACGCCTGAGGCAGGTCAGCAATCGAGGAGGTTTCATTCTGCCTCCCCCGACAAACGGGCTGCGACCAGCGCTATTTCCGACACCGAGGCTATGATGAACGGGATGAAGATATCGGGGGAGACAGACGAGGCGGTCGAGATACATTTCGACCAGATGAAGAGGGAGACGAACCAACCGACTGGAAGAACGCCGTCCGCGGAGCCGAGAAGAGAAACCTTTGCCGAGAGGAAACGTCGTGAGCATGAGAAGTACTCAAAGGAGAGGGACGAAACTCCGGCGTTCGTGCCAACGCGGGGAAGCTTCTTCCTTCATGATAAGCGTTCTACGGAGTCGATGGCCAATGGGCACAAGCCGTCCAACAAACCAAAATCGAGGCCTTATGGCCTGATTGTGGACGGCAATGTGCGCAAGTAAGTTCACTCTGCCCGCGCCTTCTCCCTCGATGAACAAGCCGTGTTAACCTACCCATGAGCAGGAATCCCGTGAAACCAGCGGCCAGCGGAGGGCAGTGGACTCATGATCTCCACGACACAGTTGCTGGAGATGTCCCCAACCACCCTCCCAAGCCTGTCCCCACGGCTCCCAGGTCATCTCCGCCAAACAGAACGTTTTCGAGTACGACACTGATTGGGAACGTGCCCGTTGTGGTTTTCCTGCCGGGAATGACTAGCTCCGCCTCGTTTCCTGCGGTGGCGAAAAAACTGCATACCCGTTTACCCCATCACCGGCCGCCCCTTCGTCGAGACAAACCCGTTCGGATTTCGCTCCCGGGGCAAGCCCCCAGATATATATTCCCTTCCACGGAAAGATCATTTATATTCATACCGCGGGCATTGCGACCGAATCAGCAGCCTTTCCGTGGTCGTGGTCGAGGGGGGTTCTATGGAGGCCGACGCTCAAGTATCTACGGCGGCTCCTCCTATACGCCGAGTGTCTCGATGAGTCGAAGGTCGTCTGTCGGAAGAGCAGCCTCGCAAGAAGGCTATCACTCCCCGGCCGGTTCAGTTTTCTCGCGGCAGACGATATTGACGACGGAAAATGGCAAACCGGTTGTCCGGCTTCCACCACCTCGACCCCCTGGAGGTATTCCACCTGCAGGTGCCAACACAATGCCCGCTCATCCCGCCATGCCGCCTCCTCTTCCTCATCCACAGACTCTGAACCCCGCGTATCGTGAGAGCCGCCCCGCTCCAATCCCTATGCATCAGCCTCGTCCGCAGAAGGCGGTTTCTGTTGCCGACATCGAAACTCCGGCGAGCTTTACCTTCAACCCCCCTCAGCCACAGCAAGAACAGCCGTTCCATCACCAGGTGCCGGTCCCCGCGAACGGGCCCATGTATGTGCCAGAGGCTTCCGGTCCTCTCCCTTCTGCTCATTCCTCCGTGACTCCGTCATCCCACATACCCGATCGTGCGATTCACGCTCAACCGTTCCAACCGTATGGATTCCAGCAGCCCCAGGCCTACTACCCGGCACCCTATCCGGCCGGCACCGTTTACTATCCTAATTCCGGGGGTGAGTTCGTGCCGTACAGTGCCGGCGCGGGTCCAGGCACCTCGGTCCCGTCATTCCCTCCCGGGCAACACGCTCAGTATATGGTTCCCACAGCCCCTGCATCAACGGAGCAGTCCTCACAAGCGGGGACTGTTGCACACGAGGCCGGTGGCACGGTGTACTTCTACAACGCGACGCAGATGTATCCGAACTCGTCTTATGCGGTGCCCAGTGCTCCCGGTCCTGGCGGAATTGTTGGCGTGGGTGGCATGATGACCCCTCCCGGTCCAACTTATTACTATCCTCAACCTCCAGGGGGCGTTTACTATGCTTCCCAGTAGTGGGATACACCAGGAAGGGGAAACGGTAATCTCATTTGTGGAAGTAACTGGGTACCTTCACAACTATGTCGCCTCGCTTTCACGAACATCATTCTCATCTCCCATCACTTATCGCGTGTTATTTTTCGATTGATTTATTTTCCCCTCTTGGGATTCATTATTATCTTCCGTCTTTTTCTGCTTTTTCTTATCTCGATAATGGTTCTCCTACATTTTCACGGACATGTCAAGTATTTGTTTTTTTTTCCTTTTTTTTTTTTTTTTTTTCTTTTTTTTTCTTCTCTTTTTCACTTCCCATTTGATCTTACGACCTTTTCCTTCTTTTGTCCCCCTGTTTTTTTTTTTTTCATGGCTGTCTCGTCTTGCCGGAGCATTCTTTTCTACTTCCCATCTTTATTGTCCCTTTTTCTGCTTTTATCTCATTTTCAGTATTGGTCAGAGGCACCTCGCCCTATCTGCCTGGCTGCAATGTGGTTAGATCAGGATCCCATGCATTTACTAGCGATTGTTTTGTTCGTCAGCCGTGATTTTGTGTGTATGGGAATGCCTTATGATTTGTATGGATACCGTCTTTCTTATGATAGGGAAGGATGATTCGGCAACGCCCTCAACGCAGAAGTATTTCTTACTCCTCCATAGTTGGCTCCAGGCCATGAAACACTCCATGAAAACCGGCGAGTCGACGATTCCCCCGCTTTTGTCGGCTGCAGGGATCCCTACGTAATTGTGCATTGATGATCCCAAAGTCCTCCGCCACCGTTCTTTGGTCGGAAAGATGATGTTTTTCTTTTTTTCTTCCTGTTCTATTTTAAAACATTTCAGTTTGATCGGTTTGCTTTGCAATCATGCAGGAAGGGACAAATTGAGAAAAGAAAAGGAAAAAGAAAAAGAAAAAAGGGGGGATTGTTCCGGTTGATCGTGGTTCGAATGACCTGTCAGAAACGGGGAATGAGAAGGTGATTGATAGTATATATAAATATAGTATTGGTCTGGTCGGAGATCGATCTGAAGTTCCGGGAAATAATTACTAATGAGTTCATTCACTTTCACTTACTCTATAACTTCTACTGCTGCCTATACTAGAGACCAGACATCCTGGATGTAGATCCAGCCGAGGAACGGGCAAAGTATGACCGCATATTTGTAACTCGCCCAACGGTACATGCGGTGCCGTAGAGCTGGCGGTATACGGGGAGGTACTTCTGGGAGGGGGGCAAACCGCCAACCAGCCGCCGGGAAGCCGCTTCACCGCCTCGACCGGAAGCAGACAGCGCAGATGACCGCCAGGCAGCCAATTCTTAAGTCTTAAACTCGTCATTCAAACTCTCGCCTCTTCCCTCCTCTTCTTAACTCTTCCCTTTTCACCTCTCTCTTCCTTCCTTCACTTCCTTCCCCCCTCTATATCTAGCCGCTCACCTCCCTTCTCTGTCTTGCCCTGTATTCGTTGGTTCTTCGTTGTACTTCTCACCATATCCCAGCCCTATTTCCATCCATCCCCTGCCCTCGCCTTATCTCGTCCTTGTCACTCACTAGCGTTGCCGTCTTCCTTATCATCACCATCGTCATTACTACTACATCTGTTTTCCATCATGTCAGCTCCTCCTCCCCCTATCCCGGTCACTCCCAGTACCATCATCACCCTGAAAGTGCTTCATAATGGGAGCAATCGTCGCTTCAAGGTTCCTTTGAGAGAGCTGGGAGCTCGGGTTCTGCCCCAGAAGGTATGCATGTCCCCACCCGCAAGCCCCGACCGGGTCCTTTGACTTTCCCACCCTAACCCCATACCTACGGAGTAATGGCGTACTACTACTCCTACCTTCTCCGTACTCTGTCTACGTCAGCCCACCCGTTACTTCGGAGTAGGGCTGTCGATGTCTTACCATTCTGTTTTCAAAGATCACCTGGAATTCAGGGAGGATGCATAAGCATACTATCGTCAACGCCCATCATCTGACTTGTTTGATTGGTACTGATGTCTTAAACCATGTCATAGCTCCGCCAACTTCTTGGCATCCCGGATGATGTTAACGTCATCTTCGAGCGCTTCTCCGACAGTGCCGGTTCTTTCGTTCTTTTGGACAGCGAGAACCCTGCCATATACAAGCAACTCTACCGTGCTGCCAAGGCTAAACTAAAGCTGCGTCTTCGGGCCACTGTCATCGACGAGGGCTCTCAGCCCCCGCTTTACGAGGAACAGCAGCAGCAGCAGCAGCAGAAGTATAGCTACCTTGATACCGTCCTCAGCTCTCCGCTGCCCGAGTCTCAAGGTGAATTTTCTCTTGCCATGCCAAATGAGTCGGCGGAGAACACCCCTGATGTGGTAGAGGGTGCAGACAAGCCTGCCGGCGCTGAGCGACAACCCATGCAGTTGTCAAACACCTCCACTGTCACTCAGCCTCAGTACCGTGACTTCGTGCAAGACAGCTTGGATAGCCCCATTGTCTCTCACAAGCACCTGTCGGGGGTTTATTGCATTGACTGCAACAACTGCGGTCGGTCTATTCCTAATGAACATTACCACTGCAGCATTTGCGAGGATGGAGATTATGATCTGTGCCTTGACTGCGTGGAGAAGGGAGTCACCTGCCCAGATGAGGACCACTGGTTGATTAAACGAAGCGTCAAGGACGGGGTTGTTACCAACAGCACTACCGAAAAGGTTCCTCCTCTAGCGGTTCAAGCCGAGTCCCGAGAATCGGACTCCGTCCCTGAACTCGTTTCGGAAGACATTCCTCGCGCCCTGCCCCCTGTGCCAGAGCCGGTGGCCCGTGTCGAGGAGCGTATCTGCAACGGCTGTCTCAAGGGTAAGTAGAAGTTAACCATTTCCCCTTTCAATTCCCGATCAACGGACGTTAGGGACACCGACTGACCTGCGCTAGAACTCGATGAGACCAAAATGGTTACCTGCAGTGACTGTGAGGACTATGACCTTTGCATCACGTGCCTCCTGAAAGACACGCATGGTCATCACCCTGCCCATACCTTTTCCCTGCTCCATGACCGTCAATTCTGCCTGAAGAACATGGTGCTGTCCCGTTGCAAGCCTGGGCGCCATCATCAGCATGCCGCTATCTGTGATGGATGTGATAAGGTAAAACTCGGTCTCCCCAACTTCCCCCTATTTGCATCTGGGCGCTAGCTAACATAATTCACTAGAGCATCATTGGTGTGCGTTACAAGTGCCTCACGTGCCCCGATTGGGACTACTGCTCCGTCTGCCACATGAATGCATCCAACCGCCACCCAGGCCATCGATTCGCTCCTCTATACGAGTCTATTGCCGAACCATTGCAATCTCACGAGGTTCACTTTGGCATCTTCTGTGATGGCCCCCTTTGCAGATCTCAGTCGCGATCTACCTACATCACCGGAACTCGCTACAAGTGCTCTGTGTGCTACGATACTGATTTCTGCGCCAAATGCGAGGCCCTTCCGACCAACTTCCACAACCGCACTCACCCCATGGTCATGCTCAAGACCCCCGTGCGAAACGTCACTGTAAGCACTTTCCAGGAAGACAAGGTGGACAAGCCGGCAGCCTCCTTAGACGACCCCGTCCAAACGTCCACTCCCAAGCAGGCTGTTTCTACGCCACCTGAGCTGGAGTTGCCCACCCAGGAGACAACTTTCGAGAAGGCAGTCGAAGCAGGGCAAGTCGCAACCGATTTGCCTTCGACGGAGCCCATCCAGCCTGAATGGCTACCTACCGAAAATCCAGCTTCGAGCTACCAGGCTTTCTTCATCCGTGACACAATTCCTGATGGTTCCATTGTGTCTCCAAACAAAGTGTTCCAGCAGACCTGGACACTCTTCAACCCTGGACCCCTTGCGTGGCCCGTGGGTAGTGATGTGCGCTTTGTTGGTGGGGACTCCATGTTCAACGTTGACACGAACCACCCGTTGAGCCTCAACTCGATCTCTATTGCCATGGAGAGCAACAAACTATCGGCACCTCTGGAGCCCGGACAGAGCGCCGACTTCACCGTGACGCTGAAAGCCCCTGGCCGGGTGGGAACCGCTATCTCGTACTGGCGACTGAAGCTGTCCAATGGCATGCCTTTTGGCCATCGGTTGTGGTGTGACATTCAAGTCCAGGACGATAAACCCTCTGCGGCCAGCCCGGCCCCTTCGGAGCCGAAGGCTGTGGAAGAGGATACCCACCAGGACAGCACCGCGACGACGACAACAGGTCGTGATGATGGACGCAGTGGAAGCCAAATGATCTTCCCCAAACTGGACAAGGAATCACCGAACTCTAGTACCCACGAAGCGGTGGTCACGGCCCCGGCAGCCCCGTCTCTCTCTACTGCATCCGAGCGGGATATTCTCGAGGACGTTGAAAACTTGACCCTAGCTGACGACGATACCGAAGCCGGATTCTTGACTGACGAGGAGTATGAAATCTTGGATGCTAGCGATCAGGAATACATGGACGCTCGGTCGGCCCGGACTTGATTGATGCGAGGGCATGAAAGCATTTCTAATAATTTTAATGTTTTTTTCTTTATTTCATTCCTGTTTTTTCTTAAATCAACCCTCAGCTCTTGAACCAGTTTGACATTGTGCCGGCCTTTCTTTACTTTCTCGATGTTATTAAAATAGGGGAGTTGCCCTTGAAAATGACGGATGGAAAAAAAATTGTTCTTTCCTTTCTACCCTCGAAGTTGAAGAGAGTGGAATTAATCTGCTGTTTTAGTTGGCCGTAGGTTTTTTTGGGGTTTGTTCAACGGACTATCTGTTTTTTGCGATTAGGAATATCATTGCCCAGCTCCTTATTTACTTTGACTCCTATGATACCGATCACGTCGTAGGTTAGTACGGAGTAGGTATAGGTAGTATCTTGCGGTATCCACCTCCACTTTGAACCGAGGGATCTTCGTCCTCTGTCCCCGCATCATGAGAGAGCTCATAACTACGTCTCCGAGACATGGTGACACACTGTGTGGAGTAGTGAGTGACCCTGGACCGGTTGTACCCCGTAAGCACTGATAGTCCCGAGGATGATTGATTGATTTAAAATCCGGCCGCGGTAGGTCAAGGTGTCACAATGCTCCCTTTGAGACCTCTGAGTCCGACCCCTTGGCCCTCGGTCTCGAGTCTCCACTACTACCCTCCCCTCAGGCCTCGACAGACAAAGATCGTCATCTTACCGTAGACGTCACGAATCACGATGCATGCCCATTGCCCACATTGGTGTCCACAAAACTGGAGGAACTCCACTTGGGCGAATAATCGAAATGGGGTGAACTGAAGAAAAGTAGCTGCCGTCGGCTCGTTTGATTTCCATTTCCCACACTTCTCCCCCGCACGCTGCTGGGTAGTTCTTTGTTCTCTCTCTCTCTCTCTCTTCTTGCTTCTTCCTTCTTGGTTTGATTGCCAGTTCCCCTCTTCGCAGGACCCGGTTCTTTGTTCTCTTTTCATTTTCCGGCACTCTTTCACGCGCTCCTTTTAAGCTTCAAAGCTCGGTCTCGATTCATCTCGATCTAGGCGATTGGGACGAATCGAACATCGCTGCAGTAATGGGGTGGCTTATCCGCCTGGCGATTCTTTGTGCCTTCGTCGCAAGGTACTATACCCCTGTCGTCCACTATTTCACGGTGCTGGGGGTATCCCGAACACCGACCCCTGCGGTGCGACTGGCCACGGAACCGTCCTTCGTCAAGATCGAGGATACGGTGGTGTGCGAGGATCTGCACTATTATGAGCCAGCTGGGAAAATCTTCACAGCGTGCGAGGACCGTTATGCCTCGCGTTTCGAGTGGTTTCCTCCGTTGGGAAACGTGAAGGGAGCTGGGGATACGGTTGGGTCACTTCATGTCGTCGATCCTAAGGTAAGATCCGTCTTTCCGTGACTTGAACTTGAGAAAAGGGACTGAGTTGATTGGGCCTTGGCCAAGTAGACATTGGAATCAAGCCGTTTGATATTTCAGAACTTCCAAGGCTCGTTCGTTACGCATGGAATCGACGTGATAGCGGATCCCAGCCGGTCTAGTGCTGTCTATATTTTCGCGGTCAACCATTTGCCGAATCCGAAGTATGATGGAACGGAGCACACTTTCAAGGCCCGCTCACAGATTGAGCTTTTTCACCATGTCCTGGGCACCGGAGTCGCCAGACACGTACGTTCGATCCGCCATCCACGGATCATCACACCGAATGACGTTTATGCCGAAAGTCCGTCCACCTTTTATGTCACGAATGACCACTACTACCGCCACGGTCTGAAAAGACTGGTCGAAGATCTGTATCCCTTGGCTCAGTGGACCGACGTCGTTCACGTCCGGCTGGACCAATTGGAATCCGCAGATGCGGAAGCTGGAATCAATGTCACGACAGCATTGACCGGGATGCGAAACAGCAACGGCATAGGTCGCGGTCAGAATGAGGAAGAAGTGCTCGTATGCAGCGCTATAGGAGGAATCATGTATCGGGCCCAGGCGGATTCCGAAAGTCGCAGTATCTCCATTGTGGATGAGATTCGATTCGACAGCACGATTGATAACCCTAGCTACTTCGTTGACCCTTACCGGACCCCTTCCGACGACGCCAGTGGGTATGTCCTGGCCGGTCTGCTAGGGGCTGCGAACCTTACCCGGTCCCATGCGGACCCAAACGCTCGGGATGGCGTTATGGTTTGGCATGCTCGACGGAAGCCGATGGCCAATGGGACGACCTCCGCCGACTGGGAAACTCGCCTTATCTTCGAAGATGACGGAAGTAATATCCACACCGGCAGCTCGGCTGTTATGGTCCCAACTGATTCGGCCAAACGAGCGCGACTGTTTGTAACAGGCTTCGCTTCGGAAAACATCGTTGCAGTCGAGGTGGAGCTCTAGGCGTAGCCCTTGCTTTCTTTTTCTTGTTTCTTTCCTCTTTCCCTTTCCTCCCCTTCGAATGCGCCAAGCGCGCCGAGCATAGCGGAATGCGGATTCTTTTTACAGCTGTTCGCTTGGTGCATGATATTGAGTCCAGATAAGGCAGAATAGTTCGTTACAAGCTTGACATTGGCTCTTCTTGCTAGTAGGGTATCCACTTCATAATGGATCTAAATCAATCAGGGTCTCTTCTCAAGGCTTCTGATCACGTCTGCGGTGCTCATGACCTCCGCGAATTCCTCCTGCAGACTGGCCACGGAAACGGCATGGATGGTCTCCGCATCGATGCCTGCCTTGGCAAATGTGGCCGTTGCGTCCGCTACAAGGATGATTCGTCCGCGGTCGATAGGCACAGGGTCCTGCGTGCCGGTCTTGGCATCAATGGTGATCGGCCCTTCTGGGAAGCGGTCCACCACTCCCAGGTTCGCCGCCATGCGCGTCGTGGTCGAGACGCAGTGGTCCGTCGTGAGACCGGCCAGGATAATCTGGCGGATTCCGCGCGCTCGAATGTGAGCTTCCAGTTCGGTACCGATGAAGCTAGAATTGACGTGCTTCCACATTACCGGTTCCGACCCATCAGCTGCAGGCTGGGCAAACTCATAGGGCCGAATACCGTTGTCCGGGTGGTCGGCATGGAGCGGGGACACGGGCGAAGAGGAGGAATGGAAGACGTGAATGACCTCGAGGTTATTCTTGTTATCCTCGGAGGACTTAATGGCGGCGCGAAAGGCCGTCAAGAGCGACTCCAGATTGGCCTCGTAGGAGGGGTTGGAGCGGGAGGTACCCCAGTGAGTGGGGTGGTTGAAGCCATACTGATTGTCGATCAGGATGAGGGCTGTGGGGAGGGAGAAAGAGAGTGACATCTTGGTCCTTGAGGGCTCTAAGGGACCAAGCGGAGAAAAGAGGAGTTTTGGGTATGTAGAACGATAGTATTGACTAGATGGGTAGATGGGCCCAAAGACGGTCTTAAGTAGTCTCAACCCAAATCGACCATGTTGGTGGAGATGAGTCAGAAATCAGGTACTAACTAGATAAGTGTGAACGGTTGCATTCCCAAGGTAAGACAGAGTCCTAACAGAGGGACGATCACGGAGAAGACGAGGTGCCATTGGATGGACTGATGATGTCAAGAGGAACGAGTCAGGAAGGACGACGAAGATAAGAAGCCCTCGTCACGTTTCCTGTCCGCTTGCATCCTGCCGCTGGGTGCCTGAGTGCCTGGGCGCTTCGGGCCTGGGGGCCTGGGGGCCTTGGGGCCTAGATGCCGTGACACTTTAATGCCTTAGAGCCTTGAGGCCTTGCTGCCTCAGGCTTCTATATAGATCGGCTCGCCCAACTTTCTTGCTGTCTTCCTTCCTGCTTCTTCTGCCTCTTCTTCTCCTTCCCATCGACTGGAAACTCATCCCCCTTCTTCCATCTCGATCAATTGCTTCAGTCCTTCTCAATCACATGTCCTGCCGCAATGCCGGTCTCTCTCGCCCCTCGTAGGGCACTCTTCGCTCATTCTCCGCCATGCGCTGTCGCCCCCGTCGTCTCTCTGCTCCGGCATCGTGAGATGCTGTCGCCGCGCCGCTATGCCTCGCATTCCTCCTCCAGCAAATCACACGTCCGCCCCTCCTCGTCCGCCCAGCCTGCTAGCTCCGCTGCTCCTTCAACCTCCTGCACCGCCACCACCTCCCTCGCCGACGATGTCAACCCGCCGCCGAGCACTCGCCCGGCCGACCTGAATCTCCCGGAGGCCATCGCGTCCTCCGCCTCGGCCGCCGAGAAGCTCAAGCGCTACGTAGCCATGGGCCGCGCATACCTCTCCTTCTACAAGACTGGCCTGAAGAACGTCTATCATAACTACCGCGCCTCCATCCCCATCCGCTCCTCGCTCGGCCTCACGCCCTACCTCCCCATCTCCCCGCCGCCGCCGGCCACCGGTGGCAAGGCGGCCGCCTTCCGCGACGCCGTCCACACCAGGTGCCTCAGCCGGTCCAATTTCCAACTCATCCGTCGCGCTGCCTACGACGTCCGTCGCATGATCCCCTTCACCCTCATGCTGATCATCTGCGGCGAGTTCACCCCGCTGATTGTCCTGGCCCTCGGCAGCGCCGTCACCCCGTTCACCTGCCGCGTGCCGCGCCAATTGGAGAAAGATCGCACGCAGAGTCTCACACGCAAGCGCGCCGCGCTGACGGCCCACGAGGTCGCCCGCTCCGGCTCCATGAAGCCGTTGCCCGCGGGCTCCGAGCCCGAGCTGGATCTGCTGGCCGGGACGTACACCCGCCCCGCTTGGATCGAGTCGGCGCCGGCCGAGGAGGTCCTGCGCGCTTGTGCTACCTTGGGTCTGGCTAAGACGCATACGCGGTCTACCGCTTTGGTGTCGTTGCTGTATCGGGCGCGTCTGCAGCGCTACGCCGAGTACCTGGATCTGGACGATCGGTTAATCCGGCGCTGTGGCGGCGTGACGGCGATGGATGCTGCGGAGGTCCGGATTGCGGTGGAGGAACGTGGTGGAGTCGGTGTGGGCGAGGGGAGCGAAGGATGGGATCTTGAGAGGGAAGAGAGACGCTGGTTGGAGAGATGGTTGGAAAGGAGAGAGGGTTGAGGTTGACCTTGGATACTGTCTAGTATAGATTAAAAATGGGTTGGATTTGGGAACCTTATAGATAGCATCTTAATTTTCATTCTCGGTGTTTCCAGTACCGAATATATAAAAACGATTTTATATTGTACATTTCGGAAAGCGAAAAAAAAAAAAAAATGGCACGCTCTCCAATTCAGCCGGTCCATGGGTCATGGTTATATTAACACTGATAACGCTTGCAAGGTAGCAATTTATACGTTGGTATCCAGGAATTCAGGGTCAGAACACAGCATATACGCAGCAAAGTAAATTTTCAGCTGGCACTGGCAGCCTCGGCGGGTTGGGCCTGTTGGGCCTGTTGGGCCTGTGCTTGCGCCGCATTCCGGACTTGCTTGGCCCATCGGAGTCCGCAGCTGTTGCAGAGATCGCGATTCCCGCTGGGTCCTCGTCGCCATTCGGGCGTTCGCTTGGTATGGCAGATCGCACAGCTCTTTTCCGCCAGCACGGTGCTCAGCTTGCGCTTGCGCTTCTTTCTCCGCGTGAGCAGTCGCTGCAGCTCCTCCGATAGGGACCGGTTCTGTTTCTCCAGATCACGCAGCTCCAGCTGCCAGCTTGAGCCTCTTGTTGGTATCAGCTCTGTGAAGAGAGTCTCCTGGGTGGATGGGTCGCGCTGGTTGCCCGACGGTAATCGACTAGGTCCCTCCCGAGCGGGCTGGATCTGAGCAGGTCGATTCGAGGGTCCCGGAGAGGCACTCGGGGGCCTGGGGAAGCTGATCTGAGCGACTAGAAAAGAAGGTTTCATCCCTTCTTTAGTATCTCCCGGGTACAGCGTAGTGTGCACCGGCAGCATATGTCCCTTTCGGTGACGGATTTTATGCGCGAAAGTGACTTTTTGGCCATTTCGAGACAGTCCCAGCGCACGCTGTGCCTCCCCGCGCGCATCGATCAGATCCTGGATGCCTTTGCCGATCAGGGTATCCGGCATGCGTCCTAGAACTGCCCTCGCTTTGGAGGACATGAAGAGAATGATTCCCGAGTTGGACAATTTAGCCCAGAGATCGTTTTCAGCTAACTCACCGCGACCAAGCTTCGCGACCTGGTTCAGGTTGTAGATTGGACGTATTCGCCCGGATAAAACCATGAACTGCCGTCTCCGATCCGCGATGTGCCATGATCCGTGGCACTCAAACCAGACATATCCGCCGTGTTTCCTTCGGATCCGATACACCATGCTGATTGGGTCCGTGGTCGTACAAGCGCGCATGTCACGGACCACGGGTCCGATATCACTAGGATGACACACTGTCGATAAGGTCTTGCCCACCAACTCGGACGGCTCGTACTCCAGGATACTCCGGCAGGACGCAGACAGATAGAGAAATTCACTCTCGAATGAGAGCACGTGGATTACGTCGTCGGCATTTTCGACTAAAACACGTTCCAGATACATCATGAGATTTGGGTCCCGGGTCTGGACTCCGTCTAAAACGGTGGACACCTCCTCGGGGCCAAACATTACACCAAGTTCGGGGTTGGTGCGGAAAATTTCAGAAGCAGGCACCACGTAGTTCGGCAATTGCGTGCGCTGGTAATTAATCATGTAGGTACCGTCTGAAACCCGCGAGTCAGTTTTGGGTCCGCCAAAGGAAACTAGAGAATTGGGTGGAAACCATACTTGGATTTCTCCGGGTGACGGCGTCAGGCTTTTCGACAAGGTCGACTTGGAACCCCACGTAGAATCGATAGTCGCTGGAGTTCCACCGGATGGGGATCATTGTAATCAGGTTCATGAACGGCTGACCACCTTTTCTATAGTTTATGATACTGGCTTGGATTTCTGACCTGTCCTCGATGGTCGATCGCAGGCGGAAGGCAGTGTGCTGATCGACAAAAGCCCGCTTCATGCCTTGTTGGACCACACCATCTGGACCTTGTAGGAAGCGACAGTTTTGACCAACAATCTCCATTTCCGTATAGCCCGTGAGCCTTTCAAAAGCTTCCGAGACATAGACGATGGGATGGTCCTCTTTAGTTATGTCACAGAGAACAAATGCGCATGACAAGTCGACCGCACCGACGTCAATTTTAGGATTCGGCCGTGATACTACTTCAGCCTAAAGACATCAATGAACAATTTGTCAGACGACTTGTTGGAACGGAAGGCTAGAAGAGAGGAGGAAGGGAGCTGGGTGGGGGGATGAAGGGTCAAGCCTCGCTCTCCAGCAGTCGAGTGACGAGAAGTGCGTTGTAAAACCTACCAAGACACCCATGATATCAAAGCCGCTACTCGAATAGATACTAGCATACTGTGAAGATTCGCCGCGCGATGCGGACCTGGGATATGATGTCGAGGAGGAAGCTTTATGGTTGTCGAACTCCGCATCAGCCCGCTGCAGCACGTATTTGAAATAGAGTAAACCCACCCTTCACTGGTGACGGCCTCTTTGGTTGGATAAACCGGTGAGAGGGCGCGTTACTTGACGATTGCGCGGACGACTGAAGTGTCCGTGGTCGCCTACGTGTGCTTGCTAGCTCGGCAGAAAAGGAAGCATTTGCAGGCGGTATAGTGGTAGTGGATACCGGTTGAGTACGAGGGATTTCGGGGATGGCTGGGGGGTGAGGTTGGATTTGGAGTTGCATTTGGGGTTCGACTTGAGGCTGTTGAATCTGAGGCTGCTGAACCTCGGGTTGATGAAACCGGTGCGGTTGAACCTCGGGCTGTTGGAACTGGTGCGGTTGAAACTGGTGCTGTTGAAATTGGGGTTGAGCTTGTGGCTGGGGTTGCTCCCAGTACGCGCTTGGGTACGTCGTGTGAGTTTGCATGGCCGCATACTGCGCCGTCTGGCCCATATTCATCGAATGCGACTGTAACGATTCGAATTGGGCCGCCGAACGATGTTCCAGGTTTTGACCATGGATATGGCTATGATCCAATGACACGGTGGACGGGTACGAGGAAGGGTCGAAGGCAAATGAATTTCCGGGGGTCATAGACATGGAGAGCGGATCATAGGTAAACATCATATTGGACATGCGACCATCCTGGTAGCCCGTGGGCTGCAGAGGCAAGTTGGATGTTTGATGTTGAAACATAAACGGGGCATTGGTGGCCAGCATATCCGACCTCTGCTGCGGGTAGGAAAAACTCCCGACCTGCATGTGGCCGGGAGCAGTATAGGGCATCATCTGGCCATGTTGGTCGTCGGCGGGGCGAGATTGATCCAGGTGGTGGTTTGCTGACGGAGGCAAGTAATACTGGGAATTATAGAAGTCATCATGGTATCCGTCCATCCTGCGATCGGCCAACTAGCCAGATAAGCACACCCGATCGAATCGACCCAGGGGATTGGAACCAATGGGGCAGATGCATCCACGCCAGAAGAGGATGGCAAGACGGGGGATTCCGCCCAAACAAGAAAACCAGCTGTTTGATTAAAAAACGGAGCTTCCTTCGAGTCCAAAAGCTAGTGGATTGGCCGGGAGAGCAAAAAAGGTTGGTGGGAGGCAAGACAACCGAGATAAGGTGGGGAAGAAAAAGGGATCAATTGCGAGGAGCAACAGCTATTCGGCTGGTTGATATAAAGCAATATACGATTGAAAATAGACGGGAGGAAAGATAAATATCCGAAATAAACAGGACAAATTCAGAGCCTCCCAAAATTAACGATTTCTATACAAGAGAAGGAGAGGATATGTGGAAAAATGAGAGGGGAGAGGAGAGGGCGGGAAGAGGAGATAGAGAAGAAAGGGCGAGAGAGAAAGAGAGAGATGGGGACGGTAGAAAGGATAGCAGAGAGGATCAGAGCAATAAGATCATTCACATCATCAACATCATTATGACCAGATCGCGACGGCAAAAAGAAAAGAAAAGAAAAAAAAGTCCCAAGAGCCCGACTAACACCAAGGGTATACGAATGGAGAGCGAGGACAAGGGGAATGTCACCTGCAAGCGCGGGCCGTCAAAGAAAAAGTGGATATTGTGCCAATCAAAAGGATGCGGGAAGCACCGTCCCCCGGCGATGTGTCAGACGGCGAAAGGGGTTGGTTGATGGCGTTTGTGATGGATCAATTCGGGGCTGGAGTGGAAAGTGGAGAGGGAGAGGGAGAGAGAAAGCGAGAGAGGGTGGAAGAGAGGGAAGAAAGGGAGGATGGAAGTCGGCAGGGAGAGAGATCAGGTCTGTAGTCCGATGTATGTATGTACTTCGGTAGTGTCGGTTAGCGATGCAGATCGAATGCAATGACATGCAAATAGAAAGTAGAATGGTAGACTGGAATCTGAATCCGATCAATTTCGATATGAAGATCAATTATAAGGAAGAGAGAAAGAAAGAATGAAAGCAAAGAAGATGTCGTCATCCGCAAGGGATCACGTGGACTCGTCCCTATCTGGTAGTTATCTCTCTTCTCTACAGTTACTCAACAGTAGTCAGTGTTACTCTTCACAGTCTCCTACCTGTTTGCTCTCAGGAACCGGAGAACTCGTGTCGCAGGTTTTCTCTGGGGTCGACCCAAACAATGGACTTTGTTTGGCCCGTTTAACCATGGATTTCCGTGGCGGATCGAGATAAATTAATGTCCATGATTCAGCCTTCGCGTCTTCCTGCAGCCAATTTACCGCAGCAAACACTCCTGCCTGACTTACCTGACTTGCTCCGTAGATTATCTTTAATATCATTGCTTAATCTTTTTATCTGCTCATTTCACGGATTCTCTGCGGACATCAACTCCAAACAGGGGGAGGATCCTCTTTTTTTTTTTTTTTTTTTCCCTCTCTATTTTACCCACCCTTACTTTGAAGTTCCACGGATCTCCTTCTCCCGCCTTCTTTCTCTCCCTTTCTTTCATCTCGCTTTCTCTGCTTTTTCTCCCCCCTTTTCATAATTGAATTTCCTCCCGGGGAGATCTAGTCAATTTCATCAATGTCTCATTCACGCTCGTTATCTCGGTGATTGGAAGGGAATTGATCTTCATTCTTTGATCTTCCACCACGCTCTCTTATCGCGCGCGCTCTCCCTTTTCCGATTCTACTCCGTACTTTTTGGATCTGTTGAATTGACTCATTAACCCCCTCTTCATTTTGAATTAATACCACTATTGAATCTCTTACGCCTGGAATTGCATTTCATAAAGGGGCCTCGTCGTCTCCTATATTCATTATCTTCTTTTCTCTTATACGTTCCTTAGATTCCTCTTCCGGCTGCTCCACGCGATGGCGGACGCGCCAGATAAAATTTCCATCACAATATGCGGGGATGGTGGATGCGGTATGTTGTATAACGCCCTGAGCATGTTTGCAACTTGGTCCCTGCTCCACTCGTGCGTTGCGATCTAGTCGAGTCCGGGATCAGATGGGCAAACTTGCAGCCCCATTGGTCGCGATGACAGGCATTGGCATGCATCTAACATACCTCTCCAGGAAAATCTTCCATCACCCTACGTTTGGTCCGATCTCAGTGGATTCACGAGTAAGTGCTCTTTCCGATTGCCCTTCCCCGGATTCCCGATGGGTCTTGGATTCCCCTGTACTGCGCAGCGGCAAACGGGGGGGGAAAAAAGGAAATTGGCTAACCCCTGACGCGATATTAGATATGATCCCACCATCGGTAAATATAGCCCATCCTGATCCGCTCATCCCCACCGCTTTTCTAACACCTGGATTGTTTGTCGGAATTACAGAGGATTCGTATTCGGTCACACGGACTATCGACGGTCTCCCCTACTTTCTGTCCATCACGGACACGGCCGGCCAGGAGGAATATCGCGGGCTATGGACGGCATCCAACTTGAAGTCCGACGCCTTCCTGCTCGTCTACGACATTACCAATGCCTCCAGCTTGAGCGCATTGGACGATTTCATGGAATTGATCAACATTGAAGCGGAACAGCGCGTGGAAGATAACCAGCGACTGCTGAAGGAACTAGGGGGCGATGCGCAGGGCTTGGACGTGGGCATGCCTCCCCCGATCAAGATCGTGGCCGGGAACAAATGCGACCTCAAAGAAGGGCGCGTCATCGGCGCGCGGGAGGGTTTGGAGTATGCCCGGAAACATGGATGCGGGTTCATGGAGACAAGTGCTCGAGAGATGGTCAATATCGAGGAGACATTTGCACGTACGTCATTTCCGATTTCTGGCTCGCTGCCGTTATGATCACGAAGAAGGAAATGGAAAGCGAGACGAAAACCTAACTTTGCTCTAGTCCTAGTTCGCCGTGTCGTGGAGGCTCGCCGACTTCATTACCAGAGAGGGGAATCGGCGACTAATGCGCCACAACCCCTAGGGGTTCCGACCGAGAAGCATCCCGACGCAGCAGCAGCACCTGAAAAAACAAATTCCTATCAGCCCAAGGCGAAACCCCCGCACCACAGCATTCTTGGAATGTTCAAGAAAAGTGACAAGCCATCGGATCAAGAGCCGGCACGCAAGTCTTCGGGGCAGGAGAAACCATCGGATACCCCCAGGCCCAGTATATGGAGACGCCTATGTTGTCGGGGTTAATCGCTGGATGGCTTGATTGGTTTGATTCTTTGTTTAATGTCGGTGGATGTTTTTATTTCATATACCCCTCAGGATTGAGTGCACGGATTGATTTGTATTCTAAGTATCTATATTGCCTGATTCCTTAATAAAAATTATGTAACCCCACAGTAGAATCATGGTCAACTCGATAATCCTTCAATGTCGGGGTTACAAAAACCATTACAAATTGTGGAGAGGGCATTCACAACGGTGAAGTAACCTTCCTCGGGAACAAGGTTGACTGATGAGGTCATACACATGCAAGAGAAGGAAAGCTCTTAGCCAAGGAAAAACAAGAGGGACTGGACATTACATTTGCCCTTCTCGAACGAACCTTCCCTGCATCGAACCACTTTGCCAGGCTACTGGCAAGTTCCAAACGAATTGGAATCGAGTCCGGAGTACGTACTAGAAATGTAGAATCCCGGGCAAATTTTCTCAGAGTCACGGTGGGTCGGTTTTCTTCGAAGGAATGCGGGATGACGCTATTCGTCTTATGTGATTTATTTTTTTCTACTTGAACTTCCCCCCGGCCATCAGGGTCTAGAGCTTTCCCTGCGTCCCACGCGTAGCCTGATGTTTCGGCGATTCGGCCAGGTTCGAGGGATAGCACCGTAGCACGAGGTACCGTTTACGGAAATGTGCATTTAGGAGTTTAAGGCACCAAAAAGTCATAACCGAGTAGTATGGGGCAATTCAGAAACCCATTCCAAGTTTCTGATGTAGGATTTGAGTCTTGACACAGCTCGGTGACGGTGTCGGGTTCGGTGCGCCGCACTCACGAGTCCTTGGGTCATGGATTGTTAGATATTGGGGGGTTGAATCATATCCTGAGAGCAAAGATCTGGATCTTGATGTAAGAAAGAGGAAAGACGGGGAGGCAAGACGATCCTGAAACGAGAAAGCATGATCTACCCGCTTCCATGGGAGCCATTGCACCACCGGCGTCAGGTTGATCTTCAGCCATCAGGGCTTACTGACAGTCTAACAGTGCAAACTACAACAATCCTACACACTAGACAGTACTTCTAGCCGAGAGAGAAAGAGGGAGGGGGAAGATAAACATCAACGTCATGAACAGTCATGAAAGGCATAGATCGTTAAGAGTGGGCGACGGCATCGACATGCCGGGGCTCATATACAAATAGTAACTAGTAAAATAGTACCCCATTTAGATGCATAGCATAGACCAGCATACTTGACCCGTCCACGGGGCGAGCCAAAATCTGACGCCGTTAATAAGTGCAGGGATTGCAAGGAGGCCGGTCTAGCGTTAAGCTTTCGAGAAAAGAAAGCGACCGAGATTCCGAATATCCAGGCTCGTGATCCGTTTCCCAGGGACATGAGCGATTAAAATCGAAAATTCTCTCGCCGGGGCACTAACTAGTGCCAAAGCGACTAGACGCTCCGTCGCCCGTTCGGCCTGCGTTTGCCGACGGATGGAAGTTCGGAGGGCTTTCCCTTTCGTTTTTTGCAAGATTTTTTGTACACACGGGGTTATGCCGTAATGCCGAGCTATGCATGTCTGAGCTGACATTGGCGTTGATTTGCAGCAACGGGATTATAATCATATTCATAATCATATTCATGATTAGTGATGTGCTCGGTCCCCAGTGCGGTCAACCACCCGCTTTCTTTCAGAACGTGGGATCGAAGATTAATCATGATGATTCTAGATGACGCCGCGGACATGCATCCTTCCTGTTTAATATTGTATGTAGTACTAATGAAATCTGAATCTCCCACGATGAGACAAGACCAGACTGGAAAAGTGTCTGGACGGAATCGACGTGAACCCACTCGGATATACGGCTCCAATCTGAGCAGGTTTCGATCCGAGTCCACAAAACCTTAATGGACAGGGTGGAATTTATGAGTCAATAACGTGAAGTCAGAGAGAAAAAAAAAGAGCAGATTGCTGGATGAGGAAATTCCACACCAGCTCCAGGGCTAGGGATGTTGGCACCTCCGAGGTCCGAGCCAAGGCTCCGACTGCCAGCTCCGTTATCCGTACACTGTACGGGGCTGGTATTGTGACGGGCCACCAGGGCCTCGTATATTCCGGTTTGGTCAGGTATGGTAACAGATATTTACTTTAGGTAGGTATGTACCTTAGTTAGGTAGGCTTACTGTAGACATCTTGACCGTCTATAATAATGGATGCTTTATTCAGGGCATTCTTCAAACCTTAAATCTCCGGTCAGACTAAATTGGATTCGAGTATTCACAATAGTAGAATATTTCCAGAAATGTCCTCGGCTGGATGTACGGCATACGGTCACAGTCAGGCCAGCCAACTTCCGTTACGGAACATCGTACTGTATCGGTACCAACAGCTCCACCGGAGAACCTTAGCTAAGCCAATGATCTCCGTCAGACTCGAATAATAATTAATAAATAATAATATTAAATATGAAATATGAAATATTAATCCAGCTGGAACTGCCTGCCTCAGCATTACTTCCTCCTGCCAGAGTATTAGTGATGGGGACCAAAAATAAAAATAAAATAAAATAATCCCTAACATTTAATCCCGATCCATTTAAATAAAATAGAGAAATACCCTGCGGTCCTCCTCATAAGCTTCAATTAGTTAAAAAGCACCGGCTCCCTCGTTCTCCTTCCTCCTTGACTTAACTCTTACTTCAGCGGTTACTCACCATCTTCAACCACTGCAACCTTCCCAGTCCCGGTTTCTTGGGTCCGTCCAGCTGCTACTTATTCATTACCCTTCTATGATCCAATGTACCCTCTCGCTCGTCGATTCTTAAACCTTGTGCCTTAAACTCCCCGACATCGTTGGATCATCGAACCAACCTTAAACCGTCTTGTCGATCATCGGCGCTGACACCACCACGAGAGAGGAGGCCTTTATAACTTACACGCCCCCCCTAACCCGTGGAACCTTCTTGGAGAAAACGTTCTCCTACTTCTATTTGGATTCTTCTATATATAACATCTATACTTCGGCTGGGGGATCTTTTTGGTTATCCTTGGTGTTGTATACATACGTACTACACATCTATATACAACAGCACCTCGACCTACATACATTGATTGGCACGATGACAGCACGCCAAACGTCACCCACGTCAGACCACTCCCACTCGGACAATAATGTCCGCAAGAGGGTCTGCAAGGCTTGTGATCGGTGTAGACTGAAGAAATCCAAGGTAAGCAACGGCCACGGCCCAATCAAACGCATCAGCGCGCTCTGATGCACTGACCCGGTGCAGTGTGACGGAGGTAATCCTTGCGGTCGGTGTAAGGCGGACAATGCCATCTGCGTCTTTGGCGAGAGGAAGAAGGCTCATGATAAAGTGTACCCTAAGGGGTGAGCTTGCACCTTGCCGTTGATGTTATTTTTATACGACTTGCGGAGAATGTCGTTGCGCTAACTCACTGCCATCGCTAAATAGATATGTTGAGATGCTGGAGCAACAACAAGCATGGCTAGTACATGGTCTGCAGGAGATGTATCGTCGCGCCAGCGAAGGCGAAGGGTGGCCCGGCGAGCCCTTGAAATGCGAACCCAACGGCCACCCGCTCACTCACGATCTGCTCACCCGGTTAGGGGCCTTGGATCACCACAAGGGCGAACACTTTGAAGAAAGCCCGGATGTGATGCAGCAGGAATTGTGGAAGCAGAATGCAGGACATATGCAGCGCCAGGACTCGTCCGACGGCAGCTCCGAGACCGCACAATCCCCCGTCGTACCATCGCGCTTTTCCGACGCCTTCTCTCGACCAATGCCGCCCTCGCCGTCCGCCTTCAGCCCTTCGTCGCGAACGCAAGGGCCGACGATCAAATCAGAGCCGCATATGACACCCAACAACCCGGCCTTTGTGGCACCGCTGGCCATGCAAGGGGTAGTGAATCCCGTCGCATTGCAAGCGCCGCAGCAATGGAACAACAACTTTGGCGGATTTGATGAGATGGATCTGATGGCAACGCCCGATTATTCGAATTTCTCGTTTGAGGATCCCATGTCGTCGCCCATGTTCAACCGCCAAATACCAATGAACTGCATGGTCTCCTCGTCGTATATGGACACCAAGAACGACTACGAGGATATCAGCCAGTTCCTAAATGCCAACGCGCCGGAGATCGCCTCCACTTGAGCTTTGATCAGCAACCCTATCTGCTTACGCCGTGTGACGTGATGCATGTATAAGTATACATGTTATTTTCTTCCCTTCTTTCTCCACTTATCATTCTACCACTTATACTTTTTTCTTTTTCATACGGCGATCTATTTCCGGTATAGGGAGTGACGGGGTGACTACGGACTTGTACAGTGTGTCTCTTTTCAAGGGCGGGGAGCGCTGTCGAGTAGATACTCGACAGTCCCCGAGGCGTTCGGGAGCAGGATCTCAAAACAAAGTCTGGAACCATGGAGTTATTGGAGGGTGTTTTTTGAACTATTCTATCTGTTTTTTCTTGGCGAATACTTTATTTTCTGCGATGATATTTCTACACCGGTGTCTGGCTGGGGATAGATATCACCATTACACCATACCGAGTCATTCAATATCGTGATTCATACTTCTTCAGCACATGCCCCATGAGCCATGGTTACTTACACCCTACATACTACCTCGCGCCCAGCCGAGCTTTGACCGATCCAAGACCGTCTAGACGACGGACCAAAAAGCCAGGAAGTTCCGAGGCCGATGACTAATCGGACGGGCGAGCACAGTCAAGTCCGACGCGCTCGTCTTATCTCCGGGCCGCCGCGCGAATGATGACACCTTCACCCCTTCTCGTCTCCGTCATGACACGTCGAGTTGAACTCACTTGCGCTGATCGGATTCTGACTTCATCTTGATCGTTACTTTCCATCAGGGTTCAGGGTTCAGGATGCTCTACTTCCAACCTTCCAGTCTCCCACCATGACATGATCATCTAAATCCAAATGGCACCCCCCCCCCCCCCTGGTCCTTTCCCTCGTTCTGACTGAAAGAAGGAGGGTCCAGGCTCCACTTCAGATACGACCGGATCAGAGGTCAGGAATCCACCGTCAGCCCAAGCGAACTAGTTAGTCGTTCTCGTGGAATGTTCTTCCCTGATTCAAAGAACTTCGGCGAGTCGGCGACCCAAGAAGGGAAAAAAATGAAAAAGAAAAAAAAAAAAAAAAGGGCCCCATAACTCCATAATTCCGTGACTGTCAAAACTGGCCGAATGCCGACCTCCCCGATGTAGGAATTTACAGTAGGAAACGAGTCCAACAGCTAACAGTAACAGCCAGCCTCCCTGGCTCTGGGCTACCCATTACTACTCCGTACAGCCTGATAGCCTACCACTCCTGTTGACTGTCAAGTGTTAAGCCCGATCGGAGCTCCGAGAGTTGGCCTTAAACCTGAAGGGGAATCCAACTCGTTTCCCTCCGGATTACGGCAGAATCCAATAGGCACTGATTCAGTGATTTCACTTTCAGGCATAGAGTATGGATCTCCGGCCATTTTAGGCCAATTCCTTGTTTGGATTTTATTTAATTCTGTTTTTTTTCTTATGATTCTTTCTCTTCCCTTCTTCGTCTCCTTCTTGGTCTTCTTGGTCTTTCAATACTCCCTACCCCCCCTTGTCGTACTCGTATCCATCGACGTTTTTGATTTGCTCATGCTCCTCTCCTTATTATCTATAGAGTCAAATAGCGAAACTCATTTAATTTCAGGTCTAGACATAGAAGATCTTCGAATCACTGCAGAGTACACACTACTTCGTACAAAGAATATACTTCAGACATACGGTGTAGTAAAAACGTAAACTTCGGTAACGGGGACGGTTACGGTAGGTTCCTCGTCGATAATGGAAAGTGGGCTTGGTAATCGTTGGTAATCAATTCGGAGACTTTCTACGGAACCTTTTTCTTTCTTCTTCTTTTTTTGATTTTTCACTGTTTCGTCCCATGCTCGAAGGCCAGCTGAAGGCCAGCTGCTTTGATAAGCGGGCGCACCCTATTCAGTCTAGACTTTTTGACTGGGTTCTTCTTTATAAATGTTTCTAGTGCATCAGCGTGCATGATGCATGAAGTCATCTGGAAGGTATTTAGGATATTTGTCTATGCTGTTTTCAGCCCAGCTATTGAGCTACCTTGATGTATAGATAACATACCGTACATGTGTGTATGTATGTATGTATGTATATAAAAATACCAACCTCCGCACCGTAAATACACACGACCGCTGCATATTGCCCAAGACGGCAAGTTTGTCTTCCGTCCGATCTGTCAGAAACCGAGGATTAAGATGTCGTTACCTTACATAGTCTACGGAGTACAACTCTACATAACTACCTCATAATAACAGACAAAAAGAGTCTACACGGGATGCCGAGCATCATTACGTAGATCTAACTAACTAGCCACAACGCCCAGCGAGGCGGAGTTATCCAAACCCAAGAGTCCGCCGTTCAAAGTGCGCAGTCAAAGTCCGCACTCAAGTTGATCAGAAGGATTCCAAGAAATGCCCAATGTGGCCGTCGGGCTCGGCGCCGGGGCGAGCGCCCTCCGCGTCGTCCGCGGACACCGATCCGAGAAGAGCGAGAGCCCCTTGGGAGTTGGAGCCTGGGAGCCTTGGGGCCTTGGATTGAATGGATCGTCTGGGTCACATGCAGGCCTCCGCGGAGCAGCCATCATCTAGGATTCACTGTGTACACTGTACACACTCCGACGCTCTTATGTAACACTAAGTGATATGAGGTAATGACCTGAGAGACAGTTGTACACATGTCCATACAGTTAGGGCATTCTCATTACTCAATACATCCGTACAAAGCACATGTCCATACTATACCTCCACTGGCTATGTTCCTGATCCCTGATCCCTGAAACTCTGGGGTATAATTCGGTGACCGTTTGGGGCTCAGAGCCTTGGATATGTAACTATTATCAAATAGTTAACTATTTAGTGTCTGCGGTTATTTACTCCAATTATGTCATGTGCCCCTGACTGGCACGGATTAGCTTTCCAAGACTCAAACAGTAGATAGTGGACACCAGATATTACTGCCTGAGGCATGGACCCCGGAAGTTTACCCATTGGGGTAATTGTCAGGTGGGCAGAGCAGCAACAGCAAAGCTTCACCGTGTAAACATCAGCCAAAACAAGTGTCAATGTCCTAGAGCGCAGTGAGATGAGGACCGGGAAAATACGTCGACCCTTCTAACTGCCAGAATATCAGATCTGCCAGGAACGGTTAAATGAGAGAGTGCTTGAGTATTGCTATTAGGCTAATATCTCCGGAGCGGATTGCGGGGTAGCAATTAAGTCACTGCCCCTCGTTTTGTTTTCTTTTTTCCTCCACTCTTTCTCACTCTTATATTCATCAATCCACACTCGGTTCCTGATCCTGAATTCCTTTTGGGCTTAAAAGAGACAGTTACGCTGCCATTGACATTGAATCCTCTCCAATCCACTCGCCGCATAACAACACCATGTCTCAATCCTCCGTCAAATTCACCTCCCTCGGCGCCATCATCCAGGAACTCAACGTCGCCGGCCAAAACATCGTCCTGGGCTTCTCCAAAAAGGAACACTACGAGAAATATAACACGCCCTGGTTCGGCGCCACGATCGGCCGCGTCGCCAACCGCATCAGAGACGGCAAGATCAACAGCCTCAACAACCAATCGTACGAGCTGGAGACCAACGATGCGCCTAATGCCTTGCACGGTGGTAGTCAGGGGTGGGGACGACGAGACTTTGAGGGTCCCTATTTGGTGCGCCGCAACGGGAAAGATGCCCTGCTGTATACCTACCGGAGCGAGCACCTCGAGGCTGGATATCCCGGGACGGTGGAGTTGAGGGTCTTTTATACGACGGATGAGGAGGTCGAGGGGGGCGTTACTCGCACGGTGTTGGCCATGGAATATGAAGTTGAATTGGTGGGGGATGAGGTTGATGAGACGGTGATCAACGTGACCAACCACAGGTAAAGAGCGCCTATCGATGCAGATGGATGATGGATGATTCTGCACAGTTAAACTAATCGGGGCCAGTTATTTCAACCTGAGCGGCGACGAGACCGTCGACGGAACCTCGGCAAAGCTCTCGACCCAGGACTACCTGCCACTGGACAAGACCGGCATCCCCTCGGGCACGATCGAGGCGTACCCCCGCGGAGTTACCTCGCCGTTCACCATCGGACCGAACCAGCCCGCCTTCGACGACGTGTTTGTCATGGACCGCGACGTCGCCGGGATCCGCCTGGACACGCGCGAGCAGCCGCTGAGACTGCTGGCCGAGTTCCGCCATCCGCGCTCGCACATCAACCTGCAGGTCCATAGCACCGAGCCCGCGTTCCAGTTCTACACCGGCCAGGGCACCGACGTGCCCGCCGTGGAGGGCAACCCTGCCCGCAAGCCCTTTTCCGGGTTCTGCATCGAGCCGAGTCGGTTTGTCAATGCGATCAATGAGCCTGAGTGGCGCCACATGGTGGTTTTGAAGAAGGGTGAGAAGTACGGTAGCAAGGTTGTGTACAAGGCCTGGAAAGATGCGCAATAAGTACCTACAGAGTACACAGTAATGATCTGACCGGTTGATGGATTTCATTATGTTTTTGATACTTGGCTACGACCAATCAGTTAATCTGGAATCGATCCCTGCATCTATGCCTTGTATGGACGAGAAATATGAGTTAGCGAATTTATTATTACTTTTTGTGCGGACATTTTCCGCCCAGCGAGAACGGAATAATCCGAAATCTGAAAACCAATCATCCGATAATGTATCAGCTGATGGGCCGATTCTCCTGCAAACCCGTGATATGCATCCGATGTGGGCCTAAGATGGAGACCCAAGTCGGCGACTTGATTACTATTTATCATTGAAGCGGTTAGACTGTTAGTCCATTCGGCACACTTTTCCACAGGACCAGACTGTGACAGGGACTGTCACATCGGTTTGAAACCTGAAGAGAGCAGAATTTGCATGCTCCTGCGTCATCATTCCTCGGCAGGAGGGGAAACCGAAAATCGCTCATGCTCTTGGTTCCTGAATCGCCAAGGATTTCTGGAACGCAGCTATTGTTTCTAGTGTCTTGGGTTGGTCTGCCCGTGATTCGTTCACAGTTAGATGGTGGTGGTGGTGGTGGTGGTGGTAGAGGGGATGAGGGGGAGTCTGAGACCGATCTCAGTGATCGCAAAAAAATATCCTTGTGTAGACACTACGGAGTAGACTGTATCTAGGGTAGGTAAGTGTAACTGCCCGTAGAAATAAAGACGGGGATCGAGGGTTTATCGAGGGAACGGAAGGTCTGACGAGCATGAAAGAAAACTCGATACGGCAAGTGAGCCTGCCCCGTAAGAATACCATACGAGGTTACGAATACACCACCCATACCAGGAACAACGGGTATCGGGAGGCCTGTCACGTTCTGTCACAAATACACCGGAACGGAAGGCAAAAAGCTTGGCGATGACGATCGCTTTCCCTCTGACATAATATTATGAATATTGTGAATATTCCAACATAACTAGTAGTCAGTAACCAAGCCATGCAGTAGCTGTCCCCCTTTCTTTCCCCGCATATCGTTCCATGCACTATTTATTCCTGTCTCTTGAATCGCAACTTCATGATTTGAATGGCCCTTCAGACCGGGGATACCCGTCACCGGCGTCCCAGAAGGATGGGACCATCGTATCCCATTTGCCAGTCGACGGGACGCCTACGGAGTACAACGAATCCTGCTGCCTGATCGCGAGGCAGTGTTGGAGTGCATTGTCCACGTAGTTCGAAGATAGATGCTGCAATGGCCAAAAGGCTGTGCTCTCGTCTTCGTATTCGGACTTCGCTGTCCTGAGGGTCCGGGCATCGTCCATCTCAAATCAACAATAATCCACATTTAGTTAGTTAACTCCGTGCTTCATAACTTTCATACTTCGATCCGATGCCGGCACGTGACATCGCGGAACCTCCCGAGAGCCGTTCGGTGCCCCGCGCGGGGGAGGGAAAGCTCCCTTCTTCTTGACTCATCAACATCTTTCTCGGATTCCCTGCCGTAACACACCGAATAGCGCAATGGCTTCTCAATACGGCGACCTGCGGCATCTGCTGCCCCTCAATTACAAGAATCTGATCACCGCCTGGCTGGAGGAGGACTGTCCGAGCTTTGATTATGGCGGCTTCGTCGTGGGGGAGTCAGAGGGGGAGGCTCGTTTGCTGGGGAAGAGCAAGGTATATACACAGCCTGTTTGCGAACTTCCTGGTCTTACCTGACCCTGGCTCGGTTTCCACCGTGAAATGCACAACTGCTAAATGACATCGCAATTAGGGCATCGTGGCCGGGGTGCCTTTTTTCGATGAAGTCTTTTCCCAATTAGGGTGCACGTAAGTTGATCTATATATCCCTTGGCATTGCATACCGTCTACAAAAAGCACTGGTTCCTATCTCTATACATATCCCATTGCATTCCAAAACCTAACCTAACCTAACCAACCAACCCAACCAGAGTGGAATGGCACATCCAAGAAGGCCAACCCATCGACACCTCCATAACCCACGTCGCGACCGTCCGCGGCCCCATCCGCAAGATCCTCCTCGGCGAGCGCGTCGCCCTGAACATCCTCGCCCGGTGCTCCGGCATCGCCACGAAGAGCGCCTCGCTCGTCGCCGCGCTCCGCTCGCACGGCTGGTCCGGTACCCTGGCCGGCACCCGCAAAACGACCCCGGGGTTCCGCGTCGTCGAGAAATACGGGATTCTGGTTGGGGGTGCGGATCCGCATCGTCACGACCTCAGCTCGATGACCATGCTCAAGGATAACCATGTCTGGGCTTGTGCGAATAACGCGGCGGCGAGTGATGGTGGTGCGGGTGACACCGAGTCCGTGGCTGCGGCGATCCCTCGTGCCGTGAAGGCGGCGAAGGCGGCGGGTGGGTTCGCGACAAAGGTCGAGGTTGAGTGTCGGAGTTTGGAGGAGGCGGATGCGGCGATCGGGGCGGGGGCGGATGTGATTATGCTGGATAATTTCACGCCGGAGGGTGTGCGTGACGCTGCGAGGCAGCTGAAGCAGCAGAATGCGGCGAACGGCGGCAAGCATTCGTTCCTGATTGAAGTCAGTGGTGGATTGAATGAGAGCAATGCTGCTTCGTACGCTTGTCCGGACGTGGATATCATCTCGACGAGTTCCATCCACCAGGGGACCGGGATCGTGGACTTCTCGCTTAAGGTTTCGCTGCGGTGAGAGAGGTATACTGCTCACTGAGTGGCATTGGAGAAAGAGAAGAGAGGAAAAGAACTACGCGTGAAGGTGTAACGACGAAATGTATATCTGTACCATGTATGTACGTGTCCATTCAGGCGTGGATGCTATCGACACTACTCTACCGGTGTAAGAATGACGAACATCAACTGCTGGAGTTGGTTTCCCAATGATAGCCTTTGTGTGTGTGTATATATATATGGACCCAAGAAGATTAATGTCCAAACGGGCATTCGTAGACATCAATATCCAGCATTCTTGCCTGGAAACCTCAATAATAATAGACATCGAACGGCCAAACAAAAAGCAAAAGACCGAAACTAAAGGGTATATGGTGTATGCAAGAACAAGAACAATCAGGCGACACGCAAATAAACAATAGGTGGAGGATGCCAGAAACGCACGTAAGCCAGTGGCTGAACATCGTCAATCGAGTGCCCCATCATATGTTGGGTCTTAGACCTCAATATCGACATAGATGCCCTCGCATTCGCTCGAGCTCGGTTCATCGTCTCGGTGACCAATGTAGTTTTCGTCGGATGCTTGCATCCTCCCAAGTTTGTGTCCTCGAGTATCATCGGCCGACGGCCCGGCCGCAATGGCTTTCTGCGCGAATTGTCTTTCCAACTGGGCCCGGAGCCTCTCATTTTCCGCATCGCGCTCTTCGAGTCGCTGTCGCGCCCCGCTCCGATCTGCCAGGCGTGCCTCCCGTTCAGCCTTCAGTCTCTTCTCGAGTTCGTGCAAACGACGCATCCACTTCTCGTTCCCTGGGTCGTTTTGCGTAGGCCGGGGTCGGGAACCGTGAACCATGGCCCCGGCACCCTCCGCTAGAGTCGTCGTCGAGGACACATGAGATGGCTGAGGAATACCAGAGGTGGAGCTCCGTGCAAGACCCCGCGACGCGTGAGGTTGCGAAGGATTCTCGACCGTCGAGTTGTGGCGGACCAAAGAGGACGGGGCTTCTGCATCGGACTCGACGCCTCGATTGCGCGTAGGTGACCGCGGGGAGGGAGACGCCATGCCTGCAGCGACGGCGGCGGCCGACGTAGGGACGCGAATGCGTGAGTGAGGCTGCCGCAGATTCAGTTCGGCCTTGAGGAGTCGATTCTCGCCCCGCAGTTTGGCCAACTCCGGCGATACGCCCGTTTGGCTCTGGCTGTACCGTTGCGCGCGCATATTCATCATGGACTCTTCCATGCGCTCCACCCGCTTGAATCGCACGCTACACGCATGCTCCAGAACCTGGTATTGCTTGGCCAGCTCCCGCTCGACCCCCTTGATGCGGCTTTTGAAGCTCGAAATCACCGTCTCCACGGTCTTGACCGCAAGCATCATATTGCGACTGAAGCCCGGCCAGAAAAGAATGTTGCCGATGACCTCTTGACTGGGGAGATTTCCATTGATCAAACTGTTCGAATGCGCCCAGTCTGGTCCGCACATGGCCGAGAGCCGCTTCCAAATGGCCAGGAGCATTGCGTTCCTCTCGCTGAGTTGGTCTCTGAATTGTTGCTCCAGGTTAGTGAACCGCTTGCGATCCTGGTTCCGGGCACTCTCCAACTCCGAGATGCGAGAGTTGCTCTGTGTGATGGTCCGCGAGGCCTGCTGATGCGATTTGAGCGATTGTTCGAATGATTGCTTGTCCGCTCGTCGCGCGACCCGCTCGTGATCTAGGATTTCGGACAGTTTCTTGGTCTCCAGGGCATGGCTTTCGAGGAGCGCATCGCGGTTCCGCAACAATGACTCTGTCTCGTCCAGCTTGGAGCGGACGCTTTCAAGCTCCAGAGCGGTAGATTCGAACTCCTTCTGTAATTTCGTGATGCTGGAGATCAAGCTGGACCGGCTGCCGGTCAGGTCACCCAGGGTTTCTCGAAGGTTGTTCTCCAAGTCCATGAGTCGATCCCTCCAAGTGGCGGTTTCGATTTCTTGCGCCGACAAACTCTTTTTGAGTCGACGAGCTTCCTCCTTGGCTGCGAAGGCCTCGCGGTTGAGTTCGTTCACGATTCGCTGCACCTCCTGTTTCTCCTTGCTTCCGACGACCTCACGCTGATGTCTCTCCTCCGCGAGACGCTCTTCCAGCTCCCTGGTCTTTTCTTTCTCGCTCTGGAGACTCATTCCATACGTCTTGAGGTCTGATTCCAAGTCGCCGATCTTGATCTTGTCGCCGTCTTGCTCCTCTCGTAGGAAGGCGATTTCGTTCTGGCTGGATTCGATTTGGACCGTGAGACGCTGGACCTTTGTGTTTGCTTCGTAGAGACTTTTCTCTAGCGACTCCATCTCCTGGTTGCAATGCTCGAGCTCCTGTTGGACTGCTTTGTACCGATGCAAGTTGTTTTGCGCGTCTTCTTCAAGTCGTATGATGCCTTCACTCGCTGAACGCATCTCGGCTTGTAAAGTTGCAAGGTTTTGATCTTGTTTGTGCAGCTCTCCTTCCAGCTGCTGACACTCGCCATCCTTCTGACGAAAATCGTTATCATAAAGCTCTAGCTCCTGCTGATATTCACATTGGAGGTTTTCGAACTCAACCTCACGTGCCTTCAACATCTCATCGAGTTGATCGCGTTCCTCAATGACCTGATCACGTTCCTGAAGGACTTCATCACGTTCCTGGAGGGCTTCATCACGCTCCTGCTCCGTAGCCGATATTATCTCTTCGACTTGATCCATCTCTTCCCCGTACTGCTGTTGAAGGTGTTGAAGGTTTCTGCGGCTCTCGTCCAGTTCGGATCGTAGGTTTTGGTTCTCGATCTTGAGCCCAGACAGCTGATCACGCAGCTGCCCGTTTCGCGCCTCCAAATCCTCTCGCTCGGCGTCGTCGCCCGGGGATGGCCCGGTCCTGTCGCTGGCCCGCGAGGACGATCTTCCATGAGCCCGGGACGCTGATCGATCAAAAATGCTATCGCCAGTGACCGATCGCCCGCCATCGCGCCGCTGGCCAAGTTTCATCTCCTCGATTTCCTGGTACAGGCGTTCTTTTTCTTTGTTGCGGGATGTCAGCATAGAGGTCTGAGCGCTGACCTCCTTCCTTAACTCTGCATTCTCCTGTTTTAACAATTCTAGCTCCACCACCAAGGTTGAACTAGAAGAGCTACCAGTAACAGTATGGCGGAAGTCTCTATCCGAGGGCGCCGAATATGAGGCCGTCGAGCTGACTCGACCCCGTTGCCCTGATCTTGCAGGGACCATTGCCAAGGTCATCTCACTCCTCAAGCGTAGGGCCTCATCCCGCAGTCTCTTATTCTCATCTTCGGCTTGTTCCCGGGCTGCCGTCTCCGCCTCAAGCATGTCCTTCCACATATCCTGTAACATAGTGTCTCAGCACAAGAGACCATAAGTGGGCGCAGACTGGGACAAAAACTCACCCGTTCTTCCCTGGCACCCACGTCCGAGCCCATCGGCCGCCCATCACTTAAGGATTTGACCATCTCGGCAAGTCTTCTCTTCTCGCTCTCCCTAGCGATGCTTTCAGCCCTCAACCGCTCGATCTCCAGCTCGTAAGTCTCCACCCTCTCCCGCAGATAGAGCATCTCGCCGTCTTGCGCCGGGTCGCGATCTTCCTCGTCTGAGCCCTCCGGGTCATGATTGACCATGGATTCCTTGTCAGACTGTTGATCCTTTAGTTGCTTCTCTAGATCGCGCATCTTCCTCTTCAGCTGCTGGTTGTCCTTCTGCAATTTCAACTTGTCAGATTTTAGTTCGACGTTCTCCGAAATCATCTCCTTGATTCCTTCCTCTGAGCGTCGATTTAGCGCCTCGTTGAGAAAGTGAATCCGCATCTTCAGGTCGAAATTCTCCTTTGAGAGTCGATCTATGGTGCTGCTTTGCTCCTTTAGGGTCATTGTCCGCCCGCTTTTTGCAAAGGCGGGCGTAGCACCCGCACGCTTATCGGGAGACAGTCCACGGCCACCGTAGTCTTCTCGAAATTGCCGCACAAATGTGCTCGGGACTTGTACATCCTTGACACGCTCCGCAAGAGCGGTATCTGTAGGAAAGCTATCATCAAGGTGTTTGGCTCTTGGTGTTATTGGGCCCGACTGATCTTCCACTGCTGGCTGAGGGGACTGTGAAGATTGTTCCTGGTAGTCGTGGAGGTACGGCTGTTGCTGGTGCTGCTGAGGGTAGGATGATCCAGGCCGCGACTGCGGACCTTCCTCGTCCAGCGTATGCAGCCCGCCCTCTGTAGTACCACTGGGGTTTCTCTTCTCCATGAAGTTTTCATCGCTATAGCCAGAGATACCGGACGCCATGCTGCCCAGACTTACCGATCTTGCTAGGTTATTTCGTTGCCCTGACTGAGTACCACTAGGGTTTGTCGGCACAGCACCTCCCGATTGAAGAGCATAGTCAGCGCCCAATGTGGCATCGCTAGCTGTCATATCTGTGTTGTAGCTTGCTGCCGAAGAATACGAAAGACGATGGGCTGAGTGGCGGCTCGTCAGGTACTTCGGTCGGTCACCCCTTTGACTGTTGGTGCGCGAGGCAGCTTCAATGTCTTTGCCATTCTCGTTTTGTGAGGCCTTGGCTTGTGGGGGTGACAAGCTTCGTGAGGTGGCCCTATGATTGCCATCTTGCGGCTGCAGTGATTGGTCCGCGTTGGGCACAGATGACATCTCCGTTGACTCGTCAAGGGAAGTTTGGCTATTTTCCTGAGTATCCTCAGAGACGATGGATTGATTTCGGTTCACGGTCCTCGCCGCCGCTTCGGCTGCAGGAGATGAATGAACCATCTCCAGCATGGTGGTATTATCTCCGTGCTGATCAGATGACGCTGCGGGCGTAGTTTCCAGGTCGGCTGTGTTGTCATCCTCGGGTCTTAAATTAGGGGTTTGCGGTATCGAAATTCCATCGTTCGACCAGACCATGTCGCGACTAAATTCTCCGTCGGGTGCCACGAGCGACAATTCTGTGTTGTCCGGCTTGGTAAGTTCCGGCGCGTTTTCAACAGGGACCCCGACCAAGTATGTATCGTCAGCCCCCGCGGAGGGGTTCGGTGCAGTAACCTCAATCGTTGAGGGCTCCGGTAAGAAACTTGACTCCATATCCATCAATTTCCTTCGCATTTCTCTTTCCTCCATCATTGTTTGATCGTCCGCTCGCTCATGATCACCCTCCTCGCTCGATGGGGGCAAGAGGCTGCTATCATCGTGATCGGGTAAGGGAGGTAAGTCGAAGGACGCGTTCGTGTCGTCGTAGCCTAATTGTTCATCATTCGGCCCCGTGGGATTCTCATTTTGTTTCTTATCCAACACTGCCTCTTCTCGCGTGGGCTGGGCTCCGGTGGTGTCCATTGTGTCTTGGGGAGGATCGCCCGGCGCGTCCTCCTGCACCACGAAATCGGCAGCACCGCCAAAGTTGTCCTGTACAGGTGAAGGTTCGTCTTCGACGCCAAAGGGGTCGGAAAGCCAGTGGGGAGACAGTCTGCCCAGCGGAGGCGCGTCCTCGATCGCATCAAGGGTCTTAGCCCGAGGGGAGGATGTTGGTGGACGGGCGGATCCTGTCGACATGGTGACGGATGTCTGGGCGCGGTGTTTGTTTTCTCCACATCCACCTTGATTCCGTATGGCGACCTGAGTTGCTAGCCTACCCACTTAGACAGTCGATTTAGCGCGAAGGACCTTGGTCTAGGTAGTCTATCTAGCTTTAGAATCTTAGGCTCTCAGCAGCTTTGAGTTTTAACAGACTGGCGTTGAGAGCCAGGGGGGAACTGAGCTCGTTTGCTTGAGAATGTTGCTCTCGAGTCATGGGCCGTCTTCGAAAGGATCAAATAGAGATGAAGAGAGTGTGATGTTGAGAGCTGGAGGAAGGAAGAGTCGGGCTGTCGGGCCCGTGCAGAGGCGGAAGGTGAAGATTTGTTTACACCTCAGGCCATCCAATCAACACCTGGCGCGACCGCCTGACATCATCCCCTTTTCTTCCCCTCAACCCCTCTGGAGAGACCTGGAGAGATCTGGCGAGTGCATACGTGAACGAAGTAAATGAATTAGAATTAAACTTTTCAAGCGAATTCACATCAACTATATCTGAATCACAAAGGAAAATGCTCATGATGCCCATTTGTCTCGTGACAGCTGCCTGAAGCGTGGCGCTAATAATAGTCTTCTAATAATAGGCAAAAAGATGGGAAGAAGCCAAGAGAGAAAAGAAGAATAAAAATTCGAATAAAGGGGAAGACATAGTGTAGAATAGAAAAATTTAGACAGACAATTAATGAAGTTGTACACAGAAATCTAAAAAAGAATGCAAAAGAAAGGGGGCACTCCTAGCATTGAGGGAATCTCATAGAAAGCGATGGCATGACACAATGCTATGAGGAACGTAAAGCACTATGAATATTATGATTCTTGCGTGGGAGGATCATCTTCACCCTCCCGGGTTGCGTGGATTTTGTTTTTCTGGTCAATGCCGGCTTGGAGAGAGTCGATGTAGGTGCGAAACTTCACGATCTCCCGTAGCAGATATGAGGATTTGCGCTCCCAATTGGCCATCGCCTTGGACGCATTGGGATGTCGAGGTGAAAAGGCCAAAACCATTGCGGGCCGGAGTTCGTTGTGTCGCTGCAGCTCATCCTCCACGTTCTTGACGTACGCCCGCAAAGCAGCCAACTGCTCGTCTTCTGGGAGAACGGAAGCCATCATACTCTGCTGCGGCGGACCCCAGTCGCTGATATGCACGCGATCTGCCGGCAGTTTAGGTCGAACCCCTCCCTGCTGATCAAGGGAGCTGCGTATCGAGCTTTGAATGCTCGGTCGCGCTCCAGATGAGGACGGCGGCGTCCGGCTGCTCTCCGGCGATATCAAAGCGCTGTTGATGACGGCGTCACTCCATCCATATTCGATATTACTGATCCCTCCAATCAATGGTTCCTTGGAAAGTCTTGCACTCCAGTAGTTGGCACTGGACACGAACTCGCGCACGATCTCCGGAGTCCCGGCTTGGAAGAGGTGCACCGCACCGGTGGGCAGGCTTAACGCCCAGACATGCGGACGAGACTTGGAGTATCCCGGAGGTGGCAGCGCGCTGGCAATGGTCTGGCGCAGGACAAACTTCCATATCTCTTCTGCGTTTTCCGTCCAGTTTCCTCCTCCAACTACCACGCCCCCGGGCTGACGCTGTTTTGCCTTTTGCCGCCCGGCTTTTGCGGACGAATTGAAAGAGAAGAGACGCATCCATCCTTGCTGGATTACAGCGAAACACTCATTCCAGTTGCGATCCTTGGATCTCTTGTCCACGGAATCGAGATGGTGCTTATGCTTCAAACTTCCTTCTTTGGCCCACGGTGCGCCGGCCAGTTGCAAGGTCTCATCTTCTAGGAGCGGCATACTTCGTTCGGGATCCTCCGTGCTCGCAATCGAATGAGCGTAATCCTCCCGAATGATGGCTTGACTTAACGCGTTGGCAAAGCCAATCGACTGCTGATAATCCCCGCGCATATAGTCCGACCCAAACGAGTCGACAGACGCAGAGGTCAGTTTGCCCAAAGAATACTTGCTCCAGGTGCTGGAACCCGATGGGCTCCAGAGAGACGACTGGTCGTCCAGGCTGGTCCGGCTCGAGCCCATGGCCGAAGGGGGATACAGCCTTGCCCGCGAACGAGGCTTGGAGGACCAGCGTGCCGTACCATACCGAGAATCTGCCGAGCGGCCGCGGGGATAAATGTCGGAGCCACTCTTGCTTACAGTGCTGGGACTTCTGCGAAGGCCACCAGGATTGGGACCAAGCAGGTTATTTGACGAGGCGCGCGGCCCTTCCTTCTCGGGCTGGGCTCCATGTAGAGGGAGCCTTTGTTTCTGGATTGAGGAGTAAAAGTCCCGAAGGACGGTCTCAAGCTGCTGCTCCCAGGCTCGCATTGTCCCGTGAAACGGCACGTTGACTAATGGGCCAGTGTCGCTGTCAGGGTCACCCGCTAGCTTCACGGAGAGATCGGTTCGAGACAGTCGATTCACAAGTTTCGCAGGCGGGTTTGTGGACTTTTCGCTCTCAGCGTTGGCAGCATGGGAAGGCTCTTGGGTCGAGTTTTTTGATTTGTTGTTTGGCCGCAAGGCCTCGAAGCTCTCGGGAGCGGCATCGACGGCCACACGATGAATCGTTGGCATTGTATTTCGAACGAATTGGTTTTTCGTCATCTTCTGCTCTATGTCGGCAAGATGCAGATCGGTGTTTAATAGAAGAAGGGAGTAGCAAATGGTGTGCACAACGTCTAATGCGGAGGGATCAGCGATTATCGTTTTCGGCGGAGCGCTCGATTTTGACAGATCTTAACATACCGGCAGCTTTGAAGCCATGATTGGGATTACATTGGCACCACCGGGCGGAGAAGGCGTCCAGAACCCGGTCAACCTGCTGCGTCTCACCTTTCAGCACCAACCGAGTGCAGAGGCCTCGAAGGGCGGCTAGAATATTCAAATTGGACCAGTCAAACAGTTCCATGTATGCTGTTCGAATCGCAGACCGGTCGGGGTCGCCGAGCCATGCAGCGGGGGCCTCGCGCCCTACAACCTGATCCTGATTCTCGTAAAGTCTTTGCGCCTGTTCTTTGTCTGATAGGGGTGATTCGTCAACAGCAATTTCAGTACTTTCGTCCTTGCTTTCGGCCGTATCCGCGAATTTCTGATCTGCCGACGGAACTACGGGGGTATTAGAAGCCGTGTGGTAATTCGAGACCTCTGAGATTGAGGCTGCGGGCGATCCGCTGGTATCCAATGTCGGCTTCGGTAATCTGCTAAAGTGTTCCTTTTTATCTTCATGAGGAGCCGAGTCCGAGATGTCCTTGCCTTCGGCTGGTTCGCTCGGACCCAATGGACGTGATTCACCAGGGCCCTCAACTGGCGAAGCGCTTTTCTGAGAGAAATTTTCAATTACAGGGGAGAGTGAAGACGGAGCCATGCCCTCTGGAGGAATCAGCATATTCTGCAGGGCATCGCGAACTCGATCGGACTCGGTTCGTTCGGGGACGCTGTTGCGTGACTCTGCGCCTTCTCGGATCGCTGGCTGCTCTTGTCTGTTATCCGGTGATGACACAGCGTCCGAACCACGGGATTTGACGCCGACGTCCTCGTCCCCGCCAGGGCTCCCTAACGGCGAGAGATCAGGCGGGGAAGCAGGCGAAATCGTAGGATACAGGCTGTACTTGGATTTTGAACCCCCTCCGACGGCTGGCGCGTTGGGCTTTTGAGTCAGCATATGGCGAGTCCCTTTGTTCTCAATCGATTCTGCACCAAGGGCCTGGGCCTGGTTGGGGAAGTCGACAACATTTTCTATCGTTGGAGCTCCGGTATGATCTGTTATATAAGGGTTCATCACTTTTCTTAGGCTGCTTACGGGGCTGGGTGCCAGCTTACTCGTTTCCGTTGGTCTGGGCCCAAAGTCCGGAGTCGGGACAGCAGGCGGTGGGACATTTTCGACAATGGACTTCTTCCGCCGGCGGAAGAACGAAGACTTCTTGTTTACAACTTGAGGGGGCCCTTCTCGGCCCGCATTGGCGCCTCCCGCGGTGTTCTTCACGGGTTGTCTCCGCATCCGAGAACTGCCATAGCTCTCCTTGAAGTCATTCTCTGGAGGAAACTGGGCATCCGGCTGGCCAGCGTCGAACGGCCCAGGAGAAGAAGCCTTCGAAGACCCAAATACACGGCGGAAAAATCCCGGGCGCTCCTTCGTGGGAGTGGGATCGGGTGGAGGAGGGAAAGAAGGTTTATTGAAGGATATCGTAGGACTCGGGGCCGGCGGGTCCAGAGATGCCGCCGGTATAGCAGGCGGAGGATCCAGGCCTGAATCACCCAGATTGGCTAGATGATTATCGCGACCCTTGAGAGTCGCGGTGCCGAGGTGTTCCGGTCGGTGCTTCCGGGGTTGATCTGTTCGTGACGACTTCACGCTGTTTCGCCGCGATGCCACGGGGGTGCGCGAGGACTGGGGGTTCAAGGTCCCCGGATGATCGCCCTGCGCGGAGGTCTGGTACTTGCGAGGGCCAGCAGGAACGCTGGGGGTCGGAGCGGCATCAACTCCATCGTAGGCTGAAGAGTCGTATTCAGCGGGAAGATCTGCAAAAGGAATGAACGGGGTTCTGGAGCCAAAGTCAAAACTTGCGGACCGCCGCTCGGTCAAAAGAGCAGGCCCAAAATCCGAGGGAGGAGAGCTGCCTTTGCTGCTTTGTCGCCCCGTGCGCGCGCCAGTGGCAGCGCCACTGGAATTAATTCGATGCTCGTATAGTTGACCGCGCGACCCGGTGCCGTCTCTGCTACGGGTGCTTCCGAATCTCTTCAGGCTGGAGTGGTAGTTTGAACTGCTGGTGCTCCGACGGCCTCTTCCAGCCTGAGCTCCGCGAGCCGCAGATTCATCGTAAGGGTATTCGGGGTCGGATGACAGGGAAGAGGAAAAGGTGTGGCCTCGATAGCGACGTTGGGTTATGGAATCTTGCGAATTGTGGCCATAGGTGTCAGACTCGAAAACGGAATTGAATAACCGGTAATCATCCAGGACGGAGGAGCCTGATGCTAGCTGATCCAGAGAGAGGAGCATATTGTCGACTATGGAGGTCCGGGCTGCATGTTTCGGCGACAAGGACAGGTCGTGCGGATCCCGCTCGTCTGCGGACTCATAGCTGCTGTTGGTATTGTCTGCCGGATTGAAATCATCCAAAAAGGTCTCGCGTACCGAAGGGCGAGGATGACGCCGTCTTGTGGCTGGTTTATGATTGTTGGATGCCGCCGATGGCGGCGTCCGCGGAGGAGAGTGGGCTTGTTGCTTGGACATTCTTCCGCTATGGAACGGCGTCACTCGGCTCACTGGCTTTAGCTAGAAGTGGACATGAGTAGCGCCTCGAATCGTGTATCGGTCAATCAATCAATGGTAAACCCAGACCCGTTCGCTGTGGTGTCTGCAGCTGTGCCATCGACTTGGATCGTTCCACCCGCGTGAATCCCTAAAGAAAGCGCCAGGACAACAACACCCCCCGACGAGATCCGCGAGCGAAAAGGAGAAGTTCAGGTTGCTTTTGTGAAAGGTTCGAAAATCCAAGGGGCCGTCTCTCGAGCACAGCAATGCTGTCACCTCTCGGTCATTGCGTGGAAGAAAAGGATTGTCTCGTGTTTCGGCAGCTGTGGAGAGCAGAGGAACGGGGCGACCGTTCGTTCCCACGGACGGGTAGGGTGGTTCGGACGTTACTCTTGTGTAATTTATTGGATTGATTGATTGGGGATTATAACTATGATTATTATTGATTCTGGTGACCGTCAATTGTTCGGGTGGGGAGTGGGAATTGGCCGTGGTACTAAATAACGGACAAGGGGGGTCAGTGTTTCACGTTTGTAGGAAGGGAGGAGAAGGAGAGTGTGAGAATGGGGGAGGAGAAGAGAGAGAGACAGACAGAGAGGGAGTGAAAGCCTACCAAAATTGGAGGGAAAAGAAAAGAGAGTGAGGGACAGACCAGCAGTTTGAGCAGAGAAAGATGGAGGATGGACTAATTACCCCAAAATCAGGGGAAAGAAAGGGGAGGAAAGCGACTAGCGAGAGCAGAAGATTATCATGCGATGGTCTGCCGGGAGACTTTGGGGGCTTTGGGATCAATTAATTATTTGTTATACTAGTGATTATAATATTTGCAAATAATCATAAAATAAATCATACAGTAAGAATGAAATCAAAGAAACCCAAATAAAACTAGAAATAAAACATTATAATCCCAATGCTTCAGGGGGCGCTTGGCCCAGACCCTCCCTTGGGCCTAAGCTGCCTCAGGCCTGCATGCCATCCCCCTCCGGTGGAGACGCCGGATGGAGCATCTCTCCATCCTGCTTCCTGCATCATTCATCATTCATCATTCATCATTCATCGATTCCTGAATCTGCGAGGTGATCTATCGGTTTCTCGTTTCTGACCACATGCCTGATAGTGATAGATACAACATGCAGAGTCTACACAGCATGCACAATAAATGATATGCATCTGTACACTTTGTCTCTTAGAGCCACTGGACGACTCCCCTCAAGGGCTGACCCTCACCGTTGTTTCTTCTTCGCAGATCGATGAACTGATCATCCTTCAGTCTATCATAGCATACTATATATCATAAAATCTTATTTCAAACCCTTCTCTCTGCCGAATTTACTCCACACCGAGTAGAAGAATGGAAGACATAGGATACAATTTCTGACTTGTCACACATGCAGGTGCTCGCTCCCCCAAATTTATACATCACATTGATCATATGCATCATCCTACAGTATTAACTACACAAGTACCTGTCTGGAGTTTGTCACTTGTGCAAACTGCAAAATGCCAAAACTGAGGGAACGATGTGGCTGTCTCCATATATTGAACTCCAATCACGAGTTTGCGATCGTCAGACGCGGTTTGCCCTAGTGCAGCTGAGAGCGATCCCAACAAACGTCCGCGCGCCAATAGAAGAACGATGATAGAAAGACCGAAATCAATTCAACAAATGCAAAAAGTGCATCATATAGGGAGGTCCTATCGACGCCAGTGCTGTTCGACGTCGATAGATCCTACAACACCTTCCTCGTGGTGAGAAGGTCCACTGGAGCATGGAAAATTCAAGACCCGCCACCAAACTCGCCCAGTCGCTGCTAAAAGGGCATCCCGCGTCGCTCTGCGATGCGGCGCAGACCGGGAATATCGATCTGGTTCACCACCTCCTCGCTGCGGGGGCCGATGCCAACGTCCAAGGTGGCCCATATGGAAATCCATTGCAGGCTGCCGCGTGGAAGGGAAGCGGCGAGATCGTTGCGCTTTTGATTCACCGTGGCGCGGCTGTATATGCCCAAGGTGACATTTTGGATGTGCTCTACAAGCAGCCGCGCATAGTGGCTCTTCCGACATTATTCGGTACTTGATTCGAAATGATGCCGACGTTAATCAACTCTGCGGGGACTATGGCAGTGCCTTGCAAGCCGCTATTATCAACGGACATGAAAATGCTGCCCAAGCTCTACTTGAGGCAGGAGCCCCCATTGATGCCCATGGCGGTATTTACGGACGTCCCCTTCAGGCCGCGGCCTATATCGGAAACCTGAGGATCATGGTCACTCTGCTGGAGAAGGGCGCCGACATTAATACGCAAGGGGGCAAGTATGGTACCGCTTTGATTGCAGCAGCGTATGGTGGAAATTACCAGGCGGTCGGATTTCTGGTCAAAGAAGAAGCCGATGTCACTGCTTCAAGCCTCAAATTCGGGAGCGCTGTTTGCGGTGGAGCTTGGAAAGGAAACGCTAAGATTATAGCACTCTTGATACAAGCTGGTGCTGTGGTCAATTCGCGTTCCGAAGAACACGGGAGGGCTTTGCGAATTGCGTCGTGGAGAGGAAACCGCAAAGCAGTGGATGTTCTAATAGCACACCCACCAGGTGGGATCGTCCAAGCGGAGGCATATGGGGCGGCTTTACAAGCTGCAGCGTGGATTGGAAATGTAGACATCATGCAAGATCTGATTGAGGTAGGCGCTGATGTTAATTCCGAAGCTGGCGAATATGGGACTGCGCTGCACGCCGCGGCCTGGAATGGAAGTAGGGCAGCCGTGCACAGCCTGGTCCGATGTCGCGCTGAGGTCGACGCGCGTGACAAAAAGCAAGGGACAGCCATACAAATTGCCGCGTGGATTGGGCACGTGGAAAGCATGCAATAGTTAATTGATGCAGGAGCGGATATCAATGCCACAGGAGGCGAGTATGGGACCGCGTTGCACGCTGCAGTTTAGGCTGGAAGCAGGACAGCAGTGCGTATCCTGATACTTCAAAGGGATTATACGGCAAGAAGCTAACGTTACCACAAAGTTCATCTTTCTTTCCCTTATGTTCATATCGGTGAGTGATGTTTACGAATTAAGATAATGCGGATGCAAATCTAACCCGTTCTCTAGAGTTTATTTGGGATGAATATCGAAGTGCTAGCTTCCAATCCCGCGTGGTGTGTTTTTGGCATTTGCTGTTTGCATAGTTTTCAAGCGTAATGAAGGAGTAGGCATTGATTCCTTGTTCTGCTGACTTATAGTCACTCTAGCTAACATGACTGGCTATAGTTGGAGAATCGTGTCGAAGCCAGGCTCGGGTGGTTGGTGAGCTCGCGATGCTCGCGAAGCAGTCACGACGAGGAAGTGGCAATTCCTGCGACTGAAGAGCGGTACTCCCGAACATTGGAGTTCTCAGCCTGGGGAAAGAAGAGATCATGATTATTGTTGAATGATAATGTTTGATGATTGAGGACAACACTAGCCGGGGCAACGTTCCTCCGAGGCGGAGATGACATAAGCGGATCCGCCAAGCGCCACCTGCACCGGAAGGGGAATCGCATCAGGAACCAACAATAATCAGCATCTGGAATTATCATTATCGCCGTCGTTGTTCGAAGCCCTTGATCCCCGGGGCCCCTTCCATCCTATCCTCAGTCCCGCCGTCTCCCGGAAACGAAATCAGATAAAAAAACGATGAATCCTCATATATCTGTTCCTCGACAACATGCTAGTCCTTCCAATTTCGGCGGCACGACGCCGGCAAGCCGCGGTTCCAGCATACGAATGCCGCGTTTCTTCAAAAGGTGGGTTTTGCCTTCTTGTATCCGATGGCTGGATGCACGCGCGAGCGGATTGATCTGAGGCTAATCGGAGAACGTGCCCGATCTAGAATGTTCAAGTTTCCTCAGATGGACTTCGAGATGGCTATCTGGGAAATGACATCACTCCTCATCGCTCCGAAGAAGGTCTTCAAATCGATATATTACCATGTGAGTGGAGTTCCTCGATAATCAACAATTTCACGTCTCGTTACTAATGAGGATTTCTAAATCCCAGAAACGTATGCTTGCCCATCCATCCTCTCCGCCGTCGCTCTCTATTAATATGTTATTGAACACTAACGGACGGCTACAGAAACCAAGAACACCTGGCATCGTCCGGACCCGTCATTTACCTACCTTCTATCCTTCTTTCTTCTCCTCACGGCCCTCGCATGGGGCCTCGCATATGCGCCGTCGTTCGGGTCCATAGTCCGTCTATCTCTACTCTTCATATTCCTCCATTTTGTCGGGTCATCGCTGCTAGTGTCGACCGTGGGATACTTCGCCATCGGTCGACTCTTCGGCCCGAACGGGGCGGCGGCATCTTTGAACGGATTCAGGGGTGCGCGCAGTAGGAGGCGCGGCGCGGCGCAAGGTTTGTTCATGCAACCGGGGGAGAAAGATCAATTGGAGTTTGGATATTGCTTCGATGTGAGTTTGATAGCCTTGCGGAACGGGCTTCCGTCTCCGGTCAACGTATTGGCCCCATCAGACTAACAAAGCGGTCATCTCTCACTAGGTCTCCATCCGTGCATTTTTCCCTCTATATCTTCATCTCTATGTTGTACAGTTTCTTCTCCTGCCTCTTCTCACCCGCACTCCCAGCAACTATCTCGCTACATTCCTCGGGAACACGCTTTATCTGTCCGCCCTTACCTATTATACATATATCACGTTCCTGGGCTACAACGCGTTGCCTTTCCTGCACAACACCGAGCTCCTTTTGCTGCCCATCTTGGCATTCGCCATTATGTGGCTGGTTAGCTTGATTGCAGGATGGGGCGTCGTTGCTCAGGGACGGGGCGTGGAGGGGCTGTTTTGGGGCGCGTGATCAGTTGAGGACGGCGCGCAATTGTTTGTTGGGGAGCATTTCAGATTCAGAATTATTTAGTTGATCAAGTTCGGCGCTGGTGTTTGGCGATTTCTCTGTTCGGTTTTATTGCTCATACATGTTTGCGGTCTCCCTAAACGGGGGCATTAGTACATTCGCAACGGTCCAGGCGCTCGGTTGCATATTGCATTGTCGTTATGTTTTCCTTCGCGCCTTGTTCTTCTGATTTGATCGCTCATTCCCATGATTCGTTTCTTTTGCCTCGAGGACATTTAAGCGTCGAGGGCATATGATAATGTACGCACAATCCCATACTGTATAGATGTAAATGCTTTACTGGCCTTAGTCCCTGACTACTCTACATTCCGCTACTTATCGGCCGAAGGAAGTACTGGACATAAAAAGGACCATCCTCTCGAGCTGTCTTTTGAATGTGTTCCAAATTATGAGCGTGCTATGAGGCCGGCCAATCACCCGGGGTTTGCCAAAATTCAAATAGATCGAGGGAAGCAGATAGTTCATCAACATGGTCGGGTGGTGATCTCTATTGGGAAAGATATGGCATGGCGGAAGGTAAAGGAGCCCTCCAGCCGCCACCATTCCAAATCATTTATTTCTTCTTAGGCGCACCCTTCTTCTTCCCGCTCAACTTCGCCTCTCGTTCTTCCGCCCGTGCCTTGGCCAACTCGGCCTTCTCCTCCTTCTCGGCCTCCTTGCGCAACCGGTCCTGCTCCCGTTTCTCCCGCACCAGGGCCAACCGCGCCAGATCGGCGCGCGCCTCGTCGGTCTTGCCCTCCGCGTGCAACTTCATATAGCGCTCTCGCGCCTGCTGAGCCTCCACGGCCTCGCGTTCCCGTCGAGACAGTTGCGACGGATCCTTGGCGACCTTCTCGGGCGCGTCGCCGCTGAGCTGCGAGCGGGACTTGGCTGTGTGGTTGGGGTTGGCGGGTAGGTCTTCGTCTCCTCCGTTGTTGTTCTCATCATCGGACTCCGAGTCGGATGGTGGCAGGTCCCCCGGTTGCACTTTCTGTCGTCTCGCTATCGCTGCTTGTTTCTTTGCTTTGGCGGCCGCGCGACGCTCTTCGCGCGTCAGCTCCGGTGCCGCGGAGGAGCTGGCACCGCCGTCGGCCTGGTCGTTGGGTCCTTCGTCTGAACTCGACTCCTCCTCTGATTCGTTGCCTTCTTCGTTCGACGACGTATCAGGGTCCTCCTCGGGTTCCTAGAGCAGGACGATTCGAAAGACCAGATCGTTAGAAGTTGTTCAAGTTCAGGGCTGGGGAAAGAAACATAGTTCTTGAACATGATCATAAACAGGAACATACCCTCCACATGCCCACGCGGTTCCCATCTTTATCCACCGGCTGCACATCACGACTAAAATGTTTTCCACCTTATAGGTTCCAACCAGACATGCATCCGTCAGCGCTTTCCGTGTCGTCTACTTAGGTAGATTCGGACCCCTGCTCGAGGGGGGTGTCGGCGTTTGGCTTTTGTTTGTGTTTGTGGTTTTTTGAGATTTGCTTGTTTGCTTCACATACCTCCTCGAGAGGGCTTGGAAAATTTTCCACCACGACCACGGGGTGCCATGATGTATGAACTTGTATTGAAATGCGAGGCGAGGCCAAGAAAGGTCCAACCAAAAAAGTCGAGGGATAAGGTGGGGGGGGGGGGTAAAGGAGATCTAGCTAGGCAAGAGTATAAGACGTTAGTAAACGAGGGGCAGCGCCGAGGCGGGGAAGGGAGGATAGGCCACTGACATGTAGGTATGCGGATGAGACAAAACCAAAAGTCCACAGGTATCAAGCAAGCGGTAGAAAGCCGTCAACTCCAAATGCTCCGTTCAATGGGCAACAGATGAGGGGAGAAAGACCGAAGATGGAGTCACGCCGAGGATTTCCCAGAGCAGGCGGGGTGGAGGACCTCAGGCACACTTCGCTGCCTCATCCGAACCGCCAATCACATGTTTTGGATTGACACATGACCCGCGTATTCTCTTGTACGAAGTATATATGGATCATACTGCTGCTCGTGAATTCTGGTTGGATTACTATTACCTCTGCAGGGATCCAGAGCATGAGAGAGCGAAGAAGTTTATCGAGTACTGATAAGATTAACGGAAACCATTTTCTCCAGCGAGTATAATACACGACTCTTATTTATCATCTGACGGCCCCTATTTAGTCCGTTCCGGGGCACGTGATTACTAGCGTTTACAGCAACAACTCGCAGGGCTCAACACTGATCTCGTTCGTTCCGAAGTAATCTGATGCGCTGCTCAACATTTTACTGACCTTCAGGCATTATTATGATGAAGGATCCCTTCTCCACAGCGTACCATTTTGAAAGACTGACCAAATGGTCCGCTCTGTGAAGCCCGACATCGGCAAGATTCAACCGATCGAAGAAACGCTCAACTCATTTCGAAAAAGTTTCGAGACAACTTGTGAAGATTTAGACCTAACAATATCATTAGAATCAATAAGTCGGTTCAAGCTTCAAAATAAATCATTTTTGTTTTCACGCAATTAAAATAAATTGTCTTAATCCAGATCACGCAGATCTTCGAAACTTGACCTTTGATCTCACATCGGCTTTGCGCGCATTTCCAAATATCCAACAACTTCCCTCCGCGACCGGCCGTCGAAACCTTTTGGATAATCTCTCCAACCTGAACTATGTTATCAATTCAAACACGTTCAACATCGACCGATTCCGTCCGTTGTTAAAAACAATTTGAAATAAAACAGCAAACGACATTGTCTAAAACAGAATATATGCAACTATTGTCAAAACCACGCCCCCACCTAAACCCATATCTTTCTCTGATCAAACGCCATACTCTCATACAACAAATAGCTTTATAAATTCCTCTGAACAACGGAAATACACAGATACTATGCTAAAACAAAAGCTAGACTCCATATTCATTGATGTCCCCAACTTTTTTGAGATCTTCTTTCAAAACATCCAGAACCTTCAGACAATAACGACAGCCGTTCTGCAGAAATGTAAACATGAGGATAATGCGTTATTTCACGAAAAGACTGGATGGCAAGGTTGGCCTTCGAATGCACAAGAAAAGAATGTTCTGAACTGGCTTACTCGCATGTTTAAAAACATACTGAGGCTGGCTTCAAACCATACGTCTGAGATAAAGGCTCGAACCATCCTGGCCCGTCCTTCTAAGCCTTTGAAAAGATCCTCGGCGAGACGGAAGATAGATGTTGCTATAATTAAAATCCAAAAAATGACTTCATATCACTAATCGCATATTCTGATTTTTGGAAAATTGAAAAGCAAAATCGACCTTGATACGACTTCAAACACGTGACGTGACTTGGGCCGATATATGAAAAAAATCTTCAACACACAAGATACGTGCCGATATGTGCTAAGATTCATCTTATATGGATCTGTTATGCGTCTTTGGAAATTCGATCGCATCGGAATTATAACATCATCGTCTTTCAACATTAATTCAAAACCTCATCGATTTATATTAACGATTCTGAGATTCCTTCTGATGGATAACGAGCAGCTCGATTTTGATTTTAGCATCATCACGTCAGAAAATGAAAAAAGATTTATTTCAATTTATCGAGATGAACGGGCGAAACATCTGATTCTTGAAAAGCTTGTAAAGCCGTCCTTCTGTGTGGCTGAAAGAGCAACTACATGTTGGAAGGCTCATCTGAACGACGAAACCAAGACACCTATTATTGTGAAAGACTCGTGGCAGTACCCAAAGCGTGCAAAAAAAACGAGATACTGCAAAACATCGAAACACAAAATGTGATAAATGTTGCGCGATATTTATATCACCAGACCGTCAAAATACAAAACAACATGGATGATGTGCGCAACAATATGCGGAAGAGTCTTGATGTGACAAAAGCCTCTAACTGGAGACAAGTTCGCTCTCAAATTTCTAAGCTTAGCGACGTTTCATGTCAAGACAGTACGAGAAAGGTCAAATCCGGACGGAAGAGGTCATCCAGTCATACTGAGTTATCTCTACCACCAGGTAAGAGAACTCGCTCGTGCTCACCGGTCGCCTCGGATGATCAACTATTACAAAACCGTGTCCATCGTCGTGTTTGTGTTCGGGATTACGGCAAGTCCATTTATAAAGCAAGTTCCCGCGTCGCTCTTCTGAATGCACTAGAGGCGTGTATCGAAGGTGGCTCCCCATAATTTTCCATGATGCCGAATCTCAGCTGTTGATTCTAAATAGGTTATGAGTCGTTACACACCAAAACGGGGATTCTACAGGGAGATATCTCTACTGGCAACCTGATCATCAACGAGGAGGAGCACAATTGTTCCTGGTCCGCTTTCCTGATCGATTTGGACCTTGCTATCAGGGAGCAAAGAGACCAAGCATCTGGCGCAAGGGGTAAGACTGGAACAAGAGCATTTATGGCTATAGGGTTGCTATTAGGAGAGAAACATTCTTTCTGGCATGATTTGGAGTCCTTCTTCTGGGTCTTGTTCTGGATTTGTATCTATTATGACGGGCCAGGCAAAGATATTGGGCCAACAGACTTTGACTGTTGGAACTATGACGACGACCAAAGACTAGCTAACGCTAAGAAAGGGATCGTGGATGACGAAATCGATTTTGAACACACGGCAAGGAAGTATTTTACACCATACTACCGGTCATTGGTGCCATGAGTGAACAGGCTGCGTCGGGTAAATTTTCCGGGGGGGTCGCGAAGAAAAGGCAGTGACACAGGGATTTATGGGCAAATGAAGCGTGTCCTTCGAGACGCAGCGGAAGACCCAGAGGTTATAGGCGACACCACATAATCAAGATGATCTCTCACTCTTCCGGGAGGTTCAAAATTCGTCCTCAGGTTTCGACAATTGGAGGTATCATGTTCGCTGCCTCCACAAATGTGTAAGTCTCGGTGTCTCATCTGTCGCCGTCCATTTTGTCCAGCAAAGATATCTGCTCTGGACATTGGATTATAATTAAGACTGTGGGACCTGGACGGGAAGTGGGGAAAATAGATTTAGCTCAGCAGCCCACCTCCCTGTATATCCGTTTGACTCGAACTCAGTTGCTGACCTTTTTGACTCTTCGGTGAATTATGGACATCAGGGATTCACCCCTTCGCTACACAAGAATACCGCACTGTTTGTTATGTGGTGAAAGGTTTGCTCGGAATGCGTGCTTTCGCTCCAGTATGTTGTATACAAGCAAATATCCTCCTGCTACTGATGCGGTGCAGTTGTTCCAACTGGTCAAGACCAGGTTCTGGTCTTGACCCCCCCGATGAAATGCGAAGGGAAATATCAGACAGTCACCCTACAGGACCTAAATATGGTATTTCATGACGACCCGCGGCTTAGATCCAATAAGGCCCCTTCAATACATAATCTTTGCTGGAGGGCACTTGAGACACGGCCAAGTATCAACATGCTATACGATCTGGGTCTTGCTATGACGCCACTGATTCGGGGTGGACTTCCACAAAACAACTATTCCCACCGACTCTCCCTGGCTAGAGCAATTCAAGTACTCTTTCCAAATTTCGATGAGGGTGACACTGGAGAAACTGCATTACGTGGTCTACTAGGGAGATTTGGCCGACTTCCGACCGAGCTGATTACGATTATCTGGGAATTGATCAGTCCTTGTACTGTACGCTGCTTGCTTGCACTTCGGGCCGCATGGAATATCTGGCCAACATCCACTTTTGCGGCGGGCTGTGCATCAATACGCCTCTCTGGAGATATACTTGTCTACGTCACGCGTGTTCTGGACGGGACGTATATCTGCGGTATTCGGGCCGGGGACACTTTCTACGGATATAAAAGCTCGTCCTTCTTCAAAGTGCCAATCCCATCGTCTATTACGGCTTTCGTTTTTGTACTTGGAAATTATGGGCTTCGAAGGATAGGTTTCTCCACAGAGGCTCAACCCGATCCCGCGATCATAGAGCGCTCAAGGGCTGAAGATACTGAGTTCGTTGGTATCATGTACCCTCAGACACCACTTACTGTGGACTTTGAGTGGGATGTACGGACCGTTCTCGAATGAAGTGAAGATTTCAAGCTGATGATAATAACCCAGGCCCTCAAAATCTCCTATATCTCCTGTCGCAACAATCCGGGCTTTGGACACGATTTCTTATGGGTAACCCCGCCGCCGTGGATTCAGCTGCATTCTCTTTGTGGCCAGTCATTTCACTGTTGGCCGCGACATTTCGACTTCGCAACCACCTCTCAGAGGTATATGGCATATATCCCATTATTTGAGGATAGGTCCCGCCTATACGGCCTCACTGCGTTTTGTTCCGAAAAGGGAATGGTTGGCTTCGGAACTCATTTTCGCTCCTGCTCGGATTCGCCCCGGTCAAATTGGTATGGGCAACAGAACGGCTGTGCCGTTCATATCCAATTTGGTCCCGCAGAGACTGTACGCTCGATTACTGTTTTTTGGCATCAAAACGATCACATGCTGAAGCCCTATCTGACTGTATGTTCACTCGATGTGATGATATTCTTATGCTGAAGGTAGACTTTAGGTCACAACAAGCAAGGAGAGAGCATATGTCCTTGGTACATATTTTCCGCCTGCCGAGACGGGCACAAAAGCCATCTTTGGAGCGGATGACGGTGACATCCTGGGCTTATATTACGATAGATCTCCGGGCGTTACGGGCTTCGGGTTTACTAGCGTAGGCGCTGCCTCTCGTCCGCACAAGTCCGCTCTTAAACCGACGCCGCATCGTTATATGCCAAGGACATTACCAGAACCCGATATGACATACCGTTTGAACATTTCCCCATTCGGTGGCTTCGCATCCCAGGCCTGGTTGAAGGATATTAGAAGCCTTCACGTTGGCTATATGGGGTCTCGTTGTATAGGCATGCTGGTTGTTTACAGCGATGATACCAGGAAAACCTTGGGTCAATGGTATGAAAGTACGCATGCCCAGCCTAGAGTTCAACAGCTACAGTATCAGCGTGATCATATGTTGAGGTTTTATCTTACGAAACGCAACGAGAATATGATTCTAGATCGGGTTGAATCTTTGCCAGCGGATACAACCGAGCAGTTTGTGGACTTTTTCTATGGAGTGAGAGTGCAACAATTCACGACTTTGTTCGATTTGGCTAATCTTGCTAGGACAATATCGTTTGGCTGTTCTCGGAACATTCCGATATCATCTTCTGTGCATCGAATTAGCACAATGGTATACTCGTCCTAGGGATTCTCAAATCAATGTCTGCAGTTTTTAGTTTCTTGATAAAAAACTCCAAGTTGATTCGAGAGGCCTTGCAGGAATAGCTCTCATTATTTTCGTTGACGATGAAGGTCCCATTGGAAATATCGCATGTACAAGAACTCTCGGCTGCCTAAAGACTCATGTTCTAATCCACGTCATAGAGGAGAATTATTGGACAGCGGAATTGAGACTAATCCGGGTCGAGTATTATTCGTGATAGGTAAGGATGGCTGATCCTGGGAGAGCAATGAAGATAGTCTAGTAAAGAATTGTTGTCTGATGTCAAAATTTCTGTCTCGGTGTAGAATGTGGATCTAAGGAGAATATAATCATGTGGAGATTCTATCGTGAGCAGCGTGATCCTGTAAGCTTTCAGTCCCATTGCTGCAAGCTCCGCAGAGAATGGATTTTGCTCCGTTCTTGCACCCCATCTTCAGTTTCGGTTTTCGATACCGAGGTGGCTGCTTCTCGTTCGCCACGCCCAAATCCTACCACTTCATTGATCCAGAGCAAAATGAGAATGGCCCATGGCCCCGTGCCCGCGAACGGGAAGACATCGTGCCGAATCACTGCGCGAGTAGAGCTGGCATTGGGTGGAGCGCTGCAGGATATGGGTCACCCGAACGCTACTGTAGGAGCGACTGGGCGGAGCAGAAAGAAGAGAACATTCTGCAAGATATCAGCTGGCACGGTGGCGACGGTGGGCGGGAGGCAATCAATAATAACCACCCGTTGGCCGATGTGCTTCGCATGAGATGACCAGGAGACCAGTCCTCCAGCACGCTTAGAGATATAGTCTGATGGAGAGTATGCTGTTGGAGCCACCAGAATCGGCATCAGCTCAGCCAATACGGTCTCCTTTCCAATCAATACATAGTAGTTGCTGCAGTACGACCTGGTTCCAAGCGACTCAGTGTTTGCCGTTTGGGTAAGCCGTACATAACGTTATTTCATAGCGGCTCATATAGTGGTCAAAGACCCAAAACGCTGGCTTGAAATGCCACCCAGTACTGGTCCCTAGTCCAGTTAACCAGTTTCTGAAGAAATATGAAAAGCTTGTAGATGCCAAGTATCGACTCAGTCTCTCCTAATAACAGTCGTTCAAACGTCTGCGCTTTGCCGCTCTGCTTTATTGCAGTCGGCACGAACCACCAGTGATGCTGCATCACGACAATGCCAGGCAAAAATTCGATCTCCCCGGAGGGTGTCAAATTATCGTCATCAGAATCCCAGTGCAAACTCCGCCACTAGGCGGAGTGCCATGTGGCCACCTGTAGCAGTGCGGTTTCGTATCCTATACTTGAGCCTTTGGTTTCTATGGAGACAGTGATAGAATACTTTGTCAAATCGGCCCAGTCTGTGTGGTTGATTGACATTGCCGGACGATATTTGCAGAGGGATTGGATTGCCTGGTATTGTGGCGACGTTGCCTCGGACTGGATGTAAATGCAATAGTCCACCATCTTGCTGGGCAATTTGAGAGATTGATGTTCCGGGACAATCTGGGCTGTAAGGCTGCAAGGTGATTAGCCCACTTTCAAATCAGTGCTTCAAGAAAAAAGAAGCAGTGCATACCAGCACCGATAATCTAAAAGATCATCCCCGCCGGGACCGTCTCGAAGAACCCAATCTAGAATACGCGAGTGCACGTCATTATTCCAAGACGATTCAGGATGGTTGTTTTTGAAACACCTCCCTGCAAGGTCATAAATCTTCCGCACAGTGCGTACATCAGGCAATTGTGACTTTTTAAAGTCGGGACTATCTCCAAAATTCCAGGATGCGATCGAACGTTGGTCTGCGAGCTGTGGATAATACAGCCATGGTTATGTAAGAGTAGATAAAGCAATTGTTCATGAAACAGGTTCGTACATCATCTTGGAGGTCCCTTGGAAGGATCTCAAAGCCACCGACTATCTTCTCCAATTCCGTGATTAACGCGTCAAGTAATCTCGATTTCGTATCAGTGCGAAGGTCCGCTCCCAGAAATCCAGTCTCCTCAAGCTCTGCATTGCGCAACTGCTTGATGAAAGATGAGTCGCGCGTAATGTTCGAAGCCTTGAACGAGACCTTTGACGATGATCGACTCGAGGCAGAGGGCAACCAAGAGACTGGAGAATCATTGTCTAGAGCAGAAGCTTTCCGACAAGCAGAGCGAGGAGTGAGCTCTACCTGAAATCCCAAACCGCCCGCCACTCGTCCATGTTCTTGTCCCTCCCCATCTTCCTCCGGTCAGGGCATGTTTGACAATTTCGATAACAAAGCTATGGAACGTGAACCAGAGTCTGGGGACGTTTGAAAATGTGCTATTCGATCTCCGATTAGCATCTGCCCAGAGCACTCGTCATGGACATGCTCTTTGTTATCCAGTCTCAAACGCTTGTATGGCCGCTCGGACAATTGACTGCCGGAATCGGGGACAATCGCATCCAGCCAGTTCAGGAGACGGCGCTGAGCGTAATCTCGACTCATGAATGGCGATAAAGCAATGGCTGCGATGGCTGCAGGCGATGATCGTGGAGAGCCAACGCCAGGTGTTTGCGGGGTAGAAATGAGTCCGAGCACTGGACTGTCACGTCATTAGGGCCCAACGTTGCCAGGGAAACCTCGGATGTGGCACAGATCACCTTTATTCTTTCTAACATTTGTGTCATTTGTAAATGGTGAGAATGACGGCTATGTTTACGAGGTTCTGGCCCTGGCCAAGTCGTTGATCCTTGCCGGCTAGAGCTGGAAGGTAGTACCGGAGCAGAGTAGGCCAGCTCCGTATGTATGTTTGTATCTCAAGTGCTGTCGATAACTGATATACATTCTTCTCCTTTAAGAGGACCTGCTCACGCTCGCTGCCACGCAAACCCCAACCGGGCCACGCGCGACGCCACCAGGGTCAGCGTCCCGGCGATGATCGCACTGCCCATGAACATTTGCGCATACAGGTACTGACCATCCCCCCGTTCAATCAATGCGCCCGCAATCGGGGAGCCGATGAGAGCGGCGACGGCCACGACACTCAGCACCATGCCCATCCTGACCCCGGTTTTCTTCAAGTCCGTCGTGAGCGTGCTCAGCGTGGCTGGGAAGAGGGACTGGATCCCGGCAGCCGACAGGCCGTAGAAGACGCTGAATGCATACAGACCCCCTTGGCTATTCACCGCGGCCCAGCAATACGAAACGACGGCGGTGGCTAGGCTGAAGGGGATCAGCATGTTTAGAGGCCCGGAATACCAATCGGCCATGAGATTGGGGATGAGCCGGCCGAGCAAGCCAACGCCGTTCATGACCAGGAGCACATCGATCGAGGTCGACTGGGACACGCCGATGATGTTGCGTCCGAAGCTGCCGATATAGAAGAACCCGACATAGATGCCCCAGAAGTTGAGGAACATGCCGATGGCAAAAAGCACATACGGCAATTCCTTGAAGGCTGAGAGCTCCACCAGAGGACCGCTCCGGCGCGGTGGCAGCCGTTGTTTTAAGAAGATCAGGCACGGGGCCAACGTCGCAAGGGAGATGAACCCCAAGGTCCGCATGGTCCACCCGTACCCGACCTGGGGGAGCAGGCGCATGACCACGGCCGGGAACACGAGGCCTCCCGTTGCGGACCCGGATGCCACGATGCCCATGGCGATGGCACGTTTGGTGGTGAAATAGGTGGGAATCAGGGCAATGGTCGGGCAAAACATGAGTCCGCAGCCGATTCCTTGTCCGACACCCTGGGCCAGGAACAACTGCCAGTATTCAGTGCACAACGAGGTCATGAAGATGCAAAACAACTCCAACAAAGCTCCCATGGCCAGAGTGACCTTGAAGTATCCGGCATCCGTAGCACGACCGGAAAATGTGCCAATGAAGAAGAGGAGGAAAATCTGGATACTTCCCACCCACGATATGTCGGATGGCGGCCGTCCCAGCTGCTCGGTATAGTAGGTTTGGAAGACGCCGAAGCTATTGATGTAACCCCATGTGTTGAAGATGACAAAATGCCCCAGGCCTACTTGAATCCAGGCCGCGAGGCCGCCGTCGGGGGCAGGGCCAATATCCTTGCCCGACTCTCTCGTGCGGACGAGGGAGAGCGTCCTCCCCGCCAGCGTCCCGGCGTGACTACCGTGAGTAGTAGTCTTGGAAAGCTCTTTCGGTCGACACTCGTCGAAGCTCGATTCCTCATCGTCGGGGTTTGCTCGAGTGGGAGCGTGCTCCTCGCTTATTGTTTCATCTAGAGGCGAGTTCCAGGTTTTCTCTGCCCCAGGTGTGGACTCGGGCAGACCGTCGTGCGACAACGGGGCACCCATGATGGCCGTGCGCAGGACGAGATAAATAGCTTAGAGGCAATGTCGCAGAAGGAAAGCTGAGCGAATAGGCGAAACCAAACCGTTACTCAATGGTGAGAACTGAATTTTGATGACCAAAACTCTCAACAAGAGACAGATACTTGAGATTAGGAAACAATTTGCTAGAAAAAGAAAAGAGAACAAGAGATAGGGAGAGAATGGCTAACCCTAGGCATTAGGCACTGATGCACAAACCCATAATCTCTCGTGGTGCATTCTCTGCATAGATAAAGAAAAAAAGTCGAATGAGTCAAGAATCGGGATTTGCAGAACACCGCGTTAGCTCGTAGTCACTGATTGCCATTATTATTACTCATAATGTGCCCCCTCGGTGGAGACGGCAGGGCAGTCAGGAATCTACTCTCCGGAGTTCGCAGCAAAGACCGAGAGAGCAAGGATGGCCTCGGAAGCGTGTGCCGAAGGTGCCTGGTTTTGCGGGCCGCCGGGGAGATGGCGTCACCTCCGCATTTTCCCCATACTTTGTCGAGTCCACCTGGCTGTACTGTTTTACATATCTGGCTTCTAGATTGGCATGAGATGCATCACTTTCGCGCCTGGCATTCAACACTTCGGACTTCCGATCTTTTTTTTACTACCCATTCCGGGCTCTATACTCTTTAGGTACATACAACAGTCTCCAGCTGCACGACGTTCCAAATGGCTTTCTATGAACATGATTAAGAACGAAAGGGAATTAAGATAGAAAAAGAAAAAAGAAAAGTGGGGGGACAAGGGGAGGAGAATGAAGCCACATGAAACTAGTCACGACGGGCATCCGGGGATCTCAGAGTTCGCTCAAACAAAGATTAATATTCTTGCTTAGCGCTGCTGTTCAACATCGTGACCGTTTCAATAACATCGGCAGGCTCGAGGAGATGCCAGCTAGCGGCTGTCTGTTTCGAACTAGCTCCAACGGTCACTGAAAAGACATGGTCTGGCGGAAGGTCGAACTTTGCAAGGGCCCGGAACATATCTATACCCAGCACGTCAGTCAATCAGGCAACTAAGAGTGATAGAAGAGGGAATGAGTTTACCTTCGTCTGTGAAGTCATCACCCGAGCAAAGGATGAACTCGGGGGCCTTTCCAGGGCCAGTTCCATATTCATTCACCAATCGAGTGGCAATGAACCCCTTGTTGACAAAGGTCGGTCGCACTTCCAAATTCGCCTTTCCGGCCATCACTTCAACCTCCCATCTTTTCCCAACCGTCTCTTCCAGATGCTTGCGACATTCGCGAGCCTGGAATGCGCCGTACTCGGGGTCCGCACGGCGGTAATGCCACGTGAGTGCCACCCGCTTCCGTTCGATGAAAGATCCTTGCGTCCGCTCGGTGTAGTGCTGGAAGGTTTCCATGACCTCCCTCTGCCATCCCATGTTAGACCGCTCCGCCAGATTCTCCCAATCATCCGAGCGTGGCTTGCGAATGAAACAGCCATGCTCGGCACTCAATCCCAGCTCGGGGATATGACCCATCCACTCGTCAAGAAAGGCCTGGTCTCGTCCACTGATGATCCAAACGGCGTTGCGAGGATCGGCGGCCAGCGATTTGATGGTCCGGAGGACTCGGTCCGACGGGATTGCGGCCTGGGGGTCTTTGACGATCGGTGTCAGCGTTCCGTCGTAGTCAAACATGAAGAGCCTCTTCCGCGCTCTGCGGTACTGCTTCAACAGTTTGGCCCGGTCGAGCGCCGGAGTCGCCACGGATTGATCAAATGAGGAAAGGTTGGTCAGCAGGCGCGTGAGGAACTGCTGAGACCAAGACGACACGGTATTTGAAATGACGTGGTTGTAGAGCTTTGTATGCTGGGATTGCTTTTGCTCCGGCGCCATCTCCAAAGCTTGGCTAATGGCCCCTGCCACACCCGCAGTATCCCAAGGGTTGATGTGAATCGCACTTGACAGGGTCCCGGCTGTTCCGGAGAATTCGGACAGGATCAAAGGACTATGATTGTTTTGTTGACAAATGATGTATTCCAGACTGGTCGTGTTCATGCCGTCACGGACGGTGGTGATCAGACCTACATCCGCGACCCGCAGCAACGCGAAGTACTCTTGCTGGGATAGATATTGGGGATAGTACTTGACGGGTGCGAAGCTCAAAGAGCCGAAACGACCATTGATGGTCGAGACCATGTTGGAGATCTGGCCGGCAATCTTGTTCTCCTCTTTTTCCTCCTCAACGCTAGTGGGACTGGTCACCTGGATGAGCACAACCTTGTCGCGCCATTCGGGATATCGCTCCAAGAACAATTCGAAGGCCTGCAGCTTTTGGGTGACACCTCGAACACTATCCAGCCGGTCTCTACCGACAATGATCTTCTTCCCGGCGTACAACTTGCGGATCCCCACGACAGCTTTCTCAATGTCCGGGGGCCCGAAAGCAATCTTCTGGATCGCCTTCGCATCGATGCCGATGGGGAACACGTCCACGGCCACATGAGCACCATACGCGTCGACCCCGGCGGAGTTCGAATCGAACCCAAGAACACGAGTGCAGCACGAGGAGAAATGACGGGAATAAGAGAACGTTTGGAACCCTAGCATATTCGCGCTCAGGACGCCCGTGAGAACCTCCTTGCGTTTAGCCAGGCAGCGCATGAATTCGCTGCTTGGGAAGGGAGCATGCAAGAAGAAGCCGATATAGATATTGGGGATCCTTTGCCGCAGCATACTGGGGAGTAGGAACAGGTGGTAGTCGTGAATCCAGACAATGTCGCCCTCCCGGTACTCTTGGGCGATCCGATCCGCAAATAGCCGGTTCATGCGAACATAATCTGCCCACCATGTCCGCTCCGATCGCCCGTCGGTAGGGCCGTGCTGCTTGTAATGAAGTAGAGGGTAGAGCTCCCGTTCCGCATACCGTCTCCACCGGCCCTGATCCGATAGCGTTATTGTGTCCTCGGGCATTTCGGATTCAGGCGTGAGCCAGACTGGTGCAATTTTGCCATATCGACTGGATGCTAACCGTCTATCAAGCCGTTCCCGATCTTCCGGGCCGATCGAAACCCCCTCCACGAGAGGGTGACTGGGTGGTCGATGAGTGGTATCTACGGGCACCGGCGCCGCCGCCTTATTGAGAGGCACAGAGGCGCCATTGACACCGTTGGCGTTGGGAGGAATCTGCTCTAGAGAGGGAGCGGTATCATGAATCGGTTCAACTTCGCCAGTCCAGCCAACGAGCGTATGGGACCACCGTGTCTCATTGGAACCGAGATATGCAAACGAGTCGAAAAGGGCAGATGTTCCCGGGCGGGTTTTAAGCTCCTGCAAGCTAGATTAGTTCGTCTTCAAATATCTAGTTCGCGAGCGCGGCACAAGGGAGACATGACGTACCCAGTCATGACCCGTTCGAAGATACAGCTTGTAAGGAATGCAGAAAGCCGCGCTGATGATTCGCCCACTCAGGTTGAGACTCGGATACTGTTCTCGGGGATGTGCCTCCAGCACGGGGGGGTTGCCTCTAAGGCTCAATCGACGTAGCAGCTCCGATCCGGATTTCGCATCCTTGGCTGCCTGGGCCGGAGTGGCGGGGGAGATGAGATCGGAGTCTGACCATTGCTTATCTCGAGGGTTTTCAGGGGTAGTAGACGAGTTTTCCGGAATCAAGGTAGCACGGGAAACATTCGGGCCGGAATCCATGCCCGGGGAGTCCATGCTGGCTCCTATCAACACTGAGGGTGGTTGTTCAGCGGGTGAGCGGCCGGCAGTGCCGTGCTTGGAGGGGTTCATGACGGAACCGGATCAGATAGCGATGACGAGATAGAGAGCGACGCAGGGAACGAATTGACGATGGTCAACAAGAATGATTGGTTCTGAAGAGCTTCCTCGGTCAGTCAAACTCATGCATGTTTCGTCGTGTTTCCAATCTTGGGGATGTTCTTCACATGCTCAACAATCAAGAACAAGTGAGGCGGTGGATGGATGGACGGTAAGGATTGTAGCACAATAGCTAGGAAAGGATGGTAAGGTAGAATCAAGATAGGCCAGATGGACCGAGAGGAATCAAAGCAAATTGTATGATAGGAGGTGAGATAACAAGAAGGGGGAAAGGTGTGAAAGCTGGAATGGTTATTCGGGGTGTTAAGATAGATAAGAGAGATAGCGACACATAGTGCAGGTAGGTAAAGAAAGGTAGTATTTCTCACTTTCACCGGGATCCTCTGCCTATTTCTCTTGGATTGTTGGACACTCACACACAAGCAGGCTTTCTGACCGGCAGGCACAGCACACACCCGCTTTTCCCGACGGGCGAGAGAAGGCGAGGTGGACAACGAGCGACTGGGGAATTTGGGCAACAGCAGGGAAGAAGCCAAAAGGACTCAAGGCGGGGCGCGGAATGGATTGGTCCAGGCGGTGAGAGCCTGAGGAATCCACGCCAGTCGGACTTACTGAGTACCACCGGAGTATGTAGTAGGGTGCAGTACGCATTCCACGCTGGTCGTGGCTAGGTCAGATCTTGGGTATCTACTCAATTTCAAAGACAAAGATCCACAGATTTCATTGATTGGTTGCCAGAAATTCCCAATTCCCGTCGTGGTCATTCATGGTCTCTTTAAAGCCCGCCGCAATGAGGAACACTCCCAAGCAAGTGGACGCGACAGTGGAAGTTCCTATGGGGAACCGGACAATCCCTGGATCAGGAGAATTAGTCGATGATGTTCCGATGATGACGACGCTAGAAAAAGTGGGAGAAGAAGAAGAGAATCGACCTTCTCCGAGCATCCTACGTCATGGTTTGACAGGCTTGCCATTGCCAACACTCTCAGGGTCATGATAAGCGTCGACTTGGCCGTTGCATAATACCAACATGTCATATCAACTACTTCTGACTTCTGACTTCTGACTTCTGTACCTTGTACTCCGTACTCCATACTGACCAGAGAACCAACAGCCCAATGTGACAGGTCGCGACTGATCTTGATCTTGATCTTGATTACCTCATCCTCATCGGCTTAGGGCTGGCCCAGATCCCGTGATATCGGACCCTTTGTTCATGCCTGAGGCAGAAATGACATGTGACTGAGTCTCCAGGCAGAACGAGGAAGAGCAAATCTTCCGCTCAGAAGACTGACGGGCGATCGACTTCACGACGGTCATGGCGATGATTATGATGTGGTGACGGTCCTTCCTCCATCCAGCACTTGTCACCACCTGTCACCTTCTTTGCCACCTACCTTGCTTCTCAAGTTAATATCTCATCTGAATTCGAATTTTCTCTCGTTTTCCCGCTGCCTCCGGTTTATGTCCCGGACTGTGACCATCCATCCGCAATGCGTACTGCGCTGCTTGGCTGATCGCGCGACCATGCGCGATTCCCTCTTCGCTAAACGCACATTTCTCTCCCCCCTTTCAACGCCATTGATTCGGTCGCCTTTTCGCCTTTCCCTTCGTTATTCCTCGTCGACGCCTCGCCTTGAGACTCACGGGCCTGGCCCTTATTCGAAGGACTCGGCGATATTCAACAACAGCCTCCAGAAGACTCTTGAAGCGCACCGATTGCAGAATCGAAATGGGTTGATCCGTAAAATAATTCTCAAGGATCATCCCGAGGAACATTCCCTCCTGGAAAAACCCGCCGTGGTCCCGGAGGAACAACCACCACTCCCAGCCGTCAACCCCCGACCTGTCTCGGCTTCAAGACCGCCTGGGTCTGCCAAAAAGAAGGCTCTCAGACGAAGCACTACTGCCGCTCAGTCGCCGGAATGGGGGGATGAGCGGGTACGGTGGGCCGCAAATGCGAAACGAAACCGCCCGGAACAGTCGCCATGGATGGTTTACGTGGGAGGACCAAACCACGCGCAGCTCGACGGCATCTCGCAGCTAGATGCAGAGGTGCGCGCGCTGGACAAGTACCTGTCTCCCACATCCCAAGAGCGAAGTCATGTGGCGCAAGTAGTCGCGGAAGTGCACGGTCTTCTCGCAGACATTGTACCTCGCTCCCCTCGCCTGATCGGGCCTTGGAGGACCGGACTTGCTATGAGCCATTCGGACTTGGAATTCGTCTTGCCGGTACCCGACTCGGCCCGGTCAGTTGAGAGAGATCGGAAGCCCAGCGCTACCCGACCGCAAGTGCTTCAGACTTACGCCGACCTGCTTCGCAACGTCGAGGATGCCCTTCGCCGGAGCTCAACATTTGGAGATCGGGTGCATATAGTCGGTAAACGAAACTCGATCTTGACAGCTATCCACCGCCCCACTGGACTCAGTCTACAGTTCCGTTGTGGCGAGGCCCCCCCTGCTTCCATCGAGTATATCCGGGATTACCACGCCGAGTACCCCTCGGTCCGGCCACTATACATGACTCTCCGTCTAGTACTCGAGTCGCGGTTTGTATTCGGCAGCCACAACCTCTCAATCAGCCCAGACGCTCTCGTGATGCTCCTCGTCAGCTTCCTGAAGACCAATCACGGGCGGTTTCGGGTATCGGGCGGCAGTCTCGGGGAGCAACTCCTTGGCTTTCTTCAGTTCTACGGTACTACGGTCGATCTAACCACCACGGGAATCTCCGTCGACCCTCCGGGCTGCTTCAACGCCGAGACCGTCAAGTCCGCCAGCAAGGAATACGAGCCCGATGGCATGCCTGCCTACCTCCGTGGCCAACGAGCCCTCGTCAATCTCAAAAGAACCGCCGCATCCAGGCGCAATCTGCCCACGGCTTCGCGGCTTTGCATCCAAGACCCGGCTAATTATATGAATGATCTCGGCCGCTCATGCACGCGCACGCGGGACCTCCAAGCCGCATTTGCGCAGGCATATAGCTTGATCAGGGCGTCGTTGGACACCCACAAGACTGCAAACGATGGTCGTCCCGGTGAGAGTCTGCTGGTGCACGCTCTGCGGGCTAACTTTGATGACTTCAGTCGAGTGCGTGCCCGTATCGCCTCTGCTGTTAGAGGTTCAGCTGCAACCTCCATTGTGAAATAGACACATCCAGATTTACTTCCGTGACTACTATACACATCTCGATAGGGTTCTCATTGGGGCCATGATAGTATAGACATATTCCAGTGTCCCTTTATATCCAGTGGGCAGGACAGTCAACCCATTCAAAGGCAGCAAATAAGTAGATAATTACATTACATTAAGGAAGAACAGTACTAGCAGAAAGAACGCCCGCTTGCTATCAAAATAAAACAAGACGAGGATGGTGTAACACGGTAGAAAATGCCAAAGGATTAGGGTATCCCGACTCAAAACAGACAAAGTAGTAGGTATCCAAGAGCAAGAGCCAGTTCTAAGGAAATGGAGGCCCGGAGACTAGAGCTCGAGTGCGATAGTGCCATTCGGGATGAACACATTAATTACTATATCGGGGTCAGCAAACAGTTCGTCAAACCCTAGATGGGGGCAGGGAAGCCTACTAAATTTCCAGCGGGGAGATCTGATCCAACGTGTAAAGCCAGTTTCCGCCCTGTTCCTCTTTCTCAAGCCTAGGATAAATGGTCAGTCAACACTGAGCATGCAAAACAGTAGTCACGAAGGATCACAAACCAGTCATAAGGCCACAGGATAAGATGTCCCTGAACCTTGTCCAACATATTCTCCGCCTTCTGCATATCCATCATCTCATCAGATGCATGGAATTCTCGCTTCGAACCCAAGGTTGTGGCTCTTCGCCGTCGTCGTCGGGAATGAGTGGTAGCGTTCCGATTCAACGCCTCCGAGTATTCAACCACCGGCGGATCAAAGCGCTGCTTGTCCGCGTCCTCGCCAGACGAGCCACTTTCATCATGTCGCCCGTTTCGTGCGTTGCCTGGGGCTATCACGTCGCTTATTCTGCGAGTAGCTTTCTCGTCCAAGTCTGACGTCTCTTGTCTTGTCGGCTCAGACGGTGAACGGTCGCCGAAGTTCTGGGTGGCTTCGTTCGTTTGCTTTTCGGTGCTCGGACTGACAGCCTGCAGATGCGACTTGGTTGCCTTGGAGCTTTGCTGGTTCTGCAACTCGGTGAAACGCTCTGCATAAGCAGTGTACTCTTTGTATTCTTTCCAGGATTTCACTTCGCTGTCAGGCATGCAACGGAAAACGCTGCGGAAGATCTTGGTGTTCTTCTCCGCAACGGCATGCCATGTATCCAGGTAGAACAAATCAATCACCGGGTCTCGCATGCAGTCCTGATCGATATAGACATGTTTCATGTCTGGGCCAAGCGGATGCGGGTATTTGTCAGAATCATATTTGTCTCTTGATGCACTCTCGGGCTCTTGTCCAGACACTGGAGCAGAAGCGCGGGCATGTGAGCCTTGAGCAACAGGACTCGACTCAACACCGTTACCTGTTGCCGCAAAAGAATTCTGGCCGTTCCTTTCATCAGCGTGCTGGGAGGATTGTTGTTGCGAACGCTTCGGTTGCTGCACGGTGCCTCTGCCCTCGCTTGCAACGGGAGAAACCAGTACTTCGGTTTTCGTATCCAGGAATTGGGTATCGCGGGCGTCCCCCAATCCGGCCTGCGCAGCAGCATCAAGATTGTCAGTCCCAAACCCATCCACGTCCTTTTTGTGTCCTGGGTTGGAAGTCACCCTCGGATCAGCCGTCAGCTTTCTGTTGGATTTGAGGTTCGGGTTGTTGCTCTGCTCCCAGTCGACATCATGGTTAAAGCTGTGCATGTCTTCCGAGCGTGAGAGAAACTCGTCCTGAATGCGATGCCGACGTTCGATCATATCCCGTTCTGTCTGTTTCTCCTGCATAAGAGACTCAGAGTCGAGCCTTTCACGATCTTCTATGGGTTTCGAGTCCTCCTCTGCGATTTCAATCTTTCGCAGTTCCTCCTCGGTCGCCATTGAATGTTCCATCAACTCGTCCACATCGATGCCCAAATGCTCTCTCATGAGACGCATCCGAAGCGTATGAGGGAATCTTCCGACGAGGTAAGGACGGCCGTTCATCGAAGACCAGATCATATCAGTGTCCCGGACGACGGATGCGACCTCCGAGTCCCGGGAGCCTAACATGGATCGTTCGTTGATATTCGCAGACCCAATGATCGCGGCTCGGTCGTCCACAATCATACATTTGGCATGGATATACAATTGTTCGGTGACCAGATGATTGTTGGGTCCAATTTTGCCCCAGGACCGGAGACTGTAGAACTGAATGTAGTCTTCGGGTTCAATGCCGAGAGCTCGAAGTCGCCCAAAGATAGAGGTTTCTCCGCGACAGATACTCCGGTACTGGCACATCATGATCAGACGAACGCTAGTTCCACCTTCACTGTCCACGGTATTCTGAAATCCGGGGATTAGTGGGATGACGATGGTAGCGCGCCAAGCTTCTTGATTCTTCGCGGCCCTGGTGATCCGCTCCACCAACGCGTCACCGATTAGATTCTCGATCTTTCTCCCGTCGATTTCACATGTACTGACGAAAAATTGGTTCTCGATGTAGACGAAGTGTTCGGATTCCTCGATCAATTTGACGTACGCGTTCATGATGCTGTGCTCCGTCAAGTCCCCAGTGCCAGTCGACCAAGCACTGCTAGATCGTAAGATCTGAACTTCACAGGTCCCATCAAGGCCTAGGGCCTCTAGGTCGGCAGGTTCAAAGTCCGGCGGTGGCAGGAGAAACGGAGTAGGCCGTGTTGGTTTGCGCTGACGCAAGATATAGTTCCAGCGCTGAACGAAATGACGCGTGAGATCCCGGGCTGGCTGACCGACGACATGCATTGATATGTCATGCCACGGCATCCTAGGTGTGATGTTTCGGTCATACATCTCCTCATAAGGTTTGTCCAAATCATAGAAATCTTGAATACGCGGGTTGGAATAGTCTTTACCGGGCCAGAGCTGGCAATGGTCTGCATCTTTTGGCCCGTCTGGTGTCTCGAATCCGGTCGGCTTATCGTCCGTGAGCATATGCTGTGGCGTATCCCATCTTCCGAAACACAAATCGATACCTCCCACGAAAGCCAGCGTATGGTCAATGATGCATAATTTCTCATGATGGGCCCAGAAGAAAGTGTTCTGTCTGAACTGATTGGGAGACCTTTGGACAAAGACGTTCGGATGCAGATCGAGAAGAGAGAACTTGGAGTACTCCGAGTCAATCGGAATGGCCGAATTAATATTTCGATACATAATCACAAAGATCTTCACTCCTTCGCGAGCCTTGCGTTGAAGAAGGCGATCCAGACGCCACTTTTGGCTGATAGCAGCTGGCCGTCGCATGTAAAGCTCAGGACTCAGCCACCAGTCATGGATGTAGATGACATCCTTTGCCTGATTGATCGCACGCGAGACTACCCACATATGGTCACGAGCGTCCACCAGCCACTGGGCAAAACAATTGGGACGCACGGGGGCAAAGCTGTCGAATCTATTGGGCTTTGACCAGGGGGTGTTGTCAACCATGAAGCGAATTGAGTCCTCAAATTGGTGGAGTTGACGTTCGTTCCTGGCCAGGAGCTTGAGCTTCCGCTCCGAGTTTTCGAGTTTCAGCGTATGATGTTGCGGGTGCCTGGCCGATTCCTTCGCCGACTTTGCCAGCTCCTTTGCCTTCTGGTTGCGTAAACTTATCTTCTGTGTTTGGAGTTTGAAAAAGGGGTCGACCAGAAACACGTCGTAGATGTTCATCTCCTCGGGCGAATCAACACAGACGACATAGCTGTGTCTGACAAGGAACCATTTAGGTGAATGGCGCTTCTTTACCATTGCCGGTGTCAAGGCCCTCCGGAAATCAAGGCCCTTTGATGACTGGATGATCAAATACCCTTCCTTACCGTGATAGCTGCCCTCGGCAGCAAGACGAACACCTAGCGCCGACAGCTCTAGGAACTTGCACAGACGGTTGCTATCGGGCTTGAAGATCAAAAAGCGTATCAACTTTTGAAGATAGGATTCCAGCTTCTTTCTCTGCCGCTCCGGGTAGCTTTCCTTCTTGGCTGACGGGCCTGCTTCTGCCGTCTCGCCTTCGGTGTTTGTCACGGTCGACTGCCGTCGAGAGGGGCCAGCGGACGATTGCCTTCTTGTGTACTGTTGTCTTCTACCAGCTCTCTCGTTGCCGCTCGTTGCCTCTGCAGCGGTCTCGTAGCCACCCTCGTCCTCCTCGTCCTCCATGTCACTGTCTAGGCCGCGCACACCACGCAGGTATGGGAATGCGCTTCGAGGAAACCGCGGAAGATTCTGTCCACTTTCGGTATTTCGCAATTGGATGTATTTTTGCGTCCCAAAATGGAGCTTGTACTTCAAATGGATATTCGCGAAATCCTTCAGGGTTCGATGAATGATCCACTTCATGCGAGTCATGCCGCTGCCGTATTCGAGTTCGATTCTGAACACCAGGTGACGATCTCCAGAATGCGAGTCAATTTTACTGTCTGTGACTCGAACCTTGAGCTGCTCCAGAAGAATTGGGATTCGCTTGCTCCCGTGCTCATCACGCTGGAACATACTGGCCAAAATCAATGCTGCCGGCACACCTGAAGTTAGTTCAGCTAGCAGCTCGGCCGACTTTGCGTGATCCACCGTGTTGTCAGCTTTACGCCGCTGTCCGATCAGCTTCAAACCTGCTTTGATCTGTCGCCATCTTTGGGCACTCAGGCTGGAACCACGATCCGCTCGATGTCGCCTCCAAGGAGCCGAAAGCCCTTCCGCGTTTTCTGAGGGCCCGAACCCGGTTAATCGGCGGAGATTACTTGGCCGTCTTTCATCTGGCCCGCCCTGAGTGATTCCGCGCGAGTTGGCGAGCCAGGCACTTCTCCGCCTCCAGGTGGTGTCCTGGTTGAGGCGATCCCGACCTTCATCCTCTGACACTCCTTCACGCTGCTGGGCGTAGTCGCCGGTATTCCGTCGGGGAAAAAAGATGGGCCGGTGGTTCTCCGAAGGGGCAAAGGAGCTGGTGAAGTTGAATGACGGTCGGCTTACAGCCTTGGGCGTGTTCGGCTCGGTCTGGGGCGCAGAGTCATTGCCCTTTGCTCGTCGCAGATGTTTTTTCTTCTTGCGATGTTGAACATTTTGCTCCCCAGCACTTTCCTCAGCGTCGGCGTCCATATCACTCCCCTCCTCCTCCAGCGTATTCGGGAAGCGGAACTCCCCCCTTTCCGAACCGGGGGTGGCCAGGTCATGGTTCGGCGGTCTGATATCCCCGATCGTTGCGCCGCTGGCTGACCGCGAGTGGGAGAATGAGGGCGAGGCGGCAAAGGCTTTGATTTTTGTGAACAGAGAATTTTTCCCTTTCGATGCTGGGTCTGCTTCATCGCCCATGGCCGACGGCGGTCTAGACTGATTCAATTCCGGGAGATGGTCATTCTCGGAAGCGTCCTGGGTGAACTGGACGCTGGGACGGCGGGGCGTAGCGGGCGTTCCGGGGTGGTTCTGTTGGGAACTCAAGCTTCTGGGTTTCTGCGAGTTGCTGACCAGATCGATCGGTCGTCGAGAGTTCAAGGAGGCGGGCGTGCTTTTAGGGGCACCGTCGAGCCCCTCCTGAAATCCGTTGACATCCCCCGTGGGTTTCTCTGTTTGTTCACTGCCACCTGGCTTGGCAATAAAGTAGCCCGTTCGATCGCGGTCATCTACAGACTCTGCATTGTTGTTCGCCGGCGTAGCGTTTTGGGTCCCCGGAGATGGTAAAGGGGGGGACTGTCTGGGGTCACTGGGCAGCGACAGCGACAGAGGCTCGAAACCGCCAAAGTTCAAGTGATTCGGGGTGCTTTCGGGGCCCCTCGTCTCGGAGGGAGGGGCGGTAGAATCCGTCATGTTAATTGCTGCTCGCGAAGGAATCGGGTCAGTCAGGCTCAAGGGCACCCCGGGGAACGGGGGCAGGTATACCTTGCGGTACGGAGTGGATTCAATGGAAACCGACCTCAAGGAACTGGGGGAATGCTCATATTCAAGAGAAGGCCATCCAGGGGAGGGGAAGTTGGAGGAGAATGCGGAAAAACCAATCTCCCCGGAATAATGCAAGAAACCGCCAAAGCAGAAGAACAGACAGAGTAAAGGAGACGGGCTGAGTTTTGAAAGGAGCGTTGCGTGAGCAGCAACTGTCGGTCCCCAAGCCGCGGTGGAGTGGAGTGCCGTCCCGTTAGACAGTCCAGAACTGGGCCCCTTGCTGGGATTTCAATTGAAAAAAAGATTAAAATTAATTGGAGAAAAAAATGGAGTAGAATGGAATAAAACCCATAATTTTCAGGAGTCAGTTTTAACTGTTAACCGATTATTCCTCCACTTCATGATTAATCCGACCCCCTTTAATTCAGGGCTTGGATGTACTCCGTAAGGTTGTACCTGATACCTGACCTGATACGAGTCTAGTACTGTACTGTAAGAGGATTAATGATGATCTGGGGTTGATTCCTTTCCATACTTCCTTTTCTTCTCTCCCATAGCTTCCTGCACATAACAACCTGACAAAAGACAACATACAAGATCACACAATGACTGATCCCTTAAACACCTTGGATTCGGCCTCCAGCCCCGTGTCTGTTTCGCGCAAGACGTACCCCATCGCGGGGATCCTCACAACCGTCTTCGGTCTCGACGAGCTCCCCTCTAACGCTACCGAGGTTGCTTGTCTCTGGCTTCTGCACCCCCGCCTGGCCACCCAGGAGCGCATGAGTCCCATCGCTGGCGCTGTCATCAAGGACTGGAATCAAAGGATCCAGGATCGTGCCGCTGATATCAAGGCACCCGTCACCGGCTTGATTGCCGTGGCTTTCGATCAGAGGAATCACGGCTCTCGCCTAGTCGATCCCCTCGGCAATGAGGCCTGGAGACAGGGCAACCCTCGACATGCGCAGGACATGTTCTCCATCTTCCGTAAGTTTTGAGAGACGCCAACTCTGCTCGTTCTCCTGCCGGAACTGACACAATGGAATGTAGAGGGTACCGCCCGGGATGTATCACTGCTGATGGACTATCTCCCATCATTCGTCTTCCCCGCGTCTCAACGCCGCATCTCTGACAACCTTGTCCTTGGTGTATCCCTAGGCGGCCATGCGGCGTGGAGCTGCATCCTGCACGAGCCTCGCGTGAGTGCGGGCGTGGTCATCATCGGCTGCCCGGATTATGTGAATCTCATGGCGGACCGGGCAAGATTGTCAAAGCTCGCGGCTTGGACGGAGAGCAACCCGCCCGGCGCCCAGTTCCTGTGTTCCGAGGCTTTCCCGTCCACGCTCCTGGATACCGTTCGCAACTACGATCCTGCCGCCTTGCTTCTAGGCTACCTTGGCTCGAGATCAGAGGGGCCCGTGCGGGAACCGAACGAGGAAGAAAAGCAAGCCTTGCGTCCTCTTCTCACTCGCTGCCTAGCGAACAAAAAGATCCTCAACCTGTCCGGCGGTTTGGATAAGCTGGTGCCGTATCACCGGGGAGAGGCTTTTCTCACCTGGCTGAAACAGACCATAGGACCGGATGGGTGGTTCGCTGATGGTGCGGTGACGCTGGAAGATATAATCGATGAGAATGCCGGACATGAAGTTACCCCTAAGATGGTTACCGAAGCAGTCCGGTTCATTCGTGAGACCTTAGAAGCTGGCAAAGAAGGCTCGGACTCCGTCCGCGAAGCCAAGATATGATCTTATGTCTTATGATATCTCCTTGATGCTATATTATGACTGGGGGCTCAGCTCACCTTGTAAATAGTCGGATTCATGGATAGACTACGCTTATATGTACGAACTATTATCTTGCAACATTTCTCATGTTGAAATCGTAAGCGTGCTGGCTCCCAGACTGGCTATCGTGCTTATCAGGGTGTCTAACTAATCAATCGCTTTGTGAATAAGGGTTCGTAATTTGAGACATCGGAAGAAACGCCCTCTTAAGGTGGTTACATCATAAAATGGGCATAGAAACTGACAAACGGCCAAAGGCTTGGCATTTTGCACCTGAGGCGTCTAGAACGCTTACAGGCCGGGCAACTAAGCCACCGAAAGATAGCGTTTCTAGGACTGCGCCTGGCTCGGACAGGAGCCGCTAAATCGACCAACCGATTTTTTGAGAGTAAAAATACATGGACCGAGAAGAATATCAGAAACACCTGCCAAGCCAGAAAACTCGTCTACACCGTACGCAGCGACTCCGAAATCAAAGGCAATGCCTGATATGTTCTACGTCCAAGGACACAGCACATTCAGTATGCAGGTTTCAGGATCAAGTGACTTTGGGGAGAATTGGGCGAAGCGAGGAATCGGGGGGAAAAAATCAAAACGTCACTGATGGTATTTTGTTTAATAGAGTGAGATCGTAAGGGCGTCTGGAGGCCACAACATGCTCATCGCAAACAAAGACCCTTTATTTTTGTTAAATACACGGACCAATGCGTTTCGATCCGCGGTTCCCATTGTCGAGTTCTCAGATCCCTTTCCTGATGAGACTGATCCTCTATTACACTGACCGTGGCCAGCGCAGCACCCGCCCAGTACTTTGTCCTTCCGTTGTCATTCCATCTTAAGCCACCAGCTCAACGACACCACCGGCTTCCTTGATCTTCTTCTCGGCATCCCGGCTGAAGTATCTGGCGCGAACGACGACGGGGACTTCGGGGATACGGCCCTTTCCGAGGACCTTGGAGTAGCCCAGGGGAAGGAGGTCGATAACGGGGGCGGTGTCGGTCTTCTGGCCGCTCAGGTAGGCCTCACGCTTCTCGGCGGGGACAAGGCTCCACAGCTGTAAGGAATCTCTTATCAGCAATTGTTCCCAGAATCAAGAATCCTTCCAACAAAAACGAAGTCCATTCCCATTGCTCTCATTTCGCGGTCTTCTTTCATCCTGTCCCTTTTTTTTCACGCGATTGCTGGCTCGGGGAGGTTGTCTTTCGTCTCGTGGGTTGCGCTTTCCAAATCTTCAACGTACCTTGTCGAGGTTGATCGTGGGCTTCCAGAACTGCTGCTGGGTCTTGTGGAAGTACCTCATACCGACCTTACCGAAGTAACCGGGGTGGTACTTGTCGAGGTTGGTACGGTGGTGGTGCTGACCACCGGCCATACCGCGACCACCGGGGTGCTTGCGGTGCTTGCCGATACGTCCGTAACCGGCGGAGACATGACCGCGGCTATGAGAAAGAAAACTCAGTCAGTCGTTGTGCTCATTCGAAGGGCGTTCAATTCAGTATCCAAAGGGGGTTTCGAGCGGGAACATCGGCGTTGTCGCATTTCACGGCAATGACAACGTTCAGCCGCTTTTCGAGGCGACAGAACGGACGGTCATAAACTCACGCTTTCCTGGTCTTGGAGAAACGGGTAGGCATCTTGTCGGCGGTGCTGTGAACGACAAGAGGTTGGCGATGGGGGGGATGCGGTCGTGGGTGCTGCTCTCAGATGTTGAAATCAAGGCCCGGGGCGGCTAGAGTGTGCGCTAAACCGTTCGCTTGCCCTGAAGTAGGGTCAAACCCTGACTTTTGCCGTTCGCGGGCGGTGAGCCACGTGATCCGGTCTCCGGCCGCTGAATCAGAGCCTTGGCGCTCCAACGGACCATGATCTATGGAATCAGTCCCGAGAAGTACTTTAGCATTGAATATGAGATTCTTCATCATTCGTATTCTATCGATTTTGGCTCCTGCCTTCCTCTCCTGCCAGTGAAAAATTTAGCAAGGCTGCCTACTACTGCCCCTGTCGGTCGTTGCACGGAAGTGCTCGCCATACTCTGCTTAATCCATGTCGGCAGTTTCCCTTGTACATTAGCGCTCTGATACCGCTTGTCAATAAGCACGATGGCGGCGTAATCATTCTGATGTCTGATAGCCCGTCCAATACTCTGGTTGACTGCTCGCATGCAAGCATTTTCGTAGAAATCCCTGCCCGCAGCTTTGGCGGCCGACTGTCGGTTGGCCCCGGAGTTTTGCGCAAACGCCTTCTGCTCGACGTACTGGATTTTGGCTTGCCAAACCGCGCTGTGTATATTCGGGAAAGGCAGACCAACAATCAAAACACCCCGTCCCAGTCTGTCCGAGAAGTTAATGCCTTCGGACAATTTGCCCCCTACTACCGATAAGAGCAGAGCCCCTTTACCCGCTTCAATAGTCCGAGCATAATCCTGAAGGAGCTCCTCCGTTGTGACCGTCATATCGCGGGACTCGTACACAATGGGTTTCTTCCGCTCGATCAAATTGTAGACACTTTTGCTCTCGTCGCCCGGAATGGGCTTCTTCCATGTGCTTATGACCTGGTGTAGATAATCAAAGCTGGGGAAAAAGGCAACCACGCCGTCGGGAATCACCTGACAAAATGCTGCAATTGTTCGCCCGAGATCATTGATCTGTGTAGAGTGGTTAGATGAGATAGCAAATCGCTTGTTCAGTGTATCATGCTTACTGTCTTCTCGGAATTCCGATTTTCGTAGGTGAAATCGAAATCGGAACCGAAGATCCCCTTTCCGAGAGTATGTGCAACCAGGTTTTCTGATGGGATGACATGGCCATAGCTGAAGGTATCTAACCGATTGTGTGGCACATATGAGAATAAATGATTCATGTAATCTGACATCTTGATCTGGGTGTTAGCTCGTTGGTAGTGAGGTGAGGGGGGATTCGTCCTACTGGAGACATTGTTCCACCCGCTAAGATGACTGCCCGTGCATCTTCAACTATCTCCCTGAAATGATTTGTTGGGTCGAGTAACATGTACTTTAATTGGATATCGTCTGATGTTTTCGAATAGAATAGCCGCCCTTCAGCCGTGAGGTTCATCAGAGGTAAAAGAAAGCTTGATACGTGGAAAAGGACGGGCGTGGTAGGTTTCGAGTGTGATTGGTGATCTGCTTTTTCCTTGGAGAACTCAACGTAGCCATCAACCTTCCTAGCCAATTTGCTCTCCTGCAAGTACCTACACAGCTTGTAGGGGTTGATTTGGTCAACGCCTCTTCCAGCCATGAGATCTGAAGATTGCACACAGCCCTCAGGAGCAGAAGTGTTTTTGAGAGACCGAAGATGATCCGCAATTGAACTGACAAGCCTAATGACTTGTGCGATGTAGCTTCTGTTCTTCCCCTTTAAGCGCGTCTTGAACTTCCGCGCGTAAGCTGTCAGTTGTGAGATCGAAGTCTCTAGTTGGGAAAGCGTGATTGTGACTGAGTGGATGTTAGAGATGGCGTCCATCAGGTTATGCGCCTCGTCAATAATGACGATGTGATCTTTGACGGAGATTTCTAGGGCCTCTCGTGCTGATCGCTGGAGGAGCAGGGGGTATGGAAGCGTCACAATCTTTGCGGTATCAGCAACATGCTCGTAAAGGACTGAACGGGTGGCCTACCTCGGTGTGTTTGATGACCGATCGGGATGCATAATAAGGACAAGTTCCAGTCTTCTTGCCAATGTTTCCCAAGTCTTCAATGTCTTTGACTGTCGCCAACGCATGATCGCGGAAGTTCAGTAGTGGCGCTTCATCGTTCTTGGACGGCAGGAAGGGGCATTTGTCCTGGGCTGCAACGCCAGGTTGTTGTAACTCAAGGCATCGTTCGTTAATTGCGGTTGGATTTTCCAAAGCAGCCACTTTTGGGTTGATGCACAGGTTCCTACGGGACCCAAGCGACAGATGCTTGATCCGCTCCTCGAGTTCTCCTTCGCCCGTAAGATCAAGGCTGAGCTCCTTCGGCACGCTTGGCGGCATCTCAACGCGCCTTAGCTCGCTCACAAATTGGGTCAATTGAGAATGGGTTCGGGAGCAATAAAAAATTCTGGTCAATCCCTCGGCGTCATCTTTCTCCGCCGGCTTGCTTGAGAGTTTCCCTTTGAACTGCTCTAATAGACCCAGGGTGCTGGCAGACAGACCACTGGGTTGGCCTGATGACATCTGCGAATTCTTTTGCTCCTCAGTATCACTTTCATAGTCATCTAATGCAAAAGAATCTTCATCCTGTACATCTAAAGCAGTAGATGGGGCATTCATTTTCTAGGCGGAGCACATTAGTACTGAGGTCTCTATTGCAGGAAGAAGGCAACTGCCATACCTGTCGTTTCCGAGGACCCTCAGAACTTTCGTGAGCCACTTTAAGCTTCTCTTCTTCTTGCCGTATCTTTGCCAGCCTTGATTCAAGTCTCTTCTTCTTTTCGGCAATGGCCCGGCTTGATTCGCGTTTTGCGAACTCTTTCATCCATTCTGGTTCATCTTCATCGCCTGAATGATAACAAATTAGGGGAATTCACCCTACATCCAAGTTGGCCTGTAACTAACATGCGGTGTTCTCCACTAGTTCTTGAAGAGCCTTGCGCTTGTGGTCGCGCAACCAAGTTAAGGAGCCGCATATTAAACTTAAGGATTTTCCCTAGAAGAAAAGATAGTCCAATTTTAGTAATTGCCATGGCAAAGAGTGAACAAGTTCAATTTGAAAGTTCTGACGATTGTAGGCCCATGGGTTCTATCCGAGCGCTTGAAACCATGGAAACTGATTTGCGTCACTCACCGTGCCTAGAGTTGATATTAGCACATAGCTCGCGAAGGAGATGGGATGGGACTAACCAGTAGGAGACTCAAAAACAGCCACCTTGCCCTCTTCGAGAGAAGTGTAAAGGGCGCGCATAAACTGAAGCTGGATGTCATAGGGCGAGTAAGGGTGATTGAAATTGGAATTCTCTGGGGAGAGGTCCATGGCGCTCTTCCACGTGTCTGGAGCAGAAACTACTAGATCAATGACATAGTATTTAGGGATGGATTAGCAGTTCTCCCTACACCCTAAGACTGTACACCGGAAGTAACCTGAACACCGATCGATTCTTTGCCTGCAAATCCGATGTACGATGGATTAGGTAATCCTATGTGTACAGCCTCAGGCACCACTGGTCACCTGAGGTAGGAGGAGTGGAAAGGGTTAATTTGAGCTTTTGAATCGCAAAGCCTGTGCATGCCAGTATCAAGCCGACGAGGCAAATAATCTCCGTACAATTGGTCCAGCTTACGCTAATATAAAGCGGTTTAACCGACTATACAATAGCTAAAGGTGCTGGGATGCTTGGCATGGCTTTGGCTACATGATGTTGTGGACCTCCTCCATCCCCCCTGACCGACGTAGCTAGGTAATAACAAGACAACATCATTGCATTGACAGTCGCGAAACCGAATACTCCATTATCCATGTTAGACGCTGCGTGGGTGGCGGTAATAACGATTCTCTTCATAATGATTGTCAAACAAAGGTAGAGGATCCTGACCATGACAATTGTGCATATCACGAAGAGATTTTGCAATTGTTTCATCCAGCTCCCGTTTTCGGAAAATTGTAGGTTGTCTTCTCGATAGGCGAAGAACATAAATAGGAATTAATGTTTTACATTCATGGGCAGTTTCGTAGTTATAATCAGTATTATTGAGATCAAGTACAAAGTAGGAGTGATTTCCGCGGCAGATTTTGACAGCAATAAATCGAGTCTTGTTGTTGGGGTGGTGATCTTGGAGACATTTTTCGGTCTCTGAAACAAATGGACGTATAGATCCTAAATAGTCTCCAGGATCAAGGATACTATTTGGAGTATCACCAAGTATCCGTATTGTGCCTGAACCGACATCTCGTAGGTGATTTGCAAGGACCACTCGGATCTGGCGAATAATGTGCTCGCGAGTCTCTTGGATTAAGCCGTTCATAATAGGGATAATGATATGCGCATTAGGAGATGTGACAATGAGAAAGAGTGAACGTTGCTGGCCTTCCAGGCGTTAGTAGGGATGCCAATACCCTTCGGCAGAAGGATTAATAATTGTCCGTGCTCCCATCCAACCAACCCTATGTACTTGGACAACCCAGCATGCGATAGATAGATAGGCCCGGTCACACTTGAAGTCAAAGGGTTGGTGAGCCGCTAGACACGGAGTGGCCGGTTCGATAGCAGAAATACGCGAAAAGGGGTCGAGTGAAGGCCATTATCAGAGGGGCGCGAGGCTATCTTTTATAGACCACACACCAGATGCCAAGCGGCAGTGAAGTGCTTTCCCCAATTTGGAACGCGATACCAGGAATACGGCGTACTCCGTACCTATCGGTGTACGGAGTAGGTGTGGATTGAAACATGGATTGTTTATACAATATGTATTCTGGATCTGATTATCGATGGCGGGGTCATTCACCCTCCGCTTGATAGACACGAAGGATACGCGAAAGAGGCTGAGGACATAGTGGTGTGTAGACACTAGACAGTACACCGTATGTACTCCGTAATGAGGCGATGACGAAGGGTTCATCTAACTATTGGGGACTAAGAATAATCATTCTTCCCCCTGTGGGTCACAGCCGATTCTTGCATAAGATTTTATTAATAGATTTCTAGTTCGGGAAGTAATATTTTAGCTCCTGTTTCCGACCTTTGCATGGACGACAAGGTCTTGATTGTTGAACTATAAGAAACAAATGAATTATCTAGACGTAATCAATAATAAGTCAATAACAATGTGATCGAGTATACAAGCCCACACTCTACCTCCGACAACTCGGAAGACAGATTGAACAGGGTCTGGACGGGGAAAATACGGCCTAGTAATTATTTATAATAAATAACAATCATAGAATAATAATAATAATAATAATACGAGTATACGACCGTCGCCAGATTTTACTCCCCCAAATTGACAGCTCTGACTATTGACTTTTAGTTTCTTGTCCGTGTTTCACGGTGGATAGCAGTTTTCTTTCAGCCTTTCTTACGCCAGACTTCCCCGCGGGCCTTTTTTTTTCTTGCCCCTCCCCCTGGGAATGTTATTGAATCCCTTTTATTGATTGGATTTGATTTCCCTTTTTTCTTTTTTTTTTATTTCCACTCCGAGCTCTCTCCCCGAATCCATTACCATTAGATCCTCTAACTCATCTATTATTGATGAACCGTTGAAACCGATTCCCTCCTAGTCTGCGCCAACACCCCTCCTTCATTAATTAGCTGGGGCTTATTTAACGACAACCCCGAAAAATCAAGGAGAAAAAGGGAAAAAAGGAAAGAAAGAAAAGGAAAGGAGAAGAAAGAAAACCATATCCCTCCCCGCCATTAACCAAGGGGACGACAAACTCGACAAGAAACAACGGTTTAATTCATAAACAAAACAAAACAAGAACAATCAATCCAAAAAAATCCAAAATCCAATAGTCTCGGAAACGGAGAATTAAAGGGAAAAAAGGGAAAAACCAGGCGCCCAACAATGAACAGGCCTCCGCAAGGTCGCGGTCAGCCACGGCTAGGTGCTACATGGTATCCAGGGGGCCAAGATGATTTTTACATGCCAGAAGTCATATCCCCTTCTCCTCAAAGGTGCGACCGCCCCGATCCTTTAGTTGCGGATAAACCCAGGAAGGGGTGGGAAATTAAAAATCCCAGAGCGAAACCAAAACAAAAAAGAAAAGGCGTTCAGGACTACGCCGTACTAGACTACTAGTCTTACTTCCAGCCCCTTCTGGTTCGGTGGATGTCGTTGCTAATCTAAAATTACCAATAATCTCCAGGGTGATGCCTGAAGTCCCGGAGACGATGCAGGACAATATTGCCCACCTCGAGCATGAGGCCCGAAACCCTCACCGCAGTCAACACGCTCCTTCCCCCGCTCAATATGATCGATCGCGTTTCCCCGAGCGAACTTCCTCTGCTGCCGTAGTCCAAGGTCAGCCTGTTCCTTCCGGCTACGAAGCCGCCCACTACGAGCAGTCCGCCGTCTACGACAACATGGAATCCCCCAACTTCTCCCCGTTCCCCGTCCTTCGCAACCCCCCGCCAAATGTGCCCCCTACCGACGAGCAGAAAGAGGCCAGCTTGGAGAAGGCCCGGATGCCGGTGCTCTCTTCAAATGACCCCGAGATGCAACTAGCCTGGGCTCAGGATGCTCTGGCTTATGTCGAGGCCGCCACCCAGAATGAAGCCCGCCTGTCTTTGATCCAGCCGCCGCGTCCGCAAACGCCCCAGGTGGAGCGTCAGCTCAAGGTCGATGCCATGAATATCGTGAACTTTTTGGCCGACCAGTTCCACCCCAAGGCCGAATTCATCAAGGGCATGTGGTTGGAGTTCGGCAAATTCGGTTTCCGCGTTGACAAGAAAGAGGCATTCCGCGCCTACTCGAGGGCCGCGGAGAAAGGATACGCGAGGGCTGAATACCGCATTGGAATGCAGTTTGAAAGCTCCGGGGAGCCGGAGAAGGCCATTCGTCACTACGAGAAAGGCGTCGCCCTGGCAGACTCTGCCTCCTTCTACGTACGTCCCGGCGCACCGTTCGAGTGCCACCGGGCACATGCTGACTTGGTATGACAGCGTCTAGGAATGATGATCCTTCTGGGCCAACATGGGCAGCGCCAGGACTACCAAACGGGTCTGGAATATATCAACCTTGCCGCGCAATCTTGCGACGAGAATGCCCCTCAAGGCGCCTACGTGCGTAACCCTCTTCTTGGTTTCCAGTTCCCTGCAAGGTCTCACGCTGTGTACAGGTTTACGGCATGCTTTTGGCGCGAGAGTTGCCCCAGGTGAACGTCCCCGAGAGCTACCTACCCCTCGACCTAAATGCCGCGCGGGTCAACATCGAGAAAGCCGCCTATCACGGGTTCGCCAAAGCACAGGTCAAAATGGGCGCCGCTTACGAACTATGCCAACTTGGCTGCGATTTCAACCCCGCCCTGTCTCTACACTACAACGCGTTGGCCGCCCGCCAGGGGGAACCGGAAGCTGAAATGGCAATCAGTAAATGGTTTCTTTGCGGGCACGAGGGCGTCTTTGACAAGAACGACGAGCTGGCCTTTACGTATGCCCAGCGCGCCGCTCAGAGTGGCTTTCCCACCGCCGAGTTTGCTCTGGGCTACTTCTACGAAGTCGGCATCTACGTTCCGTCGGACATCAAGGAAGCGAGAAGCTGGTATGCCAAGGCCGCAGCAAACGGCAACAAAGACGCAACGGGCCGGATCGACAGCATTTCGCGCTCGAAGACGCTGTCGCGGAAAGATCATGAACAAGTTGCGATCGCCCGGATCAAATCCCGCTATGGCTCCCATCAGCGAGGTGATTCCGTGCAATCCACTCAGGAGAACATTGAGATGCCCGATCCGTCTCGAATGAGCCTTTCGGACAGTGGCGCGCCGGCGAATGCTCCCTATCCGGACAGACCGTCGTCTCGCGCCCGGCCAGTGTACCCGCCCGGTTACGGCATGCCCGACCCACGACCGAGTTCGGCCTTTGGCATCAACCCCAACATTCGCTCCAATGCAGCAGCGCCCAACTACAACCGTGCCGCGTCGTATGGACCTGGGCCCATGGGCTACCGATCTCCCGCGCCCGGGACTTCGAGCGCGGGGCCAACCAGCCCCGTGTCCGCGGCCCCTAAGCTGGATATCGGATACTCGGCGCCTCTGGAGTCCGCCAATGCTGATGCTCGCAGGCGTCCCCAGCGGCTTGATAATATGCCAGACCCCAGGCAGGCGAGAACACCCGTCTCTCCTCCCCAAGGCGGTCCGGTGGGCTCTCCACGGCCCAGCATGGCCTCGCCCTCGTCAACAAATTTCCCTCCCCGTACCGAATCCATGCAGCCTTCCAGCGCGCCGGCTACCCCCAAGCCTCCTGCATCTTCTTCAAGCTCGACTAGCCAACAGCCCGCCGCGCCGCCGGCCAAACCGCCGGCTCCCAAAGTGGGCAAAGGACCGAAAACTTTCGAGGAAATGGGAGTTCCAACCGTTCAGAAAGACAACGATTGCGTAAGTGTCGTGACATTCCCCCGAAATTGGATTCAGCGTTAATGCTTCCGCAGATTGTGATGTGATACCCTTAGGTCAAGCTGTCAACTAAATCATCCGGCCGCTTCCTGTTTCAATATTTTGGAGGGAGAAGCCTTCGTCGTCTGCTAACTGTAGCTCGCTTTGATGGGTCTTGAGAACAAAACAAAAGTGATCTTTCAATGCAAAATGAAGCTGGCGATTTGACTTTTAGGTTTCTTTCCCTTTTACTCATCTTTTTATTTTCTTCCATCTTCTCTTTACTCTACTTTCTGTGTCCAACCTAAGTTCATGTTGCCCTTGCATTTTGTCTCTGATCTTTACTTTTTGTGTTTCGAAGCTAGCACGACTGGGGTTTGTTTACTTGTTTCGAATTGGAGAATATGCAGTTCGATGTTGACCGCTCAAAGCCTCGTCTAGAGTCCCGGGTCAATCGGGGTAGGAGATGTAGACACCCTCCACGTGACGTGCGTTGAGGAGGGGAGTTTGGTTGAGCCTTCAACTCTGTAGCAACTGCCCATCAACCATACCAGCGACAACCACTTGCATCGACGTCGACTCGCTCATTGATGAGATATCCGACTTCTCGTCAACCACCATGTCGTCAGAACCGGGAAATGGCAAAAGTTCGGGTGATGGTGAGCTGGTGGCCGCCAACAACCTGTGGTCGTCGATTGTATCTAACCGTGATCAGTTGCCCAGGATGGGACTGTGTTGATTCTGGAATATCTTCGTAAGCTTGTCTGTTAAGCTACCAGGGACCTGGCTCATAGGGTTGCTGTCCGCGAGTTCAGGGGAGCAAAAGTATGGGTCTTTCTCTTCCTCTAATTGACCGGCGCTTAACTCCAGCAGTCGTCCATACTCGGTCAGTTCAGATGTGTTCACACCAGGGATCTGTCTCTCGAAACTAACTCTGAGTAGGCCAACGACATCTCGACGAACCTACATAATGAAGTCACCAAAGGTGAGACAGTCCGTAGCTCTAGACTCGACCGTTGCCTCTAACCACGACCACTTCTCGTCCAAGCCTATGCAACCAAGGCTCTCAAGGAACTGCACCAGAGCAAACGAATTGCAGGGAAAACATCCGGTCAGTGGGAAGTCCCTGTCCGGAGCCTAGAGGATGATAAGAGCGCTGAATACCGGCGGCTTAGGAAAGCAAACCGTGTACCACGCCCTACAGGAGGGGCCCAACGCGGCCATTTCAGAAACTGTGGCTTCGATCGATGAAGAAATCCAAGGACTTCGGCAGCAGCTTGGCCGGTTCAAAGAAGAGGAAAAAAGGGCACATGCGGAGCTGCTAGCTCTCGGTACAAGACCCTTACTCTGTGAACTCCGGCGTGATATCAACCAGCTAGAACAAGATATCCAATCCACCCTCGTGCATCTGTCACGGGACGGCCAGGTGAATTCTGGCCCCGTGTCTCAGGAATGTTTGGCGGATGTCAGTAGAGACTGGAAAAGGTGGCAAAAGCATGCCAAAGCCCGCCATCGAATTTGTTTCGACATGTGGCAGAGGTGCTCGGAGGTCATTCCGGGGGACATGAGTCGGGACGAGCTTTGGGTACGTATGGCTTACTCGGATCTTGTAGCTACAACATGGTTGCCCTAACCCCGGCACGCAGGAATCCTTAGGGCTCGAGGGGGATCCTTTTCATTGAAGGAGCTCCAGCCTTCTCTATGGGTTTGAGTCGTTTGATGTTTGCTTCTATGATTGCTGTGTGTTTCATCAAATTTTGTTGCCTTGAAGATCAGTGGAAGGGCAAACGAGCGGAAAACAAATCAAGGAGGTTTCTTTGCAGACCGGGAAATTAGAGGATCTGGGGATACGGGATTTGTGGAGAAACGAGCGATGATCGGCGGGAGATGGAAATAATGTTTGAAGGGAAGCTTGCTTGCATCAGATGGACAACGAGCGAGTCAGTGGAGCTGCAGTCTGCAGATGACTGATGGGCGTGAGCGTTCGAGGATGACGCCATTAGACCTGTCGACTCTGTCATGCGACGTGATCCGATGCAGTGTCTTCCTTGGATGCGCGAGGGAATTAATTTTCTAGCTCCCATGCAGGGCGTCTTTCTGTGATTGTCTATGGTTGTTTCTTGTAGATCGATATCCACCTCGATGTTAATGTCTCTCCATGTCCACGTTGAAAGTCATAGAGTGAAGATATATATAGATATACTGATACAGACTTATACTCCTGCCGGTGACTACCTCCAGAGGACCTAGAGATGTAGAGAGCTGGCTACTGTAGACGAGGTACTCCGCCGGTATCTCGTTAGGGAGAGGGAGTACTTGCAGAGTACCTCTCCGATGTACGGCGACCGACAGCAGCGCGAGGTACTCCGGGCGTATCGTCCCTCCTAAGTGATGAGGTCGACCTCGAGGCTCACCGCCAACCGGTTTGGCGCAACTTCCCCACCGAGTGGAGACCGATAAACCCCTCCGGATATTCGCCCAGTTCTCGCTCTTCCTCCTGGCCATGCTGCTGTCGGCCTCTTGCAATCCCCTCTCTTGCTCCTGCTTCCTATCCTGCTTGCCTCCTCGATCAACTCGTCTCGACTTTCCACTGATATGAAAAGTCGTGCTCCTCTCCCCGTTCCCTCCGGGGCTCAACCGCTGCAGAACGGTCATTCCCGCAATCTCTCAGGCCTCGACATGACTGCCCGGAGTCCTCCCAACCAAAGCAGTAAGGGACCCCCTCTCCATCGTATAATAGCCTGTGTTTCATGGCAGGCTATAATAACCTCAGAATCTCTGCCCTGGCTCGTGAGTCGACTGAAATCTCTCGTTCTAGCGGCGGGGAGAAAGAGGTTTTTCGCTTTTTCCTTTTTCTCAATTTTTTGAGGCTGACTTTGCCACAGACACCAAGCATGTACCCTGCAAATTCTATCGCCAGGGAGCTTGCCAGGCTGGACCTGCCTGTCCCTTTTTGCATTCCACAGATGCTGCGATCGACTATGCGCCGTGCAAATACTTTACCAAGGTATGAATCGGGCGAAACCGGGCGATGAGGCCGTCATTGCTAGCCTGACTGCAGGTGACTAAAATACTCATTGCTCTAGGGAAACTGCAAGTTCGGTGCCAAATGTGCGCTGGCGCATATCCTCCCCGATGGACGGCGGGTTAATCGACCCAGTGCAATGGGGGGAAGCCATCTCAATCTCGGTGGCCGCGTCAATCCACAAGCCTATGTCAACCAAGATTCAGCCCTGACCAATTCGGTGCTTTCGCAACAACGGATGAATGGCCACGATCCTCGTTATGCCTCCCAAATTTCACACCAAGAAGAATTCGCCTCATTACACCCTCAGCAGCAACAGCAGCAGCCACAGCAGCCGCAGGCTCCGCCATATGATGCCATTCCTACGATCGATACGGGACTGGTCTCGGATACGGGTTCTAAGTACGGGTCACCAGTCGACGACATTCGCTTTCCCATGTCTCCAAACCATCACCACTTGACCGCTCTTGACGCGCCTTTGCCTGCGTCTTTTGACAGCCAGGGAATATCTCATGCTGCCCGCTATGGTCCCGTAGCCGCATCCATGCCCTCGAAGTTCGGATTGGAACTTTCGCCACCTGCTCAACGGATCGGGGCTCCGTCAGACGCCCTTCGCAATCTCCGCGACACGGCCTACGGACCAGACGCCCGGAAAGCTTCCTTTATCGGATCATCTCCTCCTGGGATTCCCGAAGATGTTCTGGGCCCGCGGTTCATGCATTCTCAACGGCCCGTAAAACCTCGCATGCTCTCTGCCAGCGTGCCTCGACCCACAGCCCTGGAAGATTGGGATGAAAGCAATTTCCCCATGGAGGAGGATTTTCTGCCCATGAATCTACACGATGACGTACTGACGCCCCAGGAGCGGCTTCGTCGTCTATCTCGAACTGATCATGAGCTTAGTTCGAGCCATCGTGATCTCAGTGGGCTTGGCATGACTGGCACTAGTCTCTCAAAAGTTGGCTCGCCCCTGGCGTCTAGTCCTTCTCGCTTTGGTGCCTTGTTTGCAAAGCAGCGGCAGAAGAAAGAAGAAGATGCCCATGGAATCTCATTCCCCCAGGTTGGATCGCCTCTTCGTGAGTCTTCGCTGAACTTGGAAATGAGAAGCCCCAGTTTGGGTCCCATTGGAAGCCGCCAGGTTTCTGGTGATATTCCCACATTTGTTTCTCCTTCCCGACAAACGTCGACATCCATGATTTCTCAGCAACTTAGTGGCATGTCTCTTCACCCTGGATCGGCTCGCCATCTGTCGTCCTCCGGCCCCAATAGTCGCCTAGATAGAACTGTCTCGTCGCCTGTCAGCACAAGCAAGATTGACGAAGAACAGAGTGATTTAGTGTTCTCCATGGAAGAGGAAGAGAGCAACAACAAGCGCAACAGTGCCTCATGGGATATGCACAAGACGGATCCCAATGAGGATACGACCGCGACCAGCGACTCCGGTTTTCAGTCTTAGCTGACCCTGAAAGCCGAGAAATATCATACCACACACATGGTTTGTGACATGGCAAACATTGGGTCGTTTTGAGCACAAAGTCGAGTTTCCTGTCACCTGCCATCTCACCCACAAAAACCCTCCCGCCTAAAAAAGATCGGACGAAACAATAAAAGTCACGCCGGTACCAGTCCATAACGAGCCTAATTTTGAATACTTCCAAAAGATCATCTCAAATGCCCATGTTGGAGCGACTACAGTTGGGGCTTCTCTTTACACCTTTTTGTTTCTTTTGCATAGACTGGTTAACCGAACTCCGGGAAATCACTGCAACCTTTTTCTTTCTTGCATTTGATAATCGGCCATTAGACAATTGTTGGGTCTGTTCATGAGTGTTTTGGAGGCTACAAAATCCCCCTTATTGCTTGGCTGTGGGAACCATACTTCCTTGTCTAGTTGGGATGTCACGACTTCCCGATGCTCCAGGACATACAAGTCGATACAGGAGCAAACATTTAATTGTAGATCTGTTTTGAATCTGCTGGATCTGCTCCCTGTCTTTGCTTATCTTTTTTGTTCCACTTTCTTTCTTTGTCGCCTCTACATGCCTTGGAATGTGTATATTCTTGTGTATTCTGGTCTCATTGTTTATCCTCTCATCTCTTGATCTATCCTCAATTCCCAATTCACGAGTTAATGACCTTCTCTTGAGTTCTTAGGAGACGTTCTTATTGTTCAATTTTGCCTCAATGGACATGGTCTATATGCTATGTACAGAGACCAGCTTCATAAGTTCCTGTAGACAGTCTAATCTCCCAGATGGAACCACCGGGAGTAGATTGCAAATTACTGTTATAGATAAAGGCATCTTGCGAGTGGAGTACGAGGATAATTTGAACGATAAAGGCATCCCATACATTAGTTTAAGCCTACGCTAATCTAAACAAGAACGAACCTGATCCTGCCCTGATCTGATCTGATCATTTCCCACCCAAAAGATCGATGTCAGATCGATCAAGCGTGCCGTTTTCGAACAGGCAGCAAGCAGACTGGCTCGATTAGGTTCCAGTATCAATGCCCTGCATGTACATGACACTCCCTTTCAGACTCACGAAGCTAGCTTCCTCCGACTGCGCTAAGATCTGAGCCGTTCTTTTCCGGGAAGCTTTATCGGCAAGGACCTTCTGCTCGCGAGACTGGTTCGCGGCCGACTTTGCCTTCTCTGCCTGATCAGCATACAGGATTTCATAGAGAGTGTCCGTGCCGGACATCATCTGACTCGTCATGGTGTTGACTGCTCGGGCAGTCAGATCTTCTATTTTGGCCGCAAGAGCCGTCTCCTCGTCGGCTCGTTGGCGCTTGGTCCGCTGCTCGAGCTCTTCCTGCTCCGTGCGTTCCTTGCGCTTCTTTTGCTCGACAAATTTCCGCCGCTCTTCTTTGGCGGCCAGATACTTGAGTGAGTGACCGAGTCTTTGTTGAGTCGATGGGATGATGTCCAGTGGAGGAGAAGAGAAGAAAAGCACCCGGCCCTGGTCGTCGCAGTGGAATTGCCCCCGAATATCTTCCGGGATCGCCGTGTTTGCGGCATCACTTAGATGGAATACCTCGATTGGGCGAGGAGCATTGGGGTTATACATCGATGCGCCCGGCATTGTCATGCGATTGGCTTGGTAGGGTGCGTATGGCGACGGTTGTGCAGAAGCATACGGATACGACACTGCAGATGCCTGATATGGGACCGGATGTGAAGGCTGCGGTGCAAGACTGCTGGGGCGTCTCTGCAAGGCGGGCTGGTACGGCTGGCCTGATGGCACTTGGGGTGTTTGAAAAGTCACTGGAGCGATGGTTGCCGGGGAATGCTGTACCGGCGCGACAGGCACGGCCGGGGATCGCGCTGGCGGGGGAGCCGCCGCTATAGCACTTGGGCCTTGGCTTTCTATACTTGGTCGCGCAGATGGTTGGTTAGTCGGCGGTTGTCGAATGGGGGCAGACGGCAATGATTGTCGAGGCATTGGGGGCGGGGAAGGCGATGGCTCTGGGGGTGGAGATTCCTGGAGATTTAACGAAAATTAGCCGTCGAGATACCTACTAAGGAGACTAGGCGGGGTTTGAATGGGTAGAGAAAAGACGGAGGAGGGAAAGGCCTCACATTTTCATCCCGCGGGCGACGATGGACGGCGCCAACTGCCGGAGGCGCATTGTCAGCTCCCCAGGTGGGCTTTGGAAGATCATCCGTTTCCTTGGCCTCTTTTTTGAGCAGATGCTTGATGGGACTGGGAATCTTTTTGATTCTGCGAGGGACATCGAAGAGATCCATCTCGTAATCTTTCTCTCTGACCTCATCTGGGAGACAGCTAGCCCATGTCTTGATTTTATTCAGCTTGTGTTTCTCTTCGTTGTACCGAGCTTCGCAGACATATACATCCTTATCAAGTGGAAGGCCTCTGGGTCGCCCGCGATTGTAGCGAGTGAAAAACATCACAAAGCACCGATCTACTATCTCCTCGATTCGGTGGTCTCGGTATTGGCCGGTCTTAACCACCTCATTTGGGTAGAAGTGTTTTTCAAAATGATGGACAGTCTGCTCTGGGCGATAATACCAACAGGCATTGATCCATTTGTCACCATCGCCATCTTGCCAAGTGCGATATATTTGTGCAACAATGGGTTTAGTCACATCATTGGGGTTTTGGATGTGAACCCAGTCACCGACCTTCCAAAGCTCGTTTTTGTAAAGGATACCGTCGGGCAAGGGTAGTCGCCCGTCTTCCATGAGGTATTCACTGTCCGGCTTCTTCTTCTCAATCTCGGCAAGCTTTCGCGCCTCCACTTGCAAATCAACAGCATCTTTGTATATTTGACTTTCGGGCTGGTTGTAAGCCTTCGCATTGTTGAACATGAGGTCCATATCCCTCATGAAGTGGTCAACCGAGCTGTACTTCTTCCGTTTTGATTTCCGCTTGATGATGTCGATGGCAATGGGCTCTTTTGTTTCCACGTAGTAGTCCGGGTAGGTACCCTTGTCAGGCAGGCGCTCAAAGTGTCCGACTTTTAGCCCCCCCGGTCCTTTCAATTTTCGAATGCCCTTCAAAACCGCCTTAATCCTAGCCTCCATTGGAGTATCGACACGCGGTGGCCGGCCTCGCTTCTTTCTCAATTCGGGGTCATTGGGCTTTTGGCTGTCTTCTTTGTTGCCCTCGCGCTTGCTTCCCGATCGCGGGCCCCGCTTCTTCTTTCGTCGACCATCATCGTCCGAATCTTCCTCTTCGTCTTCGTCGTCGTCATCTTCTTCCTCTTCTTCTTCCTCTTCCGGAAGAGGGTCTGCCTCGGGGATCTCGCCAAGATCCGGAAGCTCGGCTTCTTCAGCGGAAATGATTCCTTTGGCCACCAGCTTCTGGAACTCTGCAATAAAGACATCCTTCAAAGAAAATCGTCAATAACCCAAGTTGACCTTGTGCGGAGTCAAAACAACTATACGGGGAGACAAAGCGCAACCAACCTTGATGACAAGTGCATCTTCATATGCTTGAGATTTGGGGCGGTTATAAGTTTGCGCATTATGGGGGATCTACCATGATCAGCGCGCGGTTCCAGATGAGCTATGCTCACGTATTTTCTAGGGTGAGCAGGGAGAAAACATGGTATAGTTACCAGAGCGCAGTCTCGCACAAACTCAGCGAATTGCTTGTACTCTCTCTTGTTGATCTTTTGTTTCAGGATACTTAGGGCCATCGGCTCCTTGATGATATCGTAATAATCAGGAACATTGCGCTTGTTGACGCTGCGCTGGAACAGTTTCGAAGGGTCATGGTTGCTGCGTGTTGACGAAGAGACGGGAGTGGTTAGCCTGGGGTATGCGACGGGGGATCAAGCAGGGCTGAGAACTTACTCCTCCTCTCGATACTCATAGATGGCCATCACAACATCCATCATCACTCGCCATTGTTCTTCAGAGACACCGCCTGTCGCTGCCACAGGTCCATCTTTCCCATCGTTCGCGACCGGGTTGACGGGCGCTTCAGGAGTGGGCTGGACGTGCGACGGCTCGGATTGCTCCATGTTGAAGGCAACCTACAGTCGCAAGGACCACCAGTTGGGAGTCAGGGGTAGTTTATAGACTTTTTCGACGAGTAAATTTCAACCTAGCGACACTGCGCGCAATAGCGCATTGAAAAACCGAGAGAGGGAAGAAGGACGAGCTTCAGCGAGGGAGAGGTTTGACCGTTTGGCGCAGTAGCAATGCTGATTCAGCAAGAATCACCTGAGATACGGTACTGTCACGTCGGTATTCATACAGACCCGTACGGTATCTTACAGACTTACATAAGACCGACTGTACCAGAAAGGAATCCCCTTCTTTGTTCCTCTTCCTCTTCGTTATTCGGCTTGAGAAACCCATTCCCAGCGACCTTATTGACCCAAGTTTGAACCCAAAGTGACATACATGGTGCTGTTTGCTCCATGAAGTCTTCACCGCAGATAAGGATGTACGAAATAGTGCTACTTATGTACCCATGACTATGGATGATGGAGTACTGCGACTGCCCCACATGTACTTGCCTACTTCATTCTACTTCAGTTGCTTGATTTAGTCCGCTCTTCTTCCTGCCTGCCCTCCCTCCCTCCTCACTTATACCAGCCTTATACCAGCCTATTACTTGATCGCTTTCTATTCTTTACATTTTCAAACCTCTCGCTCTTGGAACAATATATTATAATAGACAATAAGATTTAACCCGCGCCATGGGGATGAGGCTTCGAATCCGTGGTCCGGAGGGGCAGTCCACGGCCATTCTCGACGACACGGCAACCGTGGATGACCTCCGAAATCAAATTGTTAACGCGACCGGGTTAACTGCCTACGAGGTAAAATACGGTTATCCTGACCTCAGACCCCTCTCGTTGAATGCGCTCGACCCAAGCCGGAGCTTGAAAGAATGCGAGATCAACCTCCACGGGGAACAACTGATAGTCACAAGGAAAGGGGACCCCCTCCAAACTTCGGGGAGCAGTAACGAGCCGACCGCCTCTGTTCCCTCTAACCCTCCTGCTCCTGAAGCACCGTCGTCCCAGAACATCGCGGAGGACCCTCCTGAGATCGCGTCACCCGAGCATATGGGCACGTTTGTACTGCGCATCATGCCCGATGATAACTCATGCCTTTTCCGCGCCGTGGGCAGCGCTGTCATGGGAGATATGGATGCGATGAACGAGCTTCGATCGGTTGTTGCTCAAACAATCCAAGAGAGACCGGATATTTACTCGGAAGTGGTGTTAGAGAAGCGGCCGGACGACTATTGCCGTTGGATCCAAAACGAGGATTCATGGGGAGGAGCAATTGAGCTCAAGATCCTGAGCGAGCATTTTTGTATAGAGATATGCTCGATCGATGTGCAAACGCTTCGAGTTGACCGTTTCAACGAGGGCCCGCCCACACGATGTATCTTAGTCTATTCCGGGATCCACTATGATACCATAGCGCTATCCCCGTCCGCTCCGCCATTCGCTCACTCCGATATCCCTCCTGAGTTCGACACAAAAGTCTTCCACTCAGCTGATAACCTGGTACTAGAGAAGGCGTTGGAACTCTGTAAGATCCTGCAGAGCAAGCATTACTACACCGATACTGCAGGATTCAGTATTCGTTGCAACATATGCGGAGGGACATTTACGGGGGAGAAAGGCGCCACTCAGCACGCGGCCCAAACTGGCCACTATGATTTTGGAGAGGCTGGTTAAAGAGCTAGCAGTTTTTTTTTTTTTTTTTTTTAAAAAAAAAAAAAAAAAAAAAAAAAAAGAGAAATGGCTTCGAATTTCGCAAATTTCGCTTGGGCAGTATATAACACGACCATTGACTGTGCATGACCAAGGGTGCATTGTTTGCTCATCATTGAATGGTGTTCTCGTGATCCTGTTGTGGAGATACACAAATATATACTATCGTATAGATTCACGACTTTTAGTGCCTCGGTAAACGACTCAGTAGTAGAAATAAAAGACCAAGTACTTGGCACCGCGGGCCGAGCCCTTGAGAGTAATTACTTGCTCACTTATTCTTGGGAAAGAAGAACTAAAAGTCGCATGGTCTCCTTTCATACTCCCTTCAGTTTGATGTTTGCTACAATATCAGAACCATAACCCAGATTTTGCATTAATACCAGTACTGATTGTCATTGTCACGTATTAAGATTGAGGTACTAAACCATAGCCACCTCGTCTGCATCCTCTTCTCTTTCTCCTTCGCCATCCTCACCAGTATCTGCGCTGTCTTCGGGGTGTCCTCCCCATGGTACGTCGTGGCTTATGGGCTGGGTGAAGAACTCGTGTTGCAGGGCCTCTTTGGCGCTCATGCGTTTGTAGGGATCTAGTTCCATGAGACCAGCCAGAAGACGCGTGGCCTGTTTCTCGCTCTCTGTCAGTTCTTCTACACAACTAGCCCACTTTACGAGCTTCTCCCAACTGTATCCCTTTTCACCGATGGTTGGAATATTGGTTTCGAAGATTTGGCCATGCATGACGGCTGCCGATTTCATACGACGCGTGCCAAAGATGCTTGCCATTTCTATCATTGCGTCAACGTCATCAGCCGAGTTGAAGAATGGAAACCGCCGCCCAAGTAAGGTTAGAAGGATGACCCCGGCGGACCACATGTCGATCTTGGTTGTTTGAGAGGTGCATTTGAACAGAACCTCCGGCGCACGAAAGCCTCGGGTCCCAGCTCGATTGGCTCGTTTTGACGGCCTGGAGTCATTTTTTGGATGCCCTGCCGATGGCGCGTTCAGCGAACAATGGGTGTAATAGTAACTCTGCGTGAAGCGACTGCGGCGTACATAGCCCGAGTTGGCGCACAGGCATGTGCCAGTATACTCAGCCCCCTCGCGCTGCAAATACAAGTTAGCTAGTCGGCCCAGTGCCTGTATTGCAGGTGATTTTTCGACTTACTTCCGCTAGACCGAAGTCAACTAGAACACCTTCTCGGAGTTCCGGGTTGTAGAGAAAGTTGCTAATTCGTGATATCGTAGTCAGTATCTGGGAGGTTTGGGGACAAGTGGTGGCGGTCCTGATTGTAGTAGGAAGAGCAGAGGCACTGGAATCCTTACGTTGGTTTTATGTCGCGATGGAGAATGTTATGTTTATGAACCGAATGTAGGGCGGTAAATAATGACCTAAAATAATCTCGCATATCCGAGACTAGGAAAGTACGGTATTGGATTCGAAAGTCGGTATGAGGGAAAAAGGGCAAGACGGCGACGACCTGATCTTGGTACCGGAAGGCAGTGATTAAGGGACATACGGATCGGCATCCACGTAAATCATGCAGTAGTTCAAGTTCGTTCTGGATGCGAAGAGGGCTGCTTGTCACGTAGATCTTTTTCAAAGCCACGAATCGAGGTCTCCTTCGTTTGGGGGGCAATGACCGGCCGCTCTCATCTTCCAACCGGCGCCTCTTTGGCGGTGGACTGCCCCAAGCGTCATTGTGATTGCCTTGGAACATGTCCCAGTCATTCCTGTAGTGATCATATAGTAGATCTTCCGCTTTATACACGGTGGAAAATGTCCCTGCATATCCGCAATGAATCAGTCACCTAAGTCGGGCAAGAGAGTGCCAAAGCCCACACTATACCTTCTCCAATCCTATTGACCAGTCGAAACCGGTCTGAGATTCCTGGAAAAGTATCTTCAAGTTTCTGCATGTCCTCCTTCACTGAATCATCGATATCCTCTTCTGCGTATTCCTCCTCATGATCGGCTTCGTTTCGGGGTTGTGCTGCCGAGGCATCGCTGTCCGTGACCGCACCGTCTTCAACCGCGTGGCCGGGCCGCGTTGACGGACGTGATGACCTCCAAGCAGCGGGTCTTTGTAGATCGAAGAAACCAGCCGGTGCCGTGTGGAGAGCGGACATGTCGGGGAAGTAATGAGACCTGAAGAAGAGCTCAGGGCACCGGGGGGGAGGTTGCGCTTTGGCGACAGTTGCATGCGCTGGATCAATGGAGTGGACGGAGGCAGACAGTGGCGAGACGCAGGGGCACGAAAGATGACGTGTGGCAGGTGCTGCAGGCGGGAGGTTTAAGAGCTGAAGGGATTTTTATGTCAATGAATTGAAAGTCTTCGAAGTTGAGGTCACCTACCCAGCACGTAGTAATAGATATGCTCCAAAGCGCGCGCAAAAAATCCCCCAAAGCGGTTTAGTGGAAGAAGGATGTTTGTGTTTACTTTCTGTATTATTGACAACACGGACCGATTGCCTGGGTGCCTCAGAGGAGTAAGGTATACCGTATAGTACCGAGACTCATGTACAGGTACCGATAAATATCTAGGGGCCTCTGTGGCAGCGTACCAATAGGTACCTAATATCCGTACATACATACTGATACATACGGTATGATCGATTTGTCCGCCGCGGCGGCCACGCCATGCCCATTCAGGAAATCTCCAAACAAAGCCCACGTGCTTTTTGCGCTTTCTTTGACCTCTTTTCGCCGTTTCTGCCCCCCGCTCCTTCCCCTCTTGGTTCAACGACAATCCAACACCGCCGCCATAGATCGCTCACACCGCTCGCGTCTTCCGAGGAATCCTCTCCTCTTAGTCGCCCGCCATGGAAGACAGGATCCAATTTGAGATCAATGAATCCCTCAAGTATTACTTGAGCGACCCGACTTCTGTTCCGACCCCCGACGCCGACCCGGAACTACTGGATTGCGAGACTGACCCGGATAATCTGTCATCAACGTTAATCGACCATGTCTTGAATACTATCGTCGACGGGGTGGCCGAAAGCCCCGAGGGACTGGCAAGATCGTCTTCCTTTGACTCCCTCCAATTCCTTCTAAAGTGCGCACTGCCCCGAAACCGTTCCCCGATACCTCTTGCCCGTGTGGATCTAATTCTGAACGGTTGAATCTCTGCAGATACTCATCCTTCCTTCCCACGCGATCTCTCAGCAAGCTCCTCGACCTGGTCGTTTCTGGATTGTCTGTCGAAGCGGACATTATCCACGGAGATTTCGAGTCAGACGAACAAGATGGCATCCAACACCACAAGCAGCTTTTAGAGATGTACGGCTTCCTACTCCAATGGGCCCTATCGGCCGTTGAAGTCAAAGCGGCCGAGAAACCTGCGGAGGCTGCGCCTGCTCGCAGGGGTACAGGAAAATCGGCCAAATCCAAGGGCAGTGCCAAGGATGGAAACTGGGATTGGACGACGCAGATTCAAATATCCATGGAAACGATGTGCAAAGTCATGAAATTGAAACTCAGCAGGATATTCTTAACCACGTCAGACCGTGACACTTTCATTAACTTGTTCACCCGCACAATCTATCTCATACTGGAAAGCGAACAGCGAGTGAAGAGTATGGCCATTAGAATGCATGCCTTCAAAGTCCTTTGCATTGCAGTGAAGCATCATGGACATGCCTTTGGTAAGCTTCGGTGCATCGGTCTCGCTGTGAAACGCAAGCTAATTAGGTGACTAGGTGCCCAGACATCTATCGTGCAGAGCTTGACATATTTTGAGCACCTCTCGGAGCCTATGGCCGAATTTCTGCACATTCTTGCGGAACAATATGATTACCCGCAACTCTCCGATGAAATTTTGAAGTATGTTCGACACTACTTCTTGTAGTTGAGTGGTCGCTTATCTATTACAGGGAGCTTGGAAATAAGGAGTTCAACTCGAACGATACCAGAGGACCCAAATCAGTATCCGCATTTATCGTCAAACTTTCCGAGCTTGCTCCACGTTTGATCATAAAGCAGATGACTCTCCTGGCCAAACAACTAGACAGTGAGGTACTACAATTATACATTTCTCGCTGTTCATGTCTTTGAACCATCAACTAACCTCCTGGTAGTCATATACTCTCCGCTGCGCCGTTGTCGAGGTTTGTGGCAACTTGATCTCCGATCTCAGTCGTCAAGAAGAGCGAAGCGACAACTATAAGACACAGATCAATGCCTTTTTCGATGTATTGGAAGAGCGTTTTCTGGATATCAACCCTTATTGTCGATGTCGAGCTATCCAGGTCTACATGAAGATTTGCGACCTAGAACAGAAATTCCCCAAGAGACGACAAGCAGTTTCAGAACTGGCGGCCAGGAGCCTTGAAGACAAGAGCAGCAACGTCCGACGCAACGCCATCAAACTGCTGGCTAAACTAGTTTCTACCCATCCCTTCAGCATCATGCACGGTGGACAATTGTCGCACAAAGAATGGACAGCCAGGTTAGAGAATGTTGATGCCGAACTCAATGCCCTGAGACCCCCCGAGACTCCTGGTTTTGAAGGGGCGGAAGCCTCCCATGTCGACAGCGAATTATTGGATGATGCCACACAGATGCCTGAGGATTCTCCGCAAAAGCCATCACTCATGACCGATGAAGAAAAGGCTGCAGCTGTGAAAAAGGCTGCGGAGCAGGCGGCAACATCTGAGCTGCTCGCGCGTCTTCAGCTCACCAGAAAATACTATAACGAAGCACTCCGATTCATTGAGGTCCTCCACACAGCTGCCGGAACCGTCTCTCAGCTTCTGTCATCACGAAATAAGAGTGAGGTCATTGAAGCAATGGACTTTTTCGTCGTGCTTGATGCGTACAAGGTCGAAACCTCCCGTAACGGAATCCGGCGGATGCTCCGGCTTATTTGGACCAAAGGCAATAGCGACGAAGGCAAAGGCGTTCAAACCCACCTGATTGATTGCTATAAGGGACTTTTCTTCGAAGCGCCAGACTCCTTCAGCCCCAACGATGCTGCAAATTATCTCGCTCGGAACATGATCAGTTTAACCTTTGGTTCAACACCTGCCGAACTTACATGTCTCGAGCAACTGCTGAGTACCATGATGAAAGCGGGCCACATTTCAGAAGCCGTGATAGCCAAGTTATGGCAAGTTTATGGTGTACAGAAAAAGGAGATCTCTAAGACTCAACGACGCGGGGCGATCATTGTTCTCGGGATGCTTGCCCTGGCCGATCCGGAAGTTGTGGTCAAGGAAATCGAAGCGATGCTAAGGATTGGACTAGGGAACCTAGGACAGTCAGACCTCGTGCTCGCCAAGTACACCTGTATCGCATTAAGGCGCATGGTTCCGGGTCGTCAGGCTAAAACCAAAGAAACCGGCATTCCCAAACTCGCTAACGACCATCCTGTTTTGGCTAAACTTGCAGCTATGGTCGAAACTGTGTCGGACAGCCAGGAATGGTACGGCGTTTCGGAACAGGCTATTAGTGCCATTTATACATTATCCAAACATCCCGATGTCCTCTGCTCTGACATTCTCAAACGAAAAACGAAGTTCGTGTTTAAGCCGCAATCGCAACGCGACGCGTCCAAGACACCCGCGGACGACGACGAACAAGAACGCCCAGGGACAGCTTCTAGTGAATCTCAGGACCCAAAGAAGAAACCAACGTCAATTGCACTATCCCAGTTGCTTTTCGTCGTGGGTCATATTGCCATAAAGCAAATTGTACACCTGGAGCTATGTGAACTCGACTTCAAGCGCCGCAAAGCGGAACAGGAAAAGAACAAAGCCGTCACTGCCCCCCAGGACGACGGCGACGCAGAGGCTGATGAATTGGACCTCATCGGTGGAACTACTGAGGATGACTTCCAAGATGCCATGGCGCATATTCGAGAGCGAGAGCTGCTCTATGGGGAGAATTCGTTGCTGTCTAACTTTGGACCTTTGGTCGCCGAAATATGTGCCAACAGCAACACGTACTCCGACCGCAACCTGCAGGCAGCGGCAACTTTATGCATGGCCAAACTGATGTGCGTGTCGGCAGAGTACTGCGAAAAGAATCTGCCTCTTCTGATCACCATAATGGAGCGCTCTGAGAACCCAATCGTTCGCAGCAATGCAGTGATTGCGCTAGGTGACATGGCGGTGTGCTTTAATCATCTAATCGACGAGAACACGGACTTTTTGTATCGTCGACTCAATGACGATGATGCCTCCGTAAAGCGCACATGTCTCATGACACTGACGTTCTTGATTTTGGCTGGCCAGGTCAAAGTCAAAGGTCAGCTGGGCGAGATGGCCAAATGCCTCGAGGATGACGATAAGCGAATTGCTGACCTGGCACGAATGTTCTTCACCGAACTGGCCACCAAGGACAATGCGGTGTATAACCATTTCGTTGATATGTTCAGTCTGCTGAGCGCCGAACGCAATCTGGAAGAGGCATCGCTGCGACGTATCGTCAAATTCTTGATTGGATTCATTGAGAAGGTTAGTCCATCCCGAGGAAACCAACCCCCAACTGATGAAACGATACCTGCCTGTCAAGAGCTTGATTATGATCTAACCAATATCTTGCTGCAGGAGAAACATGCCCGACAATTGGCAGATAAGCTCGCCGCTCGACTACCGCGATGCGAATCCGAACGACAGTGGAACGATGTGGCCTATGCACTATCCCTTCTTCCCCATAAAAATGAAGAAATAACGAAGACAGTAACTGCAGGATTCAACAAGGTTGTCTCAGCCAATGCTTAAGATGAATGATTAACACGACTGTTTCTGGTTTTTGATGCTTTTGGTGTGGGTTGCAGGCGCACTGGGTGGACGAGTACAGGACTGGGGAGGAGTTATGCAACTTGCAACTGGATATGGATCATGTTGATAATTTGTATTTATTTATCTTTGCTTCTATGCCTTTATTCTTCATCTTTACGTCCACTTTCTATTTGGGGACCAATACCACAGTGCCATTTTAATGTGCTTGACAGGCTGTACCAAGCCATGCATCATCTACTTCACAGATTGAATGGCAGGAATCAGTTAGTGACACCCGTGTATATAGGATGCCTACAGGTTCGTATTTGTTCTAGAAAAAGGTTCAGGAAAACAATGACTGGAATTCTTGTTTCTTGACAGCCAGCAATCAAGCCTATTATATTATATATGGGGGTGTAAGGGAGTCAAAACCACTTTATATGCTCAGTTCCCTGGTGAAACCAGCGGAAATAGAAAAGAAAGAACGGAACCCGCCATTTCAAGGACGTCCCGAAGACTCTTGACCCAAAACGCCCGATATTCGATCCAATCTTGTGTATTTATTATCCTACCGCAACCACGGGCATGCGTCTATGCACCCTTGGATTCACTTTCTTCCAAACTGTACTTTCCACGACGGAGCCCCTCGAGGGCCTTCTGCCCTTCTTCGGTCAACTCAGGTCTACCCAATGGTGTGACGGCTCCGGTGAAAAAGCGAGGCTGCCAGGTCTCGTTTTTAGCCTGTCGTTCAGCGGCCTTCTGACGTTGCCGCTCCTCAATCTCTTGCTTGAGTCGGGTGGCTTGGCCGTATCTTTTGTCGAGGATGGCCTCCGTGACCCCCGACCAGAACTTGCGGGACTCGTTGGACAGTTGTTCGTCGTCGGAGGGCACTACCTTGGGGATGGGGAACAGGGGCCCGATGTCAATTAACAGTCGAGGCTCGTTGGTCCCCGCCAGAGTGTAGAAAACTTGCCCATGCCAGGACCCGCTGATTTTGGCAAGAAGATCTCCCTCCGGCACATCCTTGATTCTCGTCGTGGAATCTTTGTCCGGGTTGTAGCGGAAGATCACGCCCTCGACCTTGTTCTGAGCCCGGCCAATCCAACCTTCCTCCAGGTACTGTAGGATGACCTTGATCCGGGTCTTGGGGCATGTGATGTAACATGTGTCGGAAACTGTGATGGCGAGCGCGCCTCTCAACAACCCTCCAAGATGCGCATCGGGGTGGGTGAGCTGGTATTCTTCATTGTCTCGCTTGGCGATGTTGACAAAGATGCCGAGATTGTGCTGCCCCGGCGCCACGCGAATGCTCGTGCCTGTGAATTTGGCGCTTATTTGGTCGAAGCCGCGGGCGGAGACGCCTCGTTCCTCGCAGTCGATGAAAAAAGCAGACACTGGCGGGTGGTGAGAAGTTTGTTCGGTCAAGTAACATACCTTGACCGCTCCGTTCTTATCGTCCGTCTTGGTGGAACCTCCGCTGGCTGGGTCCGACTTCGAAGGTGCTGAGACCGCCGGGGGGAGGTCATCAAGTTCCCAGCTACACTAAAGTTTCGCGCCGGCACGATCAGTCCTGGGAATAGAGGGCGCTTAAGAACTGCTCAGGCGGTACTCACTCTGAAAAATTCACCCAGCGTAGAGTTATACGGTTTGCAGGGCTTGCCCTTGATGTATTTCTGTAGGACCGTGAGTGAAACCACCCTTCCAACGTGGGAATCTTGCAGGGGTTGTATACCAGATCCTTGGTGAACCAAAACCTCAGAATTTCCAGCATCCGTCCCAGCGGATCGTCTGATTTACCAATGCTGTGTGGTGCTCCCTGTCAGAATTTGAGCCTTGGCGATGAATCGGCTACTTTGCTGACCTTGCAAAGGTCTCCGGTCTATCCAAATAATTCCAGTACTCTAGCAATCGCGGGGTTTGGTTAGCCAACAGTCCGCCGAGCTTCAAGGCGAGCAGACACCTTAGAAAAAAGGAAAAGGGGGACGGCGATAACATACCCAGGTTGGGCATCGGCTCCAGGAGATGCGCAGGCAATGAGAAGCGAACGGACGCTATATCCGTCACTCCGACAAATCTAGAAGCGGTTCAAACACCAAGGAATTAGCAGGGTTCGGGGCAGGAACGACGGGGCTAAACGAGGGACAAATGTGCATGCAGTCTATACCTTCGGAGGATGGACAGGAACGTCTTCAACTTAGAAGAGTCATCGGGGGTCTTTTCGGGAGCCTCAGAGGCCACGGCGGAAGACATTTTCCAAGGTGATGATCGAGTATTCACAGAGTGTACGAAAAGAGAGGAGAGAGTCTTGTAAGGTAGCGGCGACGCGCTATGCAGCCGAAGCCAAGGGGGCGGCGAGAGGGAGGAGCGGCGACAAAGCACCCAGAGAAGACAATCTGCACGCCAGCGCAACGATTCAGGTGGAACGGCAGGCAGCAGGCAAGAAGGCGATCCTCACTGGACTGGGGATTGTTGGCAAGCAATCCACGGAAACAGATGATGGTTGGACCTCGGATCAGAATTCCTCGCTGAAACAAGGCGGCGTCGGTCGTCCAGGCGGTGACGTTCTGACCGGTACGTCACCGACTCGCCTCCGTTGCTTGGTTTACGAGTCGCCTACCTACTTACACTGTACATGTACGCCGTACACTTGCTCGGGGCTTCAAGTCAGGCTGATAAGACCTTTAGTATGTATCGTCAACCATTCCTAGGGCTAGGCAAAAAGGAACTGAAGGGAAGACCGCCTTCCTCCATCAACCCTGTCGGTCGCTGTCGGCCAATCGACACATCCGAGTCCTCCCTCGTGGGTTGTTCTCACGGCCACGGCCTCGTCCTACACCCCCAGCAAGCGCCCCTTGGATCAACTTCTCTGTGGAGTTCCAGCTCTTCTATTGGGTATATTCAGCGCCAGCGATGAGCAAGCAGGGGTAATTCGTGTCGAAACAAAAGTCGTCGAGCGTGTCGATTCAATGACAGGCCGGGTTCGGACATCTTGTCAGGTCAAGTCCTCAAGGACCCTTTTCCGGGCCAAGGAGCGCACCCAAGCCCTGACTGCGGGCCCGTAGTCATATCTTCTCCCCGCCACGTAATCGGCATCGGCTTGGAGGGCCTGTTGCTCTTCGCGAATTGCAGTTCGGAGCAATTGTTGTTCATCCGCCAGCTGCTGCTGAAGCTCAGCCAGGTCCTGGAAGGAGTAGGTGCTGTACTCAGCCTCCCGCTCTGCAGGAATCTTGGCTTGGTCGATTTGCTCCCTGGTTAGGCCATATGTTTCGTCGGGTCCAAGAACGGCGCTTTGAAGACGGTCCTCTAACGCCGAGTCGAAACCTGTTTCTCCCTGCTGGGAAGAGATCAGGCGCTCGTTGACTGATTCCAGATGTTTCACGTTGGTAGCTAATCGGTCTACAAGATCAAGAAGCGGATCTTTGGCAAGACTTAGGATTGAAAACTCAATCTGTCCCTCTTCGTATTCTTCCATCCTGGTGCGAATGTTGGGCTTCACCAGGTCTAACCAATCCTTGTGCGACGTATACTTCCCTGTTTCACAAATGAGCAGTAGTTCTCGCCTCGGGTCCAATAATGGCTTACCAAGCGCATGGGGCTGGCGTTCGAGGCCATCGAACTTCCATACTATTCCTAAGGCGGGCACAAACGCAATGAAATGAAATCCTGCATCCGTTTCGGATTCATCCTGGGTATGTCTAGCTGAGCGCGATCGTTTAGACGTCGCTTCACTTTTGAGCTGAAGATCGGAATTGAGAATGTCCATTTTACTGGCCCAAGAGTCAGGCCAAACCCAGAAAAGCGAATGGAGTTGTCTATAAATTGCTTGCAGGCTTACCGCGCAAATGAGTTGTGGATTTGCTTGACGAACTCGAAATTGTTGATTGCATCGCCCCTCAATGCAGGCGTAAAGGGCATTGTAAATTCTTTGAAATGCTGCAAATTTTCGCCAAGCTCGATCCCTTCTATGTTGTTGACAATGTTCAGGAGAGCCACACTCGCACAAGCATTACTTGCTGTCTAAGCGAAAGAATTCAGCCATTGGACATGCGCTTTGGGTGAAGAAGAGCAGACCTGATTCGCAAACCAAAGCCCTTCAGGGCAGCTCGCTTCCTGTTTGTTGGGATCATCCTCGCGCCACCGGAATAAGAATATCAACCCGTAAACAGGCTTGCTGATTTGCACGTAGAGTATTAGCAGTAAATCTCGCGTGTATCAAGATCGTTTCACCTTAGACCTGCCATCATATCCTCTTCCAAGGACACAACCTCTTGGACCTTTACTCCCTCGACGCCAAATTCCCGAAGCATTACATTGAAAAGCGCCTGGAGAAGTTTAGGATAGACTAAGCCATAACAGATTCACCGCGACTCACTGGCTCGGATTCGATTTCACAGAAGCCATTCCACTGTTCCTTCTCCTTCGTAGTTGCTGAACCACACAAGTCATTGCTAAGGTGGGCAATCCCAGATGGCTGGATATTCGACTTCTTTCGGTTCGAACCGTGATTCATCCTGTACTGAGGGACCCGCGCATAGGCAGTCAGTCCTGGATATTTGAGTAGTTGATGAATGAAAGTGAGAAGCCCTAGAAACACCAAGCAAGAGGAATAGACCGACGGTCAACTTGAAGCTGTGAGATAGACCAGACGAAATAGGGTGTTACCACAATGGCAACGGCAGGATAGTAACTAGGTACCGAGAGAGGGAGTCAGTCAGTACGTGAGTAGAAGATAAAGGTAAGCTAACAGGTAGTTTATGATGCGGTAGGTACCCGGTACCCGGTACCACATGCCACTGCCAATGCTGAGCGACAACGTAAGTACCGGTACTTATACTCACCGAGCAGCGACGTCTGCACCGCTGATTGGCCGAAGCTCCGTCCGAACGCGACTCCACGCGTTTTTCCATCTTCAACCTGGAAGACTTCCGCTCTCTCTCTTCAACACCTCGCATATCCCCTCGGTCCCTGCGCCTCGATCTTGACGAGGACATAGCTGGTCTATATCCATCCCCGGAAGGACTCCCCTTTGAGCTCGTATGTTCGGTTAGTGTTCCTTCCTTTTTCTCTTCTCGCTTCCTTTCTTTCTTTGCTTCTTTTACTCTTATCCTCCCCCTCCTCAATCAACGCATGCCAAACATTAGCTTGACCGCTCATCTCTAACGGAGAATTTTTCACCTTGTAGGTTGAAAAGCTATAATCTCTATTCGCGGATAGTCCGCGACCACAGCATGCCATGAACGGAACTCCGCGACTCCGTTCTGCCTTCCCTCAAACGCCGCAGACAACGCAAAGAACTCGAGCTTTTAAGACCCCGCCGTTTCGGCCGGCGCCCCCGGAATCCGGGATACGGAAAGCCTCGACAGGACCGCCGGTTACCCACGATGCATCTTCGCCGCTTATCCCAACCGGAGTCGTAGATGCCCCGTCACAGCGCCTCTATGTTGTGGCTTTCTACCTCGCGCTTCATGCATGGCGAGTCTATGAGTCTCTGAGTGCCTCCGATGATCTGGATTCCACTTGGCTGTTTCTCAAATGGGCCTCGATCGATGGTGTTTTCCTCTTCGGACTCCAGGCACTACATATACCTTGGCTGGAATGGACCTTTCCGACGACACTAGCTGCGTTTCTTCTTCACGCCGTTGGCAATGTGTTCTTAATGTTCCGGATCCCCGTAGGCTCCCCTATCCCTCTATCCACTCGTTCCGTGAACATCTCACTAAAATATCGACCAGATTCCCGTGGGAGCCTGGTTATCTGGAATGATAAAAATAGCTTATGATAGGGAGCTATCCATTTCCGAACGAAGCGTCAAACCCGGAGATATCATTCACAATGCGTCCCTCATTTTGGGAAAGCAGATAGTCCACATTTTACCGGAGGGGTAAGCTCTATGTCCCGTTCTTTGGGCCGCCTGTCCGTGTTGCCATATCGATTGCTGATGAATGCAGATCTGCTGTGTTAAATCCGGATCAAATCCCGCTGTGTATCAATTCGCATGGACATGCAGTCAATCTCCCCATCCGAATAAATCAAACGGATCCGATTGCGATGGAGCTTTTCCGCCTAGATTTCAACAGCGGGGAAAACGAGACAATCCCTATATCATCCAAACAGCTGAAGCAGATGAAGCAGCAGTCGAAGCGCGCATCCAAAGATTCACATCGTGATCTTCTCTACCCGATCCGACAGCCTGGTATTTACCGTCTCAAAAGAGTAGTCGATGAGTCCAATCTCGACGTTCACATGCGTATATCCGATGCGCTTGTTGTTTCATGTCCTCAAGCGCTGATCAAAGATTCTCCCACGCACAAATGCAAGGGTGAGCTATCGAACTTGGTGCTTACGGTCGAAGGCACCCCACCCTTGAAAATCAAGTACAGCAGGCAGGTGAATCATCTTGATCGGGGCTTTTCCTTCCAAAATATCCAATCAGACCATCTACGTTCGCCTCTCATAGGTCAGAGGAACTCAGCGGCTTTGTTCAGTTCCCGGGAGATGGATGTCTCTTGGGCGCAGTCTCAGGTCATTGAAGTTCCCCTGAACGAGTCGTTGAACGTTGGAGGAGAATGGCTCTACTCAATTGAGGAAGTTCACGACGGTTGTGGGAACGTCGCGAATTACTCGGCCCTATTACATGAAAGCGACCAATTAACTGCAAACTCTGTGTCTCAAGCGCATAATTTTGCAGTCCACGAAAGGCCTCGGTTGTCCTTGCATGGATGCAACGATCAGCAGTTTCTGCAGGTCGCTCGGGGAGAGAGCGTAGACTTGCCTGTCAATTTTCACACTTCGGGCCAACAGTACGGCCAGGACGGCCCTTTCTCTCTTATGTACTCTTTCAGAGGCAGAGAGCAGGAGGGTACAGATGACATGCCAAGTAAAGTTCACAAGCTGTCCCTCAAAAGTCTTGACCAGAAGCCACAGATCAAGGACCCGGGCTGGTACAACTTGGAATACGTTTCTAGTCATTTTTGCCCTGGAGAAGTGCTGGAGCCGTCATCTTGCTACTTACACAACCCGCCAGAGCCAGAAGTCGCCGTCAAGTATGAGAAGATATTTGACAAGTGCGCGAACAATCCGGTTGGCTTATTGGTTGACCTTGACCTCACTGGGTCGCCACCGTTTCGACTTCGATATGTCGTGGAGCACGCGAAGGGTGTTGAGACGAAATCGCAAATCATCGAAGGCCTACGTGCTCAGCTTGATTTTACGCCATCCGAAGCCGGCTTTTACCGGTACCGTTTCCTCGATGTGGCGGATACGATTTATGCGCCTCGGCCCTTGAAGGACAGAACGCCCGTCCTAGAACAAGATGTCAAGCCTCCGGCTTCTGCTCACTTCCTTGATTCGAGTGCCGTGCGCAGGGCCTGTTTCGGCGAGCCGGTAGCCGTGGACGTGGCATTTGTTGGTGAACCGCCATGGACCTTGCAATACGAACTTGTGCACAATGGGAAGAAAACGAAGCATACATTGGAGTCCGAGAGTGAAATCGCCACTATCAAAACCAATAAGCTTGTCGGTGGCGGCGAGCATAGCCTCGTGCTAACAAACGTCAAAGATCGTTCAAAGTGCAAACGAAGCCTCAGGGATAGCATTAGGATTGACGCCCGCTCAAAGCCCCCACAGGCGTCTTTTGGTGAAATAGAGAAACGACGAGATTACTCGGCTCTACAGGGCTCGAGAGTTGATATTCCTCTCAGATTAAGTGGCGAGCGACCGTGGATCGTCCGATTCAGAGAAACAAGCAGTGATTCTGCGGTCTTCGAAAAAACTTTCTGGCAGGAAAACAGCGTTATGTCGGTCCATCAAGAAGGACAGTATGAGCTCGTCGGGGTAACCGACAGTTCCTGCCCCGGATCCATCGACCAGGCAGCCAAGACTTTCGGGATTTCCTGGATTCCTCGACCGCGCATCACGGACGTGGATGGCTCTCCCGTTGGGGTCACCGGCTCTATTGAGAAGCGAGATGTTTGCCAGGGCGACGATGACAGCCTTGAACTCCGTTTGTCAGGAAACCCGCCGTACAACGTTCAGTATGAGCAACAACGGAAGGCAGGCCGTGGATCACCTTCTGTGCGTGTGCAGACATTGAAGACCGCTCTACATGCAGCCTCTATGGAAATGGACACTTCCGAAGCTGGTCTCTACACTTACAAATTCCGGGAAGTCGGCGATAGTCTCTACGATCACGACCCCAAGGCCAGCCCCGTCGTCGTGACCCAAAAGGTGAACCCTCTCCCGTCTGCGCGGTTTGATGCTCCGGGTCACATTTATGGGTTTTGCAAGGAGGACGTTAGCGGCGAGGAGCTAATCCCCGTAACCCTCGATGGGGTTCCGCCATTTTCCCTCGAGATATCCATCAAGCACCATTCGAAGGCCAAGGCCGAGATTGTGTCAATCCCGAGCATCGGATCAAACCGACACAAGCTGCCTATACCGAGACGCCATCTGGATTTGGGGCAGCACGTCGTCAGCATTCACAAGGTGAGGGATGCACGAGGCTGTCAACGAACCATTGACTTTGACACGTCGTCGGTGAGAGTCGCCGTGTCTGATGTTCCCACAATCATCCCCCTTGAATCCAAGGTTGATTACTGCGTTGGAGAACGATTGTCCTTCTCGCTTTCCGGTCATGCTCCATTCGATGTGTTCTATACATTTGACGGAGCGTCCAGAAAGGCAAACTCCCGGACAACCGATTTCCGTCGCATTGCAGAGAGACCAGGCGTGTTCACTATAACCGCTGTCAGTGACGGCGCAAGTGGGAAATGTCAGGCCCACAAGAATATCACGAAAACTATTCACGAAATGCCAAGCGTCCGGATCAGCCGGGGTCAAACCTCTATTATTGACATACACGAGGGCGGGGAGGCAGAGCTACACTTTGAGTTCTGGGGGACACCGCCGTTTGAGTTTACGTATGTTTTAATTTCCTCCCTCTATGATGCAAGCGACGAAACTAATTACCCTCGATTTTAGATACATTCGGAGTTCCAACCCTCGAAAAGGCAAGAAGCCAGAGATTCTGGACATCAAGCATGACATCTCTTACGAACACAAGAAAACTATTAGGACCTCAGATGAGGGAACTTATGAGGTCGTGGCGATCAAGGACAAATTTTGCTCCTTCTCTCAGACCCCTATAGAGAAATCCGAACGATGAGATATCAGCTCCGGAGGAAGGTAATGTCATTAATGTTCAAAGCTGTTGCTTTATTTATGATCTAGATAGATTTCTTTTGGGGGACTCGATTCCTTCGTTTGTAATTCAAAATATTATCGTTGCATTGACATGGCACCAGGAGTTCGTCTCCCCAGGGATAAAACATACTATACATTAACCCAAATGTTGCCCTGTCTCGATGCTGTCCACCAAGAGGGTGCCCAGGCGGGAAATCTCGTTTAAGATAGCAGCACGATTGATCACAACAACCTCGTCACCCAGTTGCTCGGAGCCATCCGACACGCTCGGGGATGTGGAATATGCCATCTTCAGGTTCCAGGTTTTGGGTTTCAAGGTTTGCGGATTCCAAATCCCGGCAATCACATCGCCTTGCTCGCCTCCGTAAAAGAAGTGCAGATGAGGGCTGTAGCAGGATTGCAGATCGCGTACGAGGGATCTCACTGCACCAGCCCTCCGGCTGCCACGGGTAGCGTCTTTCTCTTGTAGATTCTTATACTTCGACGGAGCCGAACCACCATCCGAGACCCCCGGCCGAAGATTGAGAATAAAATCATATGGCGCAAGGGAGGTGTGGAAAATATCAAATATGTTAAGAGCATATGATTTCTCCCGCACCAGCTTCACGGCCGCTTTGGCCAAGGTGGACATCCGAGCAGCCACGACTTTGGGGGGCATTTCGTGCTGAGTCCAAGTTACACCCTCCGTGTCAACATCAGAAGCCACGAATAGTACAACGGAGTTCATCGCCGGGTCGACATTGCGCCAGGCAGCAAAGCGAGTGCGAATCGTTTCCATGGTCTCGTTGTCTAGCCCTCCGCTCAGATCGACCATGAGAGGCTCCTGTTGCCAGTCCCAGCGAGAAATCAAATGAAGGGTTCTCAAAAACCCAACCATAATACTGGACGGAGTCTCCCAGGGAAACGGTTGTGTAAATACTCGCACAGCCAACAACTCAATGAGCTCTTCGCTGATGTGACCTGCAAAAAGATGGCAATCGAACCAGTGTTTCAGGAGACGAACAGTCGGCGATAATAGAGGAAAGCGGGTGCATAGAGTACGGATGGCCTGCGTTAGACGAGGGGAGTGGATGAATTGACGCTTATACTCTGACAACGCGTAGGCAATTTCCTGTTTTGCCTGTGAGCGAGGGCCTTTCTCCTTTAGCTGACGTTCTAATAGGGTCTGTTCCCGGTCGTGATGGATCCGTAAGTGGAATGTGACCCCAGATTCGTGAACAATTTCTAGGAAAGCACTGTTCAAAATTGGACTTGATTCGTTCTCCAGTCCCACCCTGCATGATGAAGCAGTCCCAGATGACGAGAGACAGTCTCCGATCCTGACGAGAAAGGCCATTTTTGTCATTTGAATTGCCACCAGGTCGTCCGGCCAGCGGGTAGAGCTCTCGAACTGGAGAACAACATCCACCGCCTCTTGTCGTGCACCGGAAACAGCCTGGGCACGAAGAGCTGTGTATCGCAGAAAGGGACTGGCTGGGGCTAGATGCCTCACAGTCAAGGGGACTTCATCCATGCTTTGAATAGATTTCTCCAGGGAACTAAAAGCATCGGCAATGGTTTGGAAAGGTGGACTGGAATACAGCAGTACTCCATCGCCTTTGTTGCGAAGCTTTTCATCATATTCATCGCCAATGTACGTTAACTCACTCTCGAGACAATCGAAATGACGTTGTAGAATGTATGTCAGGATCTGGTGCACTATGGAAGATGACGACGGTTGGTCGGACCACACCAAACTTTCCCTAATGCTACCGTCCTTGAAACGTCTCAACTCGGCCTTTTCGCCCCAGAAGGACCGGAACGAGGCTGCCTCTTCTTTTTCTTCTGCGAATGGGCCATGATCTACAACACGTGCAGCATTATCGGCATTCAATAATAACCCAACATGAAGGCTGGCGCCTGCCGCTTTCCGGGAAGCTTTCGCTTCGACAGACCATGGCTCGACACTGCTGCCAAAAAGATAGATGAGATCCGCTCGATCATTGAAAGCCCTTTTCAGCACCTCGTAGATCGCACGATGGTTGTGCAGTGCTTGTAAAGCATTGTTGCTATTGGCCAATGGGAGAGTGGCAATTCGGTCGAACCTGAACAAAGGCTCATTGACCTTAAAGATGAAAACTTTCTCAAAATTGTCATCACGGGATTCGTTCAGCATCTTCAAGGTGTTTCCAGCTTCGCGGCGAAGAAATTCATACGACCACGGTGTCATCTTGTAGAGCACATTCAGACCCTTCGCACCATCGTACAGCACAGGTCCGTCGCCAGGGGTTTGAAGATCTTGGCAAAATAGCAGTAGGGGTTTTGTCAGGTCTCTCCCCGCAATGAATTGGATAGTCGCTTTGAAAAGTTGATAGCTGCTGTAGGATTTGAGAAGGACTGGCTTGCCATTGGGACCCCCGCCTTCAAACAAGATAGACATGAGCGCTGTCCACTCAAATCCGCCAAATCCACCAGCCTGAAGCGAGGAACCGAATCCACGTTGCTGGAGCCAAGTTCGGCCAAGGATACAACCGTCTCTGAAAGATTCACAGTTCCGAGCAGCCGAATATAGCCCCTTATGAAACTGTGCCACGGTAGCCTCTGAGCGGAGGGCTGCATTGTAGAATGGCGTGGGTTCTTTTTGCTCCGCCGTTTCCGATGCCCCTTGTCGAATGTTGTTCTTCATCGGTAAAGTTCGGGAGATAGGGAACAATGTATCTTCAACTGCCGTGATGATGCGAATTTGTGGCTTTGAAGATTTCGTATCTTTGGGTGTCTCCGCAGGCGTAAGTATGATCACAGGGCGAAGACTATCGCCATCTTGTAGATCAAATTTGATGTCGAGGCCAACACCTTTTGTTTCCTTGATACCAGCTGCAAGACAAGCAATGTAGTAGGCCCTCTTTTGGAAGAACCTATAATTGGTATAATCTTTTTCCTGGAAAAGTTGTTTCGGCATAGTCACCGCGAGGTCGACTGTCAAAGGCCCTGCCGATTTCACGCCGGTCCTCAGAGCAAAACTTCCGACAACGTTGACATTAACTGGCCTGAAATATGAAACCGAGTATTTCGTATCTCTGCCAGGGCGAGGCTGGGGGTAGGGAACGATAACGCCATGAGTGTTGCGCAACTCTTTTTCTGCGTCCAGGGGAGCGTTCGCGGGCCTTTCGGGGATATTTTCAATGATTTCCTTCAGTTTATGAAGAGTGTCTTGAAGCCTTGAGACTTGCTTGTCATAATTCGGTCTCAAATCCGCAAGCAGTTCGTCCAATTGCAACTTGAAAAGGTTGGACTTATAGAAGCCGCTAGCCAGTGCTACTTCCGCAGAGCGATCGCCTTTGTTCATGGTAGAGTTATCTTCTTTGGATTTCGAAAACTGAGGATTCCCGCTTGCTTTTGACGATGTGCTCAACTTTCTCCGCTTCGGAGAATGTGACATCCTGGTGGTATTGAGCCGGACTGCGGAGCAGTATTCCAAAGAGTGGTTCGAAAGTATCAAGCTAGGTCAAGTTGAATTTTTGGTGGATTGAAGCACAGTGCACTAAACATTTGGATACAATAGAAGATTGGGGATCGTCGTACTTGAAGCTTTTGATAAAAAAAAAAAAGTGACAAACCTCCGGGATTTTATCTCCACGTGATTCCGATAGTTCAGGTACTTAGCTGATAAGTACCTACGCAGGTATTGTAATTCAATTACACTAGCTAGGCTAGATACAGTAGGTACTGTACTATTCTCTCTGTAAGTAAGAACTGTATTTACATCCATGGATACCTACTACCTAGGTATATAAATACCTTACCTACCGTGTGGGTACATTTCCTATCAGTGATCATTGGCTGATCTCTTCTACACTTTTCGCCGAAGTCGCTCTCTCTTCCCCGCCATTACTCATTACTCATTATCTTTCCTGGTACTTAACTACCTGTCTCTCCAGCTGTTTTATTGCCCAAATATCCCTCATTGAAGCTCCAACACCGAAGACTTTGCGCCAAAATCCACTCAAAAACAGAAAAACCTAAAGATCTAACTCTATCCACAATGCTCCAGGACGCTGGGGGCACTGTTCCCCCAAACACCGACCATGTTCGTTAAAGCCCCTCATCGTACCCTTCTTTTACCCTTCCCTTCCTCCTTCAAATTGACTGTGTCTTATGCCTGACGGAGGGTTTCCCTACGGTCTATCTTCAAAGGGCCTAGGGTTCTATGCGGACTACTCTTGGAGTCCTAGCGCTAGCTTGCTTTCTTTACAATTGATGTCAAGTTGCTAACTAAGAACAAGGCAGTCAGTGTGTCGCTGCCAACATGGAAAGACAACGTCGCCTATGAAGAGGGAGAACCGTGGCTTGTCAGCAAGATGCAATGCGGCTATCCTCGGTTTTTTGTGCATCCGATTATCCAGGAGCTTGCAAGGGAGGTAGTACTGCGCCACGGAAAGCCAGACACAGAAACTGTCATGCTGTTCCCGTCCCCTAAAACGGCACGAGTATGCTATTCGTTTTTCCTTTCGAGATTGTCCAGCACCGAATCGCAAAAAGTTCGTATAGTGGATCTTGCTCCCCCATCTCACCCGGAAACCGAGTCCCCTACTGTCACCTCGCATTTGTCGGGTGTGATATTTCCCAAGGAATATGCACCAATTGCCAAGCAAGTGTGGCAGCATACTGGAAGTGGTATATCAAGTCGCCGTGGTGAATTCTGTCTTGGCGCTTTGCGAGACGGCTTCCTGCAGGAGAAAAAGGACATTGGCTTGGAAACGACAACACCAAGAATGTGCAAGGGTCCGCGGAGGTACCAAGGGAAGGACTCGGCCACCGAACTCGCCCAAAGGAGAGGGTCGCAGCCCACGACAACGACAACAACTTCACCTGCCGCAACCAATGGATCACAGGAAGGACGTGAATATGCTCAATTCATTGAGGAACGGTTCGGTCGGAATCTGAGCATCTCTCTGTCCCAACAAGCCAAATTGGCCGTCCGCAAACGGATAGCGGGTGTTCTAACTGCAGATGTCGACCTGAGCGAAGCTCTACAGAAGTCTGCTGGGACAGGCAGAGTAGCAGGTTTGAGCGAGTCTGATGTTTATGTCTTTCCAACTGGCATGAACGCTATTTTTAGTACGCATCAGATGCTACTCAATTGTAGGGGTGCTATGAAAAGTGTGTGCTTTGGATTTCCATACATTGACACACTGAAGACTCTGGAGAAATGGGGGCCCGGCTGCCTGTTCTACGGGCACGGCTCGTCTGAGGATTTAGATGACTTGGAGTCGCGGTTAAGTAATGGTGAAAGGTTCCTGGCGCTTTTCACCGAGTTTCCTGGAAATCCACTATTGAAGTCGCCTGACCTTCGACGGATTCGTGCCCTCGCTGATAAATATGACTTCGCTATTGTTGTAGATGAGACGGTGGGCAACTTTCTCAATGTCAATGTTCTACCATACGCCGACGTCGTCGTCAGCAGTCTGACAAAGATATTCAGTGGGGATAGCAATGTCATGGGAGGAAGTGCTGTTCTCAATCCTCATGCTCGGTACTATCAAGCATTGAAGGAAACGTTTCCCCGAGAATATGAGGATAACCTGTGGGCAGAGGATGCTGTTTTTCTGGAAAGGAACAGCCGTGATTTTGTGTCAAGGATCGAAAAAATAAACACGACCACAGAGGAGATAACAGAGATGTTAAAGAACTCCCCGCTCGGTAAGCTTTCATCGATATCATGTTAACCTGATTCTAACTTGTCCTTTCATGCAGTCAAACAAGTTTATTATCCGAAATACAGCCCCTCGAAGCCATTTTACGACGCGTTTCGTACTCCTAGTGGTGGTTATGGCGGTCTCTTCTCTGTCACCTTCCATTCAACAGTTGCTGCGGCCGCTTTCTTCGATTGCCTTGAGGTCCTGAAAGGTCCTAGTCTTGGCACCAATTTTACCTTGGGGTAGGTTTGGATCCATTCCCAATAATGTTTCATTTGACGACCATATATTAACATTTACACAGCTCACCATACACCCTTCTAGCCCACTATGGCGAACTTGACTGGGTATGTGTGAGAGCGGGGGAAACCTCCGAGGCCTTTTCCTTCCTTTACTCCATAACTTCACATATACTAACCGGTCTGTGCAGGCCAACTCCTTTGGGGTTGAATTTGACTTGGTCAGGATAAGTGTTGGCCTGGAAGACGTACCGGATCTCCGCGGCCGAATCCAAAAAGCCCTAGATGCTGCGGCTAGTGCTCGGGCATAGATGATTTGACGATTTTGGTGCAGGAATTGACATTGATTATGACAAATTATCCAGTCCACTTGACGAACCTCTCTTGGAGTTTCAACGGAAGCAAATCTTCCCGGAGTGGACGGTTGTTAATAAGCAAACCAAGGAAATGCAGCTTCATATGGGATGTCCTTTACCTGGTATCTTTGCACAGTAGTATGAGTTCCGCGCCCTTGTCCGGACCCCCGAACGGGTGTCGGATGGGAGCTAGAGCCGATGCCTCTTTGTTCTATGATATTTTTTTAATGCTCTTATATTCTTTTGCCTATTGACAGTTCAATAGGTAGGCCAGGTTCGAATCCACGGTATGTATGCAGTACCAACAGAATCTACCTACTCAAAACAGTAACAGTGAGTCACTTGAGGATATCTACAGGTGTTGCAAAGATATGCAGCCGTTGCAGTATATCCCAATGGCAGCCAATTTCCATTGCTTTACTCGTTTTTTATCCTTCGACATGGATAGGTTCCAAGCACTTACATACCTAGGTATTAGATACTGTATGATATACATAGATTCACAGGTAGCCAATGTATTGTGGTGTATGTGTATTGTGTAAGGTCTGGTCATTCCGGGCATGTTACCTTTTCAGCTCGTACAGTACATGACCCTGACACCCGGTATTGTTACATGTTCTCTGTCACGGGACTTGCGCGGCTTAAGAGAAAAGTCCATCTCAAAACTTACCCCGGTCCTCCTTTGGCCAACCTAACTCAATTCCTACCTGCCATTGAATCAAAGCATGCTGTCAACATAAACCAATCTGTGACTGTATGGCTCTTACACACACAGCCCGTCCCTTCCTCTTCCTGTCAATGAAATAAAGAAGTCTCAAAATGCTAACTGTTGGGTCCGGCTATTGTAGTTATCTTGGACGCAACTACTTCCTCGATCCTAATTTCCCGCTGTGTCTCTGCGCGGCAGCTTTCATTGCTGTCTATATTCGCAATGGTTGCATCTGTCATCGTGCCCAAGCGGCCTGTAGTCGCCTTGCCGTTCCTGCTTCCTTCCTGCCACCCTGTGGCTCTCGAGTCGCGGCGGAGTCAGTCTTCGTACGCACGCACCAAACAACGCCTGCGCGTTAAACCAGATGCTTCGTTTGGCTCGCCGGCCAACCAGCTATATGACAATATCATCCATAATCCACCCTCCAGTGCGCCTTCGGTTTACCACACACCAGCGAAATTTCTCCCCTTGGATGATACACGAAGAACGCTACGCGCTCCTACTGGTGTGAAGGATGAGGGATCCGAGGATCTACCTACCGTGTTCAAGTCAACTACTCAGAAAAAATACCACCTGAAGCCGTCGGACATCGAGGAGATTCGCAAGCTTCGACTCAGTGATCCTATGATGTGGAGCCGCTGGAAACTAGCCAAGCGCTTTGATTGTTCTCCTATGTTCATCGCAATGGTATGCGAAGCCGGCCCGCAGAAGAAGGAGATACAGCGACAGGTTTTGGAGGCAGTGCAATCACGATGGGGTATCAAACGTCGCATGGCCAGAGAGGACCGCCAGTTACGAAAGGAGACCTGGGGAAAGAGTGAATAAAAGCGACATCCCAAGATCGGCATCTCCATCTGACTGCGGATAATCTTCTTCTCGAACCATTTCATTATCTCACCTTTCATGAATATCTCTGTGGTTAGAACCCCCAAGTCTTGAACTTTGCTCTACTCAAGGGGGTGATACTTGTGTATAAAATCCTGTATTTTAGCAATTCTTGCAACTTGTCTAGATCCATATGTCTTAACTACCAACGTTAATGCATGTTATTATATAGCGGAAATTCCAGCAAGAACAAACTAGGAGTTGGGTCGGTACTACTTAGCAAGAAGGTACCTTGTTGAATAAGCCCGCACCGACTCGATCTGCCTATCAGCGTTGCCGTATTGATATGTAGCGCTTAGATGCGGCTAAGGTCAGGTCATAATCCTCAGATATGATGTACTAGAATTTTTTTGTCTCATTTCCTTTCTGACCGGTCCCCGCTCTTGACCTAGGTAGCAATCGATTCGGGGGTACTTCGATTTTCTTCCGCACCTGACCAAATGCCCCTCCCCCTCCGTCGTATCCCGGCGACAATTGGAGGATTTAAATCCTATTTACATTTTCCTTCTTCCCCACGGAGCTGTTTGACATCTCAACTTTCCCCCACGAACATCTCTCGTTTTCCCTTTCGTCGCTCATTCTACGGAAATATTAGTGATCGGAAAATGGCGCCTCAACTTGAACCTTTTTTCCAACAGTAGGTGTTTTCCCCTTCTGCTATACCCCTCTGCCTCGTTATCTCTCCCCTCATTCCCTTTCTTTCCTGCCTTCCATCCAGCGCTTCAGAGAGCGTAGGAAGGCAGGTCCTAGTAACAATTGCCGGACATATCGCGATTTGCTAACTATTCTCTAGGGTTGACAACCTGTCATCTTCTTTCGTTGACCGTACGTCTTTGGTTATCGAAGCTTTTCATCCGAATTAGACTAACGGGAATATTTATTGTGTACAAGGGTTGCGAAAGGCCGTTGCTATTCCGTCCATTTCTGCCCAGGATGAGAACCGAAAGGATGTTTTCAGAGTAAGTTGTCGTCCAAACTTACGTACCACAACACAAGGACCAGTCGCTCACCCATTTAACTTGGCTTGAAGATGGCAGAATTCTTGGCCTCGGAGCTGAAAGCCCTAGGAGCTGAGGTGGAGCAACGACCGCTCGGCAAGCAGCCGGGAAAAGAGCATCTCGACCTTCCCCCAGTAGTCATCGCGCGTTACGGCAACGACAAGAATAAGCGGACCATCTTGGTCTACGGCCACTACGACGTGCAGCCTGCTTTGAAGGAAGATGGCTGGGCTACGGAGCCTTTCGAGTTGACGGAGGATAGCCAGGGGAGGATGTACGGCCGTGGAAGCACCGACGATAAGGGCCCTGTTTTGGGTTGGCTCAATGTGATTGAAGCGCACAAGAAAGCCGGAATTGAGCTACCTGTGAACCTTCTCTGCTGCTTTGAAGGAATGGAAGAGTATGGCTCAGAAGGTTTGGAGGAGTTTATCCAAGCCGAGAGCAAGAAGTTTTTCAAGGATGCCGATGCCGTTTGCATCTCTGATAACTACTGGCTTGGTACCGAGAAGCCGTGCCTTACCTACGGATTGCGCGGCTGTAACTATTACTCCATCAGTGTCTCGGGTCCTGCCCAGGACTTGCACAGTGGAGTCTTTGGTGGCTCTGCTCATGAGCCCATGACCGACCTTGTCCAAATTCTGTCCAAACTTGTCGATACGCACGGCAGAATCCAGGTGCCCGGGCTCATGGACCTCGTCGAGCCATTGTCGGAGGAAGAGAAGCTCCTGTACCCCAACATCAGCTACACGATGGAAAATCTGCACGAGTCATTGGGCAGCGAAACTGGCATCCACCCGACCAAAGAGGAAACTCTCATGGCCCGGTGGAGATACCCATCTTTGTCTATCCACGGCGTTGAAGGTGCATACTCGGCACCCGGGGCCAAAACAGTCATCCCGGCCAAAGTCATCGGAAAGTTCTCCATTCGCACTGTCCCGAACATGGAAAGCGCAGATGTCAACAAACTCGTTTTCGATTACATCCGAGCAGAATTCGCCAAGCTTAACAGCAAGAACACCATGGATGTTTGGCTCCAGCACGACGGAAAGTGGTGGGTTGCCAGCCCGAAACATTGGAACTTCTCGGCCGCAAGCAAGGCTGTGAAGCAAGTATTTGGCGTTGAGCCAGACATGACCCGTGAAGGTGGCAGGTATGTTTCTCAGCAACAGTTTCGTCCTTTCTGTGTGTACATCATCGTTACGTGATGAAATTGACTCGGAATTCTAGCATCCCCGTCACTCTGAGCTTTGAACAAGCAACGGGTAAAAACGTTCTGCTTTTGCCCATGGGCAGCTCAACAGACGCAGCTCACTCCATCAACGAGAAGCTTGATAGAAGGAACTATATTGAGGGCTCCAAGCTGCTCGGCGCCTATCTGCATTACGTTGCGGAGGAGCCCACGGAGGCTTGATTCACACGCCAATGAGGAAGCGTAGAACCCTTTTGATAGGCAAGTATCTTAACGGGCCTCACCAACACTGTCAAAATTGTGACTGTGTGTCGCTCTACAGTGTAAGTTTTCTACAGTCTTCGGAATTACGAGTTTATCTATAACGGTCTGAAATTGAACCTTTACACCAAGTGCTGTACTTGTGTTGAAGAAACGTAGGATATGCATGTTATGATCATTCTTATTTTATATTATTTTTTCTTTATCTTTGGTTTGCAGTTAAGAAATCAGGATTGATCCCATTGGGAGGCGAGGCACTGCGCCGGCCTACTCAATTAGGCACTATGTGGTAGGGGAGCTGGCCCGATAGATAACGCGCGGAAGTTCGCGTGGGACCGCGACCACGCGACAAGGCCTCCTCCGTCCACTTGCGGTTTCATTACCCCAACCGACAACAAAGGCAACCAACTGTTGTAGCATGCTATAGCCTGGGTGCTATTGAAGCCTTGCTCTTATTTGCCTTTCTCGTCTTTCATTTTGCTCTCTTCTGGCTCTACCTTGCGTGACTATGAATAATTCTAAACGCCTTTTCTAGTCGTACCGCGTTTTCTAAATGCCATCTCTAAAGCGCCCTCAAGCGTCCCTACGGACCACAGACTCTGATGAGGAGAGCGAATCGGATGTCTCCTCTGCCCCTCCTTATGCGGTATGCAATCTTTGTCGCGGGCTTTTACTTTCTTTTAACAACGGATTAACGTTCAAGCAAAGCAAAAACGCATTCGGAGATCGAACTCCCCGGCCACAGATGACAGCAGTGGGACCAGTGCCGACGACGATGAAGGACTCGATCCTGGCTTGATAAACGAGGCTCTTGGCGATGAAGAAGATGATTTGGAGCTACGTGCGACGCAAGTGATTCAGGAAAAGTACTCTTTTGCCAGTGATGAGCCAAACGTGCCTGCTGAGCATGGCATCCTTGAGCGGGTGGAATGCTATAACTTCATGTGTCATGATCGCTTCTATGTCGAGCTAGGTCCGCTGATAAATTTCATCGTTGGAAAGAATGGCAGTGGGAAAAGTGCAGTTCTTACTGCCATCACACTCTGCCTCGGTGGGAAAGCATCCGCCACGAATCGAGGCCAGAGCTTGAAAAGCTTCATCAAAGAAGGCAAAGAGTATGTCAGTCCACTGGGATCTCATTTGGCCAAAACTCTAATACCGAACCAAGGACGGCTACAATCGTTGTACGAATTAAAAATCAAGGCGATGGTGCATATATGCCGGACGACTACGGGAAATCAATCGTCGTAGAACGCCATTTTTCGAAGAACGGCACCAGTGGCTTCAAGATAAAAGCCGAGAACGGACGCATAGTTTCTACCAAAAAGGCAGAGCTGGACTCCATTATTGACTTTTTCACTTTGCAATTCGATAATCCGATGAATGTGCTCTCACAGGACATGGCTCGTCAATTTCTTAGCTCATCAAGTCCTGCTGAGAAGTACAAGTTCTTCGTAAAGGGGGTCCAGTTAGAACAACTTGACCAAGACTATCGACTGATCGAGGAGTCGGCTGATCAGATAGAAGAAAAGCTCAGGAGCAGAGAACAAGACATTGCGATCTTGAAAAACCGCAGGGATGTGGCAAAACAAAAGCTTGATATATCTGACCAACACGAGTCTCTCCGGAATCGGCTACGGAATACCCGAAGTCAGATGGCTTGGGCGCAAGTTGAGGAGCAAGAGCAGGTGAGTTTTTCTTTGCAAAGGTAGCTGGGCTCTTTCTAAATTTACGGCAGATGAAAAGCTCCCTGGACGATGAACTCGCTCGCTCCCGCGATAGAGTAACAGCCGCTGAAGCTGAACTGGAGGGGTTTGATGCAGCTATTCGGGCAGCTGAGACCGAAACCGAAGCTGCTTCGGAGTATGTTCAGCAAGCCAAGCAGAGAGTCGACGATGCAGAGGCGGAGAAAGAGGAAATCAAGTCCAAATGGGAGACAAAAATGAGTGAACGACATGACCTTCAGGTACTTCGCATGATTAAATCTCTTATTGCACGTACTAACAGTAATTTGCAGGCTGAGCAACGTAAGATAAGGGAATATCTCAAGGCAGCAGAAGCACGAATCAGCGAAGCGCAACAGAAGATCAGCGAGGAAAATCAGCGGTTGGCTGAACTTCATGGGGGAAGTTATACTCGGAAACAAGAACAACTAAAGGAGGTTCAAAACGAGGCTGCCCGGCTTCGAGAACAGCTTGAGGAGCACCAAGGCGAACATGGTCGCCTCGTTCGAGAGCTTGACGAAGCCAACAAGGCGGTTGATATGGCATCTACGCCAATCAGCAAAGCCAGAGCAGATGTGGAGCAGGCTGAAGCTCGTTTGAAGAGTCTCAACGAAGAAGGCGGGGTTAGAAACTCGGGGTTCCATGAGAAAATGCCCTCACTTCTCAGGGCAGTTCACCAGGAACGAGCATTCAACAAACAGCCCGTTGGACCCATTGGGTACCATGTGAGTCTGTTAAAGCCCGAATGGTCATCAATACTCGAGAACTCTCTTGGCGCAACGTTAAACAGTTTCATTGTCACTTCGAAAAGAGACATGAATCTGCTTTCGAGGATCATGCAAAGGGTCAATTGCGTGTGTCCGATATTGATAGGGAGCGACGGGGCTTTTGATATTTCGGGACACGAGCCAGACCCTCACTTTGACACTGCATTACGAATCCTCCAAATCGACAATGAGCTAGTCCGCCGTCAACTGATCATCGCCCATGGTATAGAACAGATGTTGTTGATTGAAAGACTGGAAGACGCATCCGCTGTTCTGTTCGATGGACAAAGGCCCAAGAATGTGAAGCGCTGTTATTGTATTGATCGAGCAGACAGACGGCGCGGCATTCATCTCTCTTACAGTAGCACTGGCGAGCCAAGTCAAGCTCCTGTATCGGCGTACAACGGAAACCCGCGGATGAAGTCCGACCTAGCTTCCCAAATTAGAATTCAGCGCGGCGTGGTGTCAGATTTGAGACGCGATCTGAATAATCTGGAGCAGCAACTCCGCCTTTCTCGGTCACAATCAGAGATTTGCAAGCAAGCTCGCACAAGACACGAAAGAAAAACGAACGACCTACGCATTTCTATCCAACAAAAGGAGGATCTTGTCGAAGAACTTTCAGCTGCACTTGAGAAAGAATCCGCAGAAGATGGACATCTTGATGTGCTACGGACCACTCTTGAAGAGGCCGAGGAAGAGAAACGTCTTAACTCGGGATCGCTACAGGATAGCATCAGTGCTATGGATGCAATGATGAAAGAGTTAAAAGCAACAAAACAACAGCTCGCTGCCAAAGATGCCCAAATTTCGGCTTTAGCGGAACAACTCCGGGTTGCTCGGAGCGAGGAACTCCTAGGCACAGAGAAGCGCCGGAGCATCATCAGCGATAAGAATGTTGCCCTTGATCGAATTCAAGATTTGAAGCGAGCAAGCGAAAAGATCTGTCAAGAACAAGAAGAGGCTGCTGCCCGCATCCTTGATTACAGTGAGAAGGCTAGTCTCGTGTCACCACGAGTAGTGATCCCCGAAGGTGAAACACCTTCCAGTTTGGACAGAAAGCTGGAGAAGCTTCATAATGATGAACAGCGCTACAATCAGCAGTAAGTTCTTGCCTATGAAGTACGCGCGCCAGCTTCTAACAGAACTCTAGGTTAGGAGCATCTCGTGATGCAATTGCCTCTGAGGCAGAGAGAACGACCGCTGACCACGAGCGAGCATTAAGACAAGTACGAGAGTTCAAACTGCTTGCAGATGTAAGTTAACCTGAACATCCATTCCTCTCTAGATACAAAGAAGGACGGAAACAGAGGAGGAAGAGGAGGGATTAGTCTTTTGCCGCAAGACCGCGCGTTGCTAACGCAGGAGCTCCAAACAGGTTCTTAAAGCAACTCTCGAGTACCGTCAAAAACGTTGGAAAATCTTCAGGTCACATATTTCGTCCCGAGCTAAAGCTCAATTCACATACCTTTTGAGTGAAAGGAGCTTTCGAGGTCGACTCTTAACCGACCATGAAAACAAACTACTTGATCTACAGGTCTGTGTTGCTTTTATTGGTCTCGATGCCACCATTGTCATAAATAGCTAACGACGCATTATAGGTCGAGCCCGATATTACGAAAGACAGCACTGGTCGTGGTGCCAAAACTCTCTCTGGTGGTGAGAAATCGTTCTCCCAAGTTTGCCTACTCTTGGCACTTTGGGAGGCTATGGGATCTCCAATCCGCTGTTTAGATGAATTGTAAGCCGGAAGAAAATCCCACGACAGACAACGCTAACCTGCCAATTTACAGTGATGTGTATATGGATCACATCAATAGAAAAATGGCCATTGACATGCTTGTAAGGGGAACACCTTGTCCCAGACCTAGCGTGATTCGCTGAACTGATTCTCTACAGATGCTCGCTGCGAGGCGGTCAATTGGACGGCAGTTTATTCTAATCACGCCAGGCTCAAGAGCTGAAATCAGTTTAGCACCTGACGTTCGAGTAAAAGAGTAAGTAGCCCTCAAGCAGACCGAGGACGTCATAGCTAAAAGATATCTTCCAGGTTGGCTGAACCCGAGCGAGGGCAGACCAGGTTGTCCTTTCGGCCTTGATCGAGAAGTATACAGGCTCCGTGCCTCCTTCAACCCCAGGTCTTCCCTCTGATGCAAGGCAGGGCGTTTGTATTTTGTGGGCACAAACAGATCTGCAGAATATTCCATGGTTGATGTAGAAATTAATTCTAGAACATACGCTTTTGAGCCTCCCCAGGTAACATTTCTATCCTGCCCTGGTACCTATTACAGGACCTGAGGTTACCTACCTTTGGGTAAGGTAGATACCTATGCCGTCCATGCATGCCACATGCATTGCATTGATAGGTAAATTTCATACATACTAGCCCTTCTACCCTAGGTACCTAAGGTATGTAAGTATCGAGTCCGAAAAATATCTTACAAATGCATTATGGTACGTATTGTTCTGAAACTTACATGTACTGTATATAACCCTACCTTACCGACCACATTACAATGAAACCTGGAAGAGCGGCAGAGAAAAATCACCTGGGCGGTAGGGCCCTGTTACCGCTTCCAGCGCAAGTAGCGTTATTAGTTCCCTTTCTTTCCTCTAATTGAGATCGAGCTTCTACCTCACTCTAATTCCCCTCCCCCGAAAAGTCACCACTCTGCAATCACCGCTTGACCAGAAACCACCAAAATCTCCTCGCTCATCCGCTTCTATTTCGATACCAACTTGAAAAATACTACAGTTCTTACCTGCCTTCACTTCCCAGCAAATTCCTTTGCTTGACCTTCTGACTATTGATTGCCCATCGCAAAGACCTAATTGTGTGCACGTGCAGCACGGTCGAGTCCACTTCCTTCTTTTCGTCTACCTCTTCACATCTACGACTGTCCGATCTGTTGACGAAACCTGCCCACCAAGACACCTATTGACCACATTCTCGTTCATTAATTTTCACTTTCTCTGCGTTATACCTTGGAATCAATATCGTTGAGACAGATAAAATACCTTACTCCACATTCGTCAATCTAAACAACCGATCATCATGGCCGATGCTCTTGCCTCACAATTGAACAATACAAGCTTAGGGTATGTCGCCATGCCATTCTTCGTGCGGTTTACCGGTGCGAAATCTTCTAACAGTGTTGCATTAGAGAAGCAAACTCGGAGGGGAAATGGAAAGAGCAAATAAAAGCCCCTGTTAAGGATGGAAGGCCGCAAACTGAGGTTTGATCTGCCCCGGACTTCAATGCTCTGCCCCAGTCAAATTAACTGGGACTTAGGATGTCACTGCTACCAAAGGGCTTGAATTCGAAGACTTTTATATCAAACGCGAGCTTATGATGGGCATTTTCGAGGCTGGCTTCGAAAAGCCTTCGCCAATCCAAGAAGAAACGATCCCGGTCGCCCTTACTGGCCGAGATATCCTGGCGCGAGCGAAGAATGGTACGGGAAAAACGGCAGCTTTCGTCATCCCTACGCTGGAGCGCATCAACCCAAAGAGCACAAAAACACAGGCCTTGATCCTAGTTCCAACAAGAGAGTTGGCCCTTCAAACATCTCACGTTTGCAAGACTCTGGGAAAGCATCTGGGAATCAATGTGATGGTAACTACTGGAGGAACTGGCTTGATGGATGACATCATCAGATTGAATGATGCCGTTCATATTCTTGTTGGAACCCCGGGAAGAGTATTGGACCTGGCCAGCAAAGGGGTTGCCGATTTGTCGGAATGCCCTACCTTTGTCATGGATGAGGCCGACAAACTGCTGTCGCCTGAATTTACCCCCGTTATTGAGCAGCTCCTTTCGTTCCACCCCAAAGATCGTCAGGTCATGCTCTTCAGTGCCACATTCCCTTTGATTGTGAAGTCATTCAAGGTAAGTTATGCATGTTCTTTCCATGAGCACTGGTTGACTGATGGTTGGAATCACAGGATAAACACATGCGCAATCCCTACGAAATCAACCTGATGGACGAGCTCACTCTCCGCGGTATCACTCAGTACTATGCATTTGTTGAGGAGAAACAAAAAGTCCACTGCCTGAACACGCTCTTCTCCAAGTTGCAAATCAACCAGTCGATCATCTTCTGCAATTCAACGAATCGAGTGGAACTTCTTGCCAAAAAAATCACAGAGTTGGGTTATTCCTGCTTCTACTCACACGCCAGGATGCTCCAACAACACCGCAACCGGGTTTTCCACGACTTCCGAAACGGTGTCTGCCGCAACCTTGTCTGCTCCGACTTGCTGACCCGTGGTATTGACATTCAAGCCGTAAATGTCGTCATTAACTTTGACTTTCCCAAAAACGCCGAGACCTACCTTCACCGAATTGGCCGATCCGGTCGTTTTGGGCACTTGGGTCTCGCGATCAATCTTATCAATTGGGACGACCGGTTCAATTTGTACAAGATTGAGCAGGAACTGGGGACTGAAATCCAGCCCATTCCGCAAAACATCGACAAGAAGCTCTATGTATACGACTCGCCGGACACCATCCCTCGCCCTATTGCAAACCCTACACCGGCAAACCCGGCAGCAAGCACAGCTTATAATCAGGGCCCTTCGGATCGTCGCCACAACCATCACTCCAATGGCAATCACTATCAGTTTAGCCGAGGGCGAGGCTCATACCGAGGAGGTCGCGGGCAGGGTCAGCGCCGCAATGTGCAGAACGAAACAAATAAGCTTAACGCTCCTCACAGTCAGCAGCAGGGTGGTAAACCCCCGGCAGCACAAGTGTCTTAGAGAACGAAAGCCACAGTGTGTGTCGAGCAAGCCTTATTGCACTTCTTTAACATGCTAGCTCATCTCTGGCCGGCAAGGCATTGTTCATCGATTTCTTCCGGGCCACCTTCTCCTGGACTAGACATACTACTCGTATTCGCTTCCTCAACCCTTATCTTTGTTCCAGTGGCATGATAAATATGATGTGATCTGTATCATAATCGACTTTCTTTGTCTTCCATTCCGCCCTTCCTCTTGAAGTCGTTTTTTTATCCTTCCATGTGCTATTCAGTTTTCTCTCCCCTACTCTTTGGAGTTCGTCTCGTTCTGGTCAATTTACAGCAACGTTTTCCATGAGGCTGCGTTATCGACGCTTTAGCTTTGTACATATGATGATTCATCACCGCATTTTGTGTTTTGCCGGAGCACAATTGGCGTTATTCATGACATGTTTCTGGCGTTTGGAAGTGGTGTTCAGGTGAAATCCATCGGCCAGTCACTTTCTTCCACTCAGGCTTCGGAGTTTTTCGTTGTGCTCTGCTCCCTATGTTACATTGCTCTGAATTGTTTCCAAAGCTCTCCACCGGAATGGCCAAGGCCATGGGTCTTCCCGAGCAATCTTCTACGTTTTTCTGCTTGTTTCAACGCTACTCACTGCTATCCTTTCGCGTCAGGCACCGCTACACCTGGTTGTTTTTATGTTGACTCCCCGCCTCTTTCTCATGTGCCTTCCCTTACTGTTGCTCGCCCCGTTCGGGTACATTGGCAGCCATGAGGGATTTCCCAAGTGTGCCCCGAATTCTCACGGCTTATATGCTGATTACACCTCGACTTGATCTGGGCAGTTCTACACTTCATCGATCGGCATTTTTTTAATCGTGGGATGTGACTGTTTAAGTCTGGACCTTGTCGTTTGTGCAATCTTTCTCCGCAACAAGATCATCGAACTTGGAATTGGGGCGAAGTGGCCAAGGAGGCCAACGTCGACATGAAAACCACCATTTGGGATCCGAGCAGATCAGCGGGCAAGAAGCGGAAGAGGTGAACTATCATCATTTTTTTTGAAGAGAAAAGAAAAAGAAAAAAGAAAAAAAGAAGAAAAAAGCAAGATGAAGAAAACCGGAAAAAGAAGGGGGATTTTCGAATTGGTTGGGATGCTGCCACTCAGGACAGAGGGTATTAGTAGACCCATACTAGTATTCAAGTAGCATCCAACCAATGCAAAGGCAAATAAATCCTCCAAATTGAGCCCAGTAGGCGCACGGGGTCTGCGGAGTTGCATGAGATGTCTCTCTCGCCTTCCGTACCGAAGTCGGCCTGGTATCCGCCGGACCTCGGGCGCGCCCCCCTGCTCTTCCATCTCCGCGCCTTGTCGCTGTCTCGCCTGGCTTTGCATGCACAATGTCTGCTACGGAGAAGGATCAGACGCGCAAGGTATGTCAGCCTGGGGAGCAGCTTTCCCCAAATTTTCTCCCTATATTGGGCTGCTGACCTCTCGCTTACTGTATACAGCCCAGCAGTCTGCGATCTATAATCGCCGGCTCGAGTGCGGGTGCGGTGGAAATAGGTAAGAGTCACCCGGCGTCATTGGGGTTAACAGACAAATGCTAACCACCCGTCTACAGCAATCACCTATCCAGCAGAATGTACGGTCTCGACCGATCCGCGGTTATTTGGGTTTAACTAATACGCATATGCTGAAGTCGCAAAGACCCGGTCACAACTCAATCGCAGACTACATGATTCTAAGAAACTACCATGGCCACCGTTCGGCAAGCAGTGGTATGCCGGGTGCACCACACTGATAATAGGGAACTCTCTTAAGGCTGGCATTCGTAAGTTTTGCCTAGTCCTATCGTGTTTCGTCATATTTACGCCGTTATTTGTGGACAGGGTTTGTTGCTTTTGACAAGATCAAGTCCCTCTTGCAAGATGAAAATGGCAAGATCTCCGGCCCAAAGACCGTGATTGCCGGATTTGGAGCTGGATTTACCGAGTCTCTTTTGGCGGTGACACCGTTTGAGAGCATCAAGACCCAATTGTCTGTTACCATCCCGAATAAGTCTATCTCGGCCCTGCCGACGTACCTGAAAAGATGACCGAAGGAGATCAAAGGTGGTGCTGACAGCGGTATCAATGCAGGATCGATGACCGAAAATCCGCAAACCCCCGTATGCGCGGTTTCTTACATGGCAGTAAGGTGATTTTCCAGGAGCGAGGCATTCGCGGCTTTTTCCAGGGATTTGTGCCTACAACGGCCAGGCAGGCAGCCAATTCGGCGACAAGATTTTCGAGTTACACCATGTTGAAACAGCTGGCGGAGGGCTACGTTGCGCCGGGTGAAAAGCTAGGAACTGCAAGTACCTTTGCCATTGGTGGCATTGCGGGTCTTATAACGGTGTTCGTCACCATCCACCCCTATTCTGGCTGCGTTGCACATGACCCATTCTGTCTGTTGATGCTAACGTTGCTTCTACAGTTATGTCACTCAACCTCTTGATACCGTTAAAACCAGGTTAGTGACTACAGCTTAAGGAGACCCGTGCGTTGTTGGGCACTGACCGGTACTAGGATGCAATCGCTTGAGGCGAGCAAGAACTACAAAAACAGCTTCGTCTGTGCGGCAAGAATCTTCAAAGATGAGGGGGTTTTTACGCTGTGGTCAGGAGCCATGCCCCGACTAGCAAGGCTAATAATGAGTGGAGGAATAGTGTTCACGATGTCTGTCCAGCCTAGGTCTAATATTTGCTCTCGTTCGCCAGCTAACAGGTTCACTATACTAGGTATGAAAAGACGATGGAGGCGCTGGACACCGTCGACCCGGAGAGAAAGTATATCTAACACTATTAGAGGGAGAGGAGGGAAATATAGAGTCATTCATACGCGCTGCGAACGATATAATAGGAACATGCCGCAACAATCTGTACATGACATCCCAACATCAGCAAAGCATGCATCCTATTGTTGGGTAAAAGTATGAAAGTGTAGTTGGGGGGTTGGCATAGAGGCCCGCTGTCTCTATTTCTTCTTAGGGGCGCTCTTTGCTAATTCTTCAGCGGCCAAGGCTGTTATCTCTTGGTCAGTAAGCCAGGCCCGTACACTATCCATGACAGTATCAAGCCCTTCACCACCGTCCAGGATGCCATCCAAGTTATGGACGGTGATGCCACTGCGGTGATCCGTACAGCGATTCTGTCCATAGTTGTATGTGCGGATTTTATCACCACGGCCCATTCGGGCTACGCCCCCTAATATTCCTCTTCTCATCTCCATCATCTCCTGCTCCCTTGCCGTCTGCCTAGCTTCTGCCAACCTCGCTCGCAAGATTTGCCATGCTTTCTTACGGTTAGCATGCTGCGATCGAGATTCCTGCATTGAGATAGAAATTCCTGTCGGTATATGAGTCAAACGAATGGCTGATTCCGTCTTGTTCACATGCTGTCCGCCAGCACCGCCAGCCCGCATTTTCTCAGCGCGCACTTCCTGGGGATCGACATAGTAATCACTGTTTGGGTCCTCAACGTTGAGGGCGCCGTCCAAGCCGCCTCCTGTCTCTGGGAAGCTAGGAAGAACCATCACGCTCACGGCACTGGTGTGTGTCCGCCCCTTGGTTTCGGTGGCAGGCACTCTCTGTACCCTATGAACTCCCGATTCGGTTCTCAGAACGTCGTAGGCTCCATCCGTTTCGATTTCGATGACTGCTTCACTCAGCTGATCCTCCGCCGAGCCCTCTCCCACTTCTAATTTCATGACGCTTGATCGAAAACCACGATGCGAGCAAAAGGCAAGGTACATTCTGAAGACTTCGAAAGCGAAGAGGCCGGCCTCATCTCCGCCGGCGCCAGGACGAATCTCGAGAAGACATGGAAGAGTGGCGAAAGGATGCCGCGGAACAAGAGCCTGCTTCAAGTTATCGGATATGACTGACAAGGCCCTCTTACTGGTTTCCAAGTCCTCAAGTGCTAGAGTCCTTAGCTCCACGTCGGTCTCTGGGTCATTGAGCAGGGTCTGCAGCTCTGATATGGACTAGAAGAAAGGCCGACGTCAGCGGTTTGTATCCAGCCGCGCTCCGTGATTCTCCATCTATAGAGCACAAGCGCACTCACCTCGTTGGCATCATCCCATTCCTGTATAGATTTCGCAACCGGTGCTAGCTCGCCGGCTCGTCTCGCGGTTTTGGTATCAAAGACTTCAGCTAGGCGCGTCGAGAGGGTGGAATGCTCTGTTGCCAGAACGCGAGCACGTGTAAAGAGTGCCGGGGAGAGACCTGAGTCCGAAGCTATGAGAAGGAAACACTCGATCAGCTTGATTGGGGGTGTGCAACGGTGATGCGAAGGAACGCCATACTTGTGTTCAGGCGTCGGCGCTGTGCCGGGGGCCACCGGGCTAGAGGGACTCGGCCAGAGCGCAGCAGACACCGAGAGCACACCCATGGGGCCCTCCACATGATCCCTGATGCGCTCGAAGAAAACATCGTAGGACGATGTCCCGAGGGGAGGCGAGCAACAGGCGTGTCGGGACTCCGGCCGCAGGGCCGATCACGTGGCCTGTCGTTACGATACGGTAAGGTCGTATGGGACGGTAAAGGCCAGACTGCCTCCTTCGGGGACTCGCGACGGCCTTCTATACTTCGGCGCCCTCCATCATAAACGGCCACCTTAGCCAAGGTCATGTAAACACTTTGCCAGTTCTCTCTCTTCTCGCTCGTTTTCTCTTGCTCACCAAACGACCTCTCCGCCATCAATCTGCTCGCTTAACATAATTAATTGCTATGTTCGACTTCCTCTAAAACTTTCCTTAACGTCGCAAATCTAGGGGACTTCACTCATGATGCTTGTTTCTTTGACCACCTTTCTTGCCTTCCTGTCGGCTGTCCATGGCCTAACCCCTTCGCAAATCCCGCCAGACACCCCCCTGGCATCACTGGTCGCTTCTGCGAAGACTAATCTCGCCAGTGGCTCACCCCGTGAGGCTTTGCTATACTTCGACGCAGCGGTCTCAAGGGATCCCACTAACTACCTTACAATCTTCCAGCGGGGTGCCGCGTACTTATCACTGGGGAAAAGCTCGCAGGCCCTCGGCGATTTTGACCGTGTTCTACAATTGAAGCCGGACTTCGAAAGCGCTCTCTTACAACGCGCCCGTCTTCGGGCCAACTCTGCTGACTGGACCGGTGCCCTGGCTGATCTGGAGCAGGCCGGCAAGCAATCGTCTCCGGACTATCAAGAACTGCAGGATGCGCGGGATGCGGCACTTCAGGCGCACCAGGCAGAGGAGCATGGCGACTGGGACGCCTGCATCAATCAAGCAAACGTGGCCGTTCTGAAGGCGAGCGGCTCCCTGGGATTGCGACAGACTCGGGCGCATTGCCGGTTTGAGAAGGGTGAGATAGAAGAAGGGATTAGCGATCTAGCCCACGTACTGCTAATTTCACCCGGTTTGGTTGAGCCGCATCTACAAATATCCTCGATGCTGTTCTATTCGCTGGGAGACAGCGAGCGGGGGATCGCACAGATTCGAAAATGCCTTCACTCCGACCCCGATTCAAAACCGTGCAACCGCCTCTACCGAACTGAAAGAAGCCTACTCAAGCGACTACAGAAGCTACAGGATGCGTTTAATTCGCGCAAGTTCAACAATGCCATCAATCTGCTTGTCGGTGTAGGGGATGAAAGTGGCCTTCTTGGGGATGTGAAGGAGGACGTGGCGCTTGGGAGGGAGACCGGACATATTCATCGCACGGCTCCCGACAATCTCTATGCGTCATTGGTAGAACAGACTTGTGATGCCTACCGCGAGGTTTGTGGTCCTCTCGAGCACACACATGGCAACAGCACCAGCTAACATGCAATCTCAGGCACGCTTGTTCAAGCGGGCAACCCCGTACTGCTCCGAGGCGCTTGAGTCAAATCCCAACTCACTGCCAGCGCTATTGTTCCGCAGTCAGGCCGCTATCGACGACGAGCGCTTTGAGGACGCTATTCGCATGTTAAACACCGCCAAGGAGCACCACCCCGGCTCCAAGGATGTCCAACAGATGTTGCAACAGGCCCAGGTATTGCTAAAACGCTCGAAGCAAAAAGACTACTACAAGGTCCTGGCTGTCAGTCGGGACGCTGATGAGCGCACAATCAAGCGAGCCTATCGCCAGCTAACCAAGCAACACCATCCTGATAAGGCTGTCTCTCAGGGCGTCACAAAGGAGGAAGCTGAAAAGAAGATGGCCTCCATCAACGAGGCGTACGAGGTCCTATCCGACCCTGAGTTGAGGGCGCGCTACGATAGCGGGGATGACCCGAATGACCACGAATCTCAAAGGGGGCATCCGTTCCAAGGGAATCCATTCGGCTCGGGCGGGCAGCAATTCTTCTTCCAGCAAGGTGGTGGGCCACAGTTCAAGTTCTCGGGCCAGGGATTCAATTTTCCCGGTGGCTTCCCTTTTCGCTAGTATCCCCTACGTTTATACATATGTATGAATTGTTGGCGAGAGGCTGGGCGGGATGGTCGTGTACACTTTTACCCTTGGTTCGTGCCTTCTTACTTGTCCCCTTTCCAACGACTATAGTTTGCCGAAGAATACAGTGTAAAGCATGATACTATGATTCACAGGCTGCCTGAGGTAAAATGATCAACTGTAGTTTTGTTCATTCTCCCCTTCTTGCCATACGCGTACAATCAAACAAAAGAAGACAGAGCGAGGGGGGGGTCATGTCCGGGGACGGTCGGTCAATGGCACGTAGCTAACGGGAAACACCTTTTCCTTATGAACCGACCCATCGGCCTTTTTGTCCACTACCCAGATAAATTGGCCTCCACTTGAGCCGAGATTGCCAAGAAGGCCTCCATCGTTCTCCGTGTCTACAGGGATGAACATTCGTCCCGGCGCACGGAGCTGCTCGACCAGTACGGGGTGAAGAGTCGCTGCCGCTGCGCCGACGTGGATGGCATCGTATGGGGCGCTTTCTTGCCATCCCAGGCGCCCATCGGCTGTGACAAATTTGACCACGCCGCTATCGAGATACTCTCGACCTTGGTCGGACTTGCGCATATTACTCGCAGCCAGATCCACCAGTTCCGGTATGTGTTCTAGGCCAACGACCTGGCCATTGGTGCCGTCCTGGGACGAAGGCCCCGCCACCAGGTTGGCGAGGACGTGTGTTAGATATCCGGAGCCAGAACCTATGTCCAGGACGCGCGAGCCCGGTTTGAGGTATTCAATGAGGTGCTCGCAAGCGTGGCCATGCATGTGGGGGGCTGATATTGTGGCGCCATGGCCTATGGGCTGTGGTGAGTCCGAGTAGGGCCTCGAGGGCGCGTAATGGGCTCGATCGACCTGGTTTCTAGAGATCAGAACCTCGGCTGACTGGCAATTGACGGCATTCGGTGTATGGTCTGCTGGTTTCAAGGGGTGATGCTCTCTTACCCCCATCATCGCCTTCTTCACTCTTTCATTTTTAATTAGTCCCGTCTTGGAGAGATTCTCGATCAACTCCGTATTGGTTGAGCCTGAGCAATACCAAGCCATAGATATGAATCTCCTTAGGGCTCCGAGTATCGGTGTTGTCCTGGGCCTCTTAGGCATACGACGGCGACTTGCGTTGTGGGAGTGGGCGTGGAGGTTACTAGAGGATGGATATAGCGTGGGTTAAGCCGTTGCTGCAGCTAGTATGTGTAGTGGCAGGTCAAACAAAGAAGACAATCCGTTGCTTGAAGGTAATGCGCCTTGATGACGACATGTCAATTACTACTGCATCACGTGGCCCTGTGGAGGAGGCGGGGGGTTATATGAGCCTACGTGCTCCGTACTTGGTATATATATATATATAGAGACCCCGACTTATGGACAAGAGGTAAGCCGTATATAGATAGACATTTATATTCGAACCCGAGTCATTCTCCGTCACATACTAACGGCGAGCATAAAGCAGAACCGAGAATATCCATCTGGCAAACACATGCATCAGCATATATACATATATACACAATACTACTGAGTGCCATCGACTTTTTCCCCTCACGACGCTGCGATAACGCGGGTCTGACGTCATGACGCAGAAAAGCCCGTCGCCGCGCCCGAACGCCCGCTGACTCATCACTCACGCACTTCTCTCGGAGCGCAACAACTCGTGAAGAGCCAAAAAAGCACCTGGTAGAGGATTGCCGGCCTCTCTTCCTCCTACCCTCCCCGAGTCATTGGCTGATTGCCGAACAAAATCTCCTCCTGGGCCATGATTCCCACTGTGGTTTACTCCAGTTTACAATGGATTGTCCCAGAGCGGACCCAAACACCCAATCCGAAGTGGATCTGATGATCCTGGACTACATATTGTGCACCGCTATAAGTAGCCTGCTATACACCAGAGAGGTGGAAAGCGTCATTTGGTCGCAAGATATGATCAATAGTATGCACCCGAATAGATCCCTTGCACGGAAAACAGTTTGCCGGCGGATCACACTAACCGCCCAAGCTGGCACAGCCTTTTTATTGACTTTCCAAGACACCGAGTCAATCCCCGATGATCTCCGCACGAAACTCCAGGTTTTTGATTTCATGCGCAACTTCCTTCGCTATGACTGGCCCACGGCGCAATCGCCCTCTTCTGTGGAGGCACGTTCTTTTGCTGGACATTGGCAAGTCTGCCCGAAACGGGAGGATGCGTATGACCGTGGCAGGCCACCCGCCCTCCCCGAAATCGTAACCCAATTCATACTACTTTGCAACAACGCACATAGTCAAATCAATCGTGGAATGCAAAGACGAATAACGGCGCGGCTAATCATGCAGGCCGCCCTCGAAGCAATACCAGTGTCTGAGAGAAGGACATCGGAGAACCTCGATCAAGAACTTCTCAAAGCTGTCGACAACCTCAATACGGTCCTGATGAGACAAGTGGGCATCGACATGGCAAATTACTGGTCACCGCCGATGGGAAGCACGCTGGCTGGCCAGGTAGAATCGTCGTCTCGGGAAATGCCCCTGCCGACCATCCAGGATGCGATGGTTGATTTTCTGTCCAACCTGATAGAAGGATTGGACGCCCCAGTACTCGTTCAGCTCGAGCGAGGCCAACTCCAGGGACTAAGTCGCGCTGAAACGAAACAGTTAAAGGAACGAGTGGGATTTAGATGATATATGGCCTTGTGTAACATGCATACTCTCGATTGAAGTCCCTTAGGGTGGCATAAAGCAGGTGTATATGGTTTTTCATTTCCCTTCTATCTCGCCCTCTCTCCACATTGCCCCTATCCACAGGCTGATAATGTACATGAAGACCCGACATGGCCCAGAACAGAACAGAGAGGTTGGTCATTATTTGTAGACACATACCACATGGACCAAACAGGGTTTCGTTGTTGCATTTAGCCGAGCAACATGCGACGAGGGTCCTCGATATACTCCTTGATCTGTGGTTGAAGTGATCAGTACATAGAACCCCCAAAGCATTCAAGTGAGGCATTTCACAAACCTTAACGAGGAACGTAACCGCCTCCCGGCCATCCAGAAGACGATGGTCATAAGTGAGAGCAAGGTACATCATCTAGCTGTGGTGTTAGAGGTAGGCTAAGCTCGAGGGGCCGGAACAACATACGGGGCGAATTTCAATTTTGCCATTGACCACGACGGGCTTGTCTTTGATCGCATGCAGTCCAAGAACAGCTAGAGAAAAGAAAAGAGAAGGGGAAAGGTCAGACTGGAATCCACAGAACTCATGCGACGGGGCTCTCATACCTGTCTGGGGCAGATTGATAATCGGCGTGCCCATCAGGGAACCGAAAACGCCGCCCTATATGAGGTTAGTGCGGGTTCAGTCAAACCACCAAGCCGTCACGAGTAGGTTGGCTTACATTGCTGATAGTGAAAGAACCACCGGCCATATCTTCGATCGTAAGCTTGTTATCGCGGGCCTGTAAGAATTCGGTCATTAGCGCGATCCCTAGAATGGTTTCCTAGAATGGCTCATCTCCGTCACAGACCTTTTTACCGAGATCCGCAATGGCCTTCTCAATACCAACGAGATCCATAGCCTCGGCGTTCCGCACCACAGGGGTGACCAGACCCTTTTCGGTAGCGACAGCCACACTAATGTCCACGTAGTCGCGGTACACAATGGTATCACCGCCGTTAGGGCCCTCAATGGATGCATTAACAGCAGGAACGTCTTTCATGGCCAAAACACAGGCACGGGAGAAGGCGCTCATAAAGCCAAGTTTCACGCCAGTTTTCTTGAGGACATCATCCTTGTATAGTTTCCGGAAGTCCATAAGAGATGACATGTCGACCTCATTGAAAGTAGTAAGCGAGGCGGCGGTGTTCTGGGACTGCTTCAAGCGCTCGGCAATGCGCAATCTCATTCTGTTCATCTTGACCTGTGGAGTGGACTGCAAGTTAGCATGCATGCAAAATGACCACTGCTAAAGGGCCAAGGGAATACGCACCCGTCGTTCCTCACGACCGCCAGGACTGGCCTTGGCTGCCTCAGAAGCCGGAGGCTGAGAGGCTTCGGACGTGGGCTTCTTGTTGCTCTCAGATGCAGGAGCCGCGGGCTTTTCCGAAGAAGGGGGTTTCTCTGTTGATTTCGTCTCTTGCGCAGGCTCGGCTGGTGCCTTGGGCTTTTCAGCGGCAGGTTCTTTCTTTTCCTGGGAAGGTTCGTCCTTCTTCCCTTCAGGGGCACCACCCAGTTCCAGCTTGGCAAGTTCCTGGCCGACGGTCACAGTATCTTCCTCGTTCACAAGGAGTTCCTTGATTGTGCCCGATTCAGGTGCGTTGACGGAAACATCGATCTGTTGCTTGTGAGCAAGTGCTACACCCAATGCAGCCATGCCACATAACTGGAACTGGCTCCATGCACGGATTGCTTACCTTGTCCGTCTCAATCGTCGCTATCTCTTCGTCACGTTCGACATAATCGCCAACCTCTTGAAGACAAGTAAATACACGGCTCGGCAATAGCATAGAAAGAAAGAAGCATTTGGTGGAGGGGGTTCCTTATAACCATACGTTTCGAGAATTGTTTCAATGTACCCTCCGTGATTGATTCTGCCATCTGAGGAACCTTGACAACGGAGTCCGCTGGTCTGCAGTTAGCTAGCTATATTTCGCGAAGAGAAAGGCGAGCGTTTTACCATAAGTCCGGACCTGGTGGCGTCCAAAGAATCCGAGATCGAACCGCGGAGCTCTGGAGCGTGTCAGCTCAAATGCATTGTTTCGCCTTCTCCATAACCCTCTCATAATTACCCCCTCCTGATGGAAAAAGTCGCAAAAGAGAAAGGATGGTCTTACCCCGAGACGGGAACTTGCAGTGGGCTGGTGGAGGATCTGTTGGACCGGTTGAGATGCCTGCAGAGTGCAGGCGAGGTGATATTCCTGCGGCCAACAGTACTGAGGTAGCGAGTGCCATGGGCGACCCGAGGGATTGCCCTGAGGCGCTGTTCGGGCAGACGGGGAAGTGGTAATCGAGAAGCCATGATGACCAGGATTCGCTGGAATCAATGCGCAAAGGAACGGAGGTCGAGAGTAACCCAGCTAATGTTGGATTTGGGTGGTAGGTGAGCTTGTAGCAAAAACAAAACTTTGCCGTTGTTACAGGGCAGCGAAATGAACGAAGAAGAAGAGGATGGATGACAAGACTTGGGAGCTCCCAAACCGGGCCGAAACTACCGGAATTTCCCTGCACGCCTGGAGTCCTGCACCCGGCGAATGACGGCCGGAGTATTGTTATTACGTTATTCAAGTGGACCGGAAACACCGCCCGGGCAATTCCTCGTCCGGCAAAGACAAGAGACTCCTAAGGTAGCATCTGGGAAGCACCACCGCAATTGAGCGATAAGCAGTCGGCGGCAGGATTGGCAATACCTGTCTATACAGCTACCTGACCACCGGGAAAAAACAAAAATCAACTGTCGTCAAAAATCCTCCACTCGGCTCCAGCCCGTTCATTATGTCTACCAGCGCTGTCACGTACGTTGACTATGAAAACAATGGCGAATCTGCAATGAACAAGGAACTAATTATTATCACTACTGCTTTTACTTGCGCAGTTCTCTCTATCGTCGGTCGCTAAAGCTTGCGCTTGACTGGGCAGTTCACAGGCAGCTGTGGCGCGGACAGGCAGTATACATCCGGTCACTCTTCGAGGCAAACAAGGATGTGCGCGATCCTCGCCAGCAAAAGGTGGGCTTAAACTCTCTTCCATAGCCAATTGCTTTCCGCGCAACCTTGCTAATGGCTACATCTCCTCCAAGGTGCTCCTGCGTGAGACCGAGAAACTGCTAGAGACCTGGAAACATCCCGATCCCTACAGAGCGCCCACTGCCCCTGGTGGTATGTTTTCGACCTTTTCCAAAGCCATGATCTGAGATCGGATACTGATCATCTTTCTAGGCAATAAATATGAGCGAAACCTCCCTGCACGCATACTGCCCTGTACGTCAACTGTCGAACCATTTGCAAAGTTTGAACTAACACCGGCATAAGATGCCTCGGGCAGCCATTAATCGTACTCCGGAGTAGATGCGAACCAAACCCACTGTGCAATACCTAGTTTACAAGTGAAATCGAAATGAGTGGATTGATCTCACAAACGAACCATCCTTGGCGGAACCGTAGTATGAGAATTGCTCTCTCGTAGCAGAAAACCAGGCCGAATTGGACTTGGAAAAGCAATATACGAAAGCTCTACACAATCGATAAATCGGGTTTGAAAACACATAATCTTATCATTCCGTGGATGACAGCCAGAATGTGACTGTCTCCTAGGCCTCGATCCGTAAGAAGTGCCGGTATCATTCCATGTCCGTAGACATAATGTACAACCATAAAAATTAGAACAGAAACGCAGAGCCATAAAGGTGCCCAGTCCAGAACCCCGTTATCACATCAATGAAAACCAAACCGCGCCGAAAGACAAATCCCAAACATGAAAAGAAAACAGCTCACAGCTCCTGGCTAGCACCACCCTTGCCGGCCTTGGGGGTCTTCTTGGGCAGAAGGTCTGAGAAAGCGGGGTTAGCATCACGGCCTCCTTGTGGGGAACCGATGGCAGATTGAAACTTACTTTGGTGGATGTTGGGCAGAACACCACCCTGTGCAATGGTGACGTGACCGAGGAGCTTGTTCAGTTCCTCATCGTTGCGGATGGCGAGCTGCAGATGACGGGGAATGATACGAGTCTTCTTGTTGTCGCGAGCGGCGTTACCGGCCAACTCCAGAATCTCAGCAGCAAGGTATTCAAGCACGGCGGCAAGATAGACAGGGGCACCTAAACGCGATCAGAACGCATTCGACGACCAGTCGATAAGAGCAAAACTTACCAGCACCAACACGCTGGGCGTAGTTACCCTTGCGGAGAAGACGGTGGACACGTCCGACGGGGAACGCGAGACCAGCCTTGGAGGAACGCCTGTGCAGATGAATCGGTTAGATAAGAAACTCCAAAAAAAAGATGTCAAAGACACCAGAGATCGCAGAGGGGGTGGGGACTGTACGATTGCGCGTTCTTGCTGCCGCTAGCCTTGCCTCCAGATTTGCCTCCAGTCATTTTTGCGGGTGGGTATGAAAGGGTTGAAGAGATGGGAGAGTGATGAAATACGCGTTGGGCGAAGAGAGGCAGATGGTAATGGTTAGGATAGGGTGTCGAAGATAAATGGCCAGCGCGAGGGAGCAAAGGACATTTATAACGACGCGCCGAGGGTGACGTTGGGCCGGCTAGACGCTCTTCAGATCACCCTCTCGCTTAGCGGGGCTGACCAATCACCAGATAGATCAGGATCCGGCGCTCCCACCGCTTGGCAGCGCGGTCGCTGCTTTGATTCCCAGCCTTCGCGGTATGCGGGTCGCCCACATCGGGCTAGCCGTGCCTCCCCGTCCCGGCCGTACGGACCCGTACGGTAACCTTGGCGTGATCCTACCCGATTTTCTATGGCCGGCGACGCGTCCCGCCCCCCTTAATCATACAGATCATACGCCTCCCTTACCGTATTGAAATTCCGCTTCTTTTGTGCACCTCAGGATCAACTGGGCTTTGGCACGCCGGTATAAGTAGCGCGTCTCCCTCGTCACCGCGTCTCCAACTTTCTTATCCTCCTGTCCATTCCATCTCCATCATCCACCATCTACGCTCGACGTTAACCGTTTCTACCACTCTCTCACCTTCAACAACCTCTTTCCATCCACCTCATTTTACCAACTGACAAAAATGCCTCCCAAAGCCGCTGAGAAGAAGCCCAGCACCGGTGGCAAGGCCCCCGCTGGCGGCAAGGCCCCCGCTGAGAAGAAGGAAGCCGGCAAGAAGACCGCCGCCGCTGCCTCTGGCGAGAAGAAGAAGCGTGGAAAGACCAGAAAGGAGACCTACTCTTCCTACATCTACAAGGGTACGTTTTGGAATGCAGATCATCCGGTGTCAGTTACATGAGGCTAACGAAATGTGCAGTGCTCAAGCAGGTTCACCCCGATACTGGTATCTCCACTCGCGCCATGTCCATCTTGAACTCCTTCGTCAACGGTTGGTCTTGCCCTCCCTCTTATCTGTCTGATTTAGCAGTGCACTGATGATTTCCATAGACATCTTCGAGCGTGTGGCTACCGAGGCCTCCAAGCTGGCTGCTTACAACAAGAAATCCACCATCTCGTCAAGGGAGATCCAGACCTCTGTGAGGCTCATTCTGCCCGGTGAACTGGCCAAGCACGCCGTCTCGGAGGGCACGAAGGCCGTGACGAAGTACTCTTCTTCTGCCAAATAAGTTATCGCTGGGGTTGCTTCTTTTTTTCCTTTTGTTTTGTGCGCAGGATTGTTTTCTTTTATTGCCTCTTATCAACCGTGGTTTTGAGGTTGGTGGGTCACAGGGTGTTCGTGGGATTTTCTAATGTGTCATGGGATGGCTTTTATTTTATTTTCCCTTTGGGCCAAATGTTTTTTATGGTTTTATTCGAGACGTGAACGCGGTGTAACATAACACGGTTCTCTGGGGTTTTATGGCTGCAGCCGGCCTCTTAGGAATTCGAACTCACTTTCAAAATCATGGTCCCCTGTACAGGTATGAATTTGGTGATGCTAACTAGTCTAGAGCGATCGAGGAGTTACAAAAGAGTTGATATCGGATCATTTTGTCCCTGGTGTCTATTCAGCTTCATCGAGCGATTCCACTTCATCGAGCGCTTCTTGTCTTCCCTGATAAATATCGGGTTTCGTTCCCTCGAGAACACGGACGATCGGCTTTCCTTGCACTGACACGACGCGACCCTTCAGGTCTTGCCAATCCTCCTCATTCTGGACCAGGAAGCCTATGAGCATACTTGGGTCCATGTCCGTGATGTGAATCCGCCGCAGTCTACGGCTATGATATGTCTCGGTTTCCTCACTCGAGTAGGGCACTTGAATCTCGTGGTGAGGAACAGCAGGGCGGGTGCTGTGGGGATCAAGGTAGAAGAAGTTTGAACCTTGGACGCCAACGAAATAATGGGATGCTGCTGGGCGTCCGCTAGTCACGGGAGATACGTCAGCATTTCGTCCGTGTGCTTCACTTGAAGTATTAGCGGGTCGATGCTTACCCTGCGATCCCTACTGATTGGGGTAGTTGCAATGAAGCCTTAAGGGCTTCCCAATAAACTGGCGTGATGTGGTCTATTCCGAGCCTCGTTCCTACGAGTATCAGCGTCGGTTGGAAAGTACCCGAATTAGCTCGGGCTACTTTCAAGAGGCTATCTTCATGAATATCGGAGCTTTCGTTGCTGACATAGACCTTAAGCTTCAGATCTTCGCATCGATCGGATAGGAACCTGTTTTGCTTCTTAGCCCTCCCATTCAATTGCTGTTGGGGCCGGGAGAAAGCATACTCGATGCATTTGGCGGTTGCCGAAGGCCCAAACCATTGCCCGGGGTATTTGCCGCAAGATTGAGCCCCGTGTTCGACAAATCTGTGTATCGACAATGGGGCATCTGGATGATCGGCAAATAGCCTCAACAATTGAACTTCTTCATCGGTTCCTTTTCCTCGGCGCCAGTCTGGCACGCTATCAGTTCCGTAGACATTTGTACGTTGTTAACCACATACCGCGGCCCAGAAGCAAGATCAATAGAGTATTGGCCAGGAGGCTCTGACCAGATCTGATCATGCAGCCCCATCCAGTGTCGCAAGTAAACCCCTCCGGTTCCATCAGCTGGCTTCTTAGTCGTACGGACAGTGTCATTCCGGGTTTAGCATCGGGACTGTCGACTTTAGGTATGGGGGTGAAGTTCGATCGATATGTCATCCAAATCCTCGACTCAAAGTCCTGTAGGAACCCCTCGGGCCAGCCATGGGCTGTATCTTGATTGGATGACTTGGACTGATTTGATCTGTCCAGACCTATCCAGTCCGCATATGTCAGTGACCCTTCTTGCCGGCTGCAGTAGATCGTGTGGGTGTTACTATCCAGACTTACTGGACTTCGGCTGTGGCGAGGCGTTTTCCTGGCCAGGAGAGTACGCTGTCCCTAGGCACCAGATCACGGCATCTGGATCCTCGTCGTTCCTAGGTTCGGGGTCCCATAAATATTGGACGATACGCTTGCCACATCGCCCTATGTCGACATTATTCATATTCACGTTTCTCGCGGATACAATGTGCTGCCTGGATGACGTATATTCCTGGCTACGGCGTGATAATACTCGGTTGGTGGAGATGGTGTACAGTACCTCCGTAGGTAGTGACTAGAAATATATATTACTCCGTGAAGGTGGCGTTATACTGACACAAAGCGACCACCCGAGGAAAGCAACAAGAGCAAGAGAAGTGCCGGAATCAGGAATCAAGCACAGTCACGGAAAAGCACAGTAACCCCCCCCCAAGGCCAAAGAATAGTGAGGGACCAGTGAGAGGGAGGGGGTCATCACCGTGCCGGCGGTCACGAGGCCGAGACCCTCAAGGGGAATAGACGTCATTAACAGCAGCGCGTAATCATCGGTGAATCGCGATTTATCCCACCTACAAAAAGGGCATGCAGAAGCATCGAAACCCCGCTCTTGTAACTAACTGCGCTCTGAGTTAAGATACCCAAAATTTGAAATGATCCTTTCTGTCCTCTCCCCTTAAGCCCTACAGACTACAGTATGTACTGGAAGCTGGTTGATCCGATCACCATACATGTAAAGTGAACCGACCCACCGCCTGCCGGCAGAAATACGAACCAACCGGTCTCACCTGCTGACATCCTACGGTTCTACCTTCGTTAATCCCGACACAGGCCCGAGTTCCCTACTGACCACACCAACCCGGGATCCCCAATTGGGCCACCGGGAGAATCGAGTACAGAATTTCCTACTCTCACCCCGAAAAAAGGAAACGAGGACAAAAAACAGCCACCAAAATGCCCCGCACCAAGAAGGGCAGGGCCCTGGATAAGAAACGAAACAGGACAACGCCCGTCGATGTTGTCCTGCGCAATGGACGACACCAGGCTCACCTCACCAGCCATTCTACTGCAGCCCACCTTACCATGCACGAAGAAGCACGGAACACAGGAGGGCGCAACCTATGGCGCCCTGGCTCTCTTCTCCGCCACCAAGCAGTGCAGTTTGTCAGCGCAGGGGCATTACAACCGACGGACCCCGAGTTGCCACACCAGACCCCAAGCGTCAACAGGACAATCGACGAACCGCAGCCTGTGATAGAAAGCGCGACTACTACGCCTGCACAAACGATAGACTCGAATATAACGGACGATGGCACACCGTTTCTCATCGACCTAATCGGCGAAGCTGCTCCGGAGACGGGAATGGCAGATCCAATCACTAATATCGTATCGGATGAGTCCAGCGAAGATGAAATAGTGTTCCACGGCCGAAAAAAGTGGAGTGCACCTAGCACGCGTCTTTTAGATGACCATACGGAAATACGTATCAACTCTCAGGATTCGACAAGGAGAAAAAGTCAAAATGCCAGCAAGCCGCCTGCAACAGCATCTGCTGAAATGTCCGCCAATGATACACCACCGGCTCTGGATAACTGTCAGGAAACGTCAGTTGCAGAGGCAAATTCAACCAAGGATAGCAGCGAATGCACGGACACGGAAAAACAGCAGCCCGAGAAACAATATGCAGACAATATCTTTGATGGTGAATTTGACATCTTCACCGACTACATATCAAACATGGATGACGTGTATCGCCCTGAGGACGAAGAGGACATGGAAAGATCGCAGACCTCTACAACCCCCAAGCGCCAAAGCACAGACGCTCTAGATGATATGGAAAGCCAGTCAAGCAACTCCTACGACAGTGAGTTTGATGTGGATCTCGATGAATTAGATATTCTGGAGGAGTTGTCCTTACAGGATCGAGGCCAGAGGAACCTGACCCAGCAGAGGCTTGCCAAAAAATTGGGAAATAAATTCGCCTCAGCAACTGCATTCGCCGATGCCTTAGAATCGGACCCTTATTATGGATTTGATATCATGGATTTCGACAGACCCAGTCTTCGAAAAAAATCGAAAGCCAAGCGCCATGTTCCCGATTTTGAGCTCTCCGATCCCGAGCTTGAGATGGAATTGGTTAGAGCATGGCAAAATGATCGGGAAAAGAAGAAAACGAGAAAGCAAAAGCGAGAAGAACTTCGCTCTAGGGGTCTGCTAGGCCGGAAAATAGACAACGCAGATCTGACCATCAAGTACGCAAATGGCATTGGACCTGAAGAGTTGAGAACAGAAATACACACATTCCTTCTCACACCACGAAATAGGTATGTACTTTTGCTCCATACACAACGCGGCAAGCGGTTAACAAAGATGGGAAATTCAGCCTGCCTCTCCCTCCCATGCCGAAGCAGCGTAGGAAGGTAATACACGATCTGGCGAATGTTCTATCCCTGATCTCAAAGTCACGGGGGAAAGGGGCCTCGCGATTTCCGATTCTGCACAAAACTTCACGCACCCCAGAATACAGCGAGAAGACCGTTTTACAAATAAACAGAATACTATCAGCGGGGAGTTTCAAGTCCAGGCCCACGAAACAAAACGTCGCCAAAATCTCTAAATCTCGGCGTGGCCAGCCTGGAGGCTCCGTTTCTTACATGGATGGCGACATTGTTGGCGCATCCGCGCCTGAAATAGGTGTTGAGAATAAAGGGAGAGCCATGCTAGAAAAAATGGGATGGAGCACAGGCACTGCTCTTGGGGCTTCTAACAACAAAGGAATCCTTTTGCCAGTTGCACACGTGGTCAAGAACTCCAAGGCTGGTTTGGGGTAACTTGATATCTAATCAGGATCTCTCGGGCATATTTTGAAATCATCCGTGGCACATGGACTCGCTTTTGGGTTTGTTTACGTGGCTGTGTAGTCCATTTCATAGGTCTAAATAACGATTGTCCACGCGAGAGTGAGTACTCGCAAATTGCTGCTTTTGTACATGCTCCTAGATCCCCTGCAATCTAGGTCGAACTTGATTGTGCGAACTATGGTTTCCTCCTTCGAGGTCTTTTGACGGTAGAAGGTGGCTGAGCGTGGTTTGACTCCTTAAGATGGGAAAACAACTGAGTTCTGGATGGAAACGTGGAATTGCATGAAGCACACTTGATACCCCCAGTTTGATTAGTCGAGCGCTGGGCTTTTTGAGCGCGCCGCTGCTTAGCCTTGCCAGGTTTTTTCCCATTTAGCCGTGGCTCATCTTCGAGTTTGCAATCCAATAAATCCTGGGATAGTGTCCCCATCTCGTTACCCTGGAAATCACCCATGTCAGATGTACTCGAATGACCTAGCCTAGTTTCAATGAACTCTCTCGGCACGTAGTCATCCTCGCCGCCAGAGCTTGGATGATTTTCTGGGCTCGTTGACGATTGAGGGGGATAATCGCTGAGCTCATCTTCCTTCAAAGTTTTTCCAGGGCCGTGCCTTGAACTGGGATTAACCGCCGGGTCTAATGATTGACCGTCGGGGTTGGACCTGATTTCGCTTTGGGATCTGATTGCTGTGACACTCGGAATGTCTTTGTCTGACTGCAGAGAGATGTCATCAGGTACCCCTTCTAGATCAAGTTCTTCGTTTTGTGCTCTCATTTCCCAACGAAGTTGTTTGACGGCCTTCAGGTGTTTCTTGCTACGTTCATGTGCCTCAACTTGTTTCTGGCTCTTAAACTTCTTGTTGCACACAATACATTCAAAGTGTTCCACCTCTTCCTCTGACGTGTCAGGATGGTCCTCGTCGGGATACTCTGATCTAGACCAGTCTTGTTGGACATGGTCACGTAGTTTTGCCGAATTTGCTGCTCTTGATCGGGCAGCCTGCGCGGCGGTTGACTGGCGGAGACTCTCCTGCCGTTGGGATTCGCTCTGAGCATTGTATTGGTACCGAGGGTCGCGCTTCCTAACAAAAGCCACGAACGCTCGAACAGCTCCGTTGAACTCACGAATGCCATCTTCACGGAGACGCTTGTTTTCTTTCTCCATCAATCTACGAACACGCCGATCGGGTGCTTCGGAATAGCGATAGACATCCTTCCATGCGAAGGACTTCTTGGTGGAAAAAGAAGCCCATACAGAATAGAACGGCCGCACCACATCTTCGAAGCTGTCATTCTGAAACCCGAATGTCGGATACTCTATCATGTCAACGTTCTCCCATTTGCAGGCTGCTCGTTCCTCTGTGGCTAGTCGAGTGAAGGTGTCCCGCAGTCCTCCAAAAAATCCATCGGGGGAGTCACTAAAATCCATCCGGGGGTTGAATTTTGTGAATAGTTGGAAAAGGTCGTCTGATGTTGTCATACGGGTATTGTAGGAATGGCCTGCATCTTCGGGTTGTCCATGGCCCCCCAGGAAAACCTGTCGGTGCGAATCATACCAGGCACGCTCTTGGGGATCCGAGAGAACTTCGTAAGCGGACTGAACTTCTGCAAAAAGTTCCGTAGCTTCTTCCACGTTGCCATAATTTCGATCAGGGTGTAACTCCAGGGCTCTCTTCTTATATGCCTTTTTTATTCTGGTAATGATTAGCAACACCTCGCATGACAAATTGGGATAAGCAGTTGGGCTTACTCCTCCCCGGTGGCATCTAAATCCACTCGCAGGAGCTCGTAATAATCTGCCTTGTTGCCCTCTGTTGGGTTGCCGGCGTCATTGCTTCTAGTGGATTGAGATTGCCCCATGTGTCCGGCAAATAACTATACGGGCCTGTAGAAACTTGGGTGGTGGACGTTCGTGGCAAATTTTGGTCGAGAAACTTGGTCTCAGGCAGTTGGTCGCAGTGAGCGGGAAATTTTGGGTCGGTTACTACGGAGTAGTTTGGAGCTGTGAAGTATGAACTCCCGCCGCCTCGACTCTCGTTCTAGATTTTCAGGTGGCAGTCCCTTTGATACGCATCTCCTCTTGGTGAGGAGCCGCATTTATCTATCAGCCATCATTCCAATTGTCAGATGAATGCATCGGAATGGTTTTGTCGCTTGACAGTCTTCCTCAAGAAATACTCCACAACATTCTATGCTACTGCCACCCTTGCTCTTGCGCCGCCTTGGAACGGACTGCTCGCCGATTCAGATACAGTACCAATGAGCCCGTGCTGTGGAGGTTATACTGCAAAACTTATTTCAAGTTCTGGGATTCTCGACATGACCTGACACAAAAACTTACGGGTCCTTTGTCCGCGGTGAACTGGAAGGCTCTTTATGTATCAAGGTATTTAGCCGACCGTTCAACTTGCGAAATCCTGGATAGTATCCTGGCTACGCAGACTGGCAGGATTGAGAAATTCCGTTCGATACTCCATTATGGTTGTGATGCCAAAGACGCTCTTTTGCGAAATGTCTCGGCAACAGAGGATGAAGGCGACTATCTAGCAAGAAGGTTTGCCGCCTTTCCCTTTGGTTCTTCCAGCTGCGCCCTGTTTCGTTGAAAATTAACAAGCCTGGTCCACTTGAAGATACTTTTCCCAGTCACTCCTGGCGAGCCTCCATCGAAGCATTGCTGTACCGGAATGGAGTAAACTCGGCAACAATGAGAATGTTCCACTAGAGCGCGCACTAGGTGCCTTTGACCTTTTTATTCCAGAAAGTGGCTATGGGAGTATGGAAGAGGTAAGTTCCCGCATATGAAAAAATCCGTGCGGTTCTAATGTCGGGCGACAGATAAAGCGCAAGCTGGACGGGATATCCGCTGTTGTTTTTGTACAAAATCCCGACATTGACCAATACACGCCTCGTGATAAGGCTAGGGTCATCGCATCCCATTTGAGGCAAGGTAATTTAACCGGCATCGAACCAGGCCGGGAGTACCATTGTCTGGAGCACAACTTTTTGGGAGTTGCTCTGAATGAACCGGGCCATAATTCACTGCCGCTGGTATCAGCAACTATATATTGTTATGTTGCCGAAAGACTTGGTCTGCGTGCGCGACCTTGTGGGTTTCCTTTTCATGTGCATGTTATCGTTCAGCCTCCGCATGGTTTCGACATGGACGGCAACGCACTGGATGGAATCGAGGGCGACCCGATTTACATGGACCCGTTTCGCTCGGACAGGGAGACACCAGTTGCAGACCTCGAGAGTCAGTTGAACTTCTTGGGCGCCTCGCCTGTTGAACGAGCAGCACTCCTGGGTGAATCTTCGACATCTGATATCGTTTTGCGGTGCAGCAAGAACATATTAAATTCGGTCCAGCGCATGTCTCGTCGCTCCGATATAGTAACTTCGGTTGATGTTGCTAGCGCTACCTACGCTGCGCTTTGGTCGGCAATGTTGCTTTCTCACCCGTCCCAGCCGGGGTGGTTAAGGCATCATCTGCCCTGGTTGATGGAATTGTTCGCTACAGAGTTTCCTTTCGACACGCTCCTTGTTGAGCGATATATTGCGCCGCTCTTCCACGGGATGGTAGAACATGAACATATTCTGGAAAATTTACATGTCATGCGAGCTGTAGATGAGTTGCCAAAACAGAAAAAGAGACGTACCTCTTATGCCGGTAATATAAAATATCGGATTGGCCAGTTACTTCGACATCGACGCTATGAATACAGGGCTGTCATCACAGGATGGGACGTGGAGTTGGATGCTAGTGAACACTGGGTTGCTCGCTTGGGCGGAGAAAGACAACAGATTTTTTATCATGTCCTGTATGCTCATCCAGCCTGTGCAATCATTCGCTGCGTGCTGACCAACACACAGTTTTGAAGACGGTACTGTTCGGTATGTGGCGGAGGAAAATGTTGATATCATATTTCCTCGTGCGTCAGATTTGCCGCCATCTCTTTTCGCGGTGGCGGGGAAGTATTTCAAGCGATGGGATGAAGGAAGTCGGACATTCGTAAGTAATATCAGGGATGAATATCCCAGCGATTAGAATGGTGGAAAAAACCGCGTCTACGGTAGTGATCATTTGGGTTTGTCGAGTACGGACCAACACATGGACATAGATTTCTGGTCAGTACCCGATTAAACTACTAGTAAGTTATACAGAGACTTGAAAAGTTAGTATTATAGAAATATATTTCCATCACTCGCCTCGCTGCGCAGAACAAACATATATCCTTCCTCTTTTATCTCTTACTCTCTGTGATGGTCGATGCCAAGTGCGCTTCTACCACCTTCCACCTTTGATACATCTGTGGGATAGTTACCGGTTCAACTATTAAAAATCTAAAATATTAAATCCCCAAACTTGACTATATATTGCTCTATATAAAGATTCTCAATCAATTTATCAAAATACTTTATTATTTAAATGATAAAATCTCTGTTGCAGTCGCTTACCGGCCATCGTCGTTATCATTTGGTGAGATGCAGAAGTGATATTTACGGACAATCTGTCACCGGAGGCCTTTGGTGTGACGGTCTACAAAGAAGCTTATTAAAAAACAAGTTTATTTATAACTTATAATCAAGTAATTTTTTTATAAAAAGAAAAGAAAATATTTAATAAAAGATTTTAAAACTTTTATATATTAATGAAATTTGATTAAATATAAGAATCTTTTATTATTTATTTAAAATTATCCATAAAAAAATTAAAGTTTTTCTCTTAATTTATTAAAATAATCTTTTAATCAAATTTTTTTTTCAGATTTTTTTAAATAGATAATTAATTATATTATATATTTAATTAAATTAAAATATAATAATATCTTCTTATAAAAAGATTAAATTAATAAATTATTATTATTATATTTATTTAAAAATTTATTATTAATTATAATAACAAATTAATTAATCAGTTATTATAATAATTTTAATTTATTTAGATATATATTATAAAATTTTTATGATTTAAATAATATATTATAAAAATAAAAAATATAATATTATAAAATTTAATGGATAATGTTCTTATTAAATAAAATAATATAAAAATTCTTTTAACTATTTATTTTAATTTATTTTAGAATTTAATTAAAAGTTCAAAATCGCAAACTAATTAATTATCAATAAGAAATTAATTATTTTTTTATAATATTTAATTATAAATATTAAATATATTTGTCACGACCCCGCACGCGACATGACTGACTGTCTGCCTAGAAGAATCTTAGAAAAGATTCTGATTAAGCAAAGGATTATTCTGATAACTCTGATATTCTTTATAAACAATTCTAAATAAAAGATAAAAGATTCTTATATCTAATCAGATTTTATTAATATATAAAAGTTTTAGAATCTTCTGTTAGAGAAGTCTCTTTCTTCTTTATAAAAAAATTGCTTAATTATAAATCATAAACAAATTTGTCTTTTATTAGATTTTTTCATAAATTATTACATAATTTTTCTATTATTTAACTCTTTCATTTTAAATAAATACATTTAAAATATATCACTATATTATTAGTTAATAATAAATCTTGTAGTTCATTTGAAATCTTTCTTTTATAATATAATAATATAATATTTAGATTGTATTAAATAAATCAAACAAATCAATTTAAAATAAATCTAATTATTTTAATCTTCTCTCTCTTTCGGATCTTTGTAAAGCAAGATAAATATATTAAAATTTTAAATATATAAATTATAAAAAGTTAATTGAAAGATAAATCAAAATAAAAATTTTTTATAACTTTATATAGATTTTAAATATGAATAAAAACTTTATATAATCAAAGAAAGATTTTTATTAGAAATTAAAAGAAATTTATCAATAATTTATAAGATAATAATTATTATAAATTAAATTAAAATTAAAAAATCAATTTTAATCAAGAATTATTAAGGAACTAAAAAAAATGTTATAAAATTAATTATTAAATAAGATATAATTACTATCAAATTGTAAGGGGAAGCCCTACAAAGGATTGATTCTTATTCGGATACTTAATTCTCTTAATTAAAGATATCAGATATATTGAAATAATTTTGAATACATCATAATTTAAATGTAAAAATAAATATAAATACAATGAAAAAAATGTTCATTAATAAAAAGGAATTAATTGATTAAATTGTTATATAAAAAAGATATACAATTTTTAATTTTATCATTTAAATCATTTAATTACATTATTGTTGAATTGGCCAAGCTATAAAATTTTTGAAAATTTTAATATTATTGTTTTGAAGATTTTTGATAACAAATTTGTTTTCTTAAATAAAATAATTATTTTTAATTATTAATTAAACAATTGTATTTGTTTTGATATTTTAATATAAATATAAAATGTTTTATTAATTTTTTTAATTATAAATTTCGATCATTTTTATTATTATATATTTTATAGAATTTTGAAGACTTTTTGGAATAATTATAAAATATTATTTTAAAAAGATTAAAATATAATAAAAAATTAAAGTCTTTATATTGTTCAATAGACCTCGCCAGGACCCGCAGATCTACCCAAACGGATAACCCATTATCCATTTCTTGGCGGATAATGGATAGGATTTGTTTATTCATGTGTGGATAACGAGTAATCAAATAATATTTATAGATTATTTTTAAATATTTGTGGGTAATTAAACAATATAAATATATAAAATCTTGTGATTTGTATATTTTGTGTAATATTAAATTATAATATTAAATATTTTATTTACATATATAATTGTAGATTTTTAGATAGAATTAAATTTTAAAAAAATAATCTTTGAATAAATAAAAATAAAACAAATTAAATTTTATATATAATTAATATTTAACAAATTAATCATTGTTTTATTTTATATGTTTC